TAGACCTCCGAGCTGCGGGTCTATTCGGCAGAGCCCATCGTTAACTAGAGCGATTTAGTCGAGCTCGCGAAGCGAGCGAGACCTTAGTTATTTAACAGCCTTTGCGTAGGAGGCCGTTAGGCCTCCGAGCTGCGGGTCTATGCGGCAGAGCCCATCGTTAACTAGAGAGATTTAGTCGAGCTCGCGAAGCGAGCGAGACCTTAGTTATTTAACAGCCTTTGCGTAGGAGGCCGGTAGACCTCCGAGCTGCGGGTCTATGCGGCAGAGCCCATCGTTAACTAGAGCGATTTAGTCGAGCTCGCGAAGCGAGCGAGACCTTAATTATTTAACAGCCTTTGCGTAGGAGGCCGGTAGACCTCCGAGCTGCGGGTCTATTCGGCAGAGCCCATCGTTAACTAGAGCGATTTAGTCGAGCTCGCGAAGCGAGCGAGACCTTAGTTATTTAACAGCCTTTGCGTAGGAGGCCGTTAGGCCTCCGAGCTGCGGGTCTATGCGGCAGAGCCCATCGTTAACTAGAGAGATTTAGTCGAGCTCGCGCAGCGAGCGAGACCTTAGTTATTTAACAGCCTTTGCGTAGGAGGCCGGTAGACCTCCGAGCTGCGGGTCTATGCGGCAGAGCCCATCGTTAACTAGAGCGATTTAGTCGAGCTCGCGAAGCGAGCGAGACCTTAGTTATTTAACAGCCTTTGCGTAGGAGGCCGTTAGGCCTCCGAGCTGCGGGTCTATGCGGCAGAGCCCATCGTTAACAAGAGCGATTAAGTCGAGCTCGCGAAGCGAGCGAGACCTTAGTTATTTAACAGCCTTTGCGTAGGAGGCCGGTAGACCTCCGAGCTGCGGGTCTATGCGGCAGAGCCCATCGTTAACTAGAGAGATTTAGTCGAGCTCGCGCAGCGAGCGAGACCTTAGTTATTTAACAGCCTTTGCGTAGGAGGCCGCTGGACCTCCGAGCTGCGGGTCTATGCGGCAGAGCCCATCGTTAACTAGAGAGATTTAGTCGAGCTCGCGCAGCGAGCGAGACCTTAGTTATTTAACAGCCTTTGCGTAGGAGGCCGTCAGGCCTCCGAGCTGCGGGTCTATGCGGCAGAGCCCATCGTTAACCAGAGCGATTTAGTCGAGCTCGCGTAGCGAGCGAGATCTGATTGTTTAAAAAATTGATATACGGGGTGTGATTAATTTCCAAACGAAAATTCAATCGCACCGAGCTCGAGAAGGATCCGGCTAGCAAACTGTCTTGCGGCGAAGCCGCCACCATAAGGAAGGGGGGTTGAAAGGGGGCACAGCCCCCTTTCCGAGCGTTTAGCGAGTTCTATCTATACCTACATAATTCTGAATTTGCGTAGATATATGCGATTCAATAAAATTTTCAACAATAGTGATGTTTATTTGAACTAGGTTTAAAATATAATAAGTACATCCAAGTTTCTGTGATCCTCGAACTGTTAAAATTTAAAACAAATAATTAAAACTAAATCAAGATTGTGCTATTTCTGCTCTTGGAGATTCTTAATTTAATTTGATGGATAGCCGAGAATTAATTGTTTATAGTAGCTGACGTAAAGAGTCGGTAAATAATATTTGAGTGAATGAAGTGATTCATTTCATATTGATAGGTATGGGTAAAATATATACGTGCAATAACTACTGAATTTATTGATCTCAGAATTTTCTATCAATTATTATTAATAAGCGAGAAAATCTCCATCAGGTTAACAAGTTCAGTAAGAATACGATAAACTTTTCGAAAAAGTTTTAATTAAATTGAAATGAAATATTAATTAGGTTTCGTGTTGTTATGGTATTTACAATATGTATCTTTTTCCTGAAATGTTTATTTAATTAACAAATTACATTGCTTAGCATAAATTGTACGTACGATTTTTTAATGTAAGTATTTATTTATAGATAATCCTAATATTTGCGGTGATGAGGCTTTAAAAAAATTTAGTTTATTATTATTTCATAAGTTATTCATCTAAATTAAACCAAAATATTTAGATAATTGGTTATAAACAGTAGGAAAAAAATGGAATTTTCTACCTAGGTAGATTAAAAAAATCGAATATTTTTATTAAAAAAATGTGAAATTTTGTAGCATGTTATTTTTAAATAGCGGTATTAATATATTGATCTTGTTTATGCTATTTAAATCTTTTGAATCGTCATTTGAAAAGTTTGAATTTATAATTAGTCAAAAATTGTTGGAAATTAAAATATCAATGGACTATCAAAGAAAAATCTACAACTTGAAAATTTTAAAGAGACACTAATTAAGTAAGTTTAGCAGATGGCAATTTGGCATTCTTAATTTTCAGGAAAGTAACTTTCTAAGAGTCACTTTAATTTTAAAGTCTGTAAAAGGCTTTAAAGTTTGTAATGAAAACAGAATATTCAAATGTTTTAATAAATTAACAGTATTAAACTTAAAAAGTAAGCGTATGGTGCATTTAATTAAATTAGATAAGGGGTTAAAATATATTGGATGAATAATTGATAACAGTGTGTACAATTTACTGAATTGATAACAAATAAAACAAAGAGCTAGATTTACTATTTAATTTTTGTTGCATCTTTACATATTTTATATTGTGTAGGTAGGTATACTTATTGCTATGAATTTAATATATTTGTACAAGAAAACTTTGAGTATGCGGTGTGCATCGAAGACAAAACTTAATAAATTTTATATTGCCAATAAGTTTGTATGTGAACTCGTAGAGGAAAACATAAACCTGAATTTTGTTTATGTGGTTATAAAAAGGAATACATAAATTTTACAAAAATACTCTGTGAACTATAGACACTTGCAATTTTTCGGTCCTCGAATAATCGGAAAAAATGTAAATTTTGTTAGGTTATCAAAAAAAGTACCAGTTATAAAACCTAGTGTAATAACAATTGCTGGAAATTGAGCTCGAATATTTGTAGCTACTTTCAGCAATTTTATTTGTATTTTGAGAATAAACAATATTTTAAGTTCTCCAAGTCATTTAAACTAATATTGTACGTATCTTTTTGAAAATATTTTTTATCGGTAAAATGTATGTAGTTCAATAGACAACCAGCATAAGTACCAATTTGTGCTACATATGTACGTATTTGTTCGGCAAAATGATATATCTTCATTCGATTAAATTCGTTTTTCGATCGATGCTCATTAACTCCGAATTTTATTCGTAATAACACTTAATATGCGTGCGCCAGTGTAAGTACAAATTGTGTAGGAGCTGTTGTTAATATTCTCTAGTCAATATAAAAAAGTTCATTATGAATTCTCATGATCCACTATGAATTTAACAACCCTTTAGGGATCTCTGGCTATTGCATTTTATTTTAATAGAGTTATTTGAAACATAAATTAATTAGAGAGAATAATATGCATGTAGAGTAAATTTGTAAAGTGTTTCCTATACAATTGTGCTCTCTATAATGCAATTAAAAGATAATAAGTTGAATTAAACGATAATAATATGAAATAATAATGGCTCTTTTGTTATAATTGAATGCTGTATTGATGAAAATCTCTTAAAACTGTAATGTTGTATAGCGGGGAAAGTAGATAATTTTAATCGGTTTATTCGTATTGTATTCGAACGCTTTTCATTCAAGCTTTATCATCAAAACACTTTAAACCTCAATTTTACCAAATTAACATTATTTTTAAATATTTCTTAATTATCCATAGCATAAAAACTTGCTTAATTGTAAGCAATAAAACATTTCTCACCGCCTCTAAAATAATTTATATCAAATAAAAAACTTACCAATACTCTCAATTAATGGTTGTAACGTCTATTTCTAACGAGAATTGTTCACAGAAAAAAAGCCGACAAATAAGCGCGCCTCTAATTTATTTACCGCCAGCAAAGTTCGCAGCGCGATATCGCCTAACGCTGGCACAATGGAAAAACGCGGTGCCTTTTCACGGGACGGGAGCAGAATGGGAAGCGCCGCGACGCTCCTACGATCTCACGGTGTGCATGTAGTTGCGCGTCATGCGCTCCAATGTGCAGAAGAGATTACGGAGGAGGAGATGGTATAGTTACTGAAAACTACATATTTTTACGGTAAGGATCATTACGCCCTTTGAGAGGACGGAGACGGCTAAAAAGGATTTTGGAAAGTCGAATAAAATCGTAAAAAATAGAGATAAAACCGGGTTATACGGATTTAAAATAATCATTGTTTAATCTGAAATATCATTTTATTAGGGGCTTGATTTTACGGTAAAAAGAGGCGCTTATAATTCGCTTCCGACGGGAATTCAATTATTAAAATGAGCGATAAAGTTGTTTCCGGAGCCAAATTGCCACTTCGGAGAAAATAGGGTGAGACGATATGCTTCAAAATCGAGCTTATTGTAATAAGGAAAGTTTAGGGTAATTTAAGAGGAATCAAAAAGACTTTCTTGTTGATATATGGAAGGAAGGAATCGCTTTAACAGCTCGTATATCTTTGAGGTAAGTAATGAACTTAGAAATGTACCTACTGACGAAATACTTTAGAGATATTTTATAGACACGCAAGCTTTGAATTTGTACATAATACCTACCTGTCTCAAAAAAATTGTAACATTCTGGAGGGTTCACGCATTTCGTGCGATAAAAAACGTACATAAAAGCATTTACGAGCAATGATGTGGGAAAAATAAATAGAACGCAAACAAAAATTGTCTGAAAAATTCCGTGGATCGTCGTTTTGTAAAAAATTGCAGCCATCTAAGCTACTTACAGTCTTTACTACTAACTGGAATCGTTATTCTTAAGAACCTTTCCTTCAATGCTTCGAGCAGGCTATATGTATTTTGTCATACCAACTGTCTATACAAATAGGATAAAAATTTTGTTTCTTAAGAAGGTAAAGGAGAGATTTAAGACCAAAGCAAGGATAAAACACACTATTTACAGTACCTTGTATAAATACATCTCTTTATATTGCCATACATCTAAATACATTGACCAAAATATTGATGTGATCTGTAACAATAAAAATATAGCGTTATGGAGAGTGTTGGTTTATTTAGAATTAAAAGGCATATATTAATTAAGTAATTATTTTGTTGCTTTTATTCAAATCAAAGCTCTTTATAGCTTGAACAATACCATTATATAATTCGTTAACGTTTTTTCCATATAAATAGTCGGTATGACCGAGGTCGTAGGTATGCATGTTTTTAGGACATTTTAGCTCATTGTATAACCTAGTGACATCCTAAAATAAAAAGTTGTTTAATCGTATAACGTAAATTTGCGTCTATAAATTACCTCATAATCTGTCAAAAAGTCATTTTTACTGGCGAAAACTTCACTAGGTACCGTAATTTTTCCTACATCATATTCAGGAGGAACAGGTGAATTGTAGATTTTTTTATTTTCCTCAATTCCATAATCGAATTGCTGAAATCTACCTTTAGCCAACGCGATTTGAGCGTAGTGCATTAAACATTTAACAGCAGTGCCAGTTGGGAAGAATTTCATAATAACCGGCAATATATCCTTAAAAACAAAATTAGTCGGGAAATTATTGATACGCAAAAAATATGATTTACAAAATACATACCGGCCTTACTTGTTGAACTACTAAACCAGTAGAGAAGGAATAAACAATCTGGCATATTAATATATTGGGGTAATTACCACAAGTTAAGCCGGTAACAAAGCTTTGGAGCTTTGGCAACGTTCCTATAGCATAAACACGAAAAGATTCCAAAAGGTTCTAAAAAAGCAGACATTATGTTAAAAAAAAATACAATCATATAGGAATCTATAGGAAACCCATAAGTTACATTCGAGCTCAAATACCTTGATTAGACCGTAAAATGGAAGTACTGCACTAACAGCACCTTTTGTATGATCAAAATGAGCCACCGGTGCTGTATAAATGAATCCTTTTATGTATTTTTCGGCGTGTTTCGGCTTCATTGATGGATATATCAAAGAAGTTGTCGAGCCCATCGAGTGACCGAGAAAAACGATGTCATTCCGAAGGGTAATTTTGGCTACTTTCTCCACAATTGCCGGTATATCGTAAACACCCAATTCGTGAAAACTGAAAATACGATTAACAATAAGTTAATAAAGTTTTCATCGAAACACCTTTAGGACAATAATTACGTAATATTTTTTAAATGCCTATGTTGAATAGTTAATGGGTTTAATTCTTAATTCTTCTAATAATGGTTCTTTGCTAAACTGAACTTTTAGAGATAGAAAATCTACATATGTTTGTTTAGATTAAAAATTCTCCGCATACCTATGTACATATACATATAAAGCTATAAAATAAACCGTAAAATTGGTTGCCGATTTCATGTACATACACTGGTATTAAAAGTTCTATTCGAATACCTACATGTATATCTACATGTACATACTACCTAATTGTATAATTTAAGCTAGCCGATAATTAATTTACAAACAAAATGTGTGAAGATTGTTAGCTAAATAACATATGTTGTTTGGATAAATACCCAACAAAATAAATTGAAGGAACCAAAATAATATTTAAGGAAACTCTATTTTTATTTGTAGATATATATCTACTTTCACTTTGAAGGAAACTGAGCAGATCGTTAATTTAAAGTCTTATTCGAGATATTCGAGATAACAATGGCCCGTATTCAGCGCTTCGCTTTAACTTTAGCGTGACTCTAGTCACTAGTTACTCCATAACAACAATGTATAACTGTCAAGTTAAAGACGCGAGTTTAGAGTCACTGTAAAGTTAACGGCCCGTATTCAGCGCCTCACTTTAACTTTAGCGTGACTCTAAAGTCGCGTCTCGAGTCTCTAGTTACTCCATAACAACAATGTAAATCTGTCAAGTTAAAGACGCGACTTTAGAGTCACTCTAAAGTTAAACAGGGGCGCTGAATACGGGCCATTGTGAGGCGCTGAAGACGGGCCATTGTCTTTTCAATAAACCGCTTACCTAAAATTCCAATATTTTTTTTCGCTAATGGACGGATTAACGTGTTTGCCGGAAAACGTAGATCCTCTGAAATTCGGAAGCCATACATCGAATCCATTGGAGACCAAATGGAAACCTAAAATCGAAAAATTCGTTTAGAATCGCTTATGAGCCGTAAATAATGTATGTATAAGTCGGGAGGATACATAATAAATACGATACTTTAATGGTTATCTAGAACATTTTCAAGTATATACCTAATGAATTATTTCCTGAGATTATCCATGACAAAGAATCGACGAGAATGCCATGCTGAAGAACAACAGGTTGGCCGAATACCTTCTGGTCTTCGTTCTTTTTTAATCTGAAGATGCTGATAATATATCCATCCTCAGTTGTGGCTAAATGGGTTTCTAAAGCGTACCCATGGATTTGGGCAATTTCCGCCTGCAATTATCTTTTATTAATTTTTAATAATTTTTAATATAACTACGTCCTTTGTTTTAACACCTAGGTCAACACTTATAAATTGTAATAAATAATCAGGCGACCTTTGATAATCCTTGGTTACCAACTATTAGTAAAATAGCTATTTAATTTATTAATTATTATACTATAAATTCCATTTGAAGGTAAATTTTCCAATTTATATAGGGTGGGCAAAAAGGAGGGATTTATCTTGAAAATTGGTGTAATTTCTTTGATGCCCCAAACAACTACAAATTTTAGTTATTTTAAGATATCCATAAGATACATATAAGCATATCCTATTTTGTACATTATTCAAAGATAATTTGTTAATTTATATACCCAAAAAATGGAACCATTATAAATATTGTTATTTGTTTGTTAAAATAATATTGTTTGTTAAATAGATAAAATTATACAGGATTGAGCAAAAGTCCGGAATAAAATTATTATACGTTAAACAAGTTACTTAAACAAAAACCCTGAAATACGGAAATTAATTTTATATTGAACGTATTTATTGCCAATAAAATGAAATTAAAAAGTCCCCGATAAATGGTCAATTCAAGTGTTTTAGCGTTTTTTATTCAAGTAACTGATAATAATTTTATTTCGGACTTTTGTCCAACTCTGTATAAGCTATTTTACTAATATTTAAAAAAATTATACGTATGTACATACCGGGTTGGAGTCTAAGTCGGGGTTATAGAAGCAACGTTTGTCCCTTGAAATGTTCCCGTAAGCACTAAATGTAGAACAAACATTGTTCCTGTTAACATTGGCAGTTGAAACACATACAATTAATTTCAACGTTAGCACGCCGATTATCAACATGTCACTATAATGTTTTCCATACACATACAAAAATATAATGCAACAGGAGTCATTAAATTATCCTACTATTAAACGAAGGTTTATCGATAAAAAAATTGAGTAAAAAGTGATATTTTATGTTAATTGGCTAGAGTTAAATATGAAAAAAATTGTGTAATTACTGGGAATAAATTCTTTTTCGGTAGAATACGAAATTATTTACTCAAAGGACTCGTTTGAATAAATTAAGGTTAACGGGTGTTTAAATTAGTTTCGGTAAATTCAATTCGTTGTTACACAAACAATTTATTTTCATACAATGCGTTATTAAAAATGATATCTTTATCGATAAATTATTTATTTATACGTTTTATTCCGTAACTCAGTTGCTTCTATACATGAACAATATCCTGCAGTTTCCAAAATCCACTACTTATGTCCATCTACTTATGTATTTACCATTGTGGCAAGAAAGATTAAATTTAAATCCGTAATATCTTCGTTTTTCAATAATTTATGTAATTCTCATGCATAAGTTATACCTGCATTGTTAATCATTCGGTTAAAATTAAAATTTTTAATAATTTTCATTGATTTTTGAAATTTAAATAATTCCGTTTTGTTCACTCACTGCGCTACATTATCACATTATTCGTGCCACTTATTCATTTTGAAAACACTTTAAATATATTTAAGTTGCCGGCAAACGTTCGAAAAAACCACTGCATGGTTTCGGAAAGAATTCATTTATTCTTGAGCACATGGGATTCAAGGTTCGGTGTCGTACCATGTTACATGTTACGTTAAAATATTCATTACAAGGCAGGTGAGTTCCTCATTATACCGAATCAAAGATTGGTCTCTTCACCCACTGGGCTACTTGTTTCAAAAGTATTGATTTATTCCACGTTAAATGATAGATGGAAATAACCGATGCCAGGTGAACTTATTAACAAAATTTAAAAAAAAATAGTTGTAGAGATTGTGTTTAAAAAAAATGGTTTCATTTACATCTAAATGATGTAGATAGGTACATACCTATAATTAAATTAATAGCACATACACTTCCTTGTTCATTATTTATTAAGGTAATTATACATCGTATGTAAAATAACTAAATAAATTAAATAAATAAGTGCGTAACTTTTATTTGCACAGATCAATACGTTTTTATTATAGAGAGAATTATTATTAAATTAAATGTAGATGCATAAAAGGCAGATTATTCATTAGAATTTTCATTAAAGCAATATATTCCGTCATCGTCAGAATAATATGCATATATTCTCATGTTTTATGGTAGGAATACAATAGAATATTACGAGTAAAACTTATAAAATTACTATAAAATTTTAAATTCAATTAAAACATTGTAGGTATATATATGCATAATAACTAAATCGAATTGAGGACCTCAATGCAAAATTCTTTAACATATCAGAACATGGTAAATATTTTTCTACAACAGTGCGTAAGGAATCTGAAAAATTGTGTCAATATACTGTTACGACTCGTACTTCATTGATGGGTTTAAAAGAACAAGCTGTTCATTCTGATTTTTACTTTAACGGTTTTATCATTAAATTATTGTACCTATGTACATACATAAGTAAACATAATTAGTCAAAAGTTATCCAAAAATTGGTTTCCTCCTAAAATTAATCAACCTAAAGTTACATTTCCACCTGTTGTTTAGTATAGATTTTAGATATTATTAATATATAGCATTTAATTCTCAACTTTTATTGACAACAAAGTTCACGGAAATTTAATAAACGACTAAAAATGCAAAAAAAGGATTGCTATTTTAATTTCTGCGGCCGCGCGTGGTGCATATGGAATATAATTACAGATGTTTTTGTCTAGCTTGTTTTTTATGCGAACAAGGTATACGAATTAAGGTCATATTCAAATTCTACATGTTCCTTCCTTCATAAAATTTTTAACTGTTTCAACAAAAAATGTAGGTGTACATGTGAAACACCCAAACTTACAAACTTAAAATTATTAAAGAAACTATTATTTTTGACTTCATATACTAGAAAATATGAAGTCATGAATACTGTACATGAAAACAAATTAAAACCTTATAACATTCATAAATAAAATGTTCAATTAAAAACATTAATTTCAATGTTAATTTAGCCGTAAATGCAATAATATCGTAACGTAATAAAGTATGCTTAATCGAAACATGCATTTAATTTCACATGTGAAAATTGCGAATGTAATAACAATTATGTGCATAACTTTCCTCAATATCGGTCGAAGTCAAACTGCAGCTTTTTGCCCCGACAATCTGACCGATATGATCTTTCTTTAGTTTGCCGTAATACTTTTCCAATAAACTCCCTGATTTATATTCCGGGCATGATAAATAGTTTGCAGAGATTTTCATGCGGCTGAAGATTTTAATGAAAGTCACACATTGGAAGCGGTTTGATCGCATGCATTGTGCTTTCCGATCATTAAATCCTATTAGCAAACTGGCTTCTTGTATTTAATTCAGTGCTTATATGTTGAGCTTTAAACTTTAGGCTATTAGGGTTTACTAATAGGTTTGATTTATTTATGTTTAGAATATTCTGTTTTATTTAAGTTTGCTGAAATTTAGGTGTACTCAACAATTATTTAAATTCAACCTCTTCGCAAGAATTACGCAGTGTTTTCTGCGTTAAAATTTTCCCCTAACAGGGTACGAAACAGTTTTTAATCGGGCTGAAATTCGACTTAATCAAGATGGATTGTTTAATCGCGAAATCATCAGTGTAAACAAAATCATTCCTTTGATAATCTGTCGCGAGCTCGGAAAATGTTCGCTTTTTATACCTCGCTCTCGGAAAATAATTTATTGTAATATAAAATTAATGCCGGAAAATTCGGGAAACCTGTTTCCTGTGAATGTCATGGGATCATTTGGTCCGCTTATTTAATTACACAGAAATGAATGTAAAACAAAGGCCCAAAGCGTTTCGATCCGACAATCCCCTGGATACAGGTATTTTAGCATGAAACTGGATTGAAATTCGAAACGTATAAATCATCGAAATATTATGTTACATTTAAAAAAATGTGACTTAAATTAAAAAGAAAAAGTATAAGATATCTAAGATGCTCTTCATGTTCTCATGTTTGAGATTTATTTATATAGACAATAAAATTTTTATTGCACTTGTTACAACTCTAATATAGCCAACTTTAAAATCATATAAGGAAACTGTTGCATGTGCACGGTCATTATTATTTTCATGAAGATTTACAGAAGCATTCGTTCCGGATCGTATGGCATCGAATATCTGGAAATTGACAATGTAAACAGTGACAGATTTATTACGCCGCATGCACTAGTTTCGAAACTTGCCAGAATTGAAAGTTATTGAAGCGAAAAAAGCGGTTCGGAGTCGTCCGTTCCTGCTCAAATGCGATTTCTTGGAAACTGTACATAATATATCTACTTATATGACTTCAAATGATTTGTTTTTATTTGATTGCATTACTTACCCAACCACATATGTTTTTTAACATCCTGCAATGATGGAATTTTCGCTAAGAAATATAAAATGGTCGCTTTCAACAGGGAGTATCACCGCTATAACTCAAAAAAGCAACGTATATTTTTTTTGTATCGCTTTAATATGCATATTATATCAAGCTTCAAATAAGTGGACGATTTGTAAAGGAAAACGTACTTTATCTATTCTATTTTGCCTGTTTTACTTGCAACGTCGCATTTTTTTTGGCTTTTACCCGCCGTATTTCAAAGGCTCGACGGTAAAATTAAGTTACTTTATTTTGAAATATGGTAGAAGGTGGAATGAGTGGAAAGTTATTTGTTGACGTCGTCTCTTTTATAACATCAAATCATAAAATACCTCCCTGCGAAAATGTCATTAAATTTCATTTTAATTCTGTTTCAGGCCGAAGCAAAAATCATTTTCCGGCTACTGAAAAATATATGTGGCTCTGTAATTAATCCAATTAAAATGAATTTCACCTAGTGTGAAATAACTGTCTCCAACAAAAAATGATGAAAATATACATTCACTGCCCTTCTCGAAACCTTCTATTTTCATTAATTTTCAACAAAAAGCAAGTTCTTTTGATTTGGATTCCAAAAGGGTGGTGTTTATCGATTTCTAGCTGCAGCAAAGGATTCGAATCGAATGGCAGGAAAGAATAATGCATATCGCCAGAGGAACGTGAACTGTATTGCTTTTGTTACATTGAAAGTAATCGTCAGATATTTTATCTTCGGAAAAATAGATTTTAGAGTTAATTAATTCTGAATTTCAACTACTCTTTTAAAAAAAGTAACTATTTACTGGCGGGTAAGTGATTTGCTTGAATGTTTTTTAATGTTGGTTAACTTTCATAATAACATCTGGTAAAAAATGTATTTTTCAAGTAAAATAATTAGTGCATAAATAATAAATAAAATAAATAAATAAAAGCATAAAATAATAATATTTAAAATGAAATTGGCTCTTTTTTACCAACTTTTATTATAATTTGCCACGTATTTTAGAAGCAATAGAACTCTCGTAGATGAAATTTTCAAAGATACTTACTTTACTTCTCTGGTAAACATGCCAGCGCTCTAGTTTCTTGTGGATACCATCACGTGAAATTAACTTTTGCTTTTGTGTGGAAACACAAGGAACTCAATTAAACTACACGGATCCAATTACAAAAATGGCATTTTTAAAAGAAGAAATTTGTTGATTCTCTTAATAACATAGGTAGGTTTCCATTTATTGTCGAACTCTTAATGAAAACGTTCCGACAAAGCGAAGACTGCCTTATAAAATTGGTATATACTTATTATTTAATTAAATGTTATTGTACAATTATGTATTCTTTTAGGGGACTTTGATAGTGTTTGCCCTAATCAGCAAAAGCTTTATCCACTCGGCTTTTACCAAACAAACCAACCCTTCCCATATTTCATTATTTACATTCTATCACATGCATATTTATCCCTGCCTAGTCAATACAAAGAATGATATAGATTTCACTATTTACAGGCAAAATTAACATTTATCATTAAATATGGTTTGCCCAAATTTATAATTAGTCCATTTATCAAACTGATATGAAGTAACTTCGCGTATATTCGCATAAAATTAATGCGAACTGCTATCGAAGGTCTGAGCATTTTCCATTCACCATGTCATCCGTGTACAATGTACCCCTCGTGATAGGATCCTCGTTAATGTTACTTGAGTTTAAAATTACACGTCAAAAAGGGCTATATTGTTGCCACGTAAAGGTTTCCATTTTATAGGCCCTGGGATAAATTGATTATTGAATATAAAAAGACTATTTTTATTTATTTACTATTAAGTAAATCTAGATACTTAATTATAATACATACAATGGACGGAATAAACAGGGCTTGTTTTAAGAGTATTAACTCAAAAACATAATAAATATAAGTATAATAAAATTAAGATACATACTTAAAATAATAGATCAATTTATATAGTTATACCTACTTACATTTAATTTAGTGATCAAAAAATATTTTAACTACTTCACCGGTTTCTAAATATTTAGAGTTTACTATATTAAAGTATTTATTCACAGGTTCGTAATAATTTTGTTTATTGTAAAATACTCGATTGTAGCTTATACACTGTGCTTCATTCCAGATCGCAACATAGGTTATATAGGCTATAGGTGCGATAGAGACAACTTCCATTAGACATTTATAAAGGAAAAAGAAAGAGTGACATTTGGGTCATTGCAACTTTTCACTCTGACAACTGTTATTTTATCAATCTTTCTTTGTTCAACTCATAGAAACGAGCATGTTGTGGTCTGAATTGAAGCAATCTGTATGTATTGATATTATATGTTGCCAATTAATTATTATAATAATTAATATAAGCTTTACAATGAACAAACATTATCTCGTATAACTTTAATATGTCATGTAGACTCTAAATGTAAATAGTACGATTAATCCCTTACAAAGTGTATAATTTACAAAGTATACAGATATGATCAAAAATATGCAACAAAAAATATATAAATACCATCTATTTAAATAATTATTAAATATGAACTAAACAATCACTATCATTTGGTTTTTCCTTCTTTTTTTTCTCTTGTAACACGATTACTCCCTGAACTTTGCTTTAATAAACGAGGGTAAAGGAATTAAGTACAAAAATAAATTGAAAACAATCATCCCCAGGGCGAACGCGAACGTCACCCCTATGTTAGTGTCCGTTTCTAAAATTCCGCTGAAAATCACATCGGTCGGATCCCTGCTGTATCTTTCGGTCAAAAATGACTGACCGTTGGCGTACCTGCAATATGGATTGCTGATGCCACTGAGCAACGACGTTTCGAAATTCGTATTGGAGCAATTATGTTGAGAGTTGTAGGGCAATACTTGGCTAAGCATCGGGTGCGTGAAAACTTTCCTGTTTAGAAACGCAGCGGCGTATCGCGTTTGAGTTGCATAGGTGGCATAGTAGAGCCAATCCTGTAAACCTTTCATTGACCTAAAATCGAATTAATTAGCAAAATTTAAAACGGGTCAACAAAAGATTGATGAAATTCTCTGGTACATAATGCTCTTTGTCCTTTTAACTGAATATGCATGAGTAAGCATGACAAGAGAGCGTAATTACTCTCTAATCAAATTTTATTCATTTATAAACACTCCTGCAATCGCTCTAATTTACCTCAAAATTCCACTGCTTAACGTAATACAAAGAGCCGTTATGTAAATACTAAAAATAGCTGCTTTTAGGTGATCTTTCACTATCATTAATATCGCCATTGTCTGTTGCTCCGTGAATATGTAGCATGCCCATAAAATTAAACTGCAGTAGAAATAATCCAGAGGCACGGTAAAGCTTCCATCAATTAACCTAAAACAATACATTTTCAATTTATCGTAATACAAAGTTAGTCCAATTTTTATTTCAATGCCTATTTTAAAATATTCGATTCAAATTAGTTTTTATTGCATTTTGTTGCAAGTTTCAACAACTTACGGATATATGATAGCGGTGGCTGCGAAGGTGGAAATAAACGAAAATGGCAAGGAAACTAAATTGTAAGTCAGCAAAAACAGGGTTCCTCCGTAGAGACCTTCTTGCGTTTCTTGGTAATATCGAGTTCGGTATCTGGGATCTTATTGGAAAAAAATTAACAGCATTTCAGCAAATGAAGAGGAATTATGTACAGGTAACTTACACATTAATACTGTGTTTAAAATTCCAATAAAATATGTTGCCGATAGACAGTTCAAGACGAGCCCGCTTCTGGATATGTAAGTTTGTTGCCAGTCCTTAAAAATATAAATATTTGTTTTTAATTAGAAGGTTTAAACTTTTTTTAAACCTTACTTTCATTTCTCTGTAGAATGCCCACAATAACAAGAAGTATAATGGAAGTAGAACGAGTCGCAAAAATGTTTGCGATAAACCCGATTTCTTAAAACTGAGGGTTGCTGCTAATAATCTCCTGGAAAAGATAATATTTTTGGTGTATTTATTTTAGAAGAATCATAAATTTAACAACGTACGAGTAAATAGTCCATCCAACAACGAAAGAGCCTGGTCTTCCTAGAAGAAGAGGAATTTTATTCCCATGCAATCCATGCTCCATAGTATGATTAGGACCTAGAATGCTGGAGCCCTTTCGAAAAAGACCCCCTTCTAACTTAAATTTTTCAACTAGCGCTGCTATTTGATGATTACTTTCAACGAACCGTTCTCTCGATCTTCTATCTACCGTAGACAAGCACACTGAAAATACAAAATTCCATGATGCAACTCAAACGATAGTATTCTTCTAAAATTATTCCTATATAAACATTCTGCACATCTCTGCATTATAAGAAACAGTAAGTAGTTTATTGTGAAAAATTTAATACCTTCAATAGATCTATTACTTACGGTAATACATAAGCGGATTTTCGAGCTGAGGACAAGGAAATCCAATAGCGTTAAAATATTCCAACATCTGCCTTGTTCCTCCGGTATAAACGACGTCTCCAAGACACAAATACAAAACTCGTTCCAAAAATGGAAAAACGTCCGAACGAGGTTTTTCCATCGTCAATACAATTGCAGTGCCATATTTCTTTGCTGCATTCGAGAGAATTGATACTATCAAATAGGTATTTAACGGATCCAAATCCCACGTCGGCTCGTCCAGCAGTAAAATCACTACAATGCATGAATACTTAAAGTTTACTTAATGTAAAGAATACTTAATCTTAGGCATCATCTCGGTATATAATTAATGATAGAAGTGATAAATGAACTGAAATTCCAAAACTATTTCCGGCTTGACTCCATTATCGGAAGAGGAAAATGCGAATCGCTGCATTGCGAATGGCTTTTTTCTAATTAAAGTTGCAAAGTTAGAAATTCCTTTTAACAAAGTTCCGCGGAAATTGGATAATACCGCAATCAAATTTGATTACAAAATTAAACATATGAAAGGGTTGACATCCAATTAAGAGATGAATACTACCTGACAAAAACTTTGAAAATGTAGTTATTTTAGAGAGAAGTTTGAGTTTTTCCGGAAACTTTTTAATGGCAAGACCGGCGCGTTAAAACTTTTGAATAGATAATTTTTTACTTAGGTATGTTAAATTATAAAAAAGCTTCATTAGGGATAGTATTTAACTGAAGCTTTTAACATATTTTTATGTTTGCCTAAATTAATTCAAAGTTTTTTAGAACATTAAGTAAAAAATATACAGGTTGATCTTAGTTTTGAATATATGCTATATGGGTGCATCAAAGACAACTTCCATTAGACACTTCTCACTGTTATTAACAACTGTTATTTTAATAATCTTTCTTTGTTTAACTCATAAAATTGATCAAATTGCAAAGGAATACTTACCAGGATCTTTAATTAACTGTATACCAATCATTAATCTTCTATATTCACTGCGAGTTAGTACTTGTACACATTTGTTTGCAACTTGAGACAAAGCCAAATCTGCCATTACCTGTTTTACTTTAGATTTTTTTAAATAACCAGACAACTAAAAAATACCGTAATTAAAATAAGTTTTAACAAATAGATGAGATTACTTAGACTTTATATGTTACTCACTTTTGTCGGTGTGTAAAACAACGTCTGTTGCACTGTCAATCCCGAAATAAAGTCACATTTGTGAGTAACATAAGCGCATCTTTGCTGAAATAGGCATAAACTCATAGGATGATTATTTAAAAGAATTTGACCTCTTATTGGCCCTTGTGCTCTTCTGGATATCACATCTAGAAGAGCCTTTTTTCCACTACCTATAACAAACGTTCCTCAATAAGAAAAAGTAGGTGTATCGAATGTTTGGTTGCTTAACTTATGTTAACTGGATAATCTTTAGATTGAAATTTGAAAATTAACTCAACTCACTAATGAATATATTTTACGAATTAAACTAACCTTTTGATCCCAATACTGCTAAAACTTCACCCGAATGTACGGTCATAGAAACATCCTTAAGAATAACCCCGGTCTTGATATTCCCAATCATCCTTTGTAGGCAGGAGCCTTTCTCCACCTACAATTTTTTTTATTTAACAGTATTCACATCGACTGGCGTTTCCATTTATCCAGTCAAACCAAAAGAAAAATACTTTCGACTCTGAGTCTTACCTGCCCGGAGTAAAAAACATTGCACAATTCCAACACATAATCACTAGAAATCATCTTGAATTACCGAGAATTGCAAGTGCATTGCCTATAATAAAGCCGAATTGCAGGTGTCTAGTCTCACCCTACGAATACAATGGCTCTAAGACAGGTAAGCTCTGACATATTAAATAAAAAAAATGATACGGTCTACCTGCGATAAGAGCTCAACAGGTAGGTTGGAAACTAACTGACTTTTGTTGACTAAACCATCTAGGTGAAAAAGAAAGTTAGTTTTGATATATTCGGTTTACCTGCATGGAGGGAAACAAAACGCTATATATTATAATAGGTACTTAGGTACTTAGTTTTTATTTATCTGCTATTTAAAAAAATGGTAATTACTGTTGAAATGTTGAAAGGCCGATCATGCACGAAATTTAAATGAAAATTGTTAGGTATAGAATGAATTTTCTCCTCTACTTACATACCTAATCAGTTTATTGTTATTCTAAAATCAACTATTTAAAGTACCTTTCAATGGTAAATACAATGGCCCTACTACTTTTAAAAAGTAAGCTATCGTAATAATGGTGGAGACGCACTTAGAATAGAAATTTAAGTTGGGCTTGCGAATTAAGAGATATTTTATTAGCTGTGGAAGGACCTCAAAATTGCCTTCCACGGAACGTTTACGGTACACGGTGCCTGGGGAAACATACTCCGGTATGGATTCCACTACACGTCAGAACCAACTTTTGTTACAGTACATCGCCACTTCAGTTCGTGGTCGTGCTGCGATAGACGATTTTTTATCGGCGGTTGTTTGATTTTTACAAAAAATATAATCGATTTGCCTCATTTGTCCGCGAAAAGGAAAACCTGCTAAAAGAAACTAGTCCGGCATAGTGGAAACTGAGACTCATCTTAATGCACTGGCGTTTGTGATGGAAGATTGAAATGCTGGTACTTTAATTCACTAAAAGGAGTTTTAGTGCGTTTTACACGTTGGGGATTTAAGAACTCGCGAAATGCTCGGTAAGTTTCTAGATACATTTTAAGTCTAAGCGGCGATTTCAAAATACGAGAACGAAATCGTGACTATTTGTTTTAACGTAGCAATTCGATGAAATTCCCTTCGAGGTATGTGTACATAAAGAGCCGATGTAATTATTTAAATAAACTCTGTAAACGATTCAATAGTTTGAATTCAAAGCAAATAATCCGACATGGGAGCATAAAGGGCTTCGTTTTCGTATTCAATTTAACGTTATTAAATTTAAAGTACTCAGGCTATTTGAGCTACTTATGATCGTTACGAAATTTATCTTAAAACTAATAGGAACGTATAATTTTCTGTAAAAGCTTTGTTACGAATTGCAATAGAAGTCTATCCGGCAACTATTCTTGGAAACCTTTTCGCTTTTCCGCATATAGACAGCGAAAAGAGAAATTAAATATTGTATTGATTCCTTGTCGCACATTTTTAGAATTGCTTTTTAATTTCCAGTATTACTATTATTATTATGTACTATAGTAGAATTGTAATGCATGTTGAAACAAATTATTTTTAACTTTTTTTCACCTGCTATCTTTAAAATGCCTTTTCTGATAAATTTACTATTTATACTCGTATCATTATAAAAAATAGGTAATGGGGTACTTAATCAATAATTGTCATACATGGCACATGTGTATGCGGGAAAATATTTACAATATTACGCTTGTATTTTATTATAGCCTCAAAATGAACCAATTTGTTTTAATTCCCAAATCATAAGCAGTTAGTACATTGTTACGCATTAAAATGAAATTTATAATCCAGCAATTAAATTATGAACACTTTGATGAAAACAGTTTTTCGAGTAACTCAATTTGCCGTAAACAGACTGCTATTATGTCATTTGGCACGGTTAACTGTGCCTTTTTTGTCATTAAATTCCGGTATATTTTGTGAGAATTCACACACAAATAACTGGCAGTTCTGGAAAAAAATACCACGGAATAAATAATTAACATTAAATACACTTTGATTCTTGCTTTGACTTCGTTAGGCATTTATTTTTATCGGGAAAGGATGACAATATTCAAAATACATCTAAGAAGATTTATTTTTGAAATAATCCTATTAGGTACTCTTTGTTGTTACAATGAGTCAGTTTTTCTCGAAATTGCAACTGTAACCCCTTGTTCATTTGGTGGAATAAATAACGTGCAACTCGTTACCGCTCCTTCGGACCAAGCTAGCATTTTTCAATAAGAAAGTAGGTTTTGGGTGTGCGATAATGATTTAACCATTACGTGTCCGCCAATTAAATTATTCATCTGCATGTTTCGAAAAGTTATTTCAAAATAACTTTTCAAAATAACTGTAGGTAGATATATATGCGTTAAATTGTTCGAATAAATTCGTTTGAATCGAATAACGGAATTTAGATAAAAGTACGACAGGACCATTTGAGTGGAAAACTGACGTTATTTCGTACTTAGGAACTGTAAAGAAAATTTAAAAGTCTGATAAGTGAATTTTTGAATTGGCAAATATTTCTCAAACCGAATCGAATAGTAAAGATTTAGAGCACCATAAAGTATTTTTATTTTTATATTTCCCATAAACCGCATTATTGTTAAAAACAATCCGACAGGAATCGTAAAGTAATAGAATTTGGTATGAAACGGCCAATTACGTATAGAAAAGATTATAAAAGTTGACAGCAGAGTCTTTTACGATTGCAATACACCTAATATAAGTTTACGTATGACAATATTTAGAGTTTATGGAAGAAAAATAATAAAATCACCGAGTTTTCTTGTTTATAGAACAGTTTTCACCGGGATTAAAAATAGCATAAGACCAATGGGCAACAATCTCTGTTCTTAGTCTAAAATCTCTTGTTAGTTTGTATGAATCTGGTTTACATAATTTATTTAAAAATATAGTAGAATAATACTATAGAAATAGAATATTACGATTTACCAACATTACACTTACACTACTTATTTTAAAAACAAATAAATTGGGACTCGGCTTTATTTTAAAACACGATGTTTGCTTTCCCTGTGATTTCATGTGTTCCCTGTGAATTAAATGCTGCATAAAATTTTCCACCATAGAAAATAGTACATTTCCTCATTAATAATTAATCAAAATAATAAAATAAACCATAAAATACTTTGAAGTTAGGTATTTATCGATTTACAGAAAATAATAAGAAAATAATAATCTTTTATTTGGTAATAGATATTTTTGTAAACAAATTATTTTACAAATTTAGTATGCATGTACACCAATTTCCTATTAATAAATTAAAGTCGCTCATTCGCTAATTTTATTTTCACTCTCACACGACAACATTAGCATGAAATTTATAAAACAAATTTAAATTTATGACCACATACCTACTTTAGTAGATTGTATATTAAAAACACCAGCGATATTAATTAATAATAATAAAATGTAATAAATAGGCGTGTATCAATCTCACTTTTCTTCGATAATTTGTTTTCTCCCTGTTGCACTGCTATCATTTATATTCGCGCGTTAAAATTGAGTTTCTAATTATAAACATCTTATACGCTTTATATTTTATTGCCACACTGAAAAAAACGATCTCTTGTATGAAGAAAATAAAATCTCTTAAAATATATTTATTTCCTATAAGTAAAATAGTCTTAAATTAAATAAAGTGTTCTTGTACAAAGAAAATGTCCGATTTTTTCGTTTCTTAAATTAAGAAAATTATTCTCTTGATTACAAATTATTTGAAATAAGAGATTTTTTCTTACAACAACAGTAGGAACTCTTATATAAAGTGCGGAACTACAACTAAGAATCTTTGGGTTTGATTTGAGATTTCCCGCTCTCATCATAAAATATTGGAAATTGGTAATTAATATCGGAGTGCGCCGTGTAAAATCGGGTCGTATGGTAGTGGAAAATAGTTTGCTAGCGTTGAGCTTGAGTCGTTGAGTTAAGCTGTAGAGCGTTGTGTTTCTTCGTTTGACCGGCCGACATCGTTTTGGTTTTTGAGGGTTAAGTGTCTACACTATCTACCAAATTCAACAAATTGCAAAATGTAAGTATATACCTATACTTTTATGTAAATTGTTTTTATATTTTACAAATTAATCTAGGAATTTAAGATTAATAAGGATTGATTAGTACCTACTAGTATTTAGGTAGATAGTAAATATGCATTTTTTGTTTGTTTTAGAATAATGGATTTATACAGAGGACCCAATTTCGAGCGCTGCAATCGTTGCAGCAAAGAGACTCGAAGTAAGGAACAGAAAATCAGTCGAACTGAGGATAAATGCATCAGGGTTCCAAGGTTGCCGCTGGTAGAATATCTATAATAAGTATATTGAAATTACACGAGCTGGATCATTTGTCTTCATTATTAGATGGTTAGTAAACATTTTTCGACATTTTGTTGTATTTAGACACTATTATCATTATCATTTTAATGAAGGGTTTGGTTTTTGATTGCATTTGTTCAGGTATTTTCAATTTAAGATATTTTTATTAGAATATAGTCAAATGTTTTCATTGCAAATTAATTTTTCGCATCTTAAAAATGGCGTCTCTTCTTAATGTTATTTCCTTATTCCAAGTAAATGAAAATTGGTTATATTCTTTTGTTAAGAGATTTGCACTTGAGAAAAAAAAATGATTCCTTGTTATTAAAACATTATTGAATTGACAAAAATCTTTTCTCTTACGACAGAGATTTTGTTACTTGATTAAAGAAACTTTTACTTCGTTTAAATAGTATTAATCATTGGAGTTATTACACCCAAATTCATTATATGTATTATTATTAATAGCTGCAGTTTTAAATAAAATTGTTCCAAACCAAAATGTACTTTCCTATTTTTGTGATTTTCGCAGTATTTTAGGCTTTATATAAGTTGATTTATAAGTTCATACTTTGTGATTTTCAATTAAGCTAGTTTTAGTTGGTTAGTTGTGTTTTGTTTTTTTTTGTTTAATATATATTGTTTTTTCCTTCTAATAGGAACTTTTTTGAAAACCTACGCTACCCCCACCCTGTAAAAATCCTCACAAGGAAGAGCCTCTGTTAAGAACATTGGCTCTTGGCTTAAGTTAATAAATCTCTTGATCCAAGTAATATTGGCAATAATACAAGAGTTAATGAAGTCCCAAGAAGCAAACGATTCCTTTAATACAAGAAAAACGTACTTAATTCAAGAGTACCTGTGTTTAATATTACATAACATGTGTTTAATGTAAGTCAATATGCTCTTGGCTCAAGTTGTCTTCCCAAAAAGGAAGAAATCGGAGTTTCTTGTATTAAAATGTGGGGTTCTTGATTTAAGAGTATTCGGTCAAGAGAATAATTAGGTTAAATTAAGAACCCATGGGGGTTGGACTATACCAAGAGCATCGTTTCGTTAAATGAAATGCATATTACCTTAAATCAAGAGATCCTTTTTTTCAGTGCAGGTAAGGTTGGTTTACCTGCAATATATTAATAGATTGGATTAAAGAACACGATTTTTCAAACCGAGTTACGCATGTCAATTTAAAGGTAAATAGAGGTTGTAATCAGGCCTTGAAGAGGTTACTGACTGATGGGCCAACGGCTTCTTTACTTCGTCTTTATTTAACATTTGCACTGTTCAATGTCTTCAGTTGCCACTTTGCTATGTATTCCGAGGGTTTTCGTGCGGAAATAATTATTCCTCGGCGTCGATTTGTATAATAATCTGATTAATTTCGTTAGTAACGTATATTTTGTTTAATTAAGTTTGATTTTTATAATGAAAACAGATTTAAAAGTATAACCTAATTTATCTACCGCAAGAGTTTTTTAAACAATTACCTAATGAGTTACGTGGATGATTAAAAAAATCAGTTTAACTAGGAATATAAACTCAATAAATCCAAATATCCAATCGAATTCTGAACAAAACTACATTTACCTACCGAGAGATTACATTTTTCACATTCCTTTTTTTAGAGTGTTTACTTAGAGTGTGTACTTGTGCATTATTTGAAAGGTTAGATTTTTAATTGGTTGTTTGGTTGTTTGGTTTCATTATTTAACCTGAAATAATCCACCATAAACTAAAAGCTTTACGTATAAACTAAATAATATATTTCGAGCGCGTTTCAGTTCACTTCGTTGAGCTCCAAGTAATAATTTCGGAGAGGTCGAGTTGTCACCCGAATTCTAACCGGTCACTTCTTATGGGTCGAGTTGTCACCCGATAGGGGTCGAGTTGTCACCCGCTACCTGGGGTAGGTACGGCAGGGTGCAATTAGGGTTTCGATTAATCCTACTACCTACTACTGCGTTCAAAAATCCTAAATATTTTTTGAACGTAACCAACGTTTGTTATTTTTTATTATTTAGGTAGATATATTAAATATTTTTTGATCTTTTAAACTAAGTTCAATACGATTCTGAAAATATTAAAATTTAAATAAAACTCAAATTTCCTTTTACTTACATGTATGAAGGATTTATTTGACCAAACGCAGACACAAACAGATAAAACAGATCCAAACACTATACATTAAAATATAATATACTTATAATATATAATATAACAAACTAACAAATTTGTTGGATAGGCACTATCAGTACAGATATTTGGAATAACCCAAAGGTATTTTAAAATATCTAACCGTTTATTTATAATTAAATCATAATAAGATTCGGATTTTCCAAACTACCCGGTTTTTGGTAAGCATAATAAAAGCACCGTTTCTCTAGGGTTTTTCTAAAATTACGTAACGTTTTATTAGTTTCCTATTCAAAACTCCAATCTATCATGAAGGGTGGCATAAAATTTTTGAAATATTGTTTCATTTACAGAATGTGTACTGTGTTGGGTTAAATTTGGCTTGAAATTATCCATAACAATTTTATTGTTTAGTTATACCTTTGGCACTATACAGAATCGATTGAACATTCAAAAACTATGGAAGTGATTGAGAAAATTAAAAATATCTCCAAATACACAACTGACCGAAATCCTAAACCCAACATTAAAATGCAATTAGACCCTTATAATCCGCACCGAACGGATAACAATAGACGGGTGACAACTCGGACATGACCTTTTTTCCCACAGGTAAAATTTTGAAATTTGGGTGACAACTCGGACCTGTCCATAATTTTGTAATCTCCGTATATCTAAAACACAAATAAAAGTAACTTTTTCGTTTAATTAAACCTAGACTTAGAGCTCATCTTCTTTTAATAACAGCACGAATAACGAAAGAATAGAATTTTAAATGATTAATTACCGCGATAAGTCTCACAGTTGTCTGAGATAATTAAAACTATTCAACTCAAAACCGTTTTAATATACCGTATGCGAACTAAAAACCTTCTTGAGGAGCAAATACAGCATATCACGGTGATCGTAACTGCAAATCTTTGGAAAATTAAAACGACAATTAGCGATATATTCAAAATTCTACAGAAAAATATTTAGATATTTGTAATTAAGCCATGGATTTGAAAGGGGGCAATAGAAGAAGTATACATAAATGTTAGAATATAATGCAGGTATATTAATTTGTAAAATGTCTATAATTATTTTGGTATTAAATAATTTGTAAGTTGTAAGTAAGTATTTTCTAATAAAATCGGGCAATAAACGAGCGGGAACGTGCGAAAAATAAATTGTTCCTGAATACTTATAGGTATATAATAACTGCTAATCATTATAAAATAATTGGTTTTCATCTAATTATAAACCTTCAGCGAAAGTTTTAAATCATATAGGTTTTTTTATAAGATTATAATGTTGCGTTCTAAATTTATCTGCTAATTGGTCGGATGGGATATTAATCATAACTAATTGATTTTCATTCATCGATTCTACACAATGAGTGGGTTGCAACATCATGACCATGAATTGAAATATAATCTAAAAAGTATACGTGCATGTATTGTCAATTAAATCAAGAATTTTTATCTCACTAATTTTTGATATTCAATTCATTAAACATTTAAAAAAAATCTATCTATCAAAAAAATCATCATTGAACTGGAAATTAGTTCAAATATTCGATAAAACCGTTATACCTACATATTATATAATCTAAAATAAATTTCAGAAAATCTTCATAAAAAGATACTTCAAAAATTTCGAATATCAAATGAGAAAAAAAAGTATTCCATCAGGAAGTAAGAACAAATAGCTGGTTAGTACTTAAATTTAAATTACGATTATACGGCAATTAACGTTTTTTTGCATTGTTAAAGATTTCTTTACAAAAATATAATGCTATAAACAAAGTTGTACATTTCCAAATACCGTAAGGAATGTAAAGCCACAACATACGTTGAACGTGAATAAATTGGCCAATTCTTGTTCCGTTGACGATACATTGTACACAAAGTATTCTTAGAAATATAATGGTGAATTTATTGAATAATGATGAATACGAGAATTGTATACTTTTTGTAGTTCATTTATTGAGGATCTAGTTTATTCCATATATCTCAAGAGCACCTTGTATATCTTAGTCAACAATAACGTAAATAAAGAACAGTTAAATGAGACTGGTTATTAATTTACTATTCTTTCGTAATGCATTTATTAAGGACATACTGAAAGATTTCTTATGAAATAATTAGTACTTCAAAATTCTATTTGATTTAGATCAATAGTCATCGGTGTAATTGACATACTTAAGTAGATATTTAAAATTTAATTACATTTTTCCATTTTCTAATTAGGTAATTACATTACATATTGCGGTGTTAATAGTGTTTTTACAATTGACACTTTTTAGTCGTTTAAGGAGAACTTGAAAGTTTCGAAATTTCTCTTAAGCCAATCATAAAGAGCATTATTTCGTTTTCAACAGAACGGTTAGTAATAAAATTACTTTTATACATTTGCAGTTTTCCCTGCGATATCTCAATAAAAGCAGGTTACTACAACACTATTGCATGAAGATCACCTACTTCCAACCAGCACACTCAATACTTATTAAAATAACTAATTATTTTGCGATTGAAAAATATAGATATCTAGATACTAACAGAGTGGGTCAATTGAATGAAAAAAATTATTAGCAATGAAGACATAGAATTATGATCCGTATAAAATTATCATTACTGATACTACCTAAAGCTGTACCAATGATGAATAAACCAATACTAATACTTCAAACAAATATTCCCTTTGTTATAATGAGTTTGTATGTATAAAAAAATGGTTGAAGGTTAAAGAGGAGGAGAAAAATCCTTAAAAACGAAATTAGGGCAGTAAATCAGCATTACTGATACTCAAACGAGACGAGCGTCTGTTTTTAATAAACCTCATGTAAGAAAAAATTTGAAATGTTCTTCAAAGAAGTTTTAAGTAATAAACGGAAATTAATATCGAACTTTCCTCACTGAAATTAAAAAATCCTTGGGAAATGTCTGTACTTTGGATTTATTGTCTATTTTACGCAGAGCGAGTTTTAAAAGCAAGAAAATCTGAAATCGAACAAAATCGTACTGATTCTTGAAAACAGTAGTAATAATCTTTCAGTAGCCGAGTAAAAGCGTGTAAAAAATTTAACTTGAAACAAGGAGGTGATAAGCACGGATTATTGAAAAAAAAACTAAACTCTTCTAAAATATTTGATAGCCTATTAAAAAGGATTTTAAATTAATTCGCATAGAACTCAGAATCCAAAAATAGGTAGGTATATTTCTGCACATTAAAGAGGTAACATCATTAAATATAATCTGTTTATGAATAACTTTTTGGTCTTTCGACAGCGTATAGTGACTTTAGGTAAACACGTTTACCCTCGTTGGTAGGAGAGTAAACAGGTAAACTCGGAATAAAACTTCTTGGCGTATCATAAAAGGAATGTAGTCTGAAGCGTTCGAATGATCTTGAAATGCAGCAGATAAAATATTTACCCGCGATCATCGATTGCGCCAAACAAAGAAACTGGAGTACCTAATGTAGTTGCTTATTGTCTTTAGAAACCAGCAAGTACAATAGCTAGGAAAAGAAAATTTATGATTTTACTCCATAAAACTACAACATTTTGTAAAGTGCATTAAATGAGTTTAACAAAGCTTTGTGTAAGTACCTAATTCTTGTTACCTAAGTCTAATGTTTGTCTCACATCAAATCAATTTTACTTAGTATTGAATTTGCCAACTATCTTTGATAAATAATTACTTTCAGGTTATATATTCTTTAACATTTATCTGTTAGTTGCTGTAATTATTAGATGCCGACTTAATGCTTTTAAACGCCAAACAATTTTCTTTCTGCTTGAAGCACATCAAATAATGTTCACTTTTGTTAGCTAAATTGTTAACGTTTCAACAACATTAGTGTTTACAAATTAAACTTATAGCAGCACCAGGAATAGCTGGTGCGAATATATGTTGTAATAAATTTTCCTCCCCTATGGTTCAAACATCGTAATTTAAATTTAATACCTATTGTACTTTTATTTCATTTCAGGTAGAAGTTAATAAAAAATATGGTGCGCAGTCGCACCCCCTCTCAGGGAGGTGGCTCGCAGGGATTCGAGATGGAACGAAAATATTCGGTGCCGTCCAATCCGGAATCCAGAGCTTTTTCTGGAGGAACTGCCAGTGAGGACCTTCACGCCTGGTCAATCTACAGGTGATTATTTTTAAATTGAGTAGATCTTTATGAACTGCTCTTTGAAATTCCATTCCTTTAACATCTTCTTCTAAGTTATTTAATATCCTATTTCAAAAAGGGATGTTGCAAAAAAACTTCTCGAGATTTTATCCTCTTTTATCTAACAATTGCTCAGAATGCTTGAACATTACCTAAAGGAAATTATCCAAGAGTGAATCTTGTAATTTTATTGTTTGACTTCGTAAATGGAAGTGGGCTGTGATTTGCAATGAATAATTTATGTGCCAATATCGGCATTTTTTCATTATTTCACCGAATATACATAAGAGTATTTACTTATATTTACTCATGTAAATAATCAACATTTGGCCGTTAATTAGAATTTTAAGTAAATATCGCTTTGATGCACAATTTTAGATTGTTATCCTCATGTTTAGCATACTGCGAGCAACCCGAAGCGAAGGTGAAAGTATTCCTAATTAGTTCCTTTCGATACGGTTGGCGAAATTGAAGGACACAAGCATTACCTAGTTTCAATTAAACGTATGAGTATAATACGACCGGAAAAATAATTGGTAACTTTTGTGTAGTAAAATCGAAAATACTTTATCGCTTGTTTTTTGCTTGTTATTTCGTACCTACTTTCGCAGCAATTACTTGTGGTAGATTCTACACAAAACAACCTGATTATTGAAGTTATAGGAATAATTTTTTTATAAAATTATTAATTAATATGTTACATGAAAAGAAAGCTAATATGACTAGAATCGCCAATCATATTTGATCAACAAATTCGGCATATACAGGTTGATGCAAAACTGTTTGAAATATGGGTGCAACAAAGCCAACTTCCATTAGCCTCATATAAAAGAAAAAGAAAGAGTGACATTGTGGGATTGCAATTTTCTCAATCTAACGGCTAACCTCTGTTATTTTTATAATTTTTCTTTGTTCAACTCATAGATTTGGTCATATTGCGGAATATCTTTTCTAAATTTTCGAAATATCTTTAACGAAAAATTCATTTCAGACAAAACCTTAATTCCGATTTTACGGACAGCGCCCTCGGATCAACGGACAAAAGTCCTCTTCCTTATGGCAACTTCCAATTGCGTGACACAACTGTCCAGTCGATCCTTTCACATCCTCGTTACGGGCCCAAGTAAGTACTGCTTTCTTTTAAAGGAATGAGGAATTCGTGGTTATTGGTGCAAGTCAATATCAATATTCAATTTGTTACTTGACTTGTTGTTACATCACACATAATAGGTACCTACCTAAGCAGATTTTTATTTATGAAATTTATAAATTTATTGAATAAATAAGAAACGAAAATCCTTGATTGCACCACATATACTGCATAAAAGTTTTATTGGAATAGCTGAAATTCTGTTGAATTTCCATTAGCCTTAGCAAATGCAGAATACTCTTATTTAAAAGGATGCATTAGATGTAATTATAGTAAGAAAGTCTTTACAACTTTTCTCATATCGCAGGTCAGCGCTCGGTTCGAATATGTATACTTACCTAAAGTTTGGGCTTCCGAGAGTTTTTCCGCCGAACCACAACGGATCTCATCGCTCGGGTACGCCGCAGCATTTTAGAAGGAATTCATCGACCCGACCTCATAACAGGTAAGAAATTATAGTATTATCTTCATTGGTTTTAGTTCTCGTCTTGTAACAAACAGAATACTAAATTATTTTAATCTTTTATACAGTCGTTTCATTTTGTTGAAACATTGAACTTGAAAAATTTGCTATAAACCTTTCCTAATATAAAAATAATGTGAGAAAATTTCTCAACTTTTAATCCCGGAATTTGTTACGCCAATGGCTATTGCATTGTAATCACTAGTTAAAATAATTTGTTTCTGGTTAATTATTTCTCAATACTTATTCAACTAGCCATTTATCATCACGTTGGTTAGGCTTTTAGTGATTGTGTCATTACTTGGTTTTACACCTTCCTATACTCTATTAAGGAATTAACATTTATTATATCATAAAGCTGTCAACTCTTAATGTCTTGATAATCAATCCATTGCACAAGCAGATTTTAAAGTAGAAATAAGAGTAAACATTTTTGAAACTATAGTATTAATTGTAGCCTAAAGACGACATTTCATTTCTATTCATCAAAACTTTCCACAAAGTTATTTACTTCCATTCCGATTAAAGTGATACCATTAAAACTTTTAATTGCGAAAAAAGGCGGAAGACTTTTATAAAGCACAATGATAATAATTCAGTATATGTAATACCAATAAATTTTTACTATGGTTGTAAATAAAATACTGAATTAGTTTATATCGTTTTTCTTTAACGCAACTTTCTCTTTGAATTCACAGTTATTCGGAAATAAAACTTCGTGATAGTTTAAAATATAGTCTCCAATTTGTTAGTAGCCCTTTGGACAAAGGTAGCACTCCCTGATTGAACAAAAGGGCCGCCCAGAAATTGTCGAATAAATATGATTTGTTGGATTTTTAGGAGCCTTAAACCAGGAAGCCGCGGCCCAAGAGACGGCAGTTCCGGATACGATAGTTCCGACAACGAGACCAGTAACTACAAACAGAACAGGAAATATCGTTCCGATCCCGATTTTAGGATGCAGAACATGTATCAAGGGGTAGGGCCACTATTTTCGTTTGTTAGCATTCAATATTTTGTGGTTTATTTTAAATAGCTCAATTTAAACGTCTCATTTAACTTACTGGTTCACAGAGCACCATAGTATTATGTTCTACTGGCTATTAATTGAGTTATTGATTGTGTTGAAATACGTTTACAATAAAAGTAGGTATCTATAGGAAGCACGATACAATTAAAATTATACTAACCAGAATTCGCTATCTAATTCGTGGAAAGTAAAAGTTTGTTTAGCTAACTTCCTCTACATTTTTGTCACGTTTTTCACTAAGAAAGAAACTAAGAAATTGTATAAATAGAAATTTAAAGCAAAACAAAGCTTTTAACTGTATAAGCACCTATGATTCCACAATTATTTTCACTTCCATTATGCTTACATGATTTCAAAACATTGCGTGAATACTGGAATTTTTTCAGGGAAATCGTGGAAGTCCGGGAATTCCGGTCGCTGTAATACATCAGGGAGGCGCGAGACATTCCACTAATCAATGGAACAGAAATAAGAGCATATCAGAGGCTAATTTATTGGCGACAGATTACAATAGATCGTATCACACGATCGAGTACCACCATCCGAGAGATCCTAGGCGAAATAGCGTCGCCGATTTTATGAATCATCATCATGATGTCGTCGATCACTCGTAAGTGAATAGTTTGATTTTAATTGATTATTTCAATAAAATATTTTCCGTTTAATGAACAAAGAATTAAGTCATATATTGTATAATCTTATTTATTTCGTTATACCTATAAAATTCTTTTTTTTAACTAAAACTATACAACGTTATGAATTGGAACTACTGTTTGATATTGGAAATTTTGGGTAATCTAGATTTTATATCCATCACATATGCCTGATACATATTATCTGCAGTCAATGAAACGATTAATAATAGACTATAGCTTGAACAATTACGTAACCATGCACATCAATTTTAGTAGAATAGAATAATGAATTGCACTAAAATCAATTATATAATAGACCGCATAGTATGTTCGCATACGGTTAGAAGATATATCATTTTTATTGTTTTAAAAACCAAATTAACTGAAATGTTCCACATTCGGAATTCCACGTGTGTCGTAATGAAATCACACACTCTAATTCAATCATCTGCAGAATTTTTACCGCATTTTATACCTGAGTTTTGCACTCGTTGCACCTTATTTGAAATATTGTGTTTAACATATTGCAAGCCAATCGAGATCAAAACCTATTTTAATAAATAGTCATTTGAATTATACTTTTCGCCCTCGTCAAAAACCATTAGATTTTTTATAATTGGTAAGTATACGACTAATGCATACATTAGTAGAAAGCACCTACTTTATTTAAGCAATTAACTTTAAAGCTTGTTAACTTTTGTAGATGCTTATTTTTGTGTTGTATTTCTTTAGTATGATGGGACACATGACTAGACCGATCTCGAAAGCTGAAAGTCGTTTTTCCGTATCACCTTCCAGAAGAGGTCAGTCTTCTGTATTGAGAGCGGATTATATGAATCGAGACGATGAATCTGGAGCAGGGTTTATGTATCCCCACCTTCAAGTAAGTTAGTTTCAATACATATTTTCACCTTCTAAATTAATCATTTGCAAATAAAAAAAATATATATATTTTAAGGTATGCGGAATAGGCGTCTTCCCTAATTCTAACACAATCTGCGGGTCCCGTAAACACCTTCTTCTGAACGAAATTGCCTTTGAAATACGAGGGGGCGAAACGATGGCGATCATGACGACATCTGAAGAGGAGGGCACGGCCCTATTAGATGTACTAGCCGGTCTCAGATCGCCTGTATTAGGAAGCGTCGTTTTAAACGGGAAAACAGTCAGAGCTCACGATTTACATCCTCGTGTAGCTTACGTGCAAAGTGACCTAAATTTGTGTAAAGATATGACGGTTGTACAGACGCTCAGGTTTCACTACGATCTTAAGCGACCGACCGATAAATTAGGGTATTTGAAAATAGAAGCCATGGATAGGGTACGCTCTAATTGCCTCACATTAATACAATTTTACCCAATTTATATTTTTGTTATTCCAGATAAATGTATTAATAGAAGATCTCGGTTTAGAACAAGTGAGGGACACCAAAGTATCATCGATGACGATATCAGAGAGAAGAAGACTGAACGTTGCCTGTCACCTCATTTTAGATACCGATATAGTGGTGTTAGATCAACCAACAAAGGGCATGGATATATTCGATACGTTCTTCCTCGTGGAATACTTGAAACAGTGGGCGAACGGAGGAGCTGGAAGCACTTTAGGGAGGATTGTCATAATGACCATCCATCCGCCGACGTACGAGATTTTCACAATGTTATCCAGAATTTTGCTGGTGTCGGCTGGTAGGACGATGTTCAGCGGAAAGAGAAGGGACATGTTGCCATATTTTGCTTTAGTCGAATATCCGTGTCCGTCGTTTAAGAATCCTTCCGATTATTATCGTAAGTTCTATTTCAACTTACATAAAATATTTCTCTTATAATAAGAAAAAATTAATTAAAATTGTTAAATATAGTCAAATAGTAATTTGTATTGAAAATCCTTAATGTTATATGTTACAATAACTCACAAAATTTCCGAATAACAGTTATTAGATTTTAATTCAAATCAAATTTCCTTTCGTTTGAAAAATAATTACATTGGAACAACCTACATAAGGTAATTGCTTCTTTTATATAATAAGGCGGAAATTATCCCACCTCTTGGAAATAGGCTTCAATTTCCCTTTTGTTAACAAGATATGCAGGAACAGGGATAATTAACGAGACGACCTACGCAGTTTCGTTAGAACGAGCTTAGAGAATATCCACCAATTTTTTCTTTTGCTTTTCAGTCGATCTCGTCACGTTAGACGATCTCTCGGCCGAAGCCATGCTGGAATCGTCCCAGCGAATAGAGCAACTGGCCGAAATATTCCGGCAGAAACAAGAGCCTTTATCCGATCCTGGCCCACCTTCGGCTCTTCCGATGACCGTGAAAACTTCGAATTGCTTCGTAGCAGCTTTCGTTTTACTTACGTACGTATAGATCTAACAATAAGTTATTGAAAAAAATTGAAAATAATTAAGAAAAAGAAATAAGTGTATTAGAAAAAAATATTGCAGTAGAAATTAGAAGAAATAATGATAAGTAAAAAAGTTTAAAAAGCATAGAATGAAGAATAATTACATTAGTATGTAGGTTCCACCTAAATAATAACATTTTATTAATATTTGCATTTATGATCAGAGCATATACGATAGTGCCTACACTGGCATTGAAAGTAATCTCTCAGGAAGAGTCAGTGTCGTTGGGAACTTCCTGAATATAATTACAACAGTGGGTTGGATCGGTGCATGTTCTCTGCCATTCTCATCGGATAAATACATAATTTCATACTCATAATATCGCACATACAATAAGTGTGAAAAACTTGTTTTATGTATATGAATCCCTAATCCACACGCTGCTTGTTTCGACCCCGTGTTTTTTGTAATTATATTCAGGAAGTTTCCAGCTGAACCGACCCCATCTCCTCTCCGCCACCCCATCGTTTGTTGAATTTAACGCGGTGCAATTTGCTTCCAGGAAGTCGATAATTTATACCCAATCGGTCACATTCCTCAATTGGTTAACGGTAATTATACTCTCCGCGAGCTTATCACTGATCCTCGGCGCGATATTTTGGGACATTCCATCCAGCGATTCCCAATTGATTTTAAATGACCGATATGGATACCACTACAGCGTTATGTGCGTGGTACACTGGCCATTGTTGTTGAATTTGACCATTGCGGAAGTAAGGAGAAACCGGAGATGCGTCGAAAGGGATATTAATGATGGATTGTATGGAAGATTAACGTACATATTTACTAAGGTAATACATATCTAACTGTCGAAATAAGATTTTCCAACATAATTATTATTGTTCATTTTAGTCGTTGATAAGCTTATTACCGTCTCTATTCGTTTGGTTAGTTTACGTGGTGCCCAGTTACTCGATGAGTGGATTATACATGCAGAGCTTAACAAATTATGATGGATTTTACACCTATATAGGTACTGCTTTTAGCATAATATTTAATCTGATGATTAACTGGGAATTGTTGCAGGTGTAATGTTGCTGTACTTGAGCTGCATTCAAATATTTCTCTTAGCCTTCATTTACCTAGTTCCTTTGCCGGATTCAGTTACGGTCTTTTCATCGATGATATTGTCGGCATTTTTCATATCCTCTGGCTATGTACTGCACCTTAGGGACTTACCGGATTATCTCCGTTGGATCCAGAAGCTTAGCCCAACCGGCTGGGTCATGCCTTATTTATTGAACAGAGAACTGTCTCCGGAGGCGATACAGAGTTTACAAAACACAATGTCAACATTATGCCGAAATAAACAGGTAAATATTTTTAGTCGAGAATAATTTTTCTTCGTGACTCGTCAAAATAGCCACGACAAAATAGTCCAATGCAAAATTGCCAAAATGCAAAGTAGCCTGAGAGAAAATTTAAACTAAGCATTATTTTATTACATTATAGATTTCCAGAGTTTCTGAGACATTTCTTGATTCTGTTCTATTTTATGGTTAACTATATTTTTAATGGCCCGTATTCAGCGCCCACTTTAACTTTAAACACGATTTTAAAGTCGCGTCTCTAACTTGACAGTTGTACATTGTTGTTATGGAGTAACTAGAGACTTTGTTTATCTTAAAGTGACCCTTTAGATCTATGTTTAAGTTAAAAGTGGGGCGCTGAGTAGGAGCCATCTATTTAATGCAATAATTAACTTCTACTTGCATTGATAGTTACTTTTGAACATTTTTCCAAAAAATCTATCAATGGGTCTGTCTTGTCTTTGGGCTATTTTCCCTTGAGGCTATTTTGTCTTGGGCTATATTGACGAGGTACCATTTTTCTCATATTCATTTCATGAATTGCATTTTTTCGAACAGATTCAACATCAAGATATTATTGTGCAATTACCGTGCCCGGCCCCGAACGGAACGAATAATCTGGAACATTTTGGGTACCTTAAGGGCGACAATTTAACATTTGATTACGGCGATTCCACTTCAGCCATGGCGGTTTTCTACGCGATTTGTTTCATCGTCACCTGTTGGGCATTCGCGATGAATTGCTACAGATACGGAAGGAACTTCAAGAGAAAGGTGAATAACGACGCGAATCAACCCTGAGAAATGTACTGTAAATCTAGAATTTTTTTATAAGTGCCTTCATTGTATGCATCTATTTGATATTAAATCGTTTTGTAATAAAGTCCTACAAAACTCCTAGTTTTTTTTCCTTAAAATGTTGTAAAAATGTTTCTTATTTTACTTTCATTTCCAATTATTACATTCATCGTTCAACTCATTTACAACAAAAATTGCTCAAAATATTCATCCCAAATAATAAAAAAAAATAACTGAAAAGTAGGCAACACAGTATACACACGCTGTAAATTGAATTGCCTATCTTCAATCACGTTCGGTGTAGTTCTCAAGTTACACTAGAGTGCTCTCAACTTTCTAACCGATTTCGTGATTGAAGCAAACGAACAGATTTATAGATGACACATACCGTGACAAATGGAGATGGTCGAGCTTGGAGAGAGTTGAGTTGATACTGTTTGGAATTAATTTTATGTTTGTGTTGCAAGTGGTGATATGATATTAAAAAAATTACAATGCTGATATTTGGTATTTGTTTCTTTATAATTTCTTCAACGACGCTAGTTTTCGCAGGTAATTACGTATAATTTTAATTTATAAATGTTCTTATTCAATTAACATTCGGTTAACGCCTAGTTTAGTTTAATTGTTTACTTGAATTTTGTGCGCTTTCTGAAATAATCTGCCCAATTTTCTTGCTTAATTTGATTTTTGTGTAGTGTTTTTAAAATTGTACTTTTATTATTTCATTAAAATGCTCTTGTATATTAATATAAACAACCACATCTTAGTCAACTATGACTCATGTTTTATAAAATAATATGAATTAATTAATAACAAATTAATTATATTTTAGAATACTACAGTGACTATGAATGCAATACACCTTTGTTTTCGAGAGCAGCTATTACAGCTACTTCTTTTATGAACGAAAGAGGCCCCAGAGAAGCTCAGTTACACGGTAAGTTTTTTAAAATATTTAGATCTAAGTGGGTACTGTGAAATCATTATCTGATTACATTTCTGTTTTTAATTGGTTTCAAAAATCAATACAGAATAATATAAAAATAATTACACATTTTTTAGTTTTTTTAATATACAGGGTGCTCCTAAACATCGTGCATATACGAAAGGTTATAATTCTTATCGTAGATTCTAAAATAGAACATGAATTTTTTGTTTGGTTTAGAAACTCTTCGTTTCTGGCGAGCGTTATCGAGAAAAAAAAATCGATTTTCTGATTTTTACAATACAAAAAATCCTAAATAATAACTATTAAACTACACTTTACAACAAATGTTTAAAATAACCCACTCCTAATCAAATTGTACCCTATACCTACAGTAGCTCTAAAGAAAAAACAAGAAACATCTTGAAATTTCAACACCTTGTAGATTGGCAACAAAGCGTTTGCAGACCTGTGTTTATATAAACTTTTCGTCATGAAATATGCCAAAGAATTTTCCATTTCCTGGATGTTTAGGAACAACCTGTAGGGTTTGGTAAAACATTTAAAGCTTATTTTCCAATATCTTTTCTTCGAGCCAAATTTCCTTTGTTCTGTACAGACCTGTATGATGTTATTTTGTGTATTCACTTCTTAAAATTGCGAAGAATGCTAGTAGCTATAATAATAGTCACAGTATGCAATCAGATAATGATTTTAATGGATTTATTGAACTGTTTAAACGTTTGTGGGTTAAAACACCTTTAAGTATACATAATGTTTACATACTTTTCCATCACATGCCAATTTACCTAGCCACGCAGATAAATATTTTCTCTCAGATTTATCTAAACATGGAGTAAATGTATCCCAATTTAAACCAATTGAACCACTTCATTAACCATCGCAATCAAAATTATTATTTTTCATAGATCTTATTTCAAAAACAGTCTTTTTTTTGTCTAGGTTAGAGAAACCAAAAAGCTGAGGAATCTCAACTAACTAATAAACAGTTTTTTAGTGTAACGTGTTTAAAATGAACAGTAAAAGTGTAAGGTGGGTGTTTAACACTTCAAAATGGAACCCTACAGGTTCTGACATTCTGTTGGCCTCGTCATGTATACAATCGGATCAGAAAGACCGTTTAAATCGATTTGTATACAAGAAAGATGTGAAATATTCACTTATTGGCTATTTAATGTCGCGAAAATTTGCCAGTGAGGCATCGAATCAAACTTACGATTCGATAAGCTTCATTCGCGACGAACACGAAAAACCGATGGTTAAAAACATTCCTAAATTGAATTTTAATGTATCTCATCATGGGAATTATACAGTGTGTGCAGGAGAGTGTGGAGATTTATTGTTAGGGGTGGATGTTATGAAGTTTGAATACACAGGAGGGAAGTCTTTGAGCGAGTTTTTCAGAATAATGAACAGGCAATTCAATCCTGACGAATGGTTGAACATTAAAGGTGCCGGCGATGAGAAAGAACAAATTGATATGTTTTGCAGGCACGTAAATTTAATTTTAATATAAACGAAAAACAATTTAAATTAAAGCACGCTTTTATTTTAGACATTGGGCCTTAAAAGAGAGCTACGTGAAAGCCTTGGGCGTAGGCATAAATATTAATTTGCAAGAACTCAATTTTAAAATCCGCACTAAAAATCTCTCCAAAGAAAAATTAACGCTCGATACAGAGTTGTTCATACATGACAACAAAGCAAATTGGACGTTTCAAGAATCTCTCATTGATGATGACCATTGCGTGGCTGTCGCTATAAACGATCCAAATTTTACCCAAACAATCCTGTTTAAGGAGATATCATTTGAAGAATTGATGCTAAATTGTATACCGTTTAATACAGTTGACCAAGCTTTTTGTGAGGGTTATTTTAAAAAATTAGACAAAAATTAAAATATTGTATGGTTGGTTTAATAAAGGTTTAATCTTCGTGAAAAGAGATTTGTTCAATTAACCCACAAACGATTAATCAAAGTAAATTACTGTGTGCGATAGAAAGTTTTTGTAAAACTGTTGTACCACTGTGTAGTGTGGCACTATGTTTAATATTATGTTTTTTTATTTGTAACCTGCACGATATTCTGTGTGCGTTTATTGATTTATCATTTGGATAGGCTTGCATGTTTTGTGTAATCTTTTGCGAGTAGTCTGTTTTTTCTGGAACCGTTTGATCAATGAAATGAAAGATAATCTATAATAAAAATGAGGCAAAATGTATAACTTCCGTTGAGTTATAAAGTCCCTAGCCTTAAGAACGTATTTCATCTCATTCTTAATCTTTTGCCTGGATTATAATCATTGAATGGCTTTCATGCGTTCCCATTCAGATTCGTACTTAAGTAACATTGCATTTTATACCAATGAATAATTTAATTTAACATATTTGCATTTGAAATAGGTATTATTCGTTATACAAACAATGTTTGGTATGCTATTTCATATTCAAAATTTAATCAAATTTATACGATATGTTTCACATATTCAACATTGCTAAATTAAACGAAATTATGTAGTTCAAAATTTCATTGTTATAGTTCCAAAAGCTGTACAAGCTTTGGTTAAATGTTAAAGCATATGTTATTTCAGATTTCCTGAAATTAATACTAGGCTGTTAGCATGTAAACTGATACAGTTCTATTGTTCCTGTGTAATTTAATATAAAGCCTTCATAGGGGGGTTAATGATATTAAATCGCACTTTATATTATAAAAATTATTAAGCATAGATTTTATACCTTTTCCATCGGTATTCTTCTCGAAGTTATTCCTCGCTGAAATACGCGTTTAAAATACATTGTAATTTAACAAAAAATGAAAATATATATGAAAATAAAAGGTGGCAACGCATGGAGTGCCCAAGACTCGGACTTCGAACAATATTTGATCTTCGATTTGGGCCAGCCGATGAACGTGACAAGAATATGGACGCAGGGCCGGCATTTCAGCCATGAATACGTCATGGAGTACCGAATCAGCTTCGGTAGCAACGGCTTGGACTTTACCAACTACAAGGAAGCCGGAGGAGAAGCTATGGTAATTTGTTTTTGAGAAAATGTTTACAATATAAGATAGCTCTCACCAAATGAGAGCGATTGTATCAGCAAACCTAAATTTAATATTCCGATTATTTTGAGATATGTTTCTTAATAACAAACTGATTGTATGGTGTAAATAATTTTTGGGATGTTACAAATTGCATGACCTTTAGCTATCGTTTATTAACACTGCTTGGCTTTTAATCTGCCTCTATTATTTATTATCTGTAAGTTACTAATTATTGGTATTTTGCGTAAAATAAAAATTGTGTAATCTGGTGAATAGCAATCGGTAATTTTGAATTTGAAAACTAAATATTTACCGGATGGAGTTAATAGAAATTAATGCATGTTTAACACATAAGTAAATAGCGATTTATTTTAGAAAACTCATTTAAATCTTTTATTTTTCTCCTTATAACTAACCGTTTCTGTTGGTTTTGGTCTCGTTCCTCAGGTGGATCGGCTTGGAGTCCTCAAGAAAGTACTTATTTCGAAAAACTAACATTCGACTTGGGTTACCGTTTCCAAATTCGTTCCATAGCTACGCAGGGACGCGGTGGAGGTAGTCACGAATTCGTTACAGAATATATTATAGAATACTCGGACGACGGTGAAGGTTGGAAGAGTTTTGATGACTCCCAGGGAGAGACTGAGGTGCATATTAACCCTTCACTTGCTTTATTTATTCTCTATCTTTGTATATACAACTTTATTAGCACTAATAATAAAAAAGACCCCATTGTGAGTAATGGATGCTCTGATTGGTGATTAAATCATATCAGAGCTTGCAGAGGAAGTATTACTTACGCGTATTGGTAGGAAATGATGTTAAGATTTTAATTCAACTTTTAGATGTTCCCGGGAAATGTGGACGGTGATACAGTTCACAAAAATGAATTTGAAGTGCCCATTATTGCTCAGTGGATAAGAATAAACCCCACTAGATGGCGAGATCGTATATCAATGAGAGTAGAACTTTTTGGCTGTGAATACGGTAAAAATTAAATACAATATAATGCTAGATATTAGACTGATGTTTATTACGTTTTTTAGAGGCTGACAATATGCATTTCAATGGAAGCTCGTTGTTGAAAAAAGATTTATTCAGAGAACAGGTGTCGGCGTCGAAGGAAAGTTTCAAATTCCGCTTCAAAACGACGTATCCCAATGGTGTGCTATTTTATAGTAGAGGAACTCAAGGGGATTTCGTGGCGCTTCAGTTGCGTGACAATAGGATGCTATTGAATATTGACTTGGGTATGGTTTTCATTTTATATTAATTGCTTTTTAGTAATAATTTATTTAACGTTTTTTGCAGGTTCTGGCGTAGTTACGAGTCTATCTGTAGGCAGTTTGCTGGACGACAATATTTGGCACGATGTTGTTATATCGAGAAATAAGCGAGACATATTATTTTCCGTTGACAGAGTCGTAGTTACTGATAAAATCAAAGGAGAATTTGAAAGATTAAATTTAAATAGAGATGTATGTATAACTGCTTTAATAACGCCCATATTCACCAATTTCAGCTTATCAACTTGATAACTGTCCGTCTGATAAAATTTAACAGTCGGTTAACAATATTTGTTATTCACCACGAAAGTAACTGGTAATAAATAGACAGTTTTCTTAAAAATAATCAAAATTAAGTTGGTATTACGATATAATTTCTGACTTCATGCGGAACTCAACCACAAATTACTATATTACTGTAAATGTCAAATGTGTATATTAGAAGAAGTAAATAACAGTATTACAGCTGTTATCCCATCTACCCGAATCTTTATTCAATCTCAATCTACTTAATTCCATTTCGGAATATTTCTATCTATTTAATATCTATTTCTTTCTATATTTGAAAGATGAATTGAACAATTCGTTAAACTCAATTCTATTTAACTGCTCTATTATATTAGGTATAAAATTAAAATGTTATATGTCACTGTTAAATAGTCGCCAAAACTTTTGTGAATTTCCCCATTTGGATTGAAGTTATCAGTCTGTTACTTATTTTATCTGTTTTATCTATTTTGCACTGTTACTTTTATCTGACGGTTAAGTTTTAACTGACATTGGTGAATGCCAAAATATGACTTTAACAGGTTGATAAGAACTTATCTCTATGTTAGCGATTTAACAGACATTGGTGAATATGACTGTAAAGAGTAAACGATTTATTTTTACAAGTAGTCAAGATGTTCAATTTAATCATCACATTATACAAAATAATATATATTTGTGTAATTATTTTTTTTTCTTTTTTTTTTAGTTTTACATAGGAGGTGTTCCGAATATTCAAGAGGGTTTAGTCGTTGTACAAAATTATACAGGATGCATGGAAAATTTTTACATAAATTCTACAAATCTTTTCAAAGAAGTCAGAGAATCCATTGATTACGGTGATAGCTTTAAATACGAAAGGATCAACACATTGTGGAATTGTCCAGTAATATAATAATGAGATTTTTACAAATTCAACGTTTTTAATGGCGAATTCTTTCAGGAGCCTCAAATAGTCCCAGTAACATTCAAAACACAACATTCATTCGCGAGGTTAAAAGGCTACGAAGGAATGTCCTCTATGAATTCCTCTTTCGCTTTCAGAACTTACGAAGATAATGGACTTTTGCTGTATCATGCATTTTCTACAAGTGGTTACGTAGCCGTAAGTTTATTATCGATAAACGTACATTCGTTTTCTAATATATCATATTTACAGATCTACTTAGAATTCGGTAAACTCAAAGTCGAATTAGTATCTCCGAACAATCCCAAAGTAATTTTCGACAACTTCGACGAGACATTCAACGATGGCCGATGGCACACCGTCGTCTTGACGATTCAAACGAACAAAATTATCTTCAGCGTCGATTACAGACCAATGATCACAACTCGAGTACTGAAAATAGTTACAGGCGGATTATACTTTATTGCCGGTGGAGTAAGTACCAATTAATTTTGTTTCTTTACTCATACGTTTGATTATACGAAATTCGTTCAGGTTACAGTTCAATTGGGCTATTCAAACACCGTGTTTCCCGGTTTCGTCGGTTGCATGAGAACGATTAGAATCGACGGCAACAGCAAACTGCCCACCGATTGGACCAAAGAGGAATACTGTTGCGGAGAAGAGGTCGTCTTCGACTCCTGTCACATGACCGACAAATGCAACCCGAATCCCTGTCAACACGGCGGCATTTGCAAACAGAACTCAATGGAGTTCTTCTGTTTGTGCAAGGTGATTTATAAACAAATTATTTCACGCATAGAAAAATGTTAATGGGTTTAATTATAGGGCACCGGTTACGGCGGAGCGGTGTGTCACACATCGATCAATCCTCTATCCTGCTTGGCGTACAAACACGTGCAAGATGGCGGTCAGGTCGGTCAACGGGCCGATATAAAAATCGACGTGGACGGTAGCGGGCCGTTGGCGCCTTTTCCCGTCACCTGCGAATTCTACGCCAGCGGTCACGTTGGAACTATTCTGCATCACAGCAACGAAGAGACCACACCGGTAGACGGTTTTCAAGAACCGGGAAGTTTCATTCAAGACATTCACTACGAGGCCAACGACGATCAAATTGCCGCTTTGGTTAACCGGTCGACTAGTTGCCGACAGTCTATTCAGTACGCTTGCAGGGTAAGTTCATTATAATGCTAGGTGTCCATTTGAGAAAAAACTCTCGAGAGCCTCTCTAATTTTGGCCAGTGGACAATGTTGTTAGAGTAACTATTTAGAGTTAATGATTACTCTCCGTGAACTAGCATGTCGCGAGTTGCTGTCAAGTCGACATATCGTTTTTGTGGTACTATCGAGGGTAACTAGAAAAATACAAATGAAATCAGTATTCTGAGAGTGGCTCTCCAAGAGAAAAGGTGCATAAATAAATAGTGAGAGACCAGCCACATATCTATCGTTTATTTAATTACCCTAGTTCTTTACTACTCTTAAAGGGATATTCAAATATGTGTTTGTTAAAAATTACAAGGTTTTAAAGATAAAAATAAGAAAGAGATTTTTTGATATTGGGTCAGAATGGCTTAACTCTTTTGCGTGAAAAGTTGTACAGAATATCTTTGTTTAGTGAAAAATTTTGTATTGTGTATTTTTTTTTAATTATCAATCCGTCTCAGATGTATAGGGGAGTCCAACCTCCTTAAAACCCTAATTTTTCCGTCCGTATTATATTTGCCTAATTTTTGACTAAACTAGATTTATCGGCTTATTTTCTCAAAATTTTAGATGTAATTTTCTATAAAACCCACATTTTTTAAAACAAATCTCATTTTTTGGCATTTATACAATTTTTAAAGCATCACATTTTTAGGCCGTTATTAATAATAAAATTAATTTCATAGCACCTTTTACCAGATCCAGTCCTCTAGTAGAAAATGTTAAAGTAAAAAAATATATTTCAGTAATTTATAAAAACTGTTAAATATGGATATCATTATGATTAGTAACGAGGTTTTTAATAAAAGTAACTGTCTCTTAAAAAGGTGCTAAAAATGTTCCAAACTGTAGTTCACAAATATCTCAGCACAAACCTACTAAACACGGTTCTGAGAGTACTAATTTTATAAAACTCACAACTAGCATTTTTGGACACTTTTAGAGAGTAAAAATTCGCGAGTTTGCTCTCAAATGGTTTGCTCTCATATGAGAGTAACTCTACAGAGTTACGAGAGCTAAAGAGAGCTGAAGAGAGCTGAATCGTAGTTGTTAATTTTGTGTATTTTTAGGGTGCTCGATTGATGAATTCGCCGTCCGAAGAAAATTTATTCCAACCGTTCTCTTGGTGGGTGTCTCGACACAATCAAAAGATGGATTATTGGGGCGGAGGGTTGCCCGGTTCCAGAAAATGCGAATGCGGCATTTTAGGCACGTGCACCGATCCGACGAGATGGTGCAACTGCGATAGTCAAATTCCCGCCATAAATTCGGACGTTTGGCTCGTCGACGGAGGTAAATATTTCTACTATTGTACAGGGTGGTCCTCGGCTATATCTGGCTAAATAATTGTCGTATAGACTTGCGGTAGAATCTTTTAATTAAATTGACCAAAAGAAAATGCTGGAAATTATTTTAAGGCTCTAAAATGGCAGCTAGAGGGAGTATCCGCCATATTGATTTTTAAAAGTTATTTTATAGTTAAGTTATAAGATAATTGCGATTCATTTTTGTTATATATTTTTGACTCTTATCTTTTAAAATAAAGTGGCGGGGATGTTTGAATGCTTGAACTAATAAATGTTATTAACTTTTAAACGACTGAACGGATTTGCATAAAAATTAAATCGTTGAAAAGGACTTTCTTTGATCTATAACATGCACTATGTAAGATTTTATTGAAATTGCTTGCTTGGACGCAAGAGGACGTTTTTCGACATTACATAAAAAAACACCGATTTTCTCATAAATTTAAATGCAACGATTCTTTGTGGAAAAATAGTCAAATATTTAGCCAAACAAGCCTGTGAAAACCGTATCTCGTTATTCCCTTCCTAATACATAAAAAAATCAAGAAATTAGCCATACATTTGGGACACATTCCATTATTAAAACCTTTAATTAGCCATCCACAAATTTAACCAATTTATTATTATGATAATCATTATAACAGAAGATGTGGTAGTAGTAGATACATATTTATAGTGTATGTATTAACGGTATAATGTATTGCATTTTATAGGGGATCTACAGGAGAAAGATAATTTGCCAGTCAAACAACTGCGATTCGGTGATACGGGCAGTGCTTTGGACGATAAAGAAGGTCGTTACACTTTAGGGCCATTGATTTGCGAAGGAGACGATCTATTTAACAACGTTATCACGTTTCGCGTATCCGATGCGACGATTAATTTACCAACGTTCGATATGGGTCACAGCGGTGATATCTACTTTGAATTTAGGACTGCCACAGAAAATGCAGTTCTGTTTCACTCGACAGGTACAATAAATACCTCGCATTTATACATATTATATGTTTTAATATATTTTTTTTTTAATTTTTTTGTAATTAATTTGTAGGTCCTACTGACTACATAAAATTAACTCTTGTCAATGGAAATCAAATCCAATTTCAATACCAAGCAGGATCGGGACCCATCGCGGTCACCAGGGAAGTTTCGTACAGATTGAACAATGACAAATGGCATTCCGTATCGGTTGAAAGAAATCGAAAAGAAGCGATGTTAGTTATAGACGGAGCGCTCAAAGCGGAAGTGCGCGAACCTCCAGGACCCGTCAGAGCATTGTATTTGACGTCTGAATTCATCATCGGAGCATCCACCGATTATAGGGACGGTTTCACAGGCAAGTCACTAGTCCATATTTTATAAAAATGAAGCATTTACTTTGAAGTAAAAGGTGGTAACAAAAAGTAAGAGAAAAAGGTTTCGCTCTGATCCGTATTCATAATATCCGCCTTTTCCTTGCAAGGAACCGCTTTGGATAAATAAAGTAAATGGGACAAAGATTAGCGATTTCGTCAAACTAGTCGAAACGAGTCTAAATGGTTCTAACCAGTTCTAGATGACTCGGGAGGTTCTAACTGGTTCTAGACAGTTCTAAGTGATTCTAGACAGTTCTGGATGATTCTGGAGCGTCTATACAGGCCGTACAAACTGATCCGCTGCAAGCATACAATGAGAATTATGAGATAGCTAATTGAACTTTGCTATCAAAATGGTTATATAAACTGTTCTAAATACTTCTAGACTGTTATGTTTCTGGAGCTGTCCAACCAGATTGTTCTAGACAGTTATAAATGATTATGCAATGTTCTAAATGGTGTTCTAAGACAGTTCTAAAAGATTCTACACAGTTCTAGATGATTCTGGAGCGTTCTATAGACAGTTCTAAATGTTTCTAGACTGTTTGAATGTTTCTGCAGCATTCCAGATTGTCATAGACTTTGGAGCGTTCTAAGTGATTCTAGACAATTCTAGATGATTCTGGAGCGTTCTAAATGGTTCTAGACAGTTTTAACGTAAAACCCAGCCAAAATACACAAACATTATACGTTACAAATTGTGTGGTGGCTGAGAAACTACTGAAAACATTGTGAAAAAGTTGTATGAACCTGCAGATTCTATTTTTACAAGCAAATGCTTCATTTTTTTTAAGGTTTCTATAAATGTATATTTCTATACATTTAATACGGCCTAATGAACGTATAGTAAGAGTATTAGGTTGTAATTTGTGGCGCATTTCAGGTTGTATACGTGCTCTGCTCATCAATGGTCTGCACATCGATCTTCGCCAGTACGCAAGAATGGGTTTGTACGGGGTATCAGAAGGCTGTGTGGGTAAATGTCAAAGCGATCCTTGCATGAATAACGGTACGTGCTTCGAGAAATACGACGGTTATTGGTGCGATTGTCGTTGGACGGCGTTCAAAGGGCCCATTTGTGCCGATGAAATCGGTGTCAATCTACGGCAAAGTTCGATGGTTCGGTACGATTTCGAAGGATCATTCCGATCGACTATAGCGGAACATATCAGAGTTGGATTTACGACTACCAATCCTAAAGGTTTCCTTCTTGGTATGTTTTCGAACATAACCAAAGAATACATGACGATTATGGTCTCCAATTCTGGACATTTGAGGATCGTTTTCGATTTTGGCTTCGAACGTCAAGAAGTTATTTATCCAGAGAAGCATTTCGGTTTGGGACAGTACCATGATTTGGTGGTTTCGAGGAAAAACGGTGGCGCAACATTAGTCATGCAGGTAATGTCGTATAATATGTACAGAGTGTTAATTAATTGAGTGCCGACACTTCATGATGTGAGTATTTGGATGATTTTAGGAAGTTTATATCAATATATGTCCTCAAGCTCTTAGTCTTCGAGCTTCAGAGTATTACAGTTTTAGAAAAAACAACTTTTCTATCATAATTTTCTTATTAAAATCATCCAAATATTCACATTCTGAAGTATCGGCACTCAATTAATTAACACCCTGTATGCATAAGTTAATTTAAAATTATTTAACGATTAAAATTGCTATGTTATTTACAGGTTGACGGTTATGAGCCAGTTGAATTCAATTTCAATATTAAACAATCTGCAGATGCTCAATTCAACAATGTTGAGTACTTGTACATCGGTAAAAACGAATCCATGACGGAAGGTTTTATTGGATGCGTATCGAGAGTAGAATTCGATGATATTTATCCTCTTAAGTTGCTTTTCCAACAAGAAGGACCTGGAAACGTCAAATCGCTTGGAAGTAAGTTACATTTTTCCTAGCATTATTTCGAGCGTATAATTAAAACGGCGTTTTGTTTTTCAACAGCGAATTTAACTGAAGATTATTGTGGAGTTGAACCCATTACTCACCCGCCCGATGTTATACCAACCAGACCTCCACCGGTTATAGACGAAGACAAATTAAGAAGGGCCTATAATCAGGTCGATTCCGCTGTTTTGGGAAGTAAGTCTCTAGCTCATAATATTGAGTTTTACTTGATACTTGCTACTTTGGTCGTTATAAATTTTAATTAAAAATTAAGAGCATACTCGTACCTACATTTGTTTGAGATAGGATTAACAACACAATTTTATTTCCTAAATCCCTAGAAAACTGTTCGAATTTTTGAAAAATTCGATGGTTATCAAAGAGTAAGTTTAAATCTAGAGCGTAAACAATCTGTTAAAAAGTAAATTTGTTCTTAGTATGTTTTAAAGAGCGTGTAAAAATTGTGTAGTAAAGGACTCATTTTTATTGCAAAAAATGGTAATTTAGAGTTTCTTTTTATTGATATAATATACAGGGTTTTTCTAAAATAAGTGATCAAACTTTGGGAGTAAGTAGAGAACCTCAAAATACAACAAAAACTTAAATGTCATTCTATCGAAATCTCCTTGATTATCGGTATACAGGGTGTTAAAGATGGGTTCTCGAAGAGGTATTTTTATTAATAATTTCATTAATAACAAAGAAAAAATGATGAAATTTGGTACATATACTAAGGAAATGAAATGTCTTACGACACTAAAAAAGTTGCCCAGGGGTGGGTTAAAATGAGGGGTTCGTGGGGTAATTCTAACCTAACTTTTTTATTTCAACCTTTTCTATTGAAGCGTTTAAAGAATATGAAAAAATGAAGTTTTCTACATAAAAAGGTATACTTGTTAATTTTCCATTTTTACGAAAAACGACTTTTATAATTCTGATACACAAAATTATTATACTATTGTCATTTTTAAAAATCTAGGAATAATTTTTTTCAAAAACTTGACATTTCGTGCAATCGTTCTATTCCGTTCTATTCCTAGAGTAATCGTTCTATTCCTCTATTCCATATTCTGTACTTTAGTACCTGAAAAGATATTTTTTAACAGATATTTAGCAATTTTATTTTTATTTGTGTATTCACGAAGTCTGCACCTCCTAAAATTTGAAACAATCAGCCTTTTTCGTCTCTCTTCTAACCATTCATCCGATTTTCTCTGGTTTTTTGTTTTTGCAAATATGCTCTATGTTTCTTTCTTGGTTTTATTAAGATCTGAAAGAAATTATTTCATTATTTTTACCAAAATCGCCTGTGCCATTTTCCAAAACATTTCGTGCATTGAGACCATAATGTTCGACAGCCGGGTGTGGTTCTTTTCTTTAGTGTTATTTAAATTTTAATCTCTTCTCGTTTTTAAACTTCAATAGGCTCAAATAAACATTTCTTCTCTACTGCGGTAATACTTCTTCTGCATCTTTCTACTACATCTTTAATATATTTAAGATTTAAGCGACCTTTTCTAAAGAAAGCTTAACAAGAATCTGCGTTGTTATTTTCAAAAATACCCTTGTTTTGAAATCAAATATGACCTTACCAAGATAGGTTCGTAACTTATGACCTACGATAATTTATTGACTGATAAATTTATGGGTTTCTTTACGAGCATAATTACATGCAGAATTACATTATTTTGCATTAAAACGCTTTATAAGGGTAAAAAAAGGATATAAAATGAATTTTACACATTCTTGCTACACTGGAATTACCTCAGATATTAATAATGCGTCCTAATGAGTCCTCCCGTTAGAATTTATCTCGCTGTCTGGACAGTGTATGCTTTTAATAAGAAACGCTTATTTTCTACTAAACTTTCATTATTTTTAGGTGTGCTGGCGTTAATTTTCATAGCCCTCGTAATCCTTCTCATATTGATCGGTCGCTATCTTCACAGACATAAGGGAGAATACTTGACCCAAGAAGATGCCGGTGCTGATACAGCTCTAGATCAGGACACTGCCGTTGTTCATGGTACTACAGGCCACCATGTCCAGAAGAAGAAAGAATGGTTCATTTAGTACCGATAACTAAAAGAAGTAATTTTAAAGAAATGGCCTAATAGTACAACTTAATCATTTTTGTATTCGTTTTTTTTTTGTTGGCATTTGAATGTTATTGCAATTTTAATTTAAGGATACATACTGTACTTTACTGCCGGAGCAGCTGCAAGGTTGCGCTAAAAAAGCGTAGAGATGTTTAATAAAATCTTGTAGCACAGACGAAAAATTGCCAAAAACCTTCCGATTAATTTTAGATAATAAGTTAGCTATTCATTAATAACTCCTTTGATTGCTAATACGGCTTCAAAACTAGCTGCATAAAGATTTGTTAGTGGTAAAGTACTGTATAGTGATTCGCAGGAAATTCTTATTGATTTTCTAAATGCAGCTTCTTACAGCGTTGCTTAAAAAACGTATGCAAGCGTTTTCAGTCAATTAAATAAATGAAATGACTGAACATTTGTATTGAATATAGTAATCTCTGCAAGCAGATCATCGTTTTAGTTAATTTTTTGATTTATAATGTGTTCAATATGTTTAATGCAAATTTTTAAACGCATTTTGAATTGAAATAATGTCGATCTTTCGGATAAAATTCATTCTTAATGAACCTTATTATGTACACAAAAAATATTACAAAATTTACGCAATTCAATTAAATAAAAAGATACATCATAAGTTTTTTACAAACTTTCAGAGGCCTAACTTTTGAATGTTGTAATAGTTACTTAGATTTTTGAAATTGTTAATATTTATTTGGCAACGCAATGATAAAATCGACATTTTGAGATTGAAATTTGAAGAATCTCAAATAGTATTATAAGTACCACGTATTTAATTTTATACTTAAGTACTTTAGAATCGGAACTCTCTAGTGGTACCTATTGTAGAGCCTAAATTTATATAATTATAAACCTTAACTATTTAATCCTTATTTCAGTATTTAATGATTATTTTTTCCGTCCATTTTTTTATACATTTTTTTACGTATGATTGAATTTACATTTATTTTGGTACGATTTTTAAAATTTTAGTTTGTAAGACAAGTGCCTTTGGCATTTTATTACGTTTCGAAAACGAAATATTTGTTCTTCTGTATATTTTAATTTTTACCTGTAGCATAAAGTTTAAAATCACCACTGTATAATAAAGATTTTTATACAAATAAATACGTTGATAATATTTTATATTTGTAATACCGAGATACTCTTGTAAACTTACCTTAATTATAAAACAAATTAAAATGTCATTGACGATCGTTTTCTGTTGAAATCTTGACATCCCTAGAATGTTGGAAAAATCTCAAGAAACGTTTGAGAATGAAAAGGAAGCGGAAAATGTTGGAAAGAAGCACAAAACGAGAAAAAGTATTTCGAACTTTTATTCCTGATTATTTTTCTAATGTTTCCATGCAATTTTAAGCCATTTGGGTGACGAAATCGATAGCAGAAGAAATCGGAAGAGAAGCTGTCCTAAGAAGATCTCTAATCGAATTCACGATCTACTTTGCATTTTTAATTTTTTCAACAATTTGTAAGTGTTTTAATTTCATTAGGAAATCGTAACACTTTACTCTTCATTCACAGATGTTATTGAAAGCCATTCAGATAATGGTTATTATTTGACCGAAGTAATGAAACAGCAGTTTCTAGAGCAAGAATTCAATACTCTAAACGATGTTTCAATTACATTCCTTGATATTAAAACGGCCGCTGATGTTTGGTTTGTAAGTAATAGAATCTATTATAATATACAGGATGTTCATAAAATAGAGGGGGATTCCTTGTTAAAAAATATGAAAAAAGTTTCTAAAACATGGGTCCGGAAATGCAGTTTTCAAGATACAGAATGTTGAATTAAAAAAAATTGTGGCATCCCGGGGTGCAACTTAGCGATTATTATTGGCAAAAAATGTACGCCACTGCCTTTTTTGTAACTTTAATATTTTTTGTTTTAAGTACAAATAATACATTTTTGAAGAGTAGACGAGTATATCTTTCAAAGGCGCGTTCCTTTTTAAAAAAATTGGCTACTATGAATATAAAAGAGGAGATTTTGATAAAACACCCTTTATTGGTAATGCATAATTTCTGTATCACTGTAACAAAAAACTTATAATAAAATATATTTGAGAAAACCGCATGTTTTTATGATTCGGCGTTTAAAAATTATAAGCTATAAGGGACTACTTTTCATTGGGACACCCTATATTTTTTTATTTAACATTTTATACATATTTTGAAAACTCTGCATTTCCGGACTCATATGTTTATAGAAACTTCATATTTTTAGCAAGTAATCACCCTCTAAAATATCTCCTTATATTTTATAAACAACATGTATTTATTGTTATTGACCCATATTAATTTCAAGTACCTTGAAAACTCTTTAATCAACACCCTATTTTGGAGCAATCCCTACGATCTCGATCCTAAACCGACTATTGAAGAAAACGAAATGAATATACTTTATGAAAATAAGATTTTGGGTGTGCCTAGATTAAGGCAGGTCCGAGTTTTATATAGATTATACCACAAAATTAATTTTGGGATTAATTTATATAATTGTAGGTAAAAGTTCGCAACGATTCCTGCACTATACACAGTTACTTTCGCAGATTATTTACAGTTTGTTACAACGCGTATTCCAAAAAAGCAGAAGACACTCAACCGTTCGGACCTGGGACAAAAACAGCGCAAGTATTGCAATACTAAGTATTAAGTGAATACTTTTGTATGCCTGTTTTGACTACATACAGAGTGGCACATTAGTACTGAAAAGCTCAATATATCTGTTATCTGCAGAAGATATAAAAATAACTTTTTACAAAAGTTGTATATCTTTTTAAGCTGCAAATTTTAAAATTGTTACCTTTATACAGAGTGTCCTGTTTTTTCGTGGCAGACCAAATTTATTTTTATTCTTTAAATGGAACACCCTGTTTTTTGTACAAATAGTAAACTTTGCTCTTTTTTAAGCTTTTGAAAAATATACTGTATTATGTTATACTGAGTAAAAGTTATGACCACTTTTCCATCGTTTAATTTAAAATCGTTTTCGAAACTTTACTATTTTGTAGATACTAAATTTTAGGTTTCACAACATTGAAAATATCCTCCATATCCAAACGCAAAAGTAACATTTTAGTTACTTTAGAGGTACGAGAGGTACTTCATTCTTATTAAACATTCACTATACCTAAATTTATGTTTTTTTTTTCAAGATTAAAGTATTTAGTAGTCCATTTAGTTTCTACAGAGATGTAAACTTATAGCACAGTTGTCCATACTAATGTGCCACCCTTTAGATTGCACTGTTTACGAGAATAACCATCCCTGTTAAATGAGAGAACATTTAATACGTAAAATATATTTCAGTTGGGTCTATAGTTCTTCGAGAGAAACGAATAGTTTCTCGTTCAGCGGGAAAATGTGCACCTATGAGGGAGGAGGTTATTACGTGGATCTCGCTCAAACTAAAGCAGAGACTGTGCAAATGATTCAAAACTTGAAGGACGAGTTGTGGATAAGACGTGGAACCCGCGGAATTTTCTTGGATTTTTCCGTTTACAACGGAAACCTGGACATTTTCTGCGTTTGTAAGCTAGTGTTCGAGTTTCCTCCCACAGGGGCGGTAATACCTTCGGCTAAATTTCACATTGTTAAGCCTTTTGCTATTCGGAGTTTATTCGATTGGTTCAAGCTGGTATCCCAAATTTGCTGCTACATATTTGTCGCGTTTTACCTCCTGGAAGAAATTAGAGAGATGTTTTATTTTAGATCGAAATATTTGAGGAGATTTTGGAATTACATTGATTTACTCATAATATTAGTGAGTATACAGGGTGTCCCGCATAAGAACCGACAGATAGTAGGGGCTAGAAGATCATCCCTGATGAACCTTTTAAAATAGATCAATTTATCTCTCTTTACTATTGATTAATGCTCTCAGTACACTCATAACGTACATCAAATTTATTGGTTTTAAGTTTGAGTATTACTGAGATATATATTTTTTTATTTGTAACTCCACTTTGAAGGCCTATAACTTCTAAGGAATGTAACTTTGTATTAAGTTAAGTTGGTTTAAATCACATATTTTAGGCTCTCATGCCCCTGGTCTGTGTTGGTTCTCATGCGGGACCCCTATACAAGGTGTCCCGTAATATGCTAAGGGTAGAAGCTTTGGGTCAAAACCTGGGTAAGCCTGCAGCGCAAATTTCAAACTTATTTATCTTCGAAACGGTGCATTTTAGCGACTCAAAACAAGTACACATTTTTTAAAGCTAAAGTGTTGTAGTTTTTATAAATTGATCCCTTTTGGTTAAAAGGGAGGTTCTGCGTAGAAAAAATTTATGGCCGTTCAAGGGAAAAAAATAGCCGAAGTGGCGACCTCTAGGTTAAGCGCAAAATGGATATTCTTAATTCTTCCAGATATTTCTTGAATTACGCTGGATGGACAAAAAAATCGAAATAAAAAATCGATTTTCATAGTGCTATAACTTCCTAAAGAAGCAACTTTGGACTAAGGTAAATTTGGTTAAATCGTCATATTTTAAACCAAAGAACCTACCCGTAGCGTATCCCATTTTTACGGGACACACTTTATTAATACTTATTTTAAAAATATTAATATTTATGATTTTAGTTATTTACAATCGGTTTAATTCTGTTCGTGTTGTTCCTATTGCAAGTACCATCTTCTCTTGAAAACATTGTTTCGGATAAGTACGGTAATTTTGAATATGTAGCGAAGATTTATCGCGCACATTGCAATGTAGTTGCTGTTGCTTTGTTTCTTATTTATTTCAAAGCTTTCAAGTTTTTAAATTTCAATCGAACTATGAGCCAATTGAACGATACTTTAAGTAAAGTAAGTTTACGAAATTTTCAAAAAAAATTGGTTTTGTTCCAAAAAACTTTATTTTTCAGTGCGCTATGGATATGCTCGGATTTTCTTTGATGTTTTTCATAATATTCTTTGCCTATGCTGAATTGGGATATTTGCTCTTCGGCAATCAAGTAAAGTTATTAAATTAAAATTTCCAATTTAATCATTAGTTTTACAGGTAGAAGAATTCAATAGTTTCCACATAGCAATGTTCACATTACTGCGAACTATTTTGGGGGACTTCGATTACCAAAAAATACAAGAGGCTAATAGAATTCTGGCTCCCGTTTATTTTCTATCTTACATATTTTTGGTGTTTTTTGTGCTACTGGTATGCAAACAAAGTCGTACTTATAGTAGATACCAAACATGTTTTTTTTTTGTAAAATTTCAGAATATGTTTCTGGCGATAATTAGCGACGCCTACGGTGATGTCAAAACCGAGTTGAATTTAGCCCCTAAAGAGATGCAAATGACGGAATACATAAGAAAGCATTTCAGCAACTTCCTGCAGAAATTGGGATGCGGAAAATGTCTGCCGAAACAATTAGAAGGTGAATATGAAGCAAATGTTCTTATACAGGAAATTCGAGAAATTTTAAAAAAGTAAGTACACCTCGAATTTGTTTGGTTCATCTACAAATTATACACATTAGTTAGGAAATATCATCTTTTATTGTAGAAGGTATCAAAAAAACTTCTTTACTAAAGTTTACTAAAGTTGTAGATCTCGTTTAGCTGCATATTTTAAAATTGAGATGCTCAAAATTTACAAAAAATATTCATTTTCGAAATTTTTAGGATATTTGTAATTTTGTAAAACCTGAAATTTATTTTCAATTCAATCTATTTAGTTTATACAGACTGCTAAACTGCCTACGATTTTCATCTATAAAAGAGGTCGTAACTTTTAATATACTCAGAACATTATAGAATCGTGGGCTTACAAGCAAAGGGCACCAAAGTCATAAAAATGGTTTTGAGGGATAGTTAGTTAGTCTTGAAATCAAGATAATCTGGAGAGTGGCACATTAGTATGGAAAATCGTACTATAAGTTTACCGAAACTAAATGGACTACTAAATAATTTAATGTCGCAAAAAAAATAAATTTAGATATAGGGAATGTTTAATAAAAATAAAAGTATTTCAAAAGTACTCGTACTTTCTGGTAATGATATAAAATATAGGGTGATTTGTTTAAAAAAACCATGAAAATGTTACTTTTGCGTTTGGATCCACCCTGTAAGCAGTGGCAGTGTGATTAAAATTTACGAGTAATATTGATTCTGTCCATTTTCATTATATTTTCAATGTTGTGAAACCTGAAATAAATTTTCAATTTAGTTTCTACAAAGTGGTAAAGTTTCGAAAACTTCGATTTTTATGGAAAAGTGGTCATAACTTTTACTCGGAATAACATAATATTTGTATAGTATATTTTTGGAAAGCTTAAAAAAGAGAAAAATTCAATTTTTGTACAAAAAACAGGGTGTTCTATTTAAAAAATAATAAGCTTGGTCAACCACGAAAAAACGGGACACTCTGTATAAACGTAACCAATTTTAGAATATGCAGCTTAAAAAGACCAACTTTTCTGAAAAAGTTTTTTGATATATTCTGCAGATAACAGATATACTGAGCTTTTTTATAATAATGTGCCACCCTGTATGTCTTCGAGTAATGGACTAAAGTAATGGTTAAACTTGTGGGACAATATATTTTAAATCTGAAATTTTGATTTTTTTTTCAGGTGCGGTTATAGTGATCTCGAAATCGAAATGTTTTTCTCAAGATATAACATTGATCCGTTAGAAGAGGAACGAGTTGGCGAATCGAAGAATTTTTTAGAAGAATTGCAAGTTAAATTGGGTAAGTTTTTATTTCTCAATAACTCTTTGCAGCGCAATATTAACCTGAACTTGTTTCAGATGATGGTCGCATCAAATTAGAGGATTTTAAAAGGTATTTTTTAATGCTTTTTATTAATTTATTTGAAATATAGTTTTCTTTCAGTCAACAAGAACGACTGATAAGAATTGAAAGTTTAGTTGGTGAATTAGTAAATAAATTAAAGGAAATTCTTGATAAATTAGACTCCCTGTCGAATGTAACGAAGGAAATAAGACATAAATAAAGTAACATTTTATTTTAATATATAATAGGTGATTTTTTATAATATAATCAAAAGAAATATGTACACATATTTTTATTTAACAGATTTACAGAATCAAAATCAGTCGTGTAATACTTAATAAATAATAATTCAAATAGATTTTATAAATCTGCTCACAATTGAATTAATCTTATACTGTGCTTTAGAATTACTTTCATTTACAATAATGGGATTCTAATATCTCTACGATAAAACAAGACTTAATTATCTTGATAGTATTGTATTGCAATATTAGGTAATTTCAAAGCTTCGTACTTTAATTTTCAAAAGTACTGCTTCATCGTCGAATACTATTTTATCGTAGAGATGTAAAGATTTTCAACAAATGCATTATACATTTTTGAAAATGCAATGAACTTAAATAACAAATGTGATGAGCATTTCGATACATATCACAATAAATGTGGCATATGAAATTTGATGAATTCAATATTGCCTTTGTTCATTTCAATAAAAAAAATGGAATATAAATTAAATAGTTGCCACCTCAAACGCACACTTCTTTTAATACTTATCACAGCTCTACACAGCAAAATTAAATGTGTTAATAATAATAATGTAGGGTAGTTTTTGTTGAACTGAAAACAAGGAACGGTATCATTAAAGATCTAAATTAGTTATACGAGTAAATTATTTTTGTAATTATATCACAAATATAATTATTTCTACAATATAATGTTTTAAATTCTCTTTTCACTAAACGAGGAAATAAATTTACAAAGCAATCATTTAAATTTATTTGCTATTTAGAAAAGAGAAATTTATCTACTACTGAATTTATGTACTATTTCCTCCATTTCTGCTTTCAGTACGTTGAAATGCATCTTTAAAAAAACGCCACAAAAACAGATCACATTCAATAAAATTTAACTACCCCTATGTAAAAGTATAAATACGATTGAAAAGTATACATACAGGATTATTGTATATTTAAAAAGTATATCTTACAGGCATTTTTTATGTATTTCATTATTATAATTCATCTATAGTTCCGCATGCTCGAAATTTCCGTCCCCTTTTCTGCATCAAGGCATCTCATGCAGGCACAATTGCAATAATTACAAAGCTTTTTTTTTTAATATCTACAAAACGATCGCAATATATTGTAATTTAAATGCCGATTTTTAAGTGAAATATAAAAAATAACAAAATCATTTTTTTCCTTTTCAAAACTGCATTCATTAGCTGGTAATAGAGGGTGTTTCTTAATAACAAGCTAATATTTAAGAGGGTGATTCTTGGATCCATTTTAAGGAAAAAAACTTCATATGAACATCTTTTGTCCTAAACTTATGGTTAAATGTTCGGAAAGAAGTGAAAAAACCAAATGTGTTCTAAATAATTGAATGGTTACTCCAGAATTAATTTTTATTTTAAATGAAAACAGTGGCGTGCCTTTCTTCAAAAATATCCTATCTGAGTCCAGTACGGACGCCACTGTTGGAAATAAAAAATGTTTTTAAGCTCAAAAAATGCTCTTTAATGAATAAACGCCGTACACCAAATTTCATAAAAATTACAGTGGTAATGAAAATGACTGCTAAAATTAAAAAATAATGAATTTTAGGTTTAGACATATATTCATATAAACTTTTTTTCTTAAAATGGGTCCAAGAATCACCCCCTTTAATATTAGCATGTTATTAAGAAACACCCGGTATAATAGCTTCAAACTCTTCATACCTCAACGTACAGTCGCTCAATCCATTACTCTCACCGTGAAGTCTTGAGAGTATTTAAAAAAATACGCGAGTATTTGTTTAAATGACCAATTTAAACCCTCTAAAGCGCCACCGGCCGGACGCCAAAACCAAACAAACGCACGCGAAAATTAATTTTTCCCAAAAAAATCCGATATCGCGCCGTCGAGCGAGTCGCATTCGGCCATCTCCTCGCCGTTGCGGAACATGCTGGAGACCATGTTGGTGTCGATGCTGTCGTAGTACTCGTGCTCCCGCTGCATGCTCCTGCCGTTCCAAAAGAAATTATTGGCCGTGTGGAAGCGACAGCTCGTCGAGAGGCCGGTCGACGGCTGGACGAATTCGTTCTTGTCCAACGAATCCGGATAGGCGCCGCCGTCCGGACTGCCGTTAAATGAAGAGAGAATCCATGGAAACTGAGATTTTTCTTTTGCTGAATTTGAGTCTTGAATCTACAATACCAAAATCGATGTAGTTAGTACGCAATTTTGATTCGCTCGGCGCCAGAGTGACACAACTGCGAAATTGCGTTTACTAGTATCAATCGGGAAAAAGTGCTGCATATTTTCTAAAGTCCATATTGGCCCAAATGAGCTTTTCTAGTTCACTAATAGATATAGCGTGCATACTTGGGCCATTTGATTTGAAATTTAGAAAATATGCAGCACTTTTTCCTGATCGATACGAGCTAATGCAATAAGCAGTTGGGCCACTCTGGCGCTGAGCGACTCTTTTATCGAATTGTATTCGGTGCTTGTTTATGAACAGTGATTGATTTTATTTGTAGTTATTATACCGGGTGCCCAAAAAGTATGGGATTAGTCGAATTTCTCTCAAATGATCGTAAATTTACCGTATCGTATAAAATTGAACGGGTGATTGAAAAAAGGATGCAATTTCAGTGAACTTAATTTTTGGGAAATCAAAAAACAAACTTTTTTCGGCGAAATCGATAATTTAACAAAAATCATTGCTATTGGCCAATTATACACTATCACAAAGTATAAATATACGTAATACGTTTGATTCCAAAGTTTAAACGGCGTTTTATACCACTTTGGTAACTAGCTATTGGTATTTGAAAGTACAAAAATTTTATCCTTTTTTTTTATTTTATCCTTAAAAAATGTTAAATCGGTTTTTTTCAACATATTTGCCAATCTTTTTGAAGTATTGGGGCTACCAGCTTTTGAAATCAAGTACATATATCGGTATTAGCCGTTTTCTTGAAAATTTGGATTTAGTTTCTTTGTAAAAATTTCTGTCACAATGCAAAAAAACTATAACCTCAGATAGGAAAATATTTACGAATTATCTCAAATTCATGGTCAGCACAGTTAACAACCTGGTTAAAATTCCAGGAATAATATAATTTTTCCACTCGCCAATAAAATTATGATGTGAAGGAGGCCAATAATTTAATTTTTTTGGGCTCAGCGGGAAGAACAAAATGGCTGTCTCACTTTAATTCCCCATATTTTTGGAATTTTATCTTTTTTTCCAATTACTTATTCAATTAGGATTGAAGAGAATCATAAATTCAAAACTTTTTTCAAAAGCATCGACGCTAATACCGACTCCTCGATTCCTTGGGGTTGGGTCAGAGGGTAGCTTCAATAAATTAAATTTTGTGAAAAATAAATTTTCGAAATTTTAGCATTTTTTTATAATTTTGAAAAATGTTTCGAAAAGAACTTGTTCAATTTGAAGCCAGGATTTCAAATATTCATTAAAAAAGAGGGTTTCCATTTAAAGGATGGGATGGCGGTTCAACATTAATTAGTATCAATACATAGATTTTGAAAAAATATTGGATACGTGGCCTCAAATGTTCCTGTAATTCGACCGTTTCCATACTTTTTAGACACCGTGTATGTACATCAGGTAGTGTTTTAATAATCCCTTGGTATAATTTTGCCCATTCCCTCGTTCTTTTGAAAATCTATGTGTTTGTAGGAGGCAAATGGGCAAAAATGGTTACATTCTATTGTTATGCCTTAAACGGTTTATAATTTCGTGTTATTAGAGTTTCGTAATAAAACAAATTTGGACCGCCGAAATGGTGTCATACCATCGAGAAATAAATTGCAAAAGATTAAAGTACTGTTTGTTTAAAACCTCAGGTTTATCGATTACGGTAAAAAGGTAAAAAAACGTATTTAACAATGCGCCAAAACGTTAATCTAACCTCATTATGAATTAACAAGACTACCGGTATTCTCCTCGATTTCTAACGACGTCCATTACGTAATTCGACAGTAAATAACAGGAAAAGAAAATTTTTTTATTAAATTAGCACTGATATAAAGAATAATAATAATATAAACGCGTAGAAAATTCTAAATTAAACTGCAATCAGACCGAAACTATTGACGCAACCGTAAAGAAAATTACAGCGCTCGTATGTTAAAAAAACGGTATCAAACCCGATAGAATAACAAAGTAATTGCTAATTCCGAGCTGCACAAAAACTTTCCAATTGGTTACGAACACACGCAACTAAGACAATAATTAAATATCTACGGTTTTGTGGAGATTTCACAAAATTAAAATTTAGTTCATTGCCGTTTTGCCTACAAAAAAACACCATTAGGTATTGAATTTGTCACTTTTAGATTCCTCATTTCCGCGATATTCATACAGTGATTACAGCAGTAGGATTCTGTTCGCTTGAATACATTTTTTTGTGACAGAAAAGAGAAAACTAACGAAAGTGCGTACTGGTAGTACCGATTGGCTCTTTTTACAGAAAATTAACAATCGGTTTTCTTAAATTGAACGCAAATAAACTGTGCCAAATCATTTACAGTAGGTATTGTGTACATCGGAAACGTAAATTAGAGACCGGATATACGCATGAGAATTTCATTGAAATCACGATAATACGAATGGGCTCGTATAACCATGTCGTTTTATAATGCTGTTCTTCAATTCCACGAATCGATGGTTTACTGAATTATACAGTATGAATATTTGATAATTGGGAATTATTGAGGATAATTAATTTGGTCTTGGTATATCGGTGGGCGCGGTTAAATAAATAATAAAATTTTTAATGCAGGGGTAAACTTTTAAATTTAATTTCTTTGCGTTTTTATTATCCCCTAGGTATTATGTAAAAATATTATTAAGCTTTCTTCACTGTAAACCCCCATATACCCGCTCTACTATCGATAAGTCTACTTTCACCAATTTATTTGTAAATATCAATAAACTACTCGAATTATTATTACATTATGTATTTCGTAAGAAAGAGTTACAGAAGATGACTGTTCATAAAATATGATAGTGTAATATTACTTGCATTTGTTGAATGTTAGGATAGTGTTAATTGAGAAATGTTATTCTTATGGCTGGCTGAGTTAGAGAGCTCGTTAATGGTTAATACTTTTTTGTACGCACTGTATTCGAATTTCATTGAAAAATGTCTAATTAAGAGAAACAAAATGAACTTTTTAATATTTAAATTCAGGTTATAACTGTATAACACAGCAAAAATGTGGTCCTTATAAAATCGGAATTTATTTCGTAGAATTTTCTAAGACGATGAGTCTTTTAACAAATCTTGATAGTTCTACCAGTCTTCTTCGGTACACCGATTTCTTGTCAGTAGCACCACTATACTTAAGAGAGCTTTTATACAGAGCAATGTGATGCAATGTGAAATAGCGTGGAGAGGGAAGAGATAGTATAGAGCTTCTTCAAGAATGAAAGTGCCAACTATGTAACCTTTTCTTACGAAAATAAAATAAATTTACCCGTTTCAAAATGGTTAATATAAATACCAACACAACACTAACTACGAATTCATCTACGATTATTATTACTTACTCAACATTCCAAACTACCAAGTTCAAGCTCCGACCACGAAGAACCAAACAAACGAAAGGAAAACAATAAAGAAGCATCGAAGCAAGAAAGCAAATAATAATAAAAAAAAACGTAAGCGTCACTTACTGCACGTGTCCCTAATAGAGGGCCCGAGAGCGAAACTAAATAAAAATTGGCAGTCGCACTCCTAAGATTGGTTGTCGCGCCTGAAGAAACTCCATATAATGCTTGTGGTTGTTTTCGTTCGTACCTTTTCATTGGCGGCAGCGTCCTTCTTGGCCGATGTCTTCTTCATGGTGGCGCTCCTGGTGAGCGTGTTGGCGCTCGCCTTTTGGACGGTCTCCGCCGAGCGAAGCTTGCCGGACAACGAGTCCTTGGCCGTGCCCAGCGAGTTATTCCTCGACTTGGTCAGCGAATTATTATTGGCTTTGGGACAGTTGAGGCTGTTGCCTTCGCTCTTGTTATTTCTCCACGATTGTGCAGAGTGAGGTCTACCGAGTGAATCGCCGCTACGGCTACGTGCGCCCGGTGCCGGACTGTGTTTACCTAAGAATCATTTTCGTTCTTGTACAGTGTGTTATTAGTACGTGCGTTTTATCTACGACATTTTTTTGTTTAGGCATGATGCATTCGGCGTTTTCACCGGAATAAATTAATTAAATTCGATGGAAAACGTGTGTTTATCTCGGTTGTAATTAAGCGAAACTAGCTGGTTGTTTAGATTGCTTATTGATAAGGATGTGGTCTTGTGTAATTAATTAGAAAACTTATAATACGAGGACGAATCAAATATGAACCGGAATTTTCTTCTTAATGCTCCCTGGGTGATGTAAGATGACGTCTTGATATACACTGTGCTTCATTCGTGATTGCAACATTGACATTTCTATGAGTTGAACAAAGAAAGATTATTAAAATGACAGTTGTCAGAGTGAAAAGTTGCAATGACATAATGTCACTCTTTTCTTTTCCTTTATACATGTTCAATTGAAGTTGCATGGGGAGTAAAGTAAAGGTGAGTAAATCAGTTTGCCTCGTTAGAGCCGATTGGCTGTTAGTATCATCATGTCTGAGCAAGAGGTGCACAGGTCCGTTGAGTAACGGATTAATATTAATTTTTTGTCGCAGGAGAGCGTATAACCTGCCAACATTTTGTGTCGAATAACTTCACTGATAAGATACTTTCGAGATCCCATGTCTAGAATTGACTAAAAGAAATTTGTGAAAACCTGGAGGAGGAGGAGAAATGGAACAAGACAAGATTCGTCTTTCTGCTGGGAAAGTTCTTGCAACGATTTTTTGGGATTGCAGGGGGCATATTGCTCATAGATCTTCTCCATGAATGACGTGCATTTAATGAGGCGTACTCTGCCAACTTTTTGATGAAGTGAAGCTGGCCTATCGACGAAAAAGACAGGACAAAGCATATTCGAAATGCGATTTTGCTCAATGGCAACGTCCGGCCATGCACAGCTGCATTAATTCAAGAAAACTTGGACAAAATGCATTGGAAAATACTCTAGAACAACCATCCTACAATCACGATTTATCGCCATGTAACCATCACATGTTTGGGTCACTCAAAGAAGTACTAGGAGGTCATCACTTCAACGACGAAGGTGTGGAAACATTTATGAGCAATTGGCTACAGACACGACCAAATTCATTATTTGATTACGGGATTAAAAAACTTCCGATTCGGTAGGAAATTTGTGGTAATAAAAGAAGAGACTACATAGAAAAATAGGATGTATTCAAAATTATATTTAATTTACTAATAAATTTTTTAAAGCAAAATTCCGGTTCACATTTGATTCGCCCTCGTACTAATGTTGGAGCGGAAAGAGTTGAGGAGGCAACGATTTTCACGTTTGTTTAAAAGAATAAGACTTACAAATTCACCGAGTATTGCGGAAAAGATTGGATAAATTGAAATTGTTAAATAAATAATAATCCACACGAAATTCGAATAAAATAGCCGATAATTATTGAATATTTATAAATATTTTCTTCTAATTATCAGAAACTTAAAATAATTGTTGATTAGATAAGTTGTTTGATTAAAATACTTATGATTAACTCATTCCTTTTGATTAAATGAACAAGCATGATAAATAATACTCGAAAACATCTACCTAATAAATCCAACACAATTCAAAAAAATATTTCACCTACCACACCACGACGCAGCAAACTTCGAAATATCATTAATCTCTTCTAAAAACAAAAAAAAACAGGCGAATTCCACTTACCACCGGGCGGTTTGGGGGCCGTGTAACTTTTCAACGGTATCTTACTGGGCCTCCTGGTTTTGGCGCCGTCTTTTTTCTCCCGATCGACGGTCTGGTCTTGCGCCGATTCGGTGCTGCTCGAGTGATCGGCCTGCAGGTTGAGCGCCTTCATGCTGCCCAGCATCAGGGGGCTCATCGCCTTCATGCTGGCCGTGGAGATTTCGGTGCGCGACGGCGGCCGCCCCGTCGTCGGGATGATGTCCGGGGAGCTGCTCTTGTTCAGGGACTTGTGGGGGTCTTCGAGCACGCGGAGACGCGCTTTCGTGCCTTCCAATTCTATCGTTCGATTCTCGAGCTTTGGGAAAAATGAGTCTAATGAATGAGAGTGGCTTGGAATTGATGCGAATCGTTACCTTAAATTTTAAGTCTTCGTTTTCTTCTTTAAATTTATCTAACCTATCTCTCAGTCCTGATTCCACCGTTGAAATGTTGTTCAGTTGCTCTTGGAGAACCTGGAATTAATTACGTAACAACTAATAAAATTGAATCTACCGGTTTCCTAAGAGACGAAATAGAAACCGGGAAATGTGCAATTAGAGCAGAAAGTACTCTGTTTATCAAATAAGTAGGTGAAAACTAAAAAAAAACCGCAACATTTTTTTGTCGTGAAATAGTCGCCTTTTATTCGGTCAAATTGGTCACATTTACTATGGAACGAAGCGGATTCGTCTGACGTAAAACGCGGCAAATGAAATTAAATAAGATTTTTTTACGGATACAACGGTCGACTGGGGAATAGTGCAATTAAAAGTTGATTACAAAAATATCGAATGCGGAACTACTAATGTCTAATTATTTCATCAAAAACGGATGAAATCGAGCGCATTCTGCATCGACAAAAATAACGGAGACATGGAAAAACAATGTTGTTTTTGCGAGTATAATAAACTCAAATCCTATCAAACAATAGTACGTGATTGAAACTGTTTTCGAAGCGTCGAACGTGATCGAACAATCTCAATCAATTCAGCTCGTTTTTTTAATAAAATTCTAATTAATCGAGAACGCCATAACGAGGTTATGATCAAACATGCCAAGAATAGAAGAAGAACATTTTTGCTAAGCATTAGGTAATTTGCTTCATTCACTCTGACGTATTAAAAGCCGATTAGTTCCGAGTTGCAAAATGGTAGTAAAAATTTTACAACTTAAGCGTTCACGTTTCGAGTTGAAGATTTTAATGATTAATGATGCTTGCATAAATTTTGTAGGAAACACTGGACTTTTCCTTTTCATAGCTCTTTTTGTAGATATTACTTAATAAGTAGCTATAATTAACAGAAAATACAATTTTTTTTATTAAACTCGACATATTTGCGTTTTGAAGGTAATGTTGAATGCAGTGAAAACGTCAAAAAAAAGTTGCATACAAAAGGAGTTTTCTTTGGAAATCCTTCTAGTGTCTTCAAGGTACGGTTTTCCACTTGCACAATTATTTCGTTAATTATTAAGTGCAACAGTAGAAGGGCATAAACTTACTTTGTAAGAAACGAGTCTTTTAAGAGGAAATTCCTACTCTATTCTAATTAAGAATGACTTTCTGCAAAGATCCAATTACTAGAGCAGTATACAGGGTGGTCCAGAACGCGCCGGAAAAGGGATTATGGAAACGATAATAGAGGTGCCAAAACTTCAGCAGAAGACATAACAAAGTTTTTCCTTTGGTAAATAAAGATAATTAAAATCGACCAATCCCAGTAATAGTTGAATTTAAAAAAATGATGTGAATGACCTTTGAAATTTTGACATTATTGAAGTTTGATCCGAATATGTATACAGCCACCGAATACAAGGAAATGATTATAATTTATGGAGAATGTGATCGAAACGCACGAGAAGCTGCTCGAATTAATCGGGAACGATTTCCCCGAAGGATGAGTTATATTTTGATCATCATTTTATTTTTACAAGCAAATCTTTGATTAATTGCCGTAGCTGATTTTAGCAGCTGTTAACCTCAAGTTAAAGTGACATCGAATCTTTAAATAATGTCGAAATGAAAATGTTTTTCATATCTTCGGCTGCGTAATGTTTCCATAATCCCTTTCCCGGTAAGGCGAGTTCTGGACCACCCTATATACAAAAACAAACAAGTCGTCGCATCGCTACGAAATTGTATGTATTGTATATACAATCAATTTTATTTAAGACAAACGAAATGACATGCTCGTGTACTCCACATGCGTAGGAAACCTTTGAGGTTTCCTTAGCGCACGTTTCGCCTGGCTAATTTGTATTACAAAAGCAATTGGATTATAATCGTGTCATTGAAAACTGTCATTTAATCACCGGCTGCAATAGTATCTTGTATAATATTCCTAAAGTTTTTGGAAAGAATATAAAAACAACGTAAGTGAAATAAAATCTGAAAGAGCCTAGTATAAAATTAGCAATTTCCAATATCGCATTTTCTACAGAAATAAAAATGCAAAACAATATCCGTTTTTCGCAAGCGTACTTAAATTACGAAATAACTTATTTTATTTCATTGCATTATGAAGATAGCCGCAAACGATAAAAATTGTAATTGATTCGCCTTGAATGGAGAACAATACGAAAGATTAAACTGATACAAAAATTTTAAAATAAAAGCTCGTAATTGATTAATATTAATTACCTGATTTTTCACGGTTGACGTTAACAAATGTTTTTGTAGCACCAATGGATTGCGTTCCTTCAATATGGCCCGTATCTTCTTCGAATCCGGCACCGCCACTTTGGGGAGCTTCCGGCTGAACACACCGTCAATATCACTAACACTTTGTTGAATCGTCCTCTGTTGTGCTGAATCCTTTCTATCACTTACACTACTCTTTTCACTCACCGACGAACCGGTATCACTAGTTTTAGTCACAAACTGAAGATGCAAATCATGAATTTGCGAATTCACCTCACCTGTTAAAAAAAACAACTTTCGTTAACAAAAATTTCAAATATTCCAAAACAACAATTCCAGAACGAGCAAATAAACAAACAACTTCACTCAAAGAATTAGAAACAAATCATATGCATACCTCGTTTTGTAACAACCGCTTTGAGCTGCTCTTCCAAATCTTGTTTGGCTATCATCAAGTTTTCCAAGTCCTCTTGCAGCCGGGATGTGTGTATCCGTCCGGCCAGCACTTCCGCCTCCATCTCGGCCAGCTTGTCAAGCAAAAGGTCCCTTTCCTCGCGCAGCTTCAGCGCGTCCGACGAGGAATCCGTCGGCGAGGCGAACAGGAATCCCTGGAACGAAACGTCGCGTTCGTTCTTGGTGATAGACCGCTCGCTGATCGTGCCCTGCAGCGCTTTGGCTTCGTTTTTTAATCGCGTCCCTTTGCGGTGGATGATGTCCAGTAGATTCCATAGCTCGTCTTCTAAATCATCGTCGTGTTCTATCACGCCTGGAAGCAATACGAACGCTAATTAGTGAATCTGTGGTGAACGAACGGTGGAGAGAACCCACCAGCTGCCGAAGAGGAGGTCGCGAGCGCCGTGGACGAGGCGCTGTGCGTCTCCTTGCTGGACGTCTCCGTGCTGAAGCCGGAGTCCTGCACGGCGATGTCTCCGCCCTTCTTCCTCGAATCGTCCTTGCTGCCGATCTTCTTCCGCACCCGCACGCCGGGCGTCCATTCTCCCGGCCGTATCGACACCGGTATGTTGGAGTTGTGGTGGCCGTTGGTGGTCATCGTCGCCGATGTGGAGGACGCCAGCTTGGTGCGCAGGTTAGGAAACGTCTCCATGACGAGATCGCGAAACTCCAGGAGAGCGCCGACCTCATGCTGGAGTTCCTGCAGGGCGACCAAAGACTTGGCTTGCTCATTAATGAGATAGTGAAATGGACCGGCCGGTTGTCGCAGCTGCAGGCAGTCCATACCACCCGATCCCAACGGTTCGAAGCCCTGGAACAAATCACAGCATTGAGAGAGGTTAAGCTCGTACGAGATGGAAAGGTTTTAAAGGAGTGTTACCGGAAAAACTTCAATCTGGGTCAGAGTAATGGGTACATGTTGTCTACAACTTCAACACACTTGATTTTTTTGTTTAGTTCCTTAAATAAACAATAGGGAAATAAAAATAATGGTGAGTGCATTAGTTAGATTTCAAGAAAAAAATAATACAAGCGTGATATCATTGCTTTTTATTGGGAATGTGTGTAGGAGCAATTAAAAACAATTCTTTTGTACTGTTTTTATTAGAAAATAATTACCCAGTTTTTAATGTGCTTAGTGGTGTTTGTTAATTAGACTAATTCGTAACGGTTATAAAGCAATAAGTAATTTAAAAAAAAAAGTAGGTATTGTAGATCATTTTTTGAATATCTCGCATTGTTTCTAAATTATGTATTATCATAATTTCATTTTAGTGTGTCATGTGCAGTCAACAGTTTCTTAAATACATTACTAACCCATTTTTAATTCTTACAAGACGTTCTATTGCTGCATAATTTACTAAATAATCGCTTTAAAAAATAATTATCAATTAAAAGCAAGTTAAATAATAACGAATTTATTTAAATTTAACGCGTGCCAAATTATAAATGAATATTATATGCGTTATTATAAAATAGTTCGTTTCATCAGAATTTTAAAGCAAAGTCAAATTAAAAAATCGCTGTATTTCTAAAAAACAGAATATAATGCTAATATGAAACTAAGAAAACGAAGTGAAGAACTTTTAATGGTAAAAATCGCATCGCATCAGCGTTATTGAATTTAATTATGAGCAAGCAAATGACGAGTCATTTAACATTTACAAATTAACATTAATTTAAATACAGGGTCAATTTCTATTTAATAATAATTATTTAGGTACTAAAATGTTACGAAAGAATTATTTTGAACAAAAAAAATGCACATAAATTCAAGGTACCCAAACAAAAGCCTGTCAGATCCGTAGTGTAAAAAATCAACTAGCCGAAAACCGATCGAATCAAAAATCTTGTCAAATAAATAGTGCTACAGGAACTTTTCATGAACCTGAGTAGAAATATCCAAAAGTTCAAAGATTGACCTCTGATATAAACAATTTCACATCTGTATTTTGCTATGTCAAGATAATTATATTCCAATAATTACTAGAGATGCAGGTACTATAGTCCATGTAAGAACCTCCTTATCAGTGATGCTATACAGTATGTACGAACTGATCCGCTGCAAGCATATAATGAGAATAATGAGATAGCTAATTTAACTTTTGCTATGTAAGGAATAAAGAGAACATACGAAATAGTCACGCCCGCTATCCCCGCTATTCGCTAGTGAACGAAGCGAAGCGAATTGACGAATTCTAATATCGGCCGGCAACCGATAAACAAGTTTCTGTTCTTTACTATCTTATAGTATTGATTGAGATTCTAAATCTAACGCTTGCAGCGGAAGAATTCGTACACTCTGTAGATGATATAGTGAAATAGGATGATAAATGTGACTTGGATGATGGATAACTAACGATTCAATATTTCATTGTTGAGAAATAAATTAGACGAGCAGGTAATACTTTCCGACAATGCAAATACCCGTTTCAAAACGGATAATTCGATAACATAACTGTTAATGCTTTATTGAGCATTAGAAGTTAAAAACGAAACTTAATCGCCAATGCCCACGCAATACGTATTGAACTTGTAGGTCGCAGACGAGGTCGAAACTTTCATATTTCCGTTTGATTGCATCGGAATATACACGTTTAAACCTATCGTCAATCAAGTTTTATATCACAGATTTTGTACTTCTGACCTACTTGGTGCAGCATGTGATCCGTATGTGCCGAACCCACTTTAAATTAACGCCGAAAATAGCCATTAAACGGGCAGAAGATGAATGTTCTTGCATATTTATCTTCGAGCATAAAGAGAAAAAAAAGTTACCGTCCGCGACATACCTACATAATCAACGTTTCGCAAAATAATAATTAATAACCCACAAGCGTTACTAACTAGGGATAGGAGCTTGCAACTCTTAATTGTAGATAAGAAAATAAGAAGGAAACTCTACCCGGAATATAATTATTAAATAGAATAAACTATATTTTCCACAATCATTGATGTTTTTACTTCTAAATAATTTCTATCTACGTTTAAGTAAAATAAATAAAATCGTTTATTTATAAACTCATTTTCTTTATAAACACACTTTCTATTAATCTAATTTTATTCATTTCTATTCTATGTTTGCATTTCAATACGCCGATAAAGTGCATAATGTTTAAGCAATTTGCAATTTTTTTATTGCAAATCGGTCTCGTTAAAAAGTAATGAGAAATCTGAAATGTCATTTACCACATTTAACCAGCTGGACATTTTACTACGACTTTCTTTGTAAAACCAAACTACCTACTTAATTTGAAATATCCAGTTTAATTTTCAAGTCCAATTTTCTTAATTGTTACATTTGCATCATAAGGTTAAAATAAGCGTCTCTAGATACATGTTTAATTACAATGAATATATTTAAATAAATAACGAATTAATGTTTAACAGCGGCTTAAGTAGGGCTCTCCACAAATTAGACTCCACATAAAAAAACCTGCTAGCGTTTTAGCATCTTATTTATTTCTCGACTCCTATTAGTTTTTTATGCCATTTGGAGGAGCAACTGAAGGCTCGATTATATTCAATACTTTTTTCTTCTCTTCGAACCGTTTTAGAACAACTCATTCGTTGCCTCTTCCAGCAGCCACATAACCTTGATGATTTTTTGTAATTACAAAGTTAATAACTGATTTGGTTCAGAAAAAAGTCGATGGTGATACTTTTAATAAGTCGAGACCTAAGTAAACCCGTTACTGAATCACCAGGTAATTCAGATCAAGGATGGCGTAAAAAGCGAAAAAAATATGCAGAATATTGAGTGATCAAAGAAAAATAATACCCTCTATTTAAAGGCTAAAATAAGGTAAGCGATATGGCTATGCAAAAATTTGCAAGTAAAAAAAACCCGTCTGGAACACTTTCACAAAACGGCCTTAAACGAAGCAGCTGTGTCACACACGAGCGATACGTTGATACGGATACCAAACGGATTTTCTACTCTTTGTTAATTTTTAATTGATTTGAACGCATTTAAATTTGAAATCGGTGAATAACGCTGTGCTCTTATTAAGTTCACTTTCACTATTTACGGCTAATAATAAACCACAAATATCGAAGTACAAGCATAAAAGTAATAATAGCCTTTGTGCATATCGCTTGATGGCTCAACTGTACGTTCGTAATTGCCCACAACTTTCATACAACCAAGTATTACTAATAAAAAAAAACATAAAAAACTAAAAATAACTAAGAAGCCGAAGCCACTAAAGTATAAAACAATATGTAAATTATTAATAAGTCCTTCGTTCGGCAATTGAACTAAGATTTGAAGAAACACATACATAAATCAACGGAATCGCTTGTATTATTAACCAAAAACACAGCAGTTCAATGAAAGTTCAGCGAACGAACCTCTCAAATGTAATTAATTTTATGCCTACACCGGCCCACGGGTTTTCTCCGACCATTGTGCACTTTTATGGTAAACCTTTCGGAAAGCAAAATGCAATATGATGGAACGATTTCGGTAAAAACCCACTGAAAAAATAAATGTTTATGGACGAGTATAATATATAATTTGGCGAGAATAAATTTATGCAATACCAATTTCTTCATGAGTTTTTAGTACATTATTACAACAGATAAAATGTGCAAACTCGATTGTTCTAAAAGTATTTTTGAATTATTTTAATGAAATTTCAAATTCGCAATGGAGATCAAATTTAATGGTAGCCTACATTTGAGATTTCCGTGTTCGTAAAAATTAGTAGGTTGAAACTCTCGGAACCACCAATTAGCCAAATATGCATGGACTTTTGTGAATCCACCGCATATTTTATTCATCTCGATTTCCGTTTTTCGATTCGATTGTATTTCACCAAACAAACAATTCCAACTAATTTATAACGTATCAAAAATTCTAAATAAATTCGAGTTCCTATTAAAAATATTTATGGTTTACAATCTGTTTTATTTTATACAACAATTTTTTACAGTTAACATAGGTAGCATTAAAATTATTATGAAACCTAAGTGCGCGTAATTAAAGTAGGAAATTTAATCGCCTTTAAGTTTGACGAGAACCAATAATTTCCTGTTCTTCATCTTCATCGTGATCTGGTCCACGACAATCACAATTAATATCTCATTACATAATATAATCTACTAACATGAGATAACAGTACAGATGTAAAATTTCAAAATTCCACATCTTTTGCGAGCAATCATATTGCGTTCAATTACACCGTGGGTTTAAAAAGTTGCACTTTTAAGGATCGACTCATAGGGCAAATGGCATCAATGCACAAACTACGTGGTATTCTGTAATCTCAAAAGATCATCCTCAAGGAAGTTTGAAAGTGTCGCAAGAATCCTGCTCTACTTATATTTTGTAAAAAAGTCGAGGAAAATTAATCCTCCTAATTCAGTAGAACCTTTCGTTTTCACGTCTCCATTAAAGCAGTAACTGTGGAGAATCTATTAGTGTTTTTAATTAAGCAACGATTTTCCGACTAATTTGCAACACTTAAGTATTGGTGAAGGTTAAAGAACTATAAATGATTGTCAGAGCTTTTCCAGCTGATGCTAACAGTCTTCCTTTAGGCACGCATGTTGGATTAATTCGTTCTGCAAATTGCATTCTCCAATATCTTGCGAACCATGCATGTTTATGACAATTTTTTGCCGATACATGTATCGCTGCACATTCAACGCATAATTATGCCGGCATTTGCATTTTGAGATTTACTTTGCATTATTGAGTTTGTTAACGGAATAAACAATAACACTCTTCAAACGCAAGAGTTATTTCACTAGTTGGTCATATTTTAACATAAGTGAACCCTACGTGTACCCAGCGAAGCTTGACGTTTTCCTGGTTATTACAATTATTTTAACCACCAGCTGCTTTCAAAAGGGAGTTGCAGTTGGATACTTTCGATATTCCACGATGAAAAAATTTGCTAATGAAATTCGTATTACCTACCAGGTTTAGATTTTAACACAATTCTGATGTATGATCCTAATTGAGCAATTGCAACATGTAATTTATGTAATGGGCCACAGGTGATATCTGAACAGGCTTGGAAACACAATACACATTATTTTGTTACGCTACATTAGAGATAAGACAATGGCTAAATAGTGCAAAGAAATAAAGCTCGAGCAAGTTGGAGTTAATCAGCGGTCGCTTATTTTCGCTCGCACCCAAAAAAGCGCTACCATTAAATTACCCACACAAATATGGAAATAAGGAAAGAGCAGAAAGTCCCGGTCGTGATTTTTTTGCGTTAGAAATTACGAAACATTCTACAGCCGTTTTATTTATATGCAGTTGGTAAATATTTCAGCAGCAAAACATGAGTCAGCCGAGACGCTATTCCGAATAGGAATGGAATGAATCGGTGGAAAAATCTTTGCAAATATTTTTCAGCATTCGACCTGTTTACTCGGTCTTCCAGTTGGATTAAAACGAATTAAAACCGCATTAGATCGTTGCAATTGCGAACGATGCGATCGTCGGGCTCACCTCATTCCACATCCATATACTTTCCAAACGTATCAGCTTCCTGGTAGGTTAATCCGAGCGGCTGAAAAAATCAACATCGCGCCAACCGAAAAAATAAGTAAATAAAATGTCTAACCGTAAATAAAACGGCCGAAAGAAACGCACTTCACAATGAAGTAGATGGAAAAAAGCGAAAAACGAATTTCCGACTTGGAGGTTGTTGTCCTCGAATCCGTTCGGTTATACGCGCACGGTACGTTCCCTGCGAACGGCGGGCGATTACTGATTAAATTCGAGCGAGCGAACGCGTTCGAATAGAATAGAGGAAACTTTGTAAAGTTGTGCTCGTCAGGCCGTGGCGAACTCTTCACGACACTACTAAAACAGATACAAACACCGCAATATTGTTCCGAACGAATTTTTGCATGCCTTGCATTTGTGTCTATCGGATTGATTAAATACGACAATTACTCATTGTTGACTGTCGAGTGTTTATGAGGGAATCCTACTGTGTAGCCCTGTTTGTAAAGTAAATAAGATTAATTAATATTGTCCAGACCATAAACAAAAATACGTAATAAACTCGAAACGAAAATAATCCAAAACAAACCTGCGGAGATAAGGAAAGAAAATTGTACTGTATACACTCATCAGGAAACCATCAGGAAACAATTTATATAAGGGGGAATAAAACGGTATTACAAGAAAGGATAATCCAGAATTAGAAAATAGTATAGAAGTAAGATATAACAGAAGATTTTTTAAATCCTGCTGTAATCCCAAATAAACTCATTAAGGTTAATCAAATGCTTCTACCCTTACTTCATCTTCTTCTGATATATTAACCGAGAGGGTACTTTCTACCCTGAATAGACCCTTTCTACCCGCTGTGTCGAAAGTATTGAAAAGGTCTGTATTATACTCGAATTTCTCTTTATTTATTATACCAAAATAGATGTAATTTTCAATAACGTTTAAGTGAACATATAATAAAGTTCTGCATTAGTACAGTTCCATCTACCTGGTCATAGCTCTGCATACTTGTTAATCTGAAGATTAGTACCGAATTTTGAAGAGATCTGCATTATGAAGTCTCTTTTATAACTCTGGTACTTCTATATAGAAAGAAATTTTGAAATAATGAATTATTCAACCAACCTGGTTGGAATGAAAAGTTGTAACTCTTCAAATTTCTTGGTGGTTTTTTTTGGTAAAATGTTTTACACTTAAATAAATTGCAAAAAATAAATCGAAAGTACAAAGAAATTATATCATACGCAGAAATAAATAACAATGCCCAACTTTTACTTTCGACGATTTCGATTCAAACCTTGCATGACAAATTGTGTAATTTAATCGTAAAAAAAGCGAATAATTAAAGTATCTACTTGTAGAGGTAAGGAATACTTAGAACAATTGAAAACTGAGATACTGAGGTAAAAAGAAATTTTATGTTCTATAATTACGTGTATTTATTGAGATTAGATTAAAACCCATTTTCAATAGTGCCCCGAAAAAATAAAAACATAAACAAGTAATTATGCTTGTAATTAAGACTATTTACTCCTTTTCATAAGCCTTACCATAAAACTATAAGGAAAAACATTAAATACAGCTGCACTAATGATTTCAGCGCTATTTATCCAATCATCTTTCAACAAATTTTTAATAGTTTATAATAAACTTTACTGAATATAATACGTAACGTTCGAAAGTGCTGCAAATAATCGTATAATAAGGCAAGATCTCGTATGGATGCGGTTAAAGAATTTGTAATTAGAATGGAAAATTACTAATAACAAAAAAATTAATATTAGAAGAATATCTGAGTAATTTCGAATTGCAAACGCCTATTATAATTAAGAGAAATCAAAGAGAAAAGCAATTCGTTAGAAGTAATTTTCAAGTATACTACAAAAATAAATGCTTTTTTTACGATTATTTATTTTACTGTAAACGGCAAATATTTTTGGTTTCTCTTAATAATTACCTTCGTTCAACACTCGAGCACTGAACAAATAAGATAAATAAATTTTATGAAAGTTATTACTTATTGTTGAATATTTTATAATAGATTGGTATTGATTAGTCCATTAAAACAAATGGCATTTAATTATTTAAGGGAATGTCGCCGTGTAGAGAATAAATTATTAAACGCGGAGACTTTCCGTTGCTTTCAAGATACGTATCTTGCTTGTGTCGAATCACATTAGGGATTCACACAGAGGATTATAACATAGCATACCGTGAGTTAATCATGAAGCCCATGTTGATTAGTAGAAACGTTGATCACTAGTTCAGCTACCGAGTTAATTCCTAGTTAAGAATGAGAAGAGAAGAAAAAATTGCAAAGAGAAGATGACAAACAATTATTTTCTGCTAATTTGTCATACAGGCTCTCAAGATTAGTGCGGGACTATACATTGCGTTTTGACGGGAGCGTTTTAACCGGACCGGTTTGGAGGGATAGATAGAACATATTGTTTTAAATTAGATCGTCTATACATGTGCGGTGCGTTTGCGGCAACCGGATTCAACCGCATCTTGCTGCGGTTTAGCGGGTCCCTTTTAAAAACGCATATCGACAAGAACACATTCATTTCAATTGTAGCGTCTATACACAGTGCGGTTGAACGGGATCATTATACAGAAAATTTGGTTATTTGAATATAGTATTTTGGATTTGTTGTATATTTTGTTGAATAATTATTGTATTAGTTATATTCGACACTGATAAATTCATTCAGTATATCAAAGAACATGAAAAGCATGAAAATAATGAATGTTGTATTTTCTTTCTGTTTTTTAAGTAAGCCAGTAGCTTCAAGGGCGCTAACAATTTTAATATTTGATTAAATTTTCATCAAACCATCTACTTTCTATCTAAATTCTACAAAGAAATGACTGAGCCGCATCCTTTTTAGCGGGATAGACGATGGATGTATACACCGATGAAATAAAATGCGGCTGAACGGGTCCCGTTTAACCGCTCCCGTCAAAACGCAATGTATAGTCCCGCACTTATAATCCTACAGAAGATGTAATAAAAATGTGGGAGCAAAACGCTACTTCTAGAATCATTTTTGTATAAATACTCCTCTGTGTTTCATTGTTTTTAGGCACAACAGATATTTAAGAGAATTAGCGAAGCGCGATAAAATCAAAACTAGACGACCTTCATTGATAATTGTCCTTTGGAAAAAAATAATTGTAGCATTATAATAACTAAGTTTTAAATATTGTTGTAGATACAATTGCCAATTAAAAATAGATTAATCGAAGAAAAAAAATTGTTTTGGTCCAGTACACGAAGATTTCAAGATTACTATTATTAATATCATCAACCATACAAATATTAGTTCAATAATGTTTTTATCAGCAGGAAAGTAGAAAAATATTTATGTTCTACTACACAAATTACGTTATTTTTTATGTGCATTAAAGTAGGTACTATATTATTATGAGACGTATCAATCTACATATCATGTGATAAATTAAACGTAAAAATAAAAAAATGGCAATTTAACTATATCTTACATAATATTACGTAATGTTATTTTTAATAGCATCTAATATTTTCATCGTAATAAATAGGGTAATGCCCCTTTAATCAAAACCGAATTCAAGGATAAATGTATGAAGAAAATTGAAGTTATAGAATACTTATTTATACCGGATGAGATAGGCGTAATTGCTTATTAGCAAATATTACAAATTAGAATTAATTGCACAAAAGCAGCCTTAGTATCGAGGAGAGGCAATGAGGTAACGCTTATTATATGCGTACAAATGTTACGCCAAGAAAAAATACCACCGACTACGCATTCGTTGGGTTACAAAAATCACATTACACGAAGCAAAGATATTGCATGTCTTGTAATAATTAATGACATCAATTACGTTCGACGATGCATTCTCAAATCAACGAGAAATATGCGGGATGCCCAGCATTTCAATGTAAATGTATAATTTGGTTCTTTAGCCGAACGCCAAGCTAAAGATTCTTTTGAAACTGGCCAATAAAAGTCTTCTACCCTTTTTTATCGACAGTGATAATTCCCAGGGATTAGATAAATTGCACTATACAGAATTAAATACGACACTCCTCTTAGTCATAATCATGCCTGTATATCATTTCGTTAATTAATTAAGTTTACTTATATGTATTGTTTTTTGAATTCAGGATAGCGTGCCAAAAGTTCGTTTAGGACGAATTAACAAAATGTAAATTCCAGGATGAAATTTTGCGATAACCGAAAACTACGTAAAGTTCGGCGATGGTACGGACATTTCCTTGGCCTCTTCGCTATTCTTTCAACTGAGAATCGATAGTTTCGCATGGAAAGGATAAACGTAACGTCGATACGTTATTTTATCGAAAGCGTCATTTAATCGGAATATCTCGATTGGAGAAATTTAAATATTTATCAAAAATAGTTTTTTTTTGTTCAAAGATAATTCGTAAATTGATTCTTCATATTAAAATTATGTGGTTTTTTATTCAACCAAATTAATAAAGGCAATTTTGCGTGTTTTGGGTACATTTTTTAAATTGACTCTGAAATTTTTCGAATTTCAAGGTTGAACATTCATAAATTTCAAAAACGTTGTTCGATGAAGCAATTAAATTATTTTTGGCCAATGTAATTGATTAATAAAGAGAATGTATGAAAGTTTGTCAATCTTAATTTAATATAAACCACAAAATGAATTTATTATCCTACTTATAAAAACTATAATTATAGTACTACCATCAACTAGCCTTGGGTTATTGTACCTCATTGTCCCGATAGAAAAAAACACACATTTGAACTAGATAAATCAAAAAGTACTGTTAGAGTGATCTATGTCAAATATATTTTAATCCAAACTTATGAATCAATATTATTCGATCATCTTCTTCCAGAAGTCATATCCAGCTTTGCTATACTAATGTCTTCCACTCTGTAAGTATTTTAGAGTAGCATCATGAGAAACTGGTAGCATAGTAAGTAGCACTAATTATATCACAATTAATCCAGCTTGAGAATGTATTATGTTTGTGTGTACTTATAATATAAAATACAATTCATGGGATGCAATTAAGTGGGTTGCATTTTCTTTTAGATATTTTTGTGAGACACTATTTATTTCTATATTTTTCTTATTTCCTACTCTCCGAACAAATACTCTGCAAATCTACAACATTTGAAAGATAGTCCTTGAATAGCAGAAATTACTCTTCAACTCATCGACATCAGTAATACTACGAAACTTCTCCCAACAGGATATAAAAGAATTTAAAATACAATACAATATAGGAGCAATTTATAATCCACTTTAGTCAGTACTAAAGATCCAAACAGATATGAAATCTGGTATTTTCTAAAGTAGTTGACTAATCAGATGATATCATTAATTTAAAGTTCAATCCACTCTGAAAGGAAAATAAAGGAGAATTCAACATTAAACTATAAATGATATTGCCATTACGACCGACTTACGAAATAATTAAGTAGGTAAAGTGTGTATAAAAGATACAAATTTGCGATACCGTTTCTCATAAACAAGAGTAATTATTTGTTTTTTAAATAATACAGTTATTAAGAACTTACCTCGTAAGCGAACTGAGTACCATCATTAAAGTAATTCTGGCTGCTCATATTGGATGAAAACTTCAGTTTACATTATAAAATTGAAATATAAATGGAGGTGATACGAGTTAATACATCAACGTTAACGGTAGTTTTAATACTGCACTAATTTACTTTAATATCATCATGACTAATTTAACCTCGTTTATATTGCAAATTTTTGTGTACTAATTCTAATTAAACTCTTCATTCTTCATTAAATATTTGATTTTCTTCGCACCTACACCAACAAATATTATTAAGGTGTCTTTGACAATCTTGACACTATTGACTAATGACATACTGTCATTAATGTCATCTGTCATAAATTTATCGATTCTTTTTTATTTTTTTTGGAGACTTCGATTGTAAGAACAAACGGCCACATTTGAAGTTTATTGTAGAGATTTAGAATTTTGTAATGCCAAAAAATTATATTCCATCAAATATTTCTAAAATGAATCAGAGTAAAATTGAAGGATGTGATCAGAAGATGTACGGAAAATATGCTGTTAACAGTGAAAAAAAGACCGCATCAAAAACTAGAACGATCAACGAATGCAAGGAAAAATGCACGAGACGTCCGAGTTTGATACCGAAATTATTTCGATCTAATCAATATTATAAAACGTCCTACAGCAGTAGAAATAGCTCCCACATATCTTCACCTAAAGCAGAATTCATCGACCGTCGTCCACAACTACAAAAATCAAAGGAGAAAGACCACGCCCCTACTTTAACAAAAATTTTGACCCTCGAGGAAGAACTAAAGAAAACAATTAAAATATGTAATAAAAAACACAGGTTTTCCAGCGTAACCAAAACATCACCTACTTATTGTGATAGAGATAATCCGATGCAGACGATAAACAAAATAAAAATATTATTCAACAATATCAAACAGATAAAAAATACAGCAACCCTTTTAGCTGATAATATCGACTTTCGAGAACAAAAAAAATATATTCAGAACTTAATACGGTGTTTCGGAGAAATTCAAGGGATTGTACAAACTGACGCCGAAATTAATTCCAACAAAACCGATCTGGACAATGATTTCAATATGCTGGTAATACTGGAAGTGATAAGAGAAATTATTGATAGTGTGCATGATACAGAGAAACCCTAATAAATTAGTTTTACATGTTTAAACTGAATTATAATTGAGTTATAATTATGCTAATTTTGAGTCGCTCAGCGCCAGAATGGCCCAACTGCGAAATTTAATTTACATGCGGTATCAATCAGGAATTGCCCAAATGGCCAAAATGGCGCCCAAATGGCGTGTATGCACGCTATACAGAGGGTATCAATTAATTGAGTTCCGATATTTCAGGATGTGAATATTTGGATGATTTTAAGAAGAACGTCCTATGTGCTATGTCCATATGATCTAACTCTCTTACTTTTGGGGCTACAGGGTGTTACAATTTTAGAAAAAAAATAATTTTTCTATCATAATTTTCTTATTATGATAGAAATTATGATAGAAATTTTTTTTTTCTGAAACTGTAACACCCTTTAACTCGAAAACTAAGAGGTTTAGGGCATATATTGATATAAACTTTTCTTCTTAAAATCATCCAAATATTCACATCCTGAAGTATCGACACTCAATTAATTAACTCCCTGTATATCTATTAGTGAACTATAGACGATCTCATTTGAGCCAAAGTGCAGGTCTTGAAATTAAGAAAATATGCAACACTTTTTCCTGATTATTTCCATCAAATGCAATATGCAATTATTCGCACTTTGGCGCGGAACGACTAATTTATACATTAATAGATTCACGTTATAGGAAAAAATTAATAAGGCTATCATCATAATCTGTATACCTCCACACTGTGCTATTTAAATTCGTTTGTACAAAATTTAAAGGGCAAATAAACTTCACTCAAAAACACCGGAGTCATCATTAAAGCTTCGATGCCGGCTTTACGACGTGATTCTAACATAATCTTTAATTCTTTTAGGATGGCTGAATTGGCCGCGTATGGTCCATTTATAAGCCTCTTTAACAGCGATAATTCTTTTGCAGTTAGTTCCTGCGTCTGCACATCGAATTCCTTCATCTCCGAGGGATAAATGCCTATCCATCTGGCATTTGGCACAGCAAGCTCGTGAGAAACATGAGCGGTGTTCTTAAAAAAATGCCAAATATGAAAAATATAGGTAGAATATTTGGGCGATTAACTTACTACTGATCCATAACGATACTTTAACATAATTTCAATACCGTGCGGATCTCCATCAACTAGAATAAACACAGGAATCGACATAATAATCCACAATTTCTTGAGGAATAACTGGGTGTTGATGTCGGGATAACCCTTTCCAGTCATAATAATGAAAGGTTTCGTTAATTTATTCGATAAATCTTCATTTATGAGTTTGTGAAAAATAGCTTCCTTTTCCACTACCAAAATAAATTTAGCAGTAGAGTGAATTTCTACGATATCTTCAATATTTTGTGGAATTAAAACACCTACGAAACGAATTTTTTACAACGTGTAAGACTTATTACATTAACTTCTACCTGGTTTGCAATACAGTTTTTCGCCGTTAGAAAAAAATACTCTCAAATCTCCGTAAATTAAGCCCTTTTGTGAGATTACATTTAAATTCCAAGATCCTACGTCTAACATACAACTTATCGTACTCACAGCTTTTGTCGTTGACGATATAGTAAAGTTGAAATCCTTTATTTGATAATATAGTTCTCTAGAAGGTAAATAAGAATTATACATATGTAGTAGACAAGTTTCAAAACAAATTAACCTTTTTGTGACTGTAGTGTTGCTTTCTAAAAGAACGGCAATTTTCTTCAAAATTAATAAAATTAGTTTAAACCTACTGGATTTTAATGCTGAATTTATTATGCTAACGGCTGAATTTTCCGATTTAAACTGCAATCTGAAATATGCATGAAATGCCTGTGAACATATACTCGAACAAAAAATTTACCTTTCATCTTTTAATACACAGTTTTCATAAGACTGTTTCCTGTATTTTAAAACTGGATGTGTTCCATTAGACAAATCATCGAATACTCGATGAAATATACTCCGTATTTTACTTACAACGAAGGATTTATCGCAATCGGAAAAACGAATTTCTTTGCAATGAGAAATTAACTTGTCATCATTTAAATGCTGGTATAAATTGCTCCTCACAAACCGTTGACTTTCGTTTAAAGTGGAAGAATCCGATGAGATTGCGGAAGAAACACTCGATGCTGAAGTGAATCGAGTGAGAATTGAACTCAACTTTGAGTCTTTTTCAGGAGTAATTTTCGGGCGATTTTCAATAATTTTGTTGCTTAATTCCGACAGCGAGCAGCGATCGTTTACTATATTCATCTTCTTTAACCTAGGCAAAAATGAAAAGAATACGTCTATACAGGGTGAGTTAAATAGGTATCTTTAGTCCGTATATTACGTTTAATATTTTGATAAAATTTGATAAATGATAAACTACGTTTAGTATAAGATAAAATTTTGCATTATAAAAAATATAAATGCAAAAACTCTTTAACTATTTTTAATTAAACCATTCTACCCTCCGCTACCCTCTACCTACATGTATACCCTTTCTATATGTATACCCTATTTATATGTATTTTCTACCCTACTCTGCCCTCCGCTACCCCCACCTACCGCTCGTTGCTCCCTACCTAACACCCGCTACCCTTCTACACTCTTCTACCCTATTCTTCACTAGTTTATAAGAATATATACCTTTACCCCTTCCTACCTTCTTCTAACCAAATACAAATTACTTTCTACAAAATACATTTTGATTGCACCTGGTTATTAACTAGCCCTGTATAAATCTAATTTAATTGTTAACTTGCCTGTATATCATCGTTTTCTCCCTTTTAAAACGTTCTATGTTCGTTTTATAATAAATATATTTACGTTCTTCTAACCATTCATCTAATTTCTCGGATCCATTAATGTCGTTTTCTTTATTATTCCTCTCGTTTACATATTTTTCATATTCTTCTATTAGCAGACCATTCAAATTTTCGTTTTTTAAAAAACTCTCAAGAAGGTTACTCTTATTTGAATTTTTATCGTTTCCTGTACACGTATTTTTAACATCAGTAGTTTGGAAAAGTATTTGTCTATCTTCGATACTAAATTCTGTCTCAAATTTTTCTAGGCTTTGATTTTCCTGCTTTCCAGTCTCCGCAAAATCGGAATTTAATGTGTTATCTTCACGTTGAAGATCGAATGATGCGTGTTCTCTAAGGAAATCTAACGATTCAAAGAACGTACTTGAATTGGGATTTTCATTTGTTGAAGGGGTATAAGGAACAGAGGAGTCAAATGTTAAAATTTTACCCAAATTTGTTGAAGTGTTGCGACTGTAATTATCAATTTCCAATAAATCTATACTTGAATTCGTTGAACTCCACAAGATACTTTTTGTTTTGTTTTGTAAACAACCCTTCTCGCTCGAGGGATTTGCAGTGGATTTAGTTTCATTGTTTGAATAATCTAAAGGTAACGATTTCGCTGGAATCGCTTTGTCTTTTGCACGCATTTTGTTACTTTCTTTATTAACGCGATCTTCAGATTCTTCTTTTCGATTTTGAGTTGTACATTTCCCGTTTTTTGTTTGTGGAAAATAATTTTCAATTGTCAATTTTTTGGTCATTTTTTTCTTCAAAACATGGTCAAATGCTGGTTTGGTATTCACCAAAGTTTGCAAATCTGGAGAAGGTACTCGATTGTTGGGAGTTAGTTTTATTGAACTATCACAGCTGCATTTTGGTCTGTTGGATTCGGTTTTATTGATTTTAGAGAGAAGTGTATCACCGCTTTCGAAATTATTTTTATATTCTCTGTGGATAAGAATATTTTCTTCTGTTTTGTTCTCTTTTTCATCACTACAATGCTGATTGCTGCTTTGACTTTCAAAAGTGGTTACAACATTTTTTACTAAAAAATATAGCTTAAAGACTATATCTTCATATTAATTTATAGGAAGAATTTACCTGTATTTTTGATGGATTTTTTGGTACAATAAGCTGAATTCGATTCATCTGATGACGTATCCCAATTTGGTATCTTATGTGGATAATAATTGGAATGATTGTTCAATTCTTGTTCCTCGCTATCCCATTTTTTTAATATTGACGAAATGAATGCATCTATGCTGTCCCCTTTTCTATAGTTTTTTTCTACAGTTGATTTACTTACCAAAATCGGATCAGAATATGGCGACTTTTCATTTGATACATTTTTTTTTGTACTATAGACTATTGATTGTCCTTTCTCCTTGGTACTTCTAGACCTAGATGAATTATGGCGGCGTCGTTTGAACTTACTGTTTGTTTTTTGGGTATATAATATTGGATGCTCTTCATCCGATGAGCTACTCCAGTGAAATTTCCGGCTACTCTCAACTTTATTTTTCGTCCAGTCTTCAGTAAATAAAGAATTAATGCTGGAAGGCATCGATTTATTCAAAGCAACTTCTTGCTTTGTTGATTCATGTGGATTTTTGCTTCTTTTGATTGAATATTTCGAATGTCTGTAAAAATAACTTGAAAATCTCGCATTTTTACATAATTAATACAGGGTGTTCCATAATGACATGCTAATGTTTAAGGGGGTGATTCTTGCACTTATTTTAGGGAAAAAAACTTTATATGTACAGCGTACAAATTAATACTTTTTTTTATGCGAAACGGTGAGTCGTACGTACAAAAAAATCAAAATATCAAATTTGTTCTAAATTGAACGAGGGTTACAAAAATAATTTTTACTTCAATATTAAGCAGTGGCGTACTATTTTTTTCTCCAAAAATATTCAATGCAAAACCCGTAGGGACCCCACTGTTGAAAATAATAAAATTATTTAAACATAAGAAAATTCATCTTGATTCATCTTGATTGATAGAAGACGCGGTGTTCCAAATTTCATAAAGATATCTACAATAGTATCATAGTTATTACAAAAAAATGATTTTTTTTAACACTAGCTGCATCAACTAACACCCTGGCATCTCAAAAGTTAAAACGTTTAGGATATTGGGTCATATGAAATTTTTTCCTTAAAATGTAAATTTGAAATTATCTGGAATTACCCCCTTAAATATAATAGCATATCATTTTGGAACACCCTGTATAGATGTGATTTCATTAACAGGAGCATCTTGTTAAAATGCGTTAATAAAATAGATTAATAAAATGATATTGTATGTTTTATTAATTTGCATACTTAGAATAACTTTTAAAATTCGACCACAAGCACTTGTTTTAAACAAGGGTGGTAAACATTGTGATGATAAGTGTTAATAAAATTTTAGTTATTTCTAAAGAATATAAAATAAATTACTTACCTTTTCATATTACTTATATAATACTTACTTATACAATTATAAAAACAATATTAAAGGACTAAAAAATGAAATAACCATAGAAAACTGAATTTTTAGATTCACCTGTCAAATTGTTTATAAATTCATAAATTGGATTGTGGAGAGTAGTTTTCATAAGCAAAATAAAAGTCATCTTTCTTTCTCTGTGGTAGCCGAAATCGAAAACTTCGAGTTTGATTAGCAGTAACAGAATAAAAGTATATAATATTTTTTTAATATAATAATAATACAAATTAACGCAAAACGAAGCAATCTATGAAAGTGCATCCAAATGGCATTCGAGCAACAAACCTGGCCAAATAACATCGTTGAAACAGGATACATTACCAAATAATGACCTTGGAAAAGAAGACTTAAACAATTTGATAGGTTAAATTTGTCAAATTTTCAAATATGAATATGAAATTAATTTTAATTGCTCTAATAATATAGTACACGAGTATTACTATTAACGCAACAATAATGGATTTTAGCGATTCAGAAGACGAATTATATCCAATTAGAGTAAGTAAACAATTACCTACTTACTATCTCAAATATTTTTTGTTTATTAAATATTCTAATTATTTGAGTAATTTCTAATATTCTAGGCTGTATATAGAGAATTTGTAAGTAAAATTAGTTTATAAATTCAGTCTATTCAAAGATTTGTCTATAAATAAACCATTTTAATTATATAATTATTAATAATAACAAATATAATTAAAGTCCCTAATAAAAAATAAAATTTGCATAATATTGTGAAAGTAGGTATTTTTTTGTGTTTGATCTCAAATTTAATGTATTTAGAACATGTAGAATTAAAGTAACTAAGAAAATAGTTATTATATTTTAAGGTATCTCATTTCGAAGGAGCTTTAGTGTACAACGATCCTCTACTTCTATCAGGAGTACTTAGAGCAGTTGTAGAAGAAAATGTCGAAAAAATTAGAGAGCTAGTATCGCAAGGTCACTCTTTAAATATCAACGATAACAATGGAAACACACCGTTGCACATTGCAGTTTTAAAAAATTGGTAAGCCGTACTACTCATTACTACATAAATTTCAAAAAAAAGTTTAGTTTACAGATTGTTCAATATTTAGTCAATCACGAAGATGTTAGGATAAATACCAGAAATTTTCAAGGCCAAACTGCGCTCTTTTGCGCAGTGAGATTGGGTTACTACGAATTGTCCAAACTCCTCATAGAAAAAGGCGCAAACGTGAACTTACCGGACAATGAAGAAGTCACCCCCTTGCACAAATCCGTACAATTCCCAGATATTGCCCACTTATTGATTAAGAACGGAGCCAACATCAACGTTGTCGATTACAGCGATGACACTCCGTTACATGACGCTGTAGCGGAAAAATGTTTAGAAACCGTTTGTATGTTATTATATTACGGTGCTGACGCTAACGCCTTAGGAGGAAACCATTTAACGCCTTTTATGAAAGCCTTGATAACCGAATCCTTCGAACTCCAACAAGTTTTGTTCGATTACGTCGATGACTTCAACGTTACTACCCTCGATGATTGCAGCACTTTAACTTTAGCTTTAACGCACGATACTCCTTACGTGAACGAGATTATAGAAAGAGGCGCCGAGGTGAATGTATTCGCTTATTTAGCTTGCATCAATATTCCCGATGAAGACAATTTTAAATTAATATGGAACCGGCTTACAGAAGTCGATGTCGAAGATGATAATATTAATCTAATGTTTCTTTTCTACGAATTAGATAAGGAAGACTTTAACAAATACATCGATATAATTACAGAAAGTACGAATAGTAATGTATTGGAAGTACTAGCGCAAAAAACGAAGAGCAGCGATTTGGCTTCTTTAATAGAGAAAACGGCTAATAACTTTTTATCAACCGAACAAATTACAAAATTAACTTTGTTGTGGTTGGAGTACGGATTTAAATTAGGATCCGATGTTATCGTTGAAGTTTTTATGAACATGGGTTATTGTGAGTTGTTTAAAATCCTGCTGTTCATGGATTACACGGAAGCTTGGTCGCCTCTAACAATAACGCCTAGATTAATTTTCGATATAAACAGTGATGTATTAACTAAATGTAGCGAATTGTTACACGAAGAGTATGCTTTGATAAATCCAAGAAGGTTTAAACAAGATTTTGTCGCTTCCCTTAGCTATTGGAAATGGGGTCACCGTTTATTCGGAAGCACCAATTTGGATCAATTTAGCGATATAATAAGGAATTTTTATCAACAAGAAGTGGAATTGAAGTCGATGTTATTATCTGAATCATTAGTTCCTTCTTTAATGGAATTAGCCAGAGATCAAACTCGGAAATACATAGTAGATAGGCGCGATTTGAAAAATTCTAGTCAATATTACACGTTCGTTAATCGTTTAGATTTATCATCAGTTTATAAAAAAATTTTATTGTTTGAAACGAAAATTTATAAAGCACCTTATGAGAAATAGAGTTTTTTGAATTGTTCAATCAATTTTGTTTACCTTCCTCGTTTCTTCTACTGGAATGATTAGGTTTTTAAAGGAACCTTTAAATACGGGTATGATTTTAAAAATAGTCACTTTTTTTACCTCTATTATATTCAGTATATAAATGTATAATTGACTAATAATAACAGTTAATATTTGCATAAATGCTAACTTAAAGATAATATGTGGTAGATAAAACTTAATTATGGTAGATACTTATAGAATTTTACCTTATAAACCTAAATAGAGCTATAATTTATACTAACTCTTAACATAATAATAACACATCATAATAAGTCTCAGATTTTAAATGCAGTCTTAGCTTATACTTAAAAATCTAATCAATTAAGACTAAAATTACTACAAGTACATATATCTTAAAACATAACTTGCTAAATAGATAATGAGATAAATTCATTATGAAGGATATAAACGTTATAAAAAGGAATAAAAGGATTATAAAAAGAAATAGCAATTTCGATGTTTGGAAAAAGGAAAATTAGTGCAACACTGAAGATGCATCGACTCTGACAAAATGATTAAATAAATAGGGTAAATTCAATTAAATATAGTCATAATCAACTTATTCAATTGGAAATTTCAGATTACGTATTTTTCTGAGTCAGTGCATATTCAGTTCACTTCAGTAGGTACTGGACTAAATTTCCCCCGTTGAAAATACTAAAATAATGTTTCATTTTTACAGATTTCCTCGCTTTTCTTGCTCAATTTCTATTGATTCAAATAGGGTTTTGAAATTTCCAGCACCAAATCCCTAAAAAAAAGTCATAATATAGCGTCTGTATTACTTTTTAACGAGCTTAAGTAAGTAATTTGGGCAACTCAAAATAAACTTACATTATGGTTTCTTCTCTGGATAATTTCCAGAAATAGCGTGGGTCTGTCTTCTACGTTTTTGGTGAATATTTGTAAGAGATAACCGTTTTCGTCGTAATCAATAAGAATTTTGTGTTTTTGCAGTTCGTCAATCGCCTCGTTTATTTTAACTTTACTGGATTTTAGCTGTTGGCGTAAAATATCGTAATATGAGTCCGGTATTTCCATAAATTCCATTCCTCGGGCTTTCAAGTTTACAACCTACAAAGAGGACTATCAATTTCTATTCACGAGGATGAGTACCTACCTAAATGATGGTAAGGCACTTAAACATACTTATCATTTTTTTAAACCAAAAATTATGCAAAATACACCTACACTTTTTATGATATCCTGAGTGTTCAAGGCAATATGTTGAACACCAGGTCCTCCATAATATTCAACGAACTCTTGGATTTGGCTCTTCTTTTTGCCAGGAGCCGGCTCATTTATAGGCATCTGCAAATGATAGATTATTGCAATTTTTTGTTAAGCGTTAAAAAGTGCTTCATCTACTAATTACTTTGATATTTTCTTCCCAATTCGCCATCACAATGGATCTCAGCGCGGAATATTCAGTGTGCACCTGCTTATCGTCCACCGACCAAAATCTGTGGAATTGAAGTATGTCCTCGTACCATTTAGCCACTGATTCCATTTCATTATCCGCCTGGTTTCCAACTATGTGGTCTATAAAGTCCAAATTCGTTGATGGCCTGTTGAAATTATACAAAGTAATCTCTTGCAAATTCAGCATATGGTGTAATTTAGTGGATACTTACAAGAGTTTTCCTAGCGCGTCTTCACCAATAGGTGCATAACCGGGCAAAAACGAACCTCTGTATAAACTTCGGTCAATCAGAGTATGAGTAGTATCTCCGTACTGAAATAGATATTGCTATATGCGTTGATTTTTTCAAGCGTTTCCATTGACTTACAGTTTGAAGTGTCGCAAAACGAACAATCCCATTGAAGTCGCTTTCTTCCCATATGTCTCTAACGATAGTAGCACCTTTCTGCTTAGCCCTCTATAAACAATTTACCAATTTATAATTCGTATGCATTAAGATAAAATAATACCTTACCTTAATTATGCCTTCTAAGTTTTCTACAGCGAACGCGACATCTTTCACACCATCTCCATGTTTCATTAGATGGTTGTTTAAATGGGATTCTCCAGGATTGTAAGGAGAAACGAATACAATGTAAATCTGGAAAATTTTTTATTAAATATACGAGTATCAAGTGACTGAAATTGCTGAAAAGTATGGATTATGGTTATCGGTTTTACCTCATTTTGTCGGATAACGTGATGAGCATAATCTCTGTGACCAGTTTCAAGACCTTTGTAAAAAACTGGTTGGAATCCCATGCGCGTAGTGTAAAAAGAGGACGCCTAAAATGATCATATTTTCTTTGTAATAACATTTACGTAAGGAAAAATCCAACTTACTTGCTTAGCGTTGCTGACGTAGAATGTTATATGATGAAATTTCAAGAATTTTCCATTGGTTGGCTAAAGTTCAAACATGTAAAATTAAATTAGAATTTGTTGTGTTTTATTAGTTGAAAAATAATTTACCTTTTCCCCTCTTTCGTAGCTAGTCTGAAAACAACAAATGAATTTTGATTAATTATTTTATTCAAAAAGTTGGTCTGATTAGATGACTTGGAAATCCGGAGAATGTTACAAATGAATGCGACCTTTTAGACTTTAGACTATCTATTTTTGGCCATAATAAAAATACCGCAATTTAATGATTAAAAATTAAAAAAAAAGTGAATATAACTTTCTAGGAAGATGGAAATATAAATTTCACAATATTACATACTCTTGTGATTTTAATAAGATTAATATCACATGAAAAATTCAATAATTGATTTTAGTATAAGTTTTTAAGTTATTTTTATTAACGAGCTTTTTTTCAAAGCTCGCTTTTAGTGTTTCAGTAATTCCCTTTGAAAGAATACAAAGCGAAATTGTCAATATGTTTAATACCTAGCGAGTAGGTATAAATGCGTTCTAAAAAGATGATGCAACATATCGAAGGTGATTACATCAGCCAAAATGTATAATTCACCGCATCCAACTGCACTTAATTTCAGAAACTTGCATTCAACATCACTTTCAGCAGTGAATAAAGCTCTAGAAGAGAAATACGGACAAATTAAAAAAATTACTTACCATTGTTCTGGTCACTTGTTTTTCGAAATTTCTATATGTAAATGGATTGTGATCATTGCTTCACTCTTATATACGTAAATAGAGATACAGAACATATTTATGCAATCGCTGTGATAACTCCATATAACGTCAATATACATAATATCATCTATCGTAATAAACTCTATTTTTCGACAATGAAAATTACCTAATCAACTTAAATTAAATTACCTAAATAAAAAGTAAGGGCTGTTATGTTCTCCCAACAATTAAGTGTTCTTGGAGTTTCTTACCAACTCGAAATATTCAAGTAACTAATCTTTTTTAACATTTTAATTTTTTATACGTTGATTCATTAAAAGGGTAATTGAACAATTAATTCTATTACACACTAAGATTTCCCTTCCATATTTATTAATAATTATTCTTATTATTATTAAGGTCCAATAACTGCTATACTGTTGTGTTGTTAAGTGTGTATTTCCTCAGAATTGCATTTGGTAATGTTAAAATATTAATAAATAAATAGTTGAACGTGATAAGAATTTGACAATGTTTCATGATAATTGGGAAATAACATAAAAAATAATCATCATTCGAAAATATTCCAATAAAATTAGTGCATTGCATAATTATTATTTTTATAAGAATTAAGTATAAATTGGATTCATTTAAAAAATAAAATATTAGCATATACAATGCAATCTCTAGGAAATGAGTAGGAATTATTTAATTTAATAAAAATTTTGCTTTTTATTAACGTAACTTCTTTTTAAAAAATATCAACAGGAATAATTGATATTAAACAAATTAAATCCATATTTTTTACTGTAAACCCGACGAGAAATAAAACAAATCCATTGTAAAACAATAATTAAGTATTTATTTTTAGGAGTCGTTTTTAAACATCTCCGGATGGAACTGAATTATAACCAGTTCATATGTAACAATCGTTCCAGCGATCTAAAAGTAAAAATTCTAATATAATGAAGTTTGAAAAAGTTTTTAATAATAAATATAAGATAATAGTCACTTGGAACCGTATGTTTTGATACATATTACAAAAAAATCCAATACAGTGTAGACCATGTGGTAGTCGATTTTCAAACTATCTACGTAGCAATTGAACTGTCTTCGTATCAAAACACACTCAAATCACCTTGAACAAAACTTACTTGTAAAATTAAACTTCTTCTGATACTAAAAAAGTTTTTTCCTGTCAATGCCAATTCATATGTAGACGCATTTTTAACGAATCTCTCTACCTAGAATATAACAAACAATTTTATCGATCACCATATGAAAATAAGTGGTAATCCTTGCTAGGTTACCTCTGGACTAAAAGCTGAACTTTTGACCGATTGAAGAAAGAAGCAAATGTCCCTCCATTCGTCGTATACTCCACTGCCGAAAATAATAACTAAAGATATTCTCATCACCAACAAAACAAACGATATGTAAATGTAAGCCAGCTCGATGGAATCCTTTATTTTCGTCAAGCTCCTGAATATCTGCTTGAGCACGAAGTAAAGGTTTACCGAGAAACTGACCAGCACCAGAGAGGAAAGCTTCTGATTAGTAGATTCGCAAAGGGCTGCTACGCGCAGATAGTCCTTCCTCAACGTTTTCCACTTTATTATGTTCGGTAGCTGAAAATACAGCGATGCAAAATAACGTTAAACTAGTCATTGTTACACCTACATCCGAATCTTTTAGTGACTTCACCCTTATGGTAACCTGATGTAATCTAAATTTCAAAGCCCAACCCATCAGCATTATCAAAACATCCGCGAAATTCCAGATAAACGCCATCTGTAAATTAATAAACTAAAAGGGACAATACATCCTGAGCCATGTTTGAGTGATTCCAATACCTCACAGACCAATCCTTTCCAAAAGGAGTATTCGAAATAACGCAGAACGGCTCCGAAGGACGACATGAAATAAAATTTCATCCCTTCTTGTACGTTTGAAGAGGAATTTAATGATGTCGTTAATACATAGGCATTTATTAAGAAATGCTCGACTAAAATTGATTTAATTGTTTGTAGGTGCCTTGTTGAAGTGTCTACTGGATATTTAAATGCGAAACGGTATCCAAAAGCTGTACTGAATTGAGTGTAAATATAGCAAGGGTTATCGTTGCAAGTGAAAAAGTGAGATAATCGAAATAACAAAGAAAGTTAATGTAAATGGTAAAAACAAATAAATCATTCAAGTATTTCGAAGAAAACAATAGTTGTTGATTCCGTTGATGTTTTTCAAAAACAAAGCGTGCGTAAAAATCAGGTAATTAGTTATTAACACTAACCCATAGCTACAATCAAAACTAACGCTGTAATTAGATTGATTTGCTTCTTTAAGTTTCCCTCGATTTCTTTTCCAGCCATTTTCCACTCGACTGCATGCCATTCTCGCACAAACCGGGGCCAATTAATCGTCAATTTCAATAGCAGAAGACTGTTAACCAAAGAACTCCCCACAAATATCATTTCGTCTATAAAATACAAACCGTAATGTAAACTACAACAAATTGATTTGTTAATCTGGTGCATTTGAAGGAAATTAAAATACGATCTGCATACGAAGAAATATGTATGTAGGTAGTTTATTTGGTGAATAAGGAAAATCTGCTAATTTAAACTAAGGATAATTCAAGAGGAATAGAAGTGCAGTAGCAATAAACAGTGTAAATAACTTCCACAACTCAGCTTACCTATAGATATAATGGTATGATTCAAGGGAAGCTTGGTAATAAAGGTTCCTATGGTGTGCAATGTGAAAATGAGTATTGTTGTAAATGAATAGATTGTCCTCCAATGGATCCATTTTATTTTCAAAAATCTGCACGTAGATCCGTCGACGACGAGAGGGAAAAATCCGAAAAACTGGGCAATCTTAAGTGGCAGTCTCATAGCGGAATGAAAACTGTTGGAGTTGACGAACGTTTGCAGGATGATTTCGTTCATTCTGAAACGTCTCAATTAAAAATAGATTGAATAAAATGTGTGAGTTGGGAAGAATGGAATACAACTATGGAAGGTAGCGATTTTCAAGACACGTTTACCTGAATTTGTGTCCCTGAAGTTTGGTGTTAAATTGAAGGTTACGGAATAAAGTGCACTCACTTTTCCATTAGGAAATAATATTAGGAAATAGAATTTACCTACTTCTTGTTTGGATCGATTGGAGCGTTTTAAAACCATGTTTACGGTGTGAACATGCTTACGCATAAAAAGATATTTTGAACAATAATATTTACCTATTTTAATAGAGGCATGTTTTTCGTTTGTACGATCAATAAAAATTGGATGAAAATATATTTTTATTTTTCCCAGCACGATTTTTTTATCCTTAAAAAAGTTATTCTTACTATTTTTTAGAGTAACTAATAACAGCTTTCCAAAATTTAATTCAAAAACAATTATACTAATTACAACGTCTTTTTAATAATAAATTACAAATTATTTAAAAAAAATTAATTACAACAGAAGAAACGTACGCAGACTAAAAATTTAAAATTATTTAGTGATGAAAAAGTGAAACGAAGTACCTATACATATAATCTTTTACAACATTAACCTCCTAACTTTACACACAGTTTTCAGTCATTTTCCCAACGGAACACCAAGCTCTTACACTGTAACCCCGTTATCTATCATGTACCGATCTAGCCAAGCCTCGATCACCGGCAAATTTTCGTTACTCCACTTCGTCTCTTCCTTAATATTCTTCAGTGCTTTCTCAATAACGAAGTCAGCCGTACCGAATTCGCTTTGCCTTTCCACGTAAAGCTCCGAAACCATGTCCAACCCTTCCTGGGTCTTGAACATCATCGTCGCCGATGTCACCATGGTGTTCCATAAATGGGGCTTCTCTTCGAACCTTAAACATTTTTATCGTTACGAATTCCAAATGAAAATATAGAGAGTTTAAAATGGAAACATCAATATCTCATTACCTTATTTTGATGAGATCCCAGTTCTTCCTGAGGAAATTGAACAGGCTGGTGTAGCCGTTGGCGCTTCCTGTTAGCATGCTGAATATTAAGTAGATGTCGTTGTCTGTGAAATTGCCGTTTTGCTCTAAAATAGTGATGTTGAGCAGCCTGTCGACTTTTTTCTCGTCGTTGGGACAGCCGGCAAGGGTTTTCAAGAGGTACGTTCTCTCGCTGGGTATCCTGCTGGCCGGAAATTTGATGACTCTTTCCAAACCAAATTCCCATTCTTTCATTGTGCCCCATTTGAATACGGGACATATGTACTGATTAGAAACCCTTCGACGTAAGAAAAAGATAATAGTTTAGATGTTTAGATTTAAATTTTATTAATAAAGTAACAGAAATAGTAGATACATACGGATTTCCTTCATCTGGGTCCGGTGAATCCATCCATATTTTGTAAGCATTTTGAGCTTCTTTGATGCAGGGTTCATACCCGGATTGGCATAGGAACACTTTGGATGAACCTCTTAAATGTGTTATGCCGTAACTTTCCCCCTCTTTTGGTTCGTCGCCTAGTTCTTCGTAGAGCGGCGTAAGTAGCATTTTTACATAAGCCTACAAAAACAAATTATGAAAGATATTCGGCTTTATAGAAGCTGTTTTGACTTGCTTGGAACTTTTTGTGAGCGGCAGAACTATCAATGTGCCTTCCAATGTGGTCGATTAAAGTGAAAACGGGATCCCATGCCTGGTAATCGCGTTCGTTCTTCAAAAATAGGGTCATATTTAGGGCAGTGCCGAAGTTGAGATCTCCGGCATAGGCCAAATTCCAGGCGTCATGGAGCAGTTTTGCCCTAGTGTATACTGGGATCCTGGTTCTTTGGTCACTGCATAAATACCTCGATAGCATGTTCCAATTTTCTGAATCGTAGTTCACTGGGAATGGGCCTACAAATGTAACGATTAGTAAATTTAAAGAGTTTGTTATTTGTCCCTTACCGATTTCTTCTGGATTAATAATGATGAACGATTCTTTGTCTGGGAGATTTTTCAGTAATATTTCTCTTTCTCTTTGCATCCAAATAACCGGGGTCGAGTTTAATTTGAAATTATGCGTCAAGTCGTCTTGATTGATCATCACTATTGGTATCCACCATAGGAATTTCTCTTGATCTGGTACATCATGAGGCCGTTCCCTCAAGTACACCCTCTAAAATAATATGATATAAATAAAATAATGATAAGCCTTTATGCTATTAAATCTGTAAAATTTTCCAACCTGAGTTAAATTAGCTGTTTTTTGTTCATAGTTTCTTATAACAGTTACTACTGGCAATCTATCTTTTGTTATCCACGATGCAGCTATTTCATTAATAGTGATTGGTTGGGGTAATTTATCATCAAATCTTGCTTGTTCAGTTAGACTCAACCAAATATCATCTCCAAAGAACGTCTTAAATTGCCTAAAATAGCAATATTGTGCAATAGCTCCTTAGGTAACTCATACGTATAATTAATTACCTATCAAGAATGAATCTCTGCATGCCCAAAATAAAAGTAGACTCTCCTATGGTGTAATTCAACATTCTGAATATTAACTCTGTTTTAGCTGAAGTGGAGTCCTGTTTGATCACTGTACTTTTACCGTACGGGTACCTCTTACTGAATTCGTAGTAAATAGAATACAATATCGTCATGGGCCAATTATTTAACGTGTCGCTATCGAACTAAAATTTTCATAACCATAGAATTTATGGGCGAAGATTAGTGCAACCTACTTTCAATGTAGTGTAAGCAGCAACGTATCTAACTAAAGCATTGTTAATATGTGCATCACTCCACCAAAAAGGCGTCGCCAGAGCGCCTAACCATTGGTACACCATCTCATTGGTTATTTGCCAAGAACCTCGAACGCACAGTTCACTTTCTCTAAGAAAATGAATGTCCAAAATTATACCTCCACCAATCTAAGCATTCAATTAATACTTACTTGAATAACAAAACACCCCAGCTATCTGCTGGCCTAGTGGCTTGGTAATTCGGCAAAGCGAATACATCCAGTTTGGGTAGTGGATAAGGAACTTTCCAGAAATCTTGCAGAACTATTAGAGAATTGGCGATTTTTTCGCTAACGTTAGTCAAAGCAGTGATGAAGTCGGGTCGCGCCCAAATAGTCACTGGAATTTCTTTGGGTCCCTGAATATTAAGGGTTATGTTACTGAACTCGGATATGACGATTCCGACAGAAAACGTGGCCATCACCGGAGTTTTTTGGAAGGTATCCCAGTACCAGTCCTTCAGTTCCTCGCTGAAATGATATTTTAAGGTAAACGGCCATTTATTAAAGTCTAGAAACATTACTGTGGTTTGGTAGATTCCAAAGGCATGTTGGTTACCACTGACATATTTTTGTGTCTGGCAATAGTAAACACGAATGGTACTTTGAACGCCGGTTCGTCATAGCAAGGGAAAACGCTTCTGGCCATATTGGGTCTCATGTAAGTGGAAACAAACCATTTAGTTTCCTTCGTCATGGGATCCATGTAGCTGCTCCTGAAAAATCAAAACAATTTCTTAGTGCACAAATATAATGACGTTGCCATCTAACCTGAAGAGTCCTTCAGAGGTGTCATTGAAAAGTTTCCCAGTAAATTGAAGTTGGACTTCTAACAAAGCTCCCGAGTTCACCGTGGTGCCTAGGACTATGTTATACAAAGGTTTGCTGCGAACTTTCTCCGCGGATTCCACTATGACTGGAACAGGCGGAAAATCCCTTTCAAAAGGATCCGTTAGATTCCTGAAACCATTTTCAGTAAGTCTGGTATGCAGAGTTTGGTATCTCTACTTACGCTCTTTTTAGTTCTTCGTCCGAAGGCATTAACTGGGTGATGTTGCAATGCAGGACCATCAAATCGGGATGGACATGCAGAACAATTTCATGCGTTTTGTGCTGTATGGTTACATTGATTTTAACCTTTCCTTCGAAGTAACCGTCCCTCGGGAACGGTTGCAGGAATACATGGTAACCGGATGGAGAAGTATCGTGAGGTAGACGCTCTTGAGAGATCAGGCTGTGAGCTGCTATCAGATCTATACTTCTCTTTTGGAGTCCATTTACCTGAATATTTTACAATTACAAATTTAAATAACAAACGAAACCAATTGTGTAATGTTAAATAATTAATTAAGTTGCATTGATTGCAATCGTAAATTAAGAATACCTACCTTGAATACCTACATATTCAAGATAAAATATTCCGTTTTCTATAGTTTGTTTATTAACTCATACAATTACGCTTATTTACTTAAGGCTTTAGACATCAATGCTAATATTAGGTACGTACAAGTTATAGGTATATCATTAAGTTAACAATGACGTAGATAAGATCCATAAAGATACCTGTATTTATAGATTTTCCTTCATTTGCCTTAGGGATTACACCTACTTTGTATTGTGACTTACGCAGAATTTTTATCTAACTACTACTCTACTATTGATTAAGTTACTCACCGAAATAATAATAACCAAAAATATACCCAGTCCCGTTTTCCACATAATGAAGGTTTACTGCAAAAACATAAAATATATTCAATAATACAAAATGATCAGAAATAAGAAATGCAATAGTCATATTGAAAAAATAAACGAATTTGTAGCATCGGGATAAGTCAAAGTATAAAATCAGATATAAAGCAAAATCCGATGAATAGGTATGTGTATGCATAGATAAATATAGTTCATCTAATAATGATATTTGTGAATAGATAGATAATTATAATAGTTTCTCCAGTAGCTTCAACCCAATAAATCCTATCTATTCATTAGAAAAAACAGGATAATAGATTGGAATTTTCCCATGATAAGATAATTATCTCGATAGAGTCCTGATACAATTTCTACCAACATGCAAATCACTAAAATCGATGCGCAATTTCGGTCCAAATATCGAAGGTGAAGAGCACCTTGATAATATCAAGTGTCCTTATGGCAATTTTTTCATCTAATGGAGTCGTAATGTTAAAGTATATCTTTAATCAATTCGGTAAATACGATTGTGTATCGGAAAATATCAACTGCGGTACAGTTTTCACTCCGAAATCAGTGGTGCGCGTTATTAAAATTTTTTATACTTCTAGAAATTCTTTTCTAGAAAGAAACACCCACGTAATTAAATTTTTAATTATATTTTATCTTTTATGAATAGGTTTGTGGTATACCTACCTGTAATTGGAAAAAAGTAAGATCAAGGATGAGAAAACGAATATGTTAAATTTGTTAGAAATTCCTACTTATAACAGTTTTATGTAAGTACCTACTCATAAATAATAATTAAAATATTCTATTTAAAGAAACAACTAACTGCAAATAACTTAATTAACTGCCTAAAGTATAAAAGATGCTGCCCCCCAATTTCCACGCCATTGAGTTTTTCGAATCAGATTATACAATTAACAAATTCTTATGTACACACAAAAGCTGTAATTTAACTGTATAAACAAATGATTGTTAAATTATGTTTGTAGTATTTTCTGCAAGTGACAGAGATGTGCTGCAAACGAGAGGATCGTAAAGAAGTCACAACAACAACGAGAATTACAATTTTCGCGATATTTTTGTGCCATGCATTCCATGCAACTCAATCACAGGTAATAGAATTGCATTTTCTAACACCTATAGATTACGATAGGTAATCCATTTTTGCGCAGTCCGTGATTCATTGGCACACGTTGCAGTCATCAATCAGCGTTACGCCATGAATATTTGTTTATTTTAGCTTTTACGGCGTCTAACGTGTTTAATGTTTATATGTTCTTACCAAGATATACTATTTTGAATAATTAACACTTATAAATTAGGTAATTAATAATAGAAAATGCTGTTTGCTGAGAAACTTTTTAGTTCAATGTTAACTTTGGTTCAACTGCTGGTACAATATTATTTCTTATTTTGGTTAGTTTTCATCACCTTTTCATTACCTACGTTTATTTCGCGAACATTAATTTAAAACAACTGAAGTTTTTTGGCTAAAAAAAGCAATGTCATCTTTTCTCTTATTTCCTGTAAATATCCCAATAAGTATTTTTTATATATTACAGGATTGTCCGCCCGAATCATCCAATGTTCTCCACCAAAATACCACAGTAGCGTGGATCTCGAGCGACAAAGACAGTGAAATTGTAACCTCGAATCCACCATGTACGGACGAGCAGGGTCGCCTAATAGTCAGGTTATGCAGTAGCGGCCTGTGGTATCCCCAGCAGGCACAGGATTGCGCTAAAATCACCACGAGTCGCAGGTGCCCGTTGAACTTTGAAGAAACTGCTGATGACTGCTTGTTTGTCTCAGCTCACCGCCCTTGGGGCAACATCTGCAATTTTGAGTCACTCTTGGAGCAATCAGCTCCTGCGGCCCTTGAGAATGAGCTCGTTTGGATGCCCTACCGGCGCTACATCGCTTACGGGCCCTACGAGGCGGTTGAGTGGGGTAGTAAAAGAAGCAAGAAGTTCAACAACCGTTTAAAGGGGAATTTGGCGGATCCAGATTTTTTTAACAAAAATTGCTTGATAGCTGATACGGCTACGAATGATTACTTTCCGGAATTTTGCAGTAACAAGCACAGACACGTGTGTTCTTTCGATAAGAACGAGGCAGATTCGAAATGTCCAGATCATTGTGTGAACGCTGACGTGGCTAAGAAAACGTGCTTTTGCAAGGAGAAGAATTATTGTTCAACAACGCTCAGCAAAATAGAGACTATCTTAGATTACACCGTTTTGAAGAAATTAGCTGGAGACAATGTTTGTTATGTAGATAGTAATTTACCAGTACAACAGAATAAATTTCAGGCCATTAGTGAAGACCGATGGTTTTATACAGACAACGACAAAATTAAGTGCTCTTTGTGCACTATTATTAACAATAACTTAAAAGAGAATAATCAAAGTGCTGAAATGGTGTTAAATTTTGATGAGAAACAGAAGAAGCTCTTCCTCACAATTTACTCTCCGCAAAATCTATTTAATAACGCTAACGAGAACACTATATACTGTTATACAGATGCTTCTCAGTACGAATTGAAAAAAAGGCTTAACGTTGACCGAATCATAAGAAACAGAAAAGCAGGCAGACCTTACAACGTTTACAAAGTCAGTATAGAGAAATTCATCGGAGACTACTGGTGTGAAGCCTACAGCGACACCAACGAAAACAATGCCGTTTACTCCAACACAGTTCTCGCCTACAAGAAAAAACCCGGCAACGAATTCGCGCTGAAACTAAAAGTAATCAGTATTTGCATCATATTCCCTTGCGATGAAATGACCGAGTTCAACTACGAATCGATGGTGCGAAGAACGGAACTAGCCAATTTAAAATCGCAAATCAGAGTGATGAGCGTCATCAATTTCGATTTCGAATCTATCGATCTGCTTCTTCACATCACCACCGAGGAAAAAATACCAATAGTCGACGATCGTTCTCGCATCTGGCAAGAGCTGCTGAATTTATCGAACATCGAAATCCAGTCCTTCGCTAGCAGCGAGTTCTGCCTCCCGGAAACCTCTGAAAATTTAACGTGGCCGCTAACTGCTGTAGGTCAAGGAGCGGTAGCGGACGAATTGTGCTTGCAGGCAAATGGATTACCGGTTGTTAGAATTTGCAATGGAAACTTCCTAGAGGGAGCAACATGGGGTGAAGTAATAGGCGAGTGCCACAAAGACATCCAAGTTCCAGATACAGCCAAAACCATCCAAACCGCTATGACTCAGATTTTAGACGAGACCACTGTTAGAAATGTCTCAAATGTTATCAAAACCAATACGGATCTGCCAGTATTATCTGTGTACATGGTTTCTAAGTTCATGAAGCACATGTATATTCAAAACAGTAGTGTAGATGTCGTCAACGGCACACTGGAAATAGCAGACAGTATGCTTTTCGTGAATAAAGCGTACATTTGGTACGCCCAACAACTACTAAACGTGTCAGACGATTTCATCGATTTAGTCGAAAACGTACTCACCGACGCCAAATTACGATCAAACGCAACATTAATACAAAAAAGCAATTTGATAATGCGCATCGTCAATCCTCTAACCACCAACGTCAGCGGAATGGTAGTTTATCAAGACGAAGAAAACAACGTTCGGATGGAAGATCTGCCGAGAAACAGCACGTTCGACGACGTCGGTGACAACGCTCTGATAGCAGTGATCGTGCCGGAGGATGTCATCAATCACCCAAATATCACTAACCTCACCATCGTCACCACCGTGTACTTTAAAGACTCGTTCTTCGAGAGCAACTCCAGCAGGAAACCGTCCGGGCCGGTCATGAGCGTCAGCATACCGGAGTTCGACGGATATCTGCCAGCCCCGATACAGATTTTGTTCAGATTTAGCAATTACAGCCATCGACCGGACTGCGGTTTCTGGGACTATGGGAAGAAGACGGTGAGAAAGCAAGGCAAGTGGTCTTCGGTCGGCGGAAATTATTTGGGGGAATTGGTGAACAGAAGTTACTATCATGTTTGCAGTTTTTCGCATTTAACGCATTTTTCTCTGTTGCGTTTGACTCTACCTCAGGAAACTCTCACTTCTTTCGATGATCAAGCTATGGATGTAATATTTTACCTTGGTGATTTTCTGACTATTTTTGGAGTAGCTGGTATTTTCGTGACAGCTATTATGTTTAGAAGATGGCGCAGGAAACAAGGTACTATTATACTACTGAATCTGTCGATATCTATACTGATGGAGGTGTTTTTAATGCAAGCTACTGATACCAGACTAATAACGGTGCCTCAAGGTTGCGGAGTGTTGGGAATAATGTTGCATTATATTATCATCTCTAAATTTTGCTGGATGCTCGTGTACTCTTTCCTCCAGTACATGAGATTCGTTAGAGTGTTGACTGTTTTGCCCGATAACATAGTTTTCAAATCGGTCATATTCGGTTGGGGATTTGCGTTAATACCTGTTGGAATCGTCAATCTCGTTACCACTACCGCATATTCTAATAAGAAATACAACTTCTGCTACCCCACCGGCTTGTATTTATATTTGGGGACGTTATTGCCCGTTCTTCTTATCATTTGCATCAACACGTTTGTTTTCATCGCTGTGATGAGAGAGGTGACGTTCAAAAACGTCGAGTCGCACGGCAGTAAAGAGAACATTCATAAATTGCAAGTGCAGCTAGCCATTTTGCTCTTTTTCGTGCTGGGAGTTCCTTGGTTGTTCTTTATTTTAGCCAATATTATACCAGTTCCGTGGATTGAAGTGGCACTGGCTTATCTATTTTGCGTTACGTCTAACGTACAAGGATTCATCTTGTTCCTGTTTTATGTCGTGTTCAACGGAGAAACCAGATTGGCTTGGTTAACTTATTTTAAATTGAAGAGTTCTAAATCGTTTTCTGTTGCTACGAAGACGACCAGCAGAGCAAGCAAGTCTTAGGAATTAGTATGTCAGATCACACAGTTAACTGATTAGATTAATTGCATTTTAGGTATAATAATTAGAAGGTTGTTTGAAAGACACAACTCCATACTTGGACAAATTGGTGAAACTTTGACAATTTTTTATTTTATTCGTTCATTTAACGGTATTTATTTAATAGAATCTCTTTATTTATATGTTGTAGATTTTTCTGATTTTCGAAATAAAATTATTTCCTTCGATTGTGAACAATACAATGCCTTTCATTACTCTAACTGTACCTATTTTTTAATTATCCATGCACAGCAATAAAAAAATTATCTACCTACTAATATTTAAAAAAATATTAAAAACTTTTTAAAAATATATGTAGGTATACAGATATGATTTATGACTTTAAAGTATGCAGACAAGTATAATAGAAAAAAGATTTACAAAACATTACAAATACCTACTTACCCGAAATAATATTTTTTCGGAAAAAATCGAGAAACCCACACTTAAACTTGTCTCACATTCGTGCACAATATGTTACTAGGCAATTTCGCTGGGCTTACACTAAACTTATTAGGGTTCGTTCAAATTCAAATGGCTCATTTGTTGTAGTTTGTTGTTCTATAAGCCAAATTAGAAGACGTATCTGCGCAGGGACGGCCGCAAATTCGCCCAAAAATTCAAACTACAGATTTTATTACCTACTGCTCTCCAGTATTAAATACCATGCGATGATATTTACACAGTATCTAAATACTATATGAGATGTTCTGGCAATAATGTCATTTTCCTTCTGTAGACGATTGGATCAAAATATGTTAGAATTGGTTGGAAAATCGCTTAGTCGAATTTTCGCAATACCGCTTCTCTTGCGTCCACAAAGCCATCATTATTCATTTAAAACCAACGAGTAAATTGGCGCTAACTATTAAATTAGACGCTACCGGCTTTTATGCTATTCAAATCTACAGGTTTAGATTGCATTATGAAGAGTGACAAATAGGAACCATCAATTGAATTGTTTTTTTCAAAACGATTTGTCACCTAAGCGTCATTAGTACTTTAAGCTTTAAATCAAAATTCCGGTGTCGGTGGATTTATGCGAGGGACACCCGGTAGATATTAATTAAAATGATTTATTTAACATATTCATAAATACCTTCTGTAACCAACATACATAATTAAAAAATTAATTACCTACTATACGTGTTAAACGAGTTGTAGGTTTTCTAAAAATCAATTTAATTATCGCAAATCTCGAAACGCAACTGAACTTATTTATTACTTTGAATATTGTTGCATTCATTACTTCATTGTTCCATTGATTAATATTGTTTGTTAATGTTGAACAAAAGGTTTTTCGAAGGCTCAAGACATGGGAATGCAAAGTGCAAATATAAAAAATGCGATTTGCTCTATTTGCAATCTACAGTTTCAGTTGAAAAATAACCCGAACATGTGACAATCGTCCAGTTACAGTCTAATGAATTTATCAACTTCATGGTACACGTAGCAATTAATCAAAAAATTATTAACCGGCAAGATATGCGAGCGCAAAAATAGTTGATTTCGGTGTTAGCACTCAGGTCAAGACGTGTTATTTTCAATTCCTTAAATAGTGCACTTGCTTGTAGTAAATTTATTAGTAATGCTAGTAAGTACAGGGTGTAATTATTTTTTTTAATCTATTAACGCGGTTTGTTTTTTTAAAGGTAGCAATTAGAGTAAAAGGTATTTTTATTGTAGTTTAAGTAAGTTATTAAAGAAATTAAATAGCATAAAATTGATCGTTTATGATTACTAGTTTTATTTTCAGGGTCTTTAATAATACCTTGTAGCTAATAGATAGGTAAGTAGTACCTAATCCAAATTCAATTTACCACTATCAAAAATTTATAGAAATATGAGAAGGAAAATATCGTAAACAAACAAGTCTAAAATATCAAAATGATGTATCTATATAAATCTTATACATAAATAAATAAAATACTGATAGAATACCGATAATAGACAATGAACAGTTACTCAGGGTTCCTTTTTTGATAAAATTCTTTGTTAGTATCCTATGTTAGATGAAATTTTGATTTTATCTAACAAACCAGCAACTCAACTGTTATCCAATAACAAGAGCTTTTCAAGGTTTTTTTTTCAAATGTGATTTGTGTGATGGATCGATCTTATATAACATTTATATGCCACTAGAATTCGCTCCATCCTGCATTCAATGTATTATTGCACACCATTTCTGGTTTAGTTTTATGGTATTGATATCAAGTTCGCATTTGTATATTTTCAACACCGTGCCGGATGGTACACCTGACTATTCGAAGGTTTTTAGAGGTCGATAGCGAGGTTTCGGAAAAAGTTGTCTTTAGTTTATCGAAAAACGTGAAACTGTTAATTAGAAACAAATTGTTCCGATCGGACCGTCGTGTGTGAAAGTATTTTCATAAATTGTGTGTGATGAATGCATAAATATAGTTGATGTTGTATAGTAAGTGTTAATTATGGAATTAAATAATATCTATCTAACTTTGAAAAAAATGTCCTTAAGGGATAATAATCAAATAAATAAATAAATGAATAAATCAACTTAATTATTAGTTAATAAAGAACTAATCTCTTTGTAAATGTTTGATTATACCGATCAATTGATTAATACATTCTCAATATTACTATGTGTCCCAAACAAATTAACCACATCTTATTATAAGATATTAAAATATAGGTATCTAAAGAAATCTATTTAATTTTGTTAATCCTTATACATACTTCCATAGTTACGTATGTGATGTATTTAGTTAACCTTTACATACCTAGTGTATGCATAGCTTTTAAACTATTTTGTTCTTTTAAACTCTTAGTAATTTCTAAGCTAAATGCAAATACTACATAACTAGTAATTAATGTTCGCAACCACATTAAATATTTTGCAGTATTTAAAACAAGCAAGTAGCTACCATAAAAAAGCGAGAAGTTATAAATAAATAAATAAATATTAACAACTTGTTATGCGAAACAACATGCAGTGATGCAATTATTTATCCCATAATTTATTGAAATAGCGTGCACTTTTTTCTTAATTATTTTTTAAATATGCATTTTTTGTCTGGGGAATCAAATTAGTGACAGATACATCGCATTAAAAAATAAGGCTAGTAATGCTATTTAATTAGGAATATAACATTAGGAAAGTCCAGTAAGTTTAGAATTTTGCACATTTAGGTAGATGCAAAATTGATTGCAATATAGGCTATAGGTACTACAACAATGACATCCTCTATTAGTCTCATTTAAAATAAAAAGAAAGAATGATATAGTGGGATTGCAATTTTCTCTGTGCAAACACATTTGCACTTACCCATATTTTCCATTCATTACTTTGGAAGTTTAAAAAGAATAATACATATACTTTTTTTCTTTGCCTTGTGCTGTTAATTAAGTATCATGTTTTTGCAATAAAAACAATACATAATATTGTGGTGAGGGGAAAAATTCCCAAACTATTTGCACACATAATTTTATTCATTAACATTTGTGTACTTACTTGGAATTGATTAAGTTTCGATAATTAAACGTACAAAATCGAATTCGTCGAAATGACTCGTAATGATTTTCAAATTAAAAAATAATTTGTATATAAAATGTTTGGTGCGAGTTTCTAAATGAATAACTTGAATAACGAAAATAATATTTAGGTGTAATTATTACTAAAATTGAGAACAAATTAATCAGTTAATGACTAATTTCGTCCTTAGTGCGAAATACCAATAATAATTTGATAGATAAAAAATTTAATCTTTGTTCTTAGAAAGGGTATATTTTTGTTGGTTATTTACGAGGTTGAGATGCACTCAATTATACACATTTAATGATGTTTTTGTACATTCCCCAAAGTAATTTACTAATAATTTGGTTACATGTGATCAAACTTACGAATAACAATTTAAGCAAAATTTATTGTTCTCAACAAGGACATAAAAAATACTCGATATACGTAATTTCAACAAACCTGATTATTGTAAATGAGTTAATGACCATAATAATTGATAATATAAAAACATTCAAAATTATCGAAAATACTATATGTAATAACTGTGTCAGTTAGAACAAAATTCACGCATGGGAATGTGTGTAAGTAAACAAATGTATTAAACGTGTGTGTGAAAAGGAAGTCATTTTGTGCCCGTAAAATAAATTGTTATTTACTTGATGCCATCCTTTTGAAAATAACAGTACAGATGCAGAAATGTATTATTAGTGCAATAATGATTTCTGTTGCATAAAACTGATCACGTACAGATTTAGTCCAAAAATTATACATAATTAACTACACTATTGGAATGCACATTTGGAGCAATTAATTAATTACATTTTTATTTATTACATTATTTAAACTATTAGTAAATACAATATTTTACTATTTACCTATATCTAGACTAATATTGATTCGAATATAGTCAGCCATATTTATATTAGATTTAATGTTCCAGGTTGAATAATGGGTCGAGGAGGATATCATTCGAATCGGGCAGAATTCCTTTCGGATGAGGCCATACTAAAATACAGCAGAAACGGCGGATGTTTCGTTACCACCAAAAAAGCAATAGCATTTGTTATATTCGCATTAGCGTCGCTTTTGGTAGTCGTTTTATTGATGTATTATTATGGCCCGAGTAAAACCACTGAGAAAGTAAGCATAATTTCATCACCAATAAATATTTTTTAATGTTAAAGTAACTTAGATAATTAGTAATTAACGAGTGTGCTATAGGCATCCTATAACATTGTTTACTAAGTATAAACTTGTTTTGAAAGTACTTTAAAGTCTTGAGTCTGCGAAAGTCTTTGAAGTCTTCTTGAATGTTTCAAACATAATTAGGACATATACAGATTAATTCACTTTAGTTTGCAATATAGGTTGTAAGTATAAAAAGGAAAGGAGAAAAAGGAAAGAGTGATATTGTGTCAGTGCAACTTTCCACTCTAACAACTGTTATTTTAATAATCTTTCTTTGTTCAACTATTAGAAATGACCAAATCGCAAACTAAAATACGCCATAGGGTATACTATGATTTTTTTACCTTTTTATCAATGAATAATAAATACAAGCCCTGGAGGTTTATTTAAATCGAACTAATAACACGTAATCAACTAATAAGGTTCTCATATTTAAAATAACTCATTGTTTTGAAAAACGAACAATTGAGTGAGAATAGCTTTGTTAAACACACAGAATGAAAACGATTTAAAAAAAATTCCTTTACTAATCAAATGAATCGGGATGACTTTAAATTCCATTCAACTATTCGATAATCCATTAATAAATAAGTTTTATTTTACTTTGAACGCAACGAGTTATTAAGTAATTATTTTATTGAAATGGATAATTATTATATGAAATAAAATACCGTGCAACAAAATCAATATGTCAATGCAAATTGATACCCAGTTAATCGAATCAAGTACGAATTTAATCGCTAAATCAAATAATAAGGTGAATTTAAGAGTGATGCTAATAATTTTTCCTTGGCCTTACAACCTTAGCTAGCACTCGACATTAATTTTGGACCTTCGAAAATACACATTATTTTACGGAAACGAACCTGCTTTATTAGTTGATATTCGCGGATTGGTTGGGAAAAGAATTTTAATTAACTAAAGTCGAACAAACAAATACACGCTACATGAAAACAGGATATCATAGATTCAACTTGTATGGGCTTGTATTAACATGGTCATGGTCTTTGGATACGTTATGTAACAAATTATTCACTAATGTGATTACACTCATCACGTGCAGAAATTTATTTATGCATATCTTCCCACTTACGAAGACTCTGTTATTTATTGCACCTACAACAATAACCTTTTTTTAGATAATTAAAGAATCAAATGATATAGAGAAACTTATAAACGATACAATAAATGAAGAACAAACCAAAGAACCGCTGAGAATACCAAAATCCCTGATACCATACCACTATCGATTATGGATCCATCCGATATTAGATGAAGACAACGATAATAACTTCACATTCACCGGTCATGTCGTCATACAAATTAATTGCACCGAAAACACCAATAAAATTATACTGCATTACGACGATTTGATCATCTCAGAATCCGATATTACCGTATACATTCCAAACGTAGTAAGTTTTTTCTTCAACCCATCTTTGGACCATTAAGTCACTCATTTCACTTCAGGCACCTCCAGAAGATGAACCAGAGGGCGAGGAACACGACATATCGCGCCGGGATATACCTGAAGATGCAGATGAGACAGAAGAAAAAATGGAAACTACTACAGTCGTGACCACTGAAGCTGCTGAAACAACAACTGAAAACGAAATTACCACGATGACGGAGTCTGATGAGGGGGTTACTGAAAGGGTGGTATACAAACCCGAGAAGATATTGCTAAGAGTGGTCATGGTGGAGAAAGATGATGTTAATTTCAAACTTAAAATATCAATGGCTGATGTCCTGGAGAGCGGGAAAACCTATTTCGTCGATATCAAATTTTCAGGGGTTATTTTAGAAAACCTAATAGGATTGTACAAAACTAGTTACGTAGATTTATCGGGAAATACAAGGTGAGTAACCTGCAATACGTTTATCTAAAAATAAAATCAATTTTTTGCAGATGGTTGGCAACTACGCATTTTCAACCGATCTATGCGAGACGAGTTTTTCCATGCTTCGATGAACCATTCTTCAAGGCGCCGTTCGAAATTAGCGTTGCCAGAAGAACAAACATGACGGTTCTTTCCAACATGCCCCTGAAGAGCACCGAGCCTATGTAAATATCTATTCAAATTTTTAATACAGGGGTAAATACCAAACAAAATTTGCAGGAAGAACAATTCGGGCTGGGTGTGGGACCATTTCCAGACCACTCCCCCCATGTCCACGTACATTGTAGCTTTCACAATAAGCGATATGAAGAGTATCTCGGCCAATAAACTGCTCGGTCCGGCCATTAAAATTTGGGCACCGGAAGGTGATCTGCCGCAAGCGCAGTACGCTCTCGACGTCACGATGGAGCTCCTGCCTTTCATGGAAGAATACTTCGATACGCAATATCCCCTGCCTAAGCTGGACTTGATCGCTATTCCGAATTTCGGGAAATCCGCCATGGAGAACTGGGGGATCATTTCGTTTAAGTATGTTTTTTTTAATTGGTAGAATCAGGTTGAGTAAAATCTATTGTAACTTTAGGAAGTCATCGATGCTTTTTGATCCTTCCTCTACCAGCATTAAAACGAGAAGCTTCATATTGGCTAAGATAGCGCATGAATTAGTGCATCAGTGGTTTGGTAACTTGGTGACAATGGAGTGGTGGTCTGATCTTTGGTTAAACGAAGGTTTAGGCACCTTCCTATCCGAAGTGGCGATTGTGAAAGTACGTATAATTTTTATTACTTTAATTTCTAGATATAATTCGATTTTATGTTTCAGTTGAGGCCTAAGTGGCACGCATACAGTAGCATCAAAGTTCGAGACACTTACAACACCTTATACGCCGATAGCCTGAAATCGGCTAAGAGCATTCAAGGCGAGGTAACTACATCGGCTCAAATCGAGCCGATTTTCGATAGCCTCATTTACCAAAAAGGCAGCAGCTTACTAAAAATGCTGAACTCGACTTTATCTCAAGACGTCTTCAAAAAAGGCCTGCAAAGCTTCGTTAAAAAATTGTAAGTAAAAGCCACTCGTCCAATAACTCACAACTAAAGTAATCTCTTCAGCGCCTACCAATGCGCTACTCAAGACGATCTGTGGGAACTGTACACCGCCACCGCCCAAAACCAAAGCCTCATACCCAACTCAGTAACGGTTAAGGACTTGATGAACTCTTGGTCCACGCAAAGCGGCTATCCTTTGATTACCATCAACAGGGACTACAATACCGGCATTGCCAACATCAATCAAACTAAAATGACCGAAAGCACTAACCAAACTTCGGAAGAACTCTGGCATGTTCCCATCACATACATTACCAAAGATGAAGAGAACATTAAGGAGATTTGGTTGGAACGCACTAGAGAAACCACCCTCAATTTAAGCGACATGGGAAATAAGAGCTGGATATTAGCGAATATCGAAGAAACTGGTAAGAGCTTATTAAAATAATAACTTATAGTTAGACAACTAGTTATACATTTTTTGTTATAATATTATTTTGTTGTTGTTTGCGGTCAGGTCTTTTCAGGACTTTAATCATCTAGATCAAAGAATCATCTGTAGGTTTGCGGCTGTTGTAAGATCATTGTTTCTGCCAGAGGTCATCAAGAAATACGAACCTTAGGACACAAAACTCCCTTGTTGTATCTAGATCCTTGGAACCTACCTAAAAACATCCTTTCCAAGGTTTTGTACCTGCATATAGATAGTACTGGACATTATTATGCTGTCCTCTTCAGCCTTCTTTCATAGACGCCAAAAGGGTCACAATAGTAAACTTAAATAACTTTTATCTGCAGGTTTCTACAGAGTGAATTATGACGTTGCCAATTGGAAGCTTCTAATCTACCAACTTCGAACGAGCTCGCATCAAATCCCTGTAGCTACAAGAGGACAATTAATAGATGATGCTTTCGCACTAGCTAACACCGGCTACATAAACTACACCATAGCATTCGATTTAGTAAAATACCTGTACATAACAGAGCCTAATTACATCCCGTGGTACGCAGCGTTGAAGAACATGGAAGAGCTGAGGGAGATCACCAGCAACTACGAGTACTCCGGTTTGTACGACAGTTTTCTGCTGAAATTGGTGAAACCGATGTTCAATGAACTGCAAACGGAGACGAGGGTGTACGATACGCAAAACGAAAAGCTGCTGAGGCTGCACATCGTGCAATCTGCCTGCAGATTGAGGTATGGTAAATGCATATCGTGGGCTAGAAGTGAATATTTCAAATGGATGCAAACTGCCGAGCCGGACCTAATAAATCCTATACTGGTTGATTACCGATTCATTGTTCAATGCACGGCTATCAGATCTGGAGGGCTGTACGAATGGGATTTCTTATGGAACAGGACCTTATCTCCTTCTATAGCACCTGTGGACTTGCAGACTGCTTATATGAGTTTAGGTTGCACCTATGACCCCTGGTTGATTAACAGATACCTGGAATATTCCCTAGTGGGTAATGTCAGTTTGGATAACGTGCCAATCGTTTGGGAATCCATTAGTCACACCGTGGGAATTCGAACGGGCTTCCAGTTTTTGAGACTGAACTGGGATAGGATTTATAAAAGCTACGAGGAGGTTTTTCTCGTTTTTAACACAATCTTTCACGATTTCTTAAGTCAATTTTCTACCGAGGTTGATTTGGAAGATGTAAGTACAAGAATTAACAAATTAATTAGGTTTTTTATGATTATTCTATTTTAGCTTACTACGTTCTATAAATTACATCAGGCTGATTTGAAAACAATTTCTGGCGTGCTGCAGAACACCGTGGATAGAATAAAAGCACGTATCAATTGGAAGACTAAACATTTGGATTCTGTCGTTAGTTGGTTGAAGAAAAATAAGTTTTAATAGGAGATATCAGTTTGAAAAATGATTTTAATTGAATTTTCTCAGGTACTATTATAATACCGAACACTCATTTTTAGCTCTTTTCCAAGTTAAATGATTCTGTACTTTTCTTTTATTAATTGATTAATGGTTTTATCAAATATTTTCTTTACTAAATTTATCTATTTGGTTACTTAGCAATTGTTGCTGATTTTAAATATATTGTTATCTTATTTGTAAGTGTTATTTACCTAAATGTAGAAGCATTTTATTTAAACAATACTTAAAAGAAATGGACTTGAACAGTTTTCAAAAATTCCTGAATTGCAATTGAAGTCGATTCATTTCATGAGTTTCCTGTTTTAAGCACATTTTTAGATTTTGTTTATCTAGTTACACTGAGAATATACATAACGCTTGTTGTATTATCTACTTGTAAGTACTTATTGTTATTGTAATTTTACTATTTAAATATTATAAACATGTAAATAAATATTTATTACAAAAAAGAAAAAACTACACATATTTCTTCTTCCTTGTACTTTTCCTTTTGTTTAATTTAAATGTTATTTTTCAAAATTCATCTGCTTAATAGCTCTTAATTTTTTTTTGTGCGAATAAAATTATAATCTTGTGGCGGACAATAAATATTTATGTAAATTAGTCCAAACATGTCTCGAAAATCTTCTTGAATTATAACTATTCAAATTTAAAAACCCATTGGTGTTCGATGATTAAATAGGCGTATTGGTGGCCTTGAATTCTTAAAATTCAAATCGCCAGAAACCAATTTTTAAAACAAGAATCGTTACCTCACTAACTCAATGCAAAAGTGGAATAATTTCATTGATTTTTTTATTTTTCGGAAAAAATAATTTCTTCGTCCATTTTTTTAGGTCAGTAACAATTAACATAATGTGAAGATTTCTTAAAAATAGCTTAAAAATAATCAAAAATAATACAATAATTAAAAAAGTGAACAATTTGTTTATTAATAGAATTAATTATTTCTATACTGTATATAAAATATTAATTTCCCTAATTTCATATTTCACAAATCAGCTATCAATTTGTACTGGACTTTGATTCCTCATCACTAGTGCTCTTCTTATCATCCGGCGAATTTATTAGCAAACTCATATTAGGATGCGTCTCCAGCATGTGTCTCGATTTTAAATGCCTCTCCAAATCTCTTCGCCTTACCATAATCTTCCCGCAGAGGTCACACCTAATACAAATTCACTTTAATACTCCAAAATAAATGACCATCTTGCAATTTTACAATTTTATACAATCTAAGTGGGAACTTACCTGTAAGGCGTATTCCCTTCAGCGTGTAATCTCACATGCTTGTTCAAATTACTGGGATCTCCGAAGGGCCTATTGCAGAACTTGCACTTCAACGGCTTGTAGCCGGTGTGCGTCCTGATGTGGATTTTCAACCCGTACTTTCTCGAATAGCATTTGCCGCAATAGAGGCAAATGTAGCCTTGCCTGGACCTCCCTAAGCTGCTCACCAGCGTTTCTATTTGAGCGTCATCGTTGCACACCGGACTCGAGACGTGATCCACACACGAGTGATTCAAAGGCAGCGGTATCATGACGTTCTACGAAAGAGTTTGGTTTATTATGTTATATCCAGATTAAGTTAGATCCGGATTGGATGTACATACATCTGGTTATTTGGGAAGGGAAGGGAAATTTAGAAAGACTATTTGAGGGTAGATAATAAAAACTTAAAACAATTTTAGCATAAACTTACTTTGTTTTGGTTTTGTGTAATGTTAGTTTCCTCTTTTTTGAACGGTTTGAATGCGGACGGTTCCTTTTCGTAAGGCCTGTACAATCGGTTTTCTGAGTTTTTTGTTAAATCTATAGCGGTGTTTTGTTGTTTGTTTTGATCTAGACATATTTGAAAATGGAAGCCCTCTTTGGTAGAGTTTTTAAAGTTATTAACGACAGCGCCGTGTAGCCTTTGCCACAACGTCGAAATGGATAATTTACCGCAACCCAGAGTTATGTGGAGTTTCAATGGATTGGGCGATTCGTACATGGTGGAGCATCGATTACAAACGTACTTTTTTTGACCTTAAATAAAAAATCATAAATCTTCACTAAATTATTAATAAATTTATGTACTCACCTTGTATATTGGCCGGCGTTAAAAACACCATTTGTAACATAACTAAAACGTCTTCGGAAAACCACAACTGTAATTCCTGTCCAATTTCTATGGATTTAACCGCTTGTAATACTAATTTCGGAGGTTGCGACGAATTCGTCTGCAATTTCAACTGTACATTGTACGAATGACAATCGTCGGAAAGCCTCAAGGCTCTGATCCAATGAGTGGACGGTGACCAAGTCGAAGCAAACCGATCTTCCAGTTCGATATAACCATTTGGTGATATTTTTACGGATATCTAAAAATAAAAAAAAATAAATGAATGTATCAAAAACTGGTTAAAAAAGGGTGATTAACACTCGGAAAATAGGAAAATATAGGACACATTAAGATTAATCACTGTCAATAAAGTGAGTGGTAGTATTTTTACTGTTTTAACAACAATTTGTTACTGAAGAAAATTAATTGGTTATCGCTTGATTATAATTCGAATTACATCCTGATAAAGTGGTATAAAAAAGCAGAAAATAACAAATGGTTGGAAAAATAAATATTAATAAAGACAGACAATTTAACTATCAAAAATTTACATATTTAAAACAAATGTTCATTTTGTCCTGGATGGAACACTTTAATTTAAAAATTTTTCTTTAATTAATAGATAATATTATAAATATTTCAATCTGATCGAAAATCCAAAATACAACCTTAAAAATCTAGTACTCCTTTAATCAAGAATATGCTAGGTTTGTCAACCTTTTAGTACTTTCATTTTGAACAATACCAAACGACTGTTATTAACGAAAATTAAACAACAAAATTAATCTTCTAACATGCATCTTAAACTATCTTATACCTCGTAAACTGTAGAAGAAAGTGAGATTACTGTATGTAAGTATCCTATATAAAAACCTCACCTGCTGAACGTCAGGTTGGCCCACCAGCGATTCGGGATCCAGCAATTCGGTGACGGCGCCCTGGGGAACGACGGTGCTGGCGGTGACCCGGCCCGGCACCAGCAGCTCCGAGGACCCGTCCAAATAGCACGAAACATTCCCGGATATCGTGCAGTATTCGCAAGAAAACATTTTCCTCTCGCCGATTTCTGGTGACTTTTCACCAGTCAAAGTAAGTTTTTGACAACGTTTCCCGGACAACGGCGGGTTGTTCTCGGTTGGTGCCCTTCGGACAGTAGTTGGTTTTTGACTGATTAGTCTGGCGGTTTGCGAGACCGCATTTTTCGCCCACCACCCATTCCCGTAGGTGGTTGTCGGGATATACCCCGTACATCAACATCATCCCTCTTATGATGCGATGGACCATTTCTGATTTACGACAGGCCAGGACTGGATCTTCGACCCCTTATTGAAACTACTCATATTTTATGGAAATTAAATTTGAATTGAATGAAAGTTTGTGTATTTTATAAATAATAATATGAATATAAAAATTAAAAAAAATATATTTAAAAATAATTTTAATTTTTTTTCCACGCCAGTCATCTCATATGTGGTATGGACCATCTAACAATTAATTCTAAATCCATATACCAATAGTTAATTCAAGAAAAGTTGCCATCATCAGGCTCTAATACAAAAATAAAAAACTGTATAAAAGTATTTGGATGTTCGAAACAATTAACCAAGTGTTAAAGTAGAGTAGTAGGTAATGTACATAAAAGAAATATTGGTAATTGAACTTTTTTATTGCTGTTTTGGGAATTAAAGTAATCGTTTTTTGGAGAGTAAATAATTCTATCCGGTACGGTCCTGCTTTTATCCTGCAAGTGTGTGACCTCTATCAGGTTGCAAAATAAACGGTGTTCCTAATTTGCCCCGCCCTATGTTAATGCGCCTTTAATGTTGCCTCCGCGTATATACACTTGTTGTGTATACGGGGTGTGAGCGAATCGGGGGAGGAGTATCGAACACGTGGGGTGGAACGCGTATTTGCATTCGGGAAGTCCTGCCAGTAGGGTGGTATTGTCCTCGGATTAGATTACAACTTATTCCGTCTCCGAGGACCGTTTTATATCCTATTTTTCAATTAAATTGTCCTTAAAATGTTTCTATGAGGTTCACTGTATGCTATGAAGTCTTATTAGTTTCAATCAAAAAAACTAAAGATATTTTGTTATAACAAATTATAATTGCTATACTGAATATTCATGCGGACTAGATGAATAACCGTTGATTACTATAGGTATTATTTTAGAGTATAACAGTCCTTTATTGTAATTCAGTTATTATAGTACACTCTATGCAATATATCTGTGTGTTAAAAAACAAGTTAAATAACTAAAGAGAGTATTTTTAAAGAGTCACATTGAAAGTCTTTAAATTGATTTGCCACAAAAAGCACTATAACGATCCAATCTATCTTTAAACATCGGCAGTTCTATACAGAATTATACAGGGTAAACTGCTTATCAGATTTAAATAATATTTGTTATTTTAAATGGAACCCCTTGTATATTAATATATTTTCGAAATCTACGTAAAATAGGGTACTTTTGTCTAAAACACTTTTTTCAAAAATGCATATTTTTTGAGTTATTAATTTTTGTTTGAAAAATTTGACCAATGCAGACCCTTATAAATTATTTTTTTACTAGGATGCCCTATGTATTATCGTACAAGTACCAAAATTAATAATCAATTAATCAAGAAGAATTTACATGGCCAACTTATAAAACCTATTTAATTGAGAATTAGGCAGAAATGTACGTTACGGCAGATTTTTAATTCTCATTTTAATTTTTAATCTTCAAAACTATTAATTTCAACCGCATTGTGCCTAAAAAAAATAATAAATCATCCTGAATCTTGTGAGTTATTTCCCGAATTGCCATTACCGAAAAAATATCAAGCAGCATATGCCGTGTCCTCATGATCCCCCATTCCCGAATTAAATGGCTTTTTGAATGTGTCAATTAGAAGCACTTATGCGAGCACTTGTTTTCAGCACCTTGCACCACGGGATCCCCGTGCCGGACACGTTTCCATTTTCCCAAGCACGTGCCCGTTCTCAAGCCACTTGCTCTTCGAACAAAAAGGGCATGTTAGATTGCCTGCGCGTTTAGCAAACCCCCGGTTTTGATGCTGCAGGGAGATAAACTGTCGCTGATATTTACAGTCGATGATTCCGTAGGATTTTTTTAATGTTGTATTTACAATAAATATTAACTGAGAAAAATAATGGAGATAATTGGGTGTTTTTAATCATATAATATAGGTAGGTATCTGTTTATCGCATTTCGGACTAATGATAGAATTAATAATTGTCCATACCGAACGTATGTTTTGAAATATGTATCTGTGTAAGTATTAATATTACATTATTGTTGCGTATTTTATAAAATATTCATTCATGATTAATGTAGCCTTAATCTGTTTTCTATTTATGTATGTGATTAATGAGAATCTTGGAAGTACCGTAAAAAATTAAAAATCTACAACATTTCTTTCATTCTCCGGCCTTTATAAATGCTTGTAAGTCTTGACAATTTTTCAATTTACGCATGTAATGACAAATTTGACTTCATACTATCGCAAGTATAAATTCCATGACTTTTTTGAAATTCATAAAAATATAAATTTAATGTATTGCAATTATAGTTAAATTATTATATAAAGTGCACCAACTCTAATTAAATTTTTAATCTGTAATTTCAGTAAAAAAATTTTTATCTGTAATTTCTAAAATTACGTCTACAATCTACATACTCGGATGTAAATAGATTTTTCATCTTTTGATTTATGGTTATCTCGATTACAATCAAATCTCCACACGAAACTTCGCAGAATTAAAGGGAATCATAAATTTTACGATGGTACCTGCGGTTTTCTTTGCAACTATCAATTTAAAAAAATATGACTATCTTCCAATGGTCTTCATTAATTAAGTAATTTATGCGAATTGTCCTATACCGGATTGTTAATTTCTTTCATATAGTAGCTTCAATGTTTCTTCTCCATGACGTCAGAAACTTTATGTATGGACTAAATGTGTATTATTAAGTGTTATAGTTTTTTTTCATCATTCTTGCCCAGTTGAATTTAAATTACCAATACCCAGTATTAAACTATTATTGTAAATGTCAAATTGTCCTCCAATTTTAATTTCATTGAAATCAAAATCCCAGAAACACCTACATGTGAGTCATAGTAAAGGAGAAATGTTTACTTAATTTGCACACGTCTTAAAGAATGAAAAATACCACAAAGCGGATCTAGGAGAGTTTGAATTACAAATTTTAACTAATGCCATGGATTAAATTGCATCAAATACTTCTACTTAATCTAATAAAGAAATAAGGATGAACGAACCATTTCAAGCTAATAAATATGTTCTAATTAAATATATATTTTACTAATTTTATTACACCTAAAAATGCCTAAATGAATTTTAATTACATCTATGTAAAGTTTCCTTTATTCTAACATTATATTTAATTTTTTTTTGCAATTCTTATCCAACCAACCCTTCCAGTATTCCCCCTAAACCGACCCTTACAGATTTACGTAGTAAAGTGAACAACTGCACAAATACATCTAGTTTAAAACCGGTCTTTCGCGTCCAGTGCAGTCGATCCTCACCTTAGAACGGATACCCTTTACGGAAAAAACTATTTTTTTGTAATTCCAATCCCATACTGACCGATTCGATTTTTTTAAAACACCTAAAACTCGAAGTTCAAGTCCATATAAACGCCGAGATCCCCAATCTTTGGCTCAGTCAAGAACTGGTCGTGCAAAAATAAACATCGACCATGAAACAACAAATATATTTATTGTTGTCGTTAACATTACATGTGGGATTGTGTAAGTGACTCATTTGTTTTAGTGCTTAAGTCCTTTGCTTATTGATTTCTAAATTAATAAATCCATGCAAATAAGTGCCGAATGCGCAATTCTGTGGTTCTTTGTTTTGGGTTGGAAAATGGTGAATTATTGGTAAATTATTTGTTGAACATGCATACGAGTTTATAATGATGAATTTGAACTTTTGTAAAAGCATTTCAAAGCTAAACTAAAATATTCAATTTTATTAATTAAGTTTTCTAGTCACTTTTATCTTCTTAATTCATTAATTGATAAATTGGTAAATTTTCCTTATTGATGAATTTACTTTTTTATCGTTCTAAATTAGCCCTATTTCATTCATTTTATCAATATAACTTATTAATAATATAATTGTTAGAGAATATTGATTACATTTAACTCGAATTTATATTGCTTTGATGTCAGAGAATCCATTAAAGGGATGTTTAACAATGTGATCAGTAATCAGAGCTAAATGTTTTCTTTGAAAGATATTCCCTGATATCTTTCTAAGCTCAACATATATAGATTTATAGTTATAAAGTCTATAATTCATATAAAATATACAACTCTACTACTACTACTCGTATATCAAATTTACAACATTCATTAAGATATTAAGAACATCAACATAATAATAATATAGAATGGAAATAAACCTAGCGTAATCAACAACATTTCCCATTTTTTCAACGATGCATGCATGGTTTTCCCGGCGTAAGAATCTTTCTTTCTTCGAAGTGTAATTAACTTTTTGCTAACGGATGTAATTTGGAATATAAAAAAGTTCTATATTTATTTTATCTCGTTATAAATAATTTTATTAATGGAAATACTGACATGAATTAAAATCCGAAAAACATGTTATAATTTCAGAGGACGTATAATTAACGAATCAATTAAGTAGGTATGTTATTATTCTCGGAATGATTTCGTTCTCGTTCAAGGATTTTGGGAATTCCGCTCAAGGTGTAAGAACTCGCTTATAGGTTGTTGTGTATTAATAAATACTCTGTGAAATAAGGTCGGTTTATGACCGGTGGACAGTTGCAAAAAATATTTTTATGCTTGATATAAGAATAATAAGAAGCTGATAAAAGAAATAAATTTTAATTATGTGTATGTGTTTTCAGCTAGCTGTTATGGTCACGGAGTCAAGGGATCATTTAGCAAAAGCTTTAGTGAGTATTAATTTATTCTTAAGAGTTAATTTCTACGATACTTTGAAATCAATTTTAAAATATGTATAGTAAAATGCAACGAATTTCTACATTTCGTCGAATTCGTAGATATAATATTATTTGAGTAAATTTTAGTTTTGCAATAATTGTTATTTTACACTGATACGAAGAATTTTTCATATAAACATTTTATCATCAAATGGCAATAGTTTATTCCTAAATATAACTCAAATTGAGGCGTAAATATTACGTAAGTTATGTTAATTGAACTGTTATAAACAAATCTGCAATTGTAATTCTTAGTTAACAATGCGGAGTAATCAACAAATCTTCTATTGTAGGTAGTTCGTCTGCGTCAGCATCCTCATCAGGTAAGAAACAAATTATCCTATGATATAATTTACGCGCGATACGTTAAAGCTGAGATTTATATTCCGGATACGTCAGATTATCTCAGTGAATGTCTATTAAAACACAGTTAATTTTCCCACAGCTTTCAGCGGTTCCTTTTCCTCTGGATCGGACGGTGATGATCTCAACAATGCTGTAAAATCCGGCAGCGGTGCTTTTTCTACGGCCATTGCCAACGCTGGTTTAAATGGAGCGCCAGCTCAAGCAGTTTCCGGTTCAGGTTCCTTTGCACACTCCAATTCCGGATCGTATTCTGGTTCTTTATCTGGGCACAACGCCGATGTTGGGGAAGGGAAGACTACTGCACATTTCCACAACGGAGGAGCTGGATTTAATGGGCAAATACCTGTAGTAGTGAGTGGATCCGGTTCGTTATCAGGCGCCAATTCTGGGTTCTTACCTCCCACTGTTGGTGGTAATCCACAAGGTTCAAAATGCGCAGGAAACTCGGTCTGTAATTCAGGTTATAACAACCAAGGAACTTATTCCGGACAACAAGGAGTCAACGCAGTTCTAGGAACTCAAGGCCAGGATGTAAACATTAACGATGTTGCCAAGGAAAGCGGTGCCTTCGTCAACGATTTTAATATTCCCGACGAATTCATCCCGGAAAGCCAACCGAAATACCATTTTCCAGGCCCTGATGGAAGTATTCATTCTTCGAAGCCGGCACATGGTGGTGCTGGAGTCGTTACGTACGAACCACAATTTCCTCAAATTCCCACGTACTCGTATGTCGGTGCTTCTGATGGCTCCTATAAACCAGGCGAATGCAAGAGTTGCAAAGGCCCATTTCCTGGACCTAAAGGCAGCATTCACGATTTCAAACCAGTATCACACAGTGAAGGTAACGCTCCGTCCTGGACGCCAGAACAACCGCAACAGCCACAACGACCACAACAACCACTACCTCCTCTAGTAAGGCCCACCATAGATTACAGTAAACTGCCTGGTCCTTCGGGAAGCATATACGATAGCAAACCAGTCACTCACGCAGGGAATATACCGGTAGCTGTTATTCCTAGCGGTACTCCTTACAATCAAGTTCCTAGCGTCAATAAAGTTCCTCAAGTCCAGCCTGGTTACAATCAGGAAAAGCAATGGATAAAACCTGGTTCAATAGCATTAAAATTTATTGGAAAATTACCCGGACCAATGGGAAGCATTTACACCAGTTTTCCAGTGGGCAAAGTAGGCCCTAACACGCAACATGTTCCTGTTTTAACCCCTACAAACACTCCTACTGGTAAACCCGGATGTACTGATGGACAGTGCGATGAATACGGTGGTCGGTTAAGTTGTCACGGCGTTGATTGTTTTGGGCCTGGCAAGAAACCTGATAACGTACACTTTTCCAATGCCAATTCTCAAGCTAACAGCAATACTAAACAAGAACATGAAAATGTTAACTTCAATTTCGGACATCCTACTTTGAGACCTGATGAACCGGATTGTCTTAAAGGTCAGTGTAATACTGGACCGGTGAAGAAACCTGGTAACGTGCACTTTTCTAATGCCAATTCTCAAGCAAACAGCAATAATGAACATGGAAATATTAACTATAATTTCGATCATCCTTCTTTACGACCTGAGGAACCGGATTGTTCTAGAGGCCAGTGTAACATCGACGGAGCGTACCATCCTGAAAAATCAGTACCGGGATTACCGGGTAAAACGTGCAGTGGATTAGCATGTTTGGATCACGTAAATACGCAAGTTAATATACCAGTACCAGTGACTATTGTACCTCAACGTGTACCGGACCATAACGACGAAGAACATCCTAAATTCGATTTTGATATCGACCTTAGGCAGAAACCCGAAGACAAATTTGATTTTCCTCCTTCAAATAACTACAATAACAAACATACTTTTAGTGGCAATGCTAACAGCAACACTAATGCTGCTCATGAAGGAAATATTAATGTTCACATTGGACAAAAACCTGACCGTACTCCAAATGATATTCCTGTCGAGGCAGAAAATCCAACCACAGGCAAACCAGTTAGTGGAAGCAGGGATTTCTTACTACCGGGAAATAAACCATACCATCATCATCATGTTGTAAGACCACACCATCCAAATCCCGAGAATCATCCAACACCTACTCATCAACCCCCACAAACTCCTGACAGTAATTATTATAAATGCACCTCCGAATCCTGTAACTTACCCAAGCCCAGCGAAGAGCCTCATACTGAAGAATTGGACGTTACAATAAAATGCGAAGGAGGTAATTGCGAACGAAAATACTACAGTTGTACCGGCTCATCCTGCCCATTGCCACATCCTCTCCCTAATCCTCTTCAACCAGGTAAAGCTCCAGTTAAAAGTGGACAATTACCACTTCTGTTCCCTAATCCTTTTCAACCTGGTAAAGTTCCTGTTCAAAGTGGACCTGAAAGACCGGTTCAACCAGTAATAGGCGTATCGGTGTGTACTGGAGAGTCCTGTAAGTTACCTAAGCCTAGTGGAATACCTCATCAGCATGTCCACGTTAATCCAGGATGTCAGGGAAATCAATGCAAATTTGGAAGCGATGATAGAATTAATAATTATCCGCCCTACTTTGAAATACCTGTTCCCTCTCAAGAAAATCGTCCTTTAAATAGTGTAGGTCAATTTTCTGGTTCCAATAGCGCAGCTAAGGCCGATGGTATTTCTTACGAAGGTAGTTGGTACATAATTGCTGAAGATTTTAAATATTCTAAATTGATCAAATTTTAGAACAAATCAACATCAGTGATCTTCCTTTAGATTATTCTTCAGATGTCTCGTTCAACAAAAATCAGGGCGCTACTAAATCGAAAGTTGGTTGCACTCAAGGCAACTGCCAATTAATACCAGGTAATTCATTAAATCAAAAATAAAATAAACTAAGTTACATCAAGATTCTGTTTTTATAGGTTCATATTCTCCAGGATTTGTGTCTGGAAACGTAGTAATAGAGAAGGGTAACCAACAAGAAATTCCAGTAGTCCTATTTCCTGTAACGCCATGTCAGGGAGGAAAATGCTCTAACCAACCTTGCGGTAATGGTAAATGCGGTCAAGGAGCAAATGGTGCTCAGTTTGGTGGCCATTCGGAAGCGGTATCTGGCAGTTTTTCGGGATCTACTAGCCATGGTGGAGGTGACTTTTTTATAATTTTCCTAATTTTTAGTAAAGATAACTGTGATTTTGTTGTTTTAGTAAATGGTTGCAAAAACGGCGCTTGCGGGCTTATTCCAGCAGGAGGTGGTTCGTATTCCGGCAGTTCTGCTTTCAGCGGTGCAACCAGCGGCAGTTTTGCGAATTCAAATGGACCAGAATCCGGTTTAAAGGCAATTAAGGATTTAATTACCGGACTCGGTCAAGGGGTTCCAGGATTCAACGGAGCTAGTTCATTTTCTCACAGTGGATCATCGTCGTATGGTTCAGGTATGAACCTCAAATTCTTGTGTTTAAATAACTTGATTAATTAGTTGTATTGTTTTAGGATTCTCCGGTTCTTATTCCAGTGCTGGTTCCTCCTCTTATTAAAAACATTATACCTAAACAATTTAAGAAGACACCTGGTGGTTTTACGAATAATTATTATAATCTGAATACTCTTGTTCAAATGTGATGCTAATAGTAAGAAAATATTGTTAAGTGCCTTTAAGTATGTGATTATTTAATAATATACTTAAATAAATTTATAGAAAAGTCTAGATTCCTAATAATTTTTAGATATTAGAACATTGTAAGAAAGAAGGTTGGTGTTTTTTAATATTTATTTAATCCCTAAATTAATAATTACAAAAATATAAAATATGTAGCGTCATTGGACATCACTTCCTTTCGTTCTAATGGTCTTACCACCAACCTAAAATTATTATATTAATTTTTAAATTCATAAATACTTCCTTAAATGATTAAATAAACAAATTAATTACCTCCTCCACCCCGGACAACTCTTACAGGCGACCATCCATTCGACCATCCACCGGACCATCCCCTCGACCATCCACCAGAAGGCGCCCAACCGCCCCGCGATACTCTCACCACTCTAATAGGTGCTGAACGTCCGTAATTCCATCCAGAATTCCAACCCGAATTCCATCCAGAGTTCCAGCCTCCCAATGAACCCGCTAAAATTGCAATTACATATTTCAACGTAAACCAAAATAAATAAGATTCATTACCTTCATTGTAACCACAAAACAGAGCCAAAAGCAGCAAAGAGAAAACGACCTGCAATATTTTAGGGTAACAATTCACAGGAAGAAATAGTAATATTAATTTTATTATTATTGATTAATGATGACTTCAAAAATTGTTAGATTATTACATTATTGTGTACAAGTCCTTACAACATTTTTAAAATTTACCTACCTTCATATTTTTATTCTTTTAAAATATAGTTGTAGTATGGTAGTTTTGAAATGAAAAATTACACTGATGCAGAAAAACGAGCAGGGCACATTTTATAGATCGGAGCCAATTGGTAGCCCCCAAAATTTGGTAGGTCATGAACTGCATTAAAACTTAAGACATGCTTGTATAAATTAACTATTTACATATAAATGTGTTATTTATGGGATTAGTTTTAGTATAAATTATTTTCGTAGACGACTGTAAAACGATTTCACTTTTTTATGTATTTCGCCTTAAATTTTGGCGGCGGTCTAGGTAAGCACTTAATACACAGAAAAATTATAAAATACAAAAATTTATTCAGAAACAATTAATAAAAATTTATACAAATTATAAACACTTAAAATGTTCACCTTGCTAAATGATTACCACCATCCTGAAACAGAAAATACAAAAATAAATTATTTTGTTCCTTAGTTTCATAAATTTTAACGTACCTCCTCCGTGATGGGTTACTTTAATTATCTTAACTCTTGGGGGTGGCACCACTTTAATAACCTTTACTATTTGTGGTGGAGCGTGATGTATAGGTTCATCCCATACTGGTGGAGGAGCGTGAATCACCTGCGGCGGTGGAGCATGATACGCTGGGGGTGGTGGCGGCGGGTAATATGCTGGCGGCGGTGGGGGTGGTGGTGGAGGAGGAGGTGGTGGAAATCCGAATCCAAAGCTGTTTCCAGTATGTATAACTTTGATTATTCCTAGTGGAAATGGAGCTGGGGGTGGAAATGGTCCCGGAGGAGGAAGTGCCGGTGGCGGTGGTGGTGGTGGTGGAGGAGGTGGTGGTGGCGGTGCTCCGAAGCCACCTCCGTAACCTCCGTAACCTCCATAACCTCCGATACCTCCGAATATTCCAGCTAAAATAGACAAATATTTTTCATAATATGCTAATTTGTAAAACCTCTTCCAATTAGAAAATTATTTTTTAAGTTTTACTTTAACTTAAACGCTTACATTTCTAAAATCACAGAACTATTTTAGTCATAGTTTGTTATTTTATTATAACATATTTAATTGGCAGGAGATTGAGAGTTTGTGTGAAGATCTTGCAAGTCTTTTGCCATTCACTAAGTTTTAAAATTAAATTAAACTTCTCACTCATCAAATTAGAACAATTGTTTTTAATCTACATTTTATGGGTAAGTGCAAATTTGTTTGCAATTTGGTCAATTATATGGGTTGAAGAAAGAAAGGTTATAAATAACGTTATAAATAAATAAGGTTAAATAACAGTGGTTAGAGCGATAGAATTGCAAAGCTAACAATATCACATTTTGTCTTTTCTTTATATGTGACTAAAGAAAGTTGTTTATGTTGCACCCATAGTCTATATTGCAAACAATTTTGTATCCATCTGTAGATAGTACATTATAAATATTTTCTGTTTTCTTACCTTGACTACCACTGAGAAATACAGCAATGGACAGGAAGAATAAATGAACCTAAAAAATTAATAAAAATTTTTGTAATAAGAATAATTAGGATTATGTTGTTGATTATAGCTATGTATGAATCTAATTTTTGTATCCAAATTATTCTCTTCATATGTACTTATTTTTGAAAGTAAAATAGCCTAAAATAGGTATGAATACGAAAAAATTAGAATCTTAATACGTATGTGCACTAATAGTAATAAAATAATAAAATTTATTTACCTTCATGTTTTTTCTAATAACTATTTCACTGTTGTTTTAGAAAAAACTGAACTGATGCTTTTTCGGAGACAAACGACATCTTTTATATCCCAAACCCCCAAACGAGAACATAGGAAATGCATATTATAACATATAAAAAAAGCGATAATTTTTAAATAAATCCCTGTTAACATACAAATTAATACTTATGGTTTTAGACAAATGCCATTAAAGCGTCATTTTGCATAGGAATCACAAAGAAATCATCTCGATTCCTCATTTAGTAATGACAAGATTCGCTTTCTTTTAATTGATTAGTTGATAAGTGTGCAACAGTTTTAATATTCATCAACATTCCTTACATGAGAAGAGAGATTTTTATTGTCGAAATTTTTTGGCCTTTTCATTACTTCCTTCATTACTCCTTTTCATTACTAAATTTGAAGCTCTAAGTAGGTAGGTATACTTAAAAGCGCCCAAATAACATTAACCAAAAATGTTTACACAAAATGAAAAAAATCTATATTTCTATCTCGAATTCAACGAATGCTAAACAAATCGAGCTAATGGTTCGAGAATTAAGTGTTTTAAAATGTGAGCAATTTGCAAAAGGACATCGATATCGTAATAGTAGTTACCAAGGCTGTTAAATAGCCGTCCAACGGACAAGAATTCGAATTAAGCGAATCTATGTCGTGAGAGTGCATCAGGTGAAAATAACAAATTGCAACACCGGTCAAATGTCCCGTGTGTTAGATTTAATTCAAGTATTTTTGCAACTCATTATTTAAGATTTGATAAGATTTTTTAGATGCAAATAGAGTAAAGTGTAACCAATTAATAACAATACGTACATACATAGATGTATCATGTATCGCTTGTAAGCAATTTCTCAATAAGTTTTTGAGATTGTTTGAAGAAGGTTGAAATTTTAGAAGTTTCTGTATAAGTAAATAGTTAATTGTTTAATTAAAAGATTGATTTTATGCTTAAGTGTATGTATTTTTTTATTTCATTTTATTAATTATTAATATATTTATATAAAATCTGTTTCATTAATTAATTAATAAACATTGCAGCCCTGTTGAATTTTATCGTTTACCACCACGCACCTGAAAAGTAATAGAATTCGTCACAAATAAATGAACTAATTTTTCAATATTCACGAGCATTTAATTTTAAACTAAAGAAATTAATTAGATCTCGAGTTGAAAGCCCATTAGTTATAGTTATACACAATTGCCAATTTTTGAATAATAAATAATTTTAATAAACCATTCTGCACTATTAATATTTAGTCAAATATTAACGTTGCTGAATTAATGAATGAATATCTTTTAAATTTTTGAATTAATGTAGAATATTCTATACTCCAAATATGATATATGCCTTATTTATTTAAATTATACTAACAGAGTCTAATAAATTAGTTAAATCAAAATAATTATTAGGTAGCCGAATATTATATAAATTATTAATATTTGTAGCCAAATGAGACTGCAAAATTTATACTTATACTCACTTCTCCATCCAGAATTCCACGCATTAGAAGATTTCCAAGGATTGCTGTAGGACCATCCGGAGCTGCGGTATGTCGGTACAACTTTAACCACCCTGACTGTTTTCCACCCGTTGTTCCAGCCTGTGTTCCATCCGCTACTTCTCCAGCCTCCCCAGCCTGTACCTGAAACAAAGGGCGTAAAATTATAAACTTTTATGGAAATTTATGGAAAAATGTTCTTACCTTCAGAGAAACCGGTGAATGCTATAAGGAGAAGAAAACACAACACAACCTAAAAGTATATAAAACTGAAATATTACAGATGGAAAAATAGCTACAATTTTGTTAAGATAAATTAATGAATTAGTAACCTATCTATTCCTATGAAAATTTTTGTGTAATTTTAATTTTTGGAAACTCTTTTCCTTACTCTATTTCCAGTGATTGTTATTAATAAAAATAGTAAACAATAGGTGTTATAATTTTACCTTCATTTTGTTATCACGGATTAAACAAATAAAACGCGACTAAGCTCGAAAATATCAACGCAAACATTTTATATACTCCTGTAAAAAGCATATGCTCTAGATGCAAGCTGCTTCTTTGGAAATATTTAATTTTCTTTCAGGTTAAACGGTTAAATGCAACTAAGTAAATCGTTGCATTGTGTAACGACACCAATTTGTGCGCCGCACGGGTTACAAGCAGTTCATTCGCTTTCTTTAAGCATTCAGGTATAATCTAGAATACTAATAAAATATTCCGATCAAATGTATGTTACTTCCAACAGTGCCGAAATTTTACTTTATGTGGTTAATAAACTCACTCTTTATAGTGCACTAAGGATTTTTTGGAATAAATCAGTTATTAAGCATATAGGGTGTCGCAAAAATATTGGAACATTAACTACGGACTTCTGACAATGAGATGAAAATAGAAATCAAATAAAAAATGGATCATTCTATTCGAAGCACGTTTGACGTGGTTCAAACCTTTGTTATTACAAAATTCTGTACGGTTGGTATCAGCACTGCGGAGCTCCTGAATGATCGATTTGAAAGCAAAACTTTGATCAATAGTCGTAGCTGATTTTGGCAGCTTTTGTTACCTTTATAAGTAAAAAGGACATCGAATCTTTCAATAATGTCAATAATGTCTTTCAATAAATTGGGGTATAGCTAATTCACGTCATTTTCCCGAATGTAAACTGCTACTGGAATTGGTCAATTTTAAACCTCTTTATTTACCAAAGGAAAAACTTTTTCATGTTTTCGGCTGCAGTTTTGGCATCTCCATTGTTGTTTCCATAAGGCCTTTCCCGATGGGGCGTGAGTTCTCGGCCACTCTGTATTAGGTATCTATAAAATTAAAGTGTTTTATGTCACAGTTAAATAGTCGTAAAAACTTTGAAAATTTAGACATTTGGATTGAAGTTGTCAGTTGAAGTTGTTATTCAGTTTATCAGATAGATTTTGCTCTGTTACTGTTATCTGACTGTTAAGCATTAACTGACATTGGTGAATGCCAAAATATGACATTAACAGGATGATAAGGACAAGGACTTCTCTCTGATGTTAGCGATTTGGTGAATATGGCCGCAAGTTATTTATATTAAAAATCTTTTTAGATACTAATCATAATAAAGGCCCTATTGAACAGTTTTTTTATTAAATTACGGAAATCTAATATTTAGACCTTTCTACAAGCCTTATTTAACAACCTACCATTTGGGATCTTTAAGGAACATCTGGGAAGTACAGATGATATGGTATATTGAAATATTAAAATATTTTGGCTTATTTAGAAATGATATTTTACTTTCTTAAAAAATATATAAGGTATCTACATAATGCAGTGTGTTTCTGCATACAGAGTGTCCATGTTCGAGCGCTGCAAACAGTAGAAAGAGAAAATCAGTCGAACTGTGGAGAGGCGCGGCTTCGGCGCGATGAATCGGCGGACAAATGTAGCGCTCGACTTTAGACACAGTGTATGTATTAATTAATTAATGTATTGATGGTGGTCTGACTGACAGAATAGAAATTATTAATAAAGATCTCATTGGACGATAAACTAATTCCATATTGTTAATACATTTTATTAAGAAAAATCTTTTTACAAATCATTTTCGAGAATTTACAATAATTTACAAATATTTACAACCACGTATAGAGTGAAATTTTACAACTAAATGCAGTGATCACATATTTTTATTTCGGTGTTTGTGTGGAAAGAAAGTGATAGGTACTCCGGCACATTTACTCAATTCCCGACGGATTACCACCATCCACCGCCTCCACCTCCTAGAACCAAATAATATGTTAATATCAATCTAACAATTTCCTCTAGTGTTTATTTACCAGATTTCCAACCGCTACCGCCGCCGCTGGACCAACCGTTTCCGCCGCCACCGCTCGACCAGCCCTTTCCGCTGCCGCCGCTGGACCAACCGCCTCCTCCGCCGCTGGGCCATCCACTGCCGCCAGAAGACCAGCCGCTGCTCAGACCAGACGACCAACCGCCGCCGCCTCCGCCGGATTTCCATCCGCTACCGCTTCCGTATCCGCCTCCGTATCCGCCTCCGCCGCCGCCGCCTGACCAGCCTCCGTGTCCGCCGCCGCCGCCGCCTCCGCTGGGTACGATCACTTTAATGATTTTTACAGTGGAGCCACCGCCGCCTCCTAAAAATTAAAATTGTTAATCCATTTCGTCTCAATTACAGGATATAAAGCTTAAATATAAGTTATTTACCTGACCATCCTCCGCCTCCGCCGGATTTCCATCCGCTTCCGCCTCCGCCGCCTCCTAGCCAACCGCCGCTAGAAAGGCCACCGCTGGACCAGCCGCTGCCGCCTGATTTCCAGCCTCCTCCGCCAGATTTCCAGCCGCTGCCACCTCCTCCGGACCAGCCGCCGCTTCCGTATCCACCGCCGCCGCCGGACCAGCCACCTCCGCTTCCGCCTCCGGACCAACCACCGCCGCCTCCGCTAAGGAAACCGCCTAAGGAATATCCAAATATTGAATAAAATTAAGGATGAATGTTGTAAGAAGATTGTGGAAGATTAATTTTGATTAATGTGTGGAAAAAGAAAATTTAATAATCTGATCAGTTGTATACCGTTAAAGTTTGTAAAAAAATGTGCTGATTTTTTGAAAATCCAGTAGAATTAATATTTTTTTTAAATATTTAATCTTAATATTAGTTTTTGAAGATCAATTTAATACTTCCACGAAACTTTATCTTCACTATTTAGGTGAAAATTTTAGGATATTAAATAATAATTGTATATTTTTATGTAAAATTATAGAATTCAATATTTTATACAATAATTTACTAATAATTAATGTATAATCTATGATAATAATCTAATGAAAGTAATTCATGATAATGGTCAAATTAAGCGATGAGAAAATCTTTAAAAATTATCTTGTTTTAATCTTTTTCATGAGATATTATCTAAATGTACTCGTAAGCGAAATGTAGAAACTTAGAAAAATGATAGTTCTTATGTAAGCAAACTTATATTTTGAATAAAATGGATCATTACTTTTATTTTTGGCTATAAAAGAATATTTATATAATAAAAAAGAAATTTGGACCATTATTCCATTAATTAAGTAGCGAAAGGAATCAAAAAATGCAATAAAATATTATGAAGTATTCATTAAAAATTTTTTATTATTAAATTAATTATTACCATTATAAAAAAGGCTAAAGCTAAATGAAAGGTAAACGGTTTGAATTTTGAATGTTTAATCCTCTCATGTTTATATCGAATTGATTGACAAGTTGAAAGTAATATAATAATTTCCTGCTTAGATTTTTACACATTTTCTCTGGATTACATAAGATTACCAAATATCCCTAATCGAATTAACATGCCGTGTAATCGACAGTAAACCCTATCTCCTCTGTAATGTAGAGATTCGATCTTTTGGCAGATAGCAAAATAGAAAAGGCCGCACCTAATCGAGATGAAGCGATGTTGCAACGTTACTTCATTTTAACTGGCATCTCGTGATTTTTACGAGCCGAGAAAAATTACTTTAATAAGCCGATCTAATTGCGAACCAAGGAGATGTTTTGTAAGTAGGCTGGATCGTGAGATAACAAAATAAGACTAGTAATTAACGTGATATATTTTACAGAATCGTGTGGTCAGTACAATTTGATATCATAACAAAATCGTCTTGAAATTGATTGATATTTTTTATTACGAAGATTTGAATATATCTGGTAATATGTCATACATAATAGGTTAGGTATAGTAAGTTTTGGCAGTTGCACAAGGTGCTATTAATATTTTTGTATTGTTTTGCATAATTTTTGCTTATTGATATTCAAAATTTTATGTAATAAATTTTGCAACCTTTTAAATTTTTTTACTCTGAGTTTTTGAAAAATTTTGTATTTTTGTTTATATTTTTGAATTAAATTAACGCATTTTAATCTAATGAGGTATCTCACGATATAATTAAAAATGTAAGATATTAATTTAATTTAAGATAATTAAAATCTTGTGAAAGCTTTGATTTACCTACTTAATTTTAACTCTTTTCGCTGATTAATTATTTATATATCACATACAGGTAGATGCAAAAGTGTATACAATATGGTATATGGGCGCAACAAAGAAAACTTCCGTTAGTCTCATATAAAGGAAAAAGAAGGAGCGATATTGTGAAATTTTTATAATCTTTCTTTGTTCAACTCATAGATTTAACCATATTGCAAATAATTTTGCATTTATATGTATAAGATGAAAAATAGTTTTTATTTACGATATTTATAAAAAAAAACATTAAAAATTGAAGTAAAGAGATTTTTCTAAATATTTAAAATATAAAAATTGAATATTTTTGAGTTACAAGGAAAATAATTATTCCACTAATTTCTTGGGTGGAGGGGTGCCCTTTTTTAATTCAACTTCAGTATAATTACTTGCTTTTAGATCAGAAATTGTGTATTAATAATAATAATACATTTGTCCCTATAGGAAAAGTTAAATTTGTAAATAGAAAATCTAACTACATAATTGAAATTAAAATTATAAGTGAAATAATAAATTATTGCCGGCAATCTATTAAAATTCTTTTCAAATTTTTCATTTTTGATATAAAGATAATAAAATAAAAATACTGATTTTTTAAGCAGATAAACTCTTCTTTATATTTTTACAGGGTGAAAAATTTACCCCTAATAATTTATTAAAAAAGACACTAACCTTGTACATGAGTAGCAGCCACGGCCACCACCAACAAACAAACAAAAGCCTGTAAAAAAATCGAAATAAAAATTATTGAACTCACTTAACAATCCACTGTTTTAAATAAAAAATCTGAATTACCTTCATCTTTACGGTTAGTATCCAAATCTACGGAACTAACTTACCTCCCTGTTGTTTTTATGCGACTATATATACGAAATCTTCACGAACCTTGGCCCCCTACCCCTGTCCTGGAACTTTTACGTATCTATTTCCAGCCCTCGAGGTGATTGTGCTCGACCGGCCCCCCATATTTCAATTGGATATTTTTATATAGGAAAGAGAATGCACACGTTGTTGTAAAACACCGTAATTACGCGTTAGATTTGGGAATAAGAATTGCTGAAACAGGCCGATTGTATGCTTTGATTTAGATTCGCATTAGTTAATTCGCTTGATTTTTATCAAAGTTGCATACAGGGTGGTCCGTTTAAAACAGTCGCCTTTGAGATTATTTTTGGAAAATCCCCCAGGTCAGTGGATTTTCATTTCAATGATGAACTCATTTGATATTTTGATTAATTAAAACTTTATTCTTCATTTATTACTTCACCGATACTCCCAACTGGTGTTTTAAATTAATTTAACACAGACCAAAAAGGTTCAAAAGCATTTTTGAAAAGAGAATTGAAATACCTTTAAAATAATGTGCCTCTTGACCCCTGGTGATATTTAGCTTTCTTCAAGAGGTTATCACCCATCAACAAGTGGCCTCGGCGATTTCCTAAAAATATTCTCCAGTAGGAAAATATTGGTGGACTGTTTTAAATGGACCTCCCTGTAAATGAGTTTTTCCCAACAAAAATACAGAACTGTTTAGGTTTAGTATTATTGCTACTCACAAAAATGGCTTTACGAATGCCTAGGAAATTCCAGTATGTACCTACTTTTTTAGATTAAAAAAAACTAAAGAAGCCATGCAATAAATAGGTTCCAATAGTCTCATTTTGATCATTTTTAGCTTAATATTTGAATAATTTTTGAATAATTAATGTTATCTGCAAAAGTTCGCAACCTGCAGCAAGTGGCTACGCACAATAATAGTAATTTGCAATTTAAATTTTTAAAAAATATTTGTCACACGCATTAATTACGCCGACTACGAGATCAGGACGACTTAATTTTGAAATTCAATATTGTATTAATTAAATTTTTAATTTATATCGCGTTATGTAACAATATAATTTGAATGATTACAGAATCATTGTTTTGGTTAAGAAAGTGAAACATGTCGTATGGAATATTTCCAGGATGTGACATTAAAGCTTGATCGAGAGTGTTTTCAGCAGATAATTTGTTAATTGGGATTATTCGAATGGAATTATAACTGTCTTAAGATGTAATTAATCATGTTTCAGGTGGGTTTCCAAAGAATCGATTTGCTTGTGTACATTTTAACGACGATTTTCAAGCATCGCTAATGTTAGGCTTTAATTATTTAATAGGTTTTTGTGACATGTTCGCAGAGTTAATGTACCCCGAACACAATGCTCTATTCAGTCGCAATTGTTGCAACTGCAGCGACGCAAGTATTAATTTGTCACTGTTTAAGTATGGCCGAGTTAATAATAATACCTGCAGTCAAAGAGATTTAATTGTTGTTCATGATTTATTGTTTGAATTCTTTTGGAAACTAATATGTGTAAAATAAAGATCTGAGAAATTTTGGTATGGTAATTATTTACATTTTATTGTTGATTGCTTTAGTAACTAATTATCTATGTAATCAATGAGATATACCAAATTGTAATTGAAAATTAAAAATAATTAGTCGACAAGTAAATAATCTTCACATGTCTTCTTCAATTTATTTCCTCGACAGGAAGGCAATTATAAATTCTCAATAACACCTACTCAATCGTTTGAAAATAAACTTTTCACCTCTTCCGATTGCTTCACCAACGGTCCTTCCGGCTAGATTGAAGGTAAAGAGTAATTCTAGTAAGGAGTAATAATAAGTACTTAAAAAAGGCGGGTAATAAAATAAGATGATTAAAAGGTAATAGGAAATTAATGAGATCACAAATTACCAATCTACGTATAGTCACTTTAATCGCTGCTATTCCGTATTTGATTTGTTCCGTGCAGTTTGACGTCAAGGGCAATATAAATAATTAAGTACATTTTTTTTTTAATTTTTAATGTTATTAGTTGTCCCTCTTCATAATCATCGTTATCACATTTTTCAATTCCATTGAAAGCAAAAACGAAGTTTCTCGATAAATATTTTGTATAATAATTTCTTAATTTTATAGTGGTTGTTGTATTAAACTTTATTACAGAAAATTACATTAAATGTTATTCCGCCTTTTACGTTCTAGATCAACTTTCCTGTTTGTTAACTTTATGGTTATAGCTCAGAGAATATTTCCAATAAAATCAAAAGTAGCGCACATAATGATGATAATCATGCGATAATGATCTAACCCGGCAAACATCCGCTAATACACTTCTCCATTAAAATAAGAAAGCTCGATTTTTTAACAAAACCCCACTAATTTTCTAAAAAAATCGCTCGTAATATGCAATATTTGAATCGTATTCATGAACCGTACGAAATTAATCCCGAAATTAACATATTCAACGTAAAATCGCATATAAAATTATAATTACATCTGTGTATTCTCTAGTGAAATATTATGTTGCAACTTCTTGCCTACTTGCGTGCTATTATTTTTTCTGCGATGGTGATCACTTAGGTAGGTACTAATTTGTGCAACAGCTAGTGCGCTGGGAATATATATTTTATTCGAATGTATACTAATTGTTGTGGCTTCTGATTCTTATCCGATCGAAATCCTCTTCAACAAAAATACATAAATAAACACCTCCGACTTTGTTCTCATTGCAATTTTATGCTACTTGTAAGTAGATACAAGTGTGATTTTTATACTAAGCATCTAATTATTTTCTTGCACTTAATGTGCATGTATCGTACAAAAAATATATTGAAACAAACATTATAACTTATTATAGTAGGATTACATAAACTAAAAATGATTAGGAACTAAACAAAATAATCTTATTGCCTAATTCTCTTGATGCGAGATGTATTCAATTCAGGTTATTACCGTATTTAATAACTCATTCGGTGATACCATTTAATACAAAGTTTCGAAAGTAAGTTTACTTTCATCGAGATTAATTCGATATGATTCTATGGCTCAGTAGATTCGATTAGGTAAAAATGGTTAAATGCTAAAAATAAAGCATAATTATTATATCGTGAGTTTACATTAAAGTAATTATGAGAATTCAACTTATATGAGATATGTTCGAAATGGGTTAGATAATTTATACAATTCCAATAATCGTGTAAAAGTACCGTTCAACATTAATTTTATGGAGTTAAGCCAATGAATTATAAAGCATTCTTTTATTTTTTATTGAGGAACATCTTGCATAAATGCAACGCAAATGCGCGATATAAATTTCAATGTTTATTGCAACAGAACCTTAAAGTCGATAAAAAACGGTAATATTATTTATGCAGATAAGTACATAGTTTACTAGAAAAACCGCAAGTACTTGGCACAGGGAAAAATCAACATAAAATCCGCGTTATTTTAACGACGGGTCAGACGAGCAAACCATTAAAATTAGTATTTCATGGACGACCGAGAGTTTAAGCAGATTATATCACCCGGAGAAAACATACTTTTATTTTACAATGGAAATGCGTATCTAATAAATTTCGTTAAACGCCTGAAATTTCGACACATTTTTCATGCGTAACTTTAATTTAAATATCAAATAGGTACATAGTCGGAGATTTTCGCATTGAGATGTTACCGATTCCAAGGTTTCCATCTATTTATTAAGTAAAAAAATCATTCGTAATTACATAGTATACGAGATTATGTTCAAAAGGTTTGGGAAGGTTGAAATGCTTTTCGGAGAGTGCGCAACAATTGCACCATTGTAATTTAAGTTAATCTCTTTTTGGATACTTTTTTTTACTATATTATTCTGTACAAGTTAGTTCCATTGAATATTTAGAAAATATCTACTAATTTAGTAAAAATTTATCAAAGTATTCCAGTAAATAGGTAAGGTTAGGTAGGTTTACATTTTGTATTAGAAGAACATTTTGGTGGAAGTCAGAATAGAAACTATTCACCATTATTCTTAAAATTGGCCTAAGATTTAGTAACAACGGGCCAAAAAGTAGAAAATAAACAACAATTTTCGACCAATTTTTTATGAATTATAACAAATTATTCGGAAAAATTCATTGAATTTCTGCTCTAATTTTTGTAACAATTAGCTGTACATTTTTTGTATTTGTCCAGTTAATACCTTCCTTTTTTAGCGTACTGTAAGATAGTGAAAGTTTTTCGACCATGCAAAAAACATTGACCCGAGAATAGATTTGATCATCGGTACCATCCACAAAGAAAATAAGCGAACGTGGTACTAATATCCGCATTTAACAAAATAATTAATAAAATTGTTATACATATTTATATGTAGGTACATATGTATCTACCTAAATTAAACTAAATTTCAATGAGGGAATTTCAAATAAAAAAAATGAGAAGCATAGGGGAGTGAATAGAATTTTTAACTAAAGGTACTGTTTAATTCAGATATTTATTTCTTAATATGACGTATTTATACAGTGAGTTGTAGAAAATTAAGTTCAAAATAAAATTTGATCCTTTAAAATCCTCTTTTTTCCCTTACATTTAGAGATGAGTTAGAGCTAATGCAAAGTAAAACAAGAGATATTTTTTACAGAGATATATTACATAAGAAACGAGACGGCATAATAAGTCTTCCTCAAAAAAAGCAAGTCTCAAGAGGTATAAGTGTAATAAAATGAAATACTTTTTTACACAGTTTACATTACGTATGGAATGATAAATCACATTTCGCGAGACGTTCTCTTCTCGGAGAAGAGAATTTTGAAATAAATCATCTCGTATTCGAGATTAATTGCGGTAGACTGAGTCATATTCACAGTATACGCCATTAAAAATTTTGCAACACTCTTTGATTCTAAATAGGGAATTGTTATTTTATAATGATAGAGGCAGGTCAGGATTAAAAAATCACACCATTATCGATAAATCAAACTTAATAATATTACCCCGTTTATGTAAAATATGAACTTTAGTTCTATACCGACAATTTGATGTATTCATCTCTTCAACGATGGTAAGCTGTAATAAAAAACGACATTAAATAAGATGATGTTCAAGGTTCGACAGCAATAATAATTCGAGAAGCAATTAAACATCCATGCATACTAATGAGTAGCAACGAATAGATTCAGTTCAAGTGCCACTAACAGGTAACAAGTTGATTGCAATATCGAGATTATTAATAATTTAACGTTTACTTCTTCGTACCGCAAGGTCGCATCTTCCATTTAATATTCGTTATGATTTGCAGACGTTGTTCCATTAAAAAGGTCAATTACTGTAATATTTATACAGGCATTTACTCTACTAGCGCTGCCGTAAAATTAACACACCACTTCAATAAATTAAATGTTATACAATTTTGCGGAATAGAAAAACAAGTTTGACTGCATTCTACTTATAAAATATAGTCCTGAATGCAAGCTCGGTAAAATGCATCAAAATCCAGAAATTACAAAAATAAATAAAAATTATCGAAATTATAATGTTAATTATATAAATTGGCTAGGTAAAAATGGTGAGGCTTTTTAACTTTGAAAATAAAAAATAAAATATGACTAGTCTTCATTTAAGACAATCTTGAGGATTCTAGAGCCCACATTTGAGGACCATCAATCCAATCAATATGAAAAATTAAAGAATTTTTTTAGAAAGAATTAAGAATCGTTAAGAAAAAATATAACTGAAATCAGAAACGATTTCCGAAAGGATTATAGCAGACAAATTTCCTGTCCACATCGTTTCATTACTCTGGTACCCACCGCGTCAATCCTCGCTAATCAAGTTGTTGCGAAAATCGATCTATAGCTCGTAAACCTCTTTTCTAAAATCCCCAGTTCAAACACGTCTAATCCTTACGCACACGAGCCACGCAAAATCGCCCGGATCCGTGCACCAAGCGCATTGTTCGGCTCCGCCAACAAATCGTATTATAGGAATCGAAATTAGGATTCAATTGAGCCTGAACTAGTTAGAGGGTTAGCGGACCAACGAAGGACTAATGGCGAGCAGAGCTTGAGCTCTGTATGAAGGATGATTGTGGTGACAGGCCAGCGTCGTACACAACACACATTAGTAATTTAATTACACTTCCGATTTTTTTGAGAAAAGTGTAGGCTAAAAAATATGGGTACATTGAAGCGACTGTAATTAATGATAAGTATGATGAGAACAAAACTTTTAGTTATGTAAAGATTGGAAAAAAATTCTTAATATCCACTTATTTTAGTTCATTAGGAATAGGAATGATTCCTTTTATACTTCCTGTATGTTACCTGTAATTCTTTATACAATTATTAAAGAAAGAATCAACAATAAAATTAATAAGTTCCTTCTTTTAAAATGTTTAGATCCAACCACAAGAAATGAAAGTGATGAATTTACCCTATTCTTGTCGCCACCCCTGTAGCAACGTTGCACCGGTCGCAGTGTAACGAAATGAACATTCGATACGGGGTGCATTACAAAAGCCAGCGCGGTTTTAATATCGTATCGGGACGACTGGCGTCCCTCAGCTGCGAGTCCACAGGGCGACTATTAAATAATAAAATCATTGTCCCGAATCAGCGTTTATGGTTTTGGTATTAGATTTTAATTTCGGGGTGTATTGTGTTTTGCGGACGCGTCGGAGCGAATTTATCGCAGGTTCGTAGGGTGGTGGTGCAAGAATTTTCCTTAATACTAAAAAATTTTTATCCTTATTAATTTTAAACAACATTGTTGGTATTGATAATTGCAGAAACACTAATTAATACATATTCATCTCCACCCCAATTTTTATAATCGCCAATCAAACTCTCAAATCGAGTGCAGGAGATTTAATTTGAACCTCCTCTACGAGATAGCATACAGGTGCACTTTAATCGCGACTATCTCAAGAATATATTCACGAGCTAGTGGGCCCCGAATAGCGCGCATTAATTCGATGCCATTGTAGAGGGCCTCATTGTTTGGTTGTTTACGTTCCAGATCGGACTTTTGATTAAAAAAAACCAAATTAGTTATGCAGATGTGAGCTAGCGAGTGGTCAGGATTTAGTTATAGGTTTGATGGAGCGTCGTCACAAAAGAATAAATTAGATTCGATACGAGGGTGTACGGAGGTTGGTGTGCGGCAAGTGTTATCCGGGGTTTAATTTCACATGTGGATTTGATTCGTATCTGGCATTCTATTTGTTGTTTTTTGCGTGTAGGTAATTTGTAATTCATAATTGATTCAAATAAATATCTCCCAAAATGGAAAACGAATCTAAACTTTATTCTATAAAAAGTTTACAATAACTAATAACCATAACATTCCTGCCACCTGTTCTCCGCGCGTTCCGCCGCTTCCAGAAGTATTGACTATTTTCGCCACGAATGGTTCCAGGTTCTTTTTGTTGTAGTTCTCGAAGTACCAGTCGTTGCCGGAACTGTCCTCTGTTGAAGTAATAATGCCCTCTTCTAGCGTCGGATCATCAGGTAAATTCGCAGGAAGACGAGAAGCGTGAGAAATTTCTAAAGCTGACGTGGAATCCGTGCCATGAGGAGAAACCACTTTCGTGATGGTCGATTTGGCCACCGGTTTCAAATAGGGTTGTTGGTCGACTGGTGCTAAGAAGGTGGAAAGTAAAGAACCTAAAGTATACGTTTGAAATCAGCGACAAAGTTTGTTTTTAGCTCAAAGAATTATAGAATTATTAAAAATTAGAACCAACCTGTTCGATTTCGATGTCCCTTCGGTTGATCCAATTTTGGCTCAATTGTGGTTGTTGAGACTCCTTTGCTTTCAAAAGTTTTAATTTGTGTTTCTACTGATGTTATTTTTGATACCTTAGTGTCTGATCCTATTAGAGAAGTGTCTGTTGCAGTCCAAGTACCAGACTTTGTTTTTTCCACCGGCTTAGCTGTTGTTGTTATCTCAACTTTTCTTGTTGTGGATATGGTTGTACTTACAGTGGTTTGTTTCATTTCAGGATGCTTTGTTGTAGATGATACTGTTGAGATGCTAAAATTTACAATTTATGGTAATCGACAATCGTTTCAATTTGTTTAATTTACCTTTCGAGATAATGAACTTCGCTTCTGTTGTAAAATTGAACGTTAGCCGAAGTGTCTAGTTTAGTTTGATTTAGTTTGTCCACTAACTGACTCTTTTTATTTCTATTGTTAATGATCGTCGTATCATCAAGGGAAACGATCAAGGAACTTCCGTTTGCGGCTAATTCTAAGTTATATCCTCTTTTATCCAAGGATGTTTCGTTTTTCTGTTGAACTTGCGGTTGCTTATCCGATGGATCAGTTGATATTATTGGACTTGTATTTACAGTAGCAATGGTAGTTGTAATTCTAGGATCTACCATAGGCTTGAATCCTCCAGAACCCGGCAGCATCGGCAAGAATCCTCCTTGAAATTGCGGCCCAGCAGGTGGTTGAAGTCTACCAACATCTAAATCTCCATTGTTCGTTTGCAACGAAGGCATAGATTGACTCCTTACGCCTATTTGAGTTACCGGCAGTCTTTTATCTATTTTAATTCCGTTGACAACAGCAGATTTTCTGTCCACTTGACGCGGAGTGGTTTGGTCCAGTTTCTTGCTAAAGATGTTGTTCAAATTGAGAGCCGGCAACGGTATACCGAAAAATGTAAAACCACTCGTACTCGGCGAGTCCGGTATTTTTGCAGGTATCTCCGGTTGTTTCTGTTTTGACGAAGCTGCATAAAGAACAGGAACGTTACCTGAAAAACAAATATTGGAATTTGGAATTCTGGATATTTACAGTGTAATCCCCTGGATTCATCTTACCTGTTGTGTTAGCTTCAGTTTCTTTGGTGACCAAAGGAATCCTCTCTACAATGTGGGAATTGTCCTTCTCATTCGCGCCTAATGCACTTGCATTGAATGGATAATCGATGTAATCATCGTAAAAGTACTCGGATTCTTGAGGATTAGGCGGTAGATTGTTTTTACCAGCGGTGCTGAAGTTTCGCAAACTGGCGTACTTGGAAAGTAATTGTTGGTTCATGTTTGGAGCGCCTAGGAATTCAGCCTCACAACCTGTCGAAACCCGTTCTCTTCGCCTGCCCGCTGGACAATCTACAGGTGTAAGAGGCATCTCCCTGAGAAGAGTGCCATCGGAGCATCTGGGACTTGTTTGAGACGATTCTCTGAGCCACGATTTGAGCCATAACATGTCGCAAGAACAATCCAATGGATTTCCTGTAATAAATGAATATTACATACACATTCCAAAAGGTTTGGGGAATAAGAAAAGAAGGATAACTTAGAAGACATAAATAGTATACTAACCTGTAACTTGCAACTGAGCCGTATTTTCCCTTAGCCTGTCGACTGCGACTTCAGGAAAACTCAGTAATTTATTATTCTTCAAGTTTAGCACCTTCAACCTGGGCACGTTACCGAATACTCCTTCATCTACCTCGCATATTAGGTTATTCTGTAGCCTCAATTCAACAAGCCATTCCAAATCGTCCAAGTTCGAGCGGAGCTTAGTAATTTTATTGAAACTTACGTCTAGAAGTTCTAAAGATTTTATGCTTTTCAAGCCAACATCCTCGATATTGTATATTTCGTTATGGGTTAGATTTAAAGTCAATAATTGCGGTACCAAATGGAACGCTTGAGGGTCTATAAATCGCAGCTTGTTCTCCTGCAATTCCACGTTTTGAAGAGACAGCAAAGTGTTGAAAGCGTAACTGGGTAGTTGTTCGATTTGATTTCTATTCAAATGTATCGATTTCAAAGATGGTAACATTTTTATAAAATTCGATTCCACTAGAGATATCTCGTTGTCGTCCAAATAAATAGCCTTTAAATGCCGCAAGTGATTAAATGTATCAGCTTCCAATATCTGCACGTAGTTTTTGCTGAGTTTTATCTCTCTTAAGTCGGTCAAACTTGATACTATGGTGGAGTTGATGCTTTTTAAACGGTTCCTGCTCAAATCCAGTTTTTTCAATTTTTCCAAACCATAAAGGCTGCCCGGAAATTGCACTATAAGGTTTATGGAGAAGTCCACTTCTTGCAGGTTTTGATTAGCTAAAACAAATATGTATTTGTTTATCTACCTACTAATGACTAATCAAATTAAGAGACTGTATCAAACTAAAATGTTTGTTTTATTCTGCCGTAGAGTTTAAAACAAGATTGTAATATTGGAATTTGAAATATTTATAATAAAATTAATATTTACCATCGAATGTGTGCGGTAGGACCTCGGCCAATTGGTTATTACTGGCGTTAAATTTCCTTAAATTCTTAGCATGGCTCAACAATGAAGGGCCAATTAGCGACAACTGGTTATTGGCCATGTTTAAAATCTTCAATTCCGTTACGAATTTCATGGATAACGGGTTAATTTCTGATATTCGGTTATCGCTGATGTCCAGAATCTCCAACTGCAGCAAACCATCTAGAGCTTTCTCCGACACATGCCGCATGTAATTAGATCCTAAAAACAATCGTTCAGGGTAAATTAATAACCAATTAGAAGTACGAATACTTACTTAGGTATAATTTCTTCAATTTACCCAAAGACCTCAGCCGCCCTTCGTCGAGACTTTGTATCTTATTGTCGCTCAGATCCAGCAATCTGAGGGCGGGCAGGTGTAAGTCTTCCGTAGAAATCTTCGAAATTTCGTTGTGCCTTAGATGAAGGTGCTCGACGTTGCCAGGCAAGCCGGGTATCAGATTCCTTAAGCGATTCCTGCTGGCATCCAATTCGTACAGCTGCGTTAAATGCCTGAACGTAATCGGATGGAGGAAGTTCAAATTGTTGGAAGATATATTGACGTGTTCTAGAAGCGATGCGGGCAAAAAGGATTCAGGATCGATGAAGTTCAGATGATTCGAACTCAAATCTACCCGTCTTAGCATTCCCACGTTGTCCAGGAGGTTGTGCTCTAATCTTTTAAGGTAGTTCTGAGACATGTCTAGACCCTTTAGAGCGGGCAGATTCCAGAAGGGTACTCTCAAGTTATCGATCACCGAGTTATTGGTTAGAATAAGTTCCCTCAAAGCTGGCATTAATACGAAAGCTTCCTTATCTATATGCTGCAGTTTATTATAGCCTAAATTTAATTGCTCCAAAGCCGAATGGCCTGTCAACGATCCGAAAGTTATAGCATCTAATTTATTGTAGCTAAGATCCAAGTAGATGAGTTTCGGTAAATCCTCTAAAACAGATCTAACGTGAATCACGTCAGTGATATCGTTGTGGTTCAAGTTTAATTCCTCCAAACCGATAGGTTGCAGAAAGCTTTGCCTTTGAATCCTTCTCAACATATTCCTGCTCAAATCCAATTTCTTCAAAACGGGTAACCTGTGGAAGGCTCCTTTCCTGATTTCGCCAATGACGTTGTTCGATAAAAATATATCCTTTATCGCTGGCATATCGACGAAGGAAGCCTCGTCTATGGTACCCACGTAATTGTAATCGAGCCGCAAAATTTCCAGCTCCGGTAATTCCCTGCTCGCTCTACCGACCATACCGGGATCCGTGATTTTATTGCCTATTAGCGATAATTCCTTCAAATGCGGCAACCTGCGGAACGTCCTCGGGTGTATCCAATTAATGCCGCAACGTGTTATGTTTATCAGCTCCAGCTTGGGCAGATTGTCGAAGAGATTGGCCTGCAGCCGACTCAATCGAGCGCCGGACTGAATGTGCAGCTTCTCCAGCGAGGGATTGTCTTTGAAATTCGACGGGGCGAGTTCGACCAGCGACGAGGATTCGATTTGAACGTACCTCAACAGAGGCAAGCCCGAGAACATCGGCAGTCTCTTCAGCAGGCCGGACCGTATGGTGACGGCTTTCAGTTTCTTTAAGGATTCCAGCGAGGTTTGCGGCAGGCTGGTCAGCTTGGGCTCTACCAGGAATAGCTCCATCAGGCTGGATTCTAAATTGGCCAGCCAGTCTGTTGATACTCGCTCAAGGGAATTGTGTCGGAGCATCAGCCGTAGGATTTTTAAAGGGGCGAAGGCTCTGCCTGGTAAGGACGGTAGGTAATTGCTTTCCAGGATTAGCTCATCGATGGGGACGGTTATGTAGTTGCCGATAGATTTTAGGCTTTCGAGAACACTGGATAGGTTGCTGTGGGAGCACCTAAAAAAATAACAAAAATCTAATGGAATCTCTGATAGTAGTAGGTAGGGGTAAGCATTTTCTACCAACGTAAGTTCTAATAATCTAAAGATGATGAGAAGTAGAGAAAATAATCAAGAGATAATGAAATAAAATTGAATTTTCTTACCATATTTGATATTCTTTGCCTCTGATTAGGCACCTGCAGGGTAATATTGCCGCCTGTGGAGGGCAATTTTTTTCTGCGTATATTTCTCGCGCTATTGCGATTATTATTGACAATAGTATTAAATTACTTCTGTGTACGAACCACATTTTGGTACGATCATTCTCAATCGATTTTTACAAATAGATTCATTGAAGAAAGGAGAAGTTTTGGACATTGTACTAAGCTTACGTCTCGCATGTATTCCTAAAACAATCCAAGAACTCACGAACTAGTACACGCAGATTAATTTGTAAAAGACACTCACCCTTACATCTCTCGATTCAGAAATTAAAATCACATCTAAATTTTTGCCTTCTGACACTTTTACTTTTTAGAAATTTCCTTCCTGATTTCACTTCGTAACGGTTGGAAACTGAGGCGAACTAACCGGGAGAACCGATTTATTAACTCACGCAGCACACTCGACGCTACAACTAACAATAACAAATAAGAGAGAGTAAAAGACTGAAAGTTTCTAGTAAAAAATTATTTTGAGAGCCGGTGTCACACTCTGGTAAACACCTATAGGCGTATCTTCAGCGGAAAACGCTCCCGATGGTGCAATATCGTTCCTCCAAGACGCCGGTGTTGGATAATTGCACTAGGCATTTCATATAAGTACTTGCATATTATACATTTCTGATGATAATCCATCTTAAAATTGCTTGTGTGAGTAATTGAAGAGATATTTTTATATGATTTTTGAAATAAAGGAGGCTTGAGGTATGTTTTGAATGCACCAACTATTTAAATCAATGGGTGCAGTTGGTTTGCGCCCCACAAGACAATAACTGTGTAGTTGTAGAATCTGGGTGAATAGATTTGGATTTTGCAAGCTTATGTAATTCCAGATTTTACAACGAATTTTTGGCGTTCAGTCGGCAACGTTCATTGTTCGAATCTTTTTTTGTTAGAAAACGGTTTCATTGACGAAAAAAAAATCAATTAGTCCCGAGAATTTCAAAATACCTATGTGATAATTGTGATAAAATAAACCAATTACGATTGTTGCAAGATATCCTAGTTGAGTTTTCCACTTGTGATTCGATTAAATGATGTCGTACGGTTTGATTTACCTATAGCGCAATATGTATAATGAAAGTTTATGCCTTCAAATTTTGTAACTTCATTAGAAATTACGCAGGTACAAAACCTAGGGAAGAATGTTTCTAGAGCCCGAGAACCCAGACACATCAAGAGCATTGGAACTGCTAAGGGTCGTACCTATTAGTGACCTCTGGCAGAAACAATGACCTTACAACAGCTGGAAAACTACAGAGGATCTTATGATCTAGGATCTAGGTGGTTACGGTGCTGAAAAGACCTGCCTGCAAACAACAACAACAACAACGACGACAAAAATAGAAGGTTTTTGAATATTCAGAAGAAACTCATATCTATGCTTTTGAAATATATTGTCTGTGATCCTTTACCCTTTGTTTCTTTCTTTTCCTCTCTTATCACATATTGATAAGGTGAATCACATATTGGTTTACATACATATTTACTTAGGAGAACTCTCTGTTTCACACATTTTAATACCTAACTAATTAAAAATAATATAGAATCTCTCAAGAATCTCAAGAAAAACGCAGGCATTTAGTAAATTTCTTAGAAACTCGTAATTCGTATCTAATTACGTCTTGTAGTGTCGCGGCTTCGTGTAATTTTTACGTAAGGTTGACTTTCGTTACATTTTAGGTTCGAAAATACTCACGTGATCGGCACTTATCCACACGTATTTACGTTCCATGACCGGATCGCAATTATTCTTTTATTATGGTATTCTCGCGGTAATTGTAGGACCCGTTTCTTTTTACTGTAAAAGTATTTTGACGACATATTAACGGAGATAAAAGTAACGCGACAAAAATATATGTCATATTTTATTAGTTTGCCCGAACTAAATTTTCCAGTCCAATTTTCTACCAGGCAGGTTTTCAATAAGACGCAATTACCTGCATATTAAATATGTATAATGAAGGAATACTCTATAGGTATACAGATATAATACTGTAGGTATACCTACCTATAATAACTCTAGTTTGTTCATGAAAAAAGTATAATACAAAATAAGTGATACTATAAAATACTAAATCATTGATCGATATGAATCAAATGAGCGGTTTCTTCTGCTTTTTTACTTTCTTTTCTCTGTACTCTTTAGATGCTTTCTATATTAATAAATATTAATGGATATGGATAATGAATATTAAAGTTCGATTAATTTAATTTTATGATTATTATTGGGTACCTACAAACTAAATCGTAGATAACAAAGCTAGTGGGCGGAATTTAATCAAATTTCCTCTTTCTACGACCATTTCATTTAGCATTCGAAATGTAACCAAATATTTAGTATAACGTGATAATAATTCAGTTTATTAAAAGACACTTGTTTTATAAAAGTAGTAAGTCTTTCATTTTCTGTACCAATATTCATAACATACGGTAGATAAGTTCTGATTTTTTAATTAGGAATTTGATTTTTATTTCTCTGAATGTTGTCACATACTTCAAATTTTTTCCGCACAGATAGGAGAGCAATTTTGCTCAGATTAGATTCGTTTTTATGTTTTTAAAGAAGAGGGTATTTTATTAGATTGATCATAACGACTCATTCGTATGAAATTTTCAATGTCTGAATACAAGCAAAAAAGCAAGTATACAATGAGTGTAATATATTTGCTTCAGAAAGATACTAGGTAAGTCCTTGTCTTTAAAAGTTCGTACAGCTGGTACTTACATACATGTCTCAAACTCTCTTAAAATGTGGGATATTAATTGTATTTAAACCAAATATAATATGTAAAGATTTCTTTTTTAAAATCAATTCCTACTTACAAATAATAAAATATAAAGCATTGAAAATTTATTTAAATTATTTAAAAAATAAAAAAAAACATTTGGGCAAGATTCGAACAGAAGGCGTGAGGATTACATGCATACACCTCTACCAACTTTACTAAAATTTATTGTAATTTGTAAATACAGGGTTATCATATTACAGGTTGTCCCAATGAAAAGTAGCCCCTTTAGTGAGGTAATAATTTTTAAACGCCTAATAAAAACAAGCGGTTTTCGCAGATTTTGACACTTGCTATATTTTGCTCATAGACAACATACTAATAAGACGGGAAACTCTCGTGAAAAATTTGCTATAACTTTTTATTACAGTGACATAAAAATTTTGTATCGCCTGTACAGGGTGTTTTGTAAAAATCCCCTCTTTTAAATTCACATTAACCATATTTTACGAAATAGGACATCTTCTTTGTAGAATATCATGTACATATAATACATTTTTGAAAAGTAGAAGAGTATATCTTTCAAAATACCTCTATATATACGGGGTATTCCATTAAAAAAATGGTTACTGTGAATAAAAAAAGAGATTTTGATAAAACACCCTGTATTGGTAATGCATAATTTCTGTATCACTGTAACAAAACTTAAATATGGCTAAACTTAAACTTAAACTTAAAATAAAACATATTTGAGAAAACCGCATGTTTATGATTGGGCATTTAAAAATTATAGCTCATTAAAGGAGATACTTTTCATTGGGACACCCTGTATTACCATGTAACCAAAATTACTTAATTAAATTTACATAATAAATTAATGTTTGAAAAAGCTGCATTAACATCGAGTGTTTTCCACTACAACTTTAAAAAAATGTATTTGAACTCGAGGGGTTGAACCAAAATTATTCTATTATCAATTGAAAATTTTAACAAAATTTAGATATAAATATTCCGAGAGTGTGAAGTAATAGTAGGAATTAAAATGATGTTTACGAGGACGCATTCTTATTAACCGATATTTTCGACATCCTTATTGAATTTGTTGGTCCAAGAAGGACACTGTATTAGTTATTTTTCTACTGCAAATTGAGAGGGCGTAAGAGGAAGAGGAATTATCGACGCCGACGCCGGCGCCGGCGCCGACGCGGCCTTTTGCTACCCCGCTTTGCGTGTCACCAGTGACATATTTTTGATCTTCCCGACACGCTAAAATGATTGAATATTCGCATATTTTTTCGTTTCCGTTGCAATGGTACCCAACAATCACATCTCAAATCGAAACAAAATTACTGGTAAATATTTTTTTTGCATTAAGTACATTTTAAAACAACGTTTGTCGGTAAAATGTGAAGGATGCGATGACATCTGCTCGGAATTATTTTGAAAATTTTATTATTTCACAATTCTTGATGTCAATATTTATTAGTGAATGCAATCAGGTAGAAGATTTTAGAGGAGCAAATCTATTTTAGACAATGATGTAGTAGTCAAAAAAATCGTTATAATTGCCATTACTCAATTTGTTAATCTGCTTTTTTCATTCCTTATGATAGATTTTGAAAATTTTATTATTTCACAATTCTTGATGTCAATATTTATTAGTGAATGCAATCAAGTAGAAGATTTTAGAGGAGCAAATCTATTTTAGACAATGATGTAGTAGTAAAAAAATCGTTATAATTATACCATTACTCAATTTGTTAATCTGCTTTTTCCATCCTAATGATAGATGATAATGATAGAGTTAATGGTTAATTTTATAGTAGGAATCTGATACAGGGTGGCCCAGAATTTAACTCACGCCACACCGGGAAATACCTTATGGAAACGACAATGGAGATGCCAAAACTGCAGCCGAAAATATGAAAGAGTTATTTCTTTGGTAAATAAAGAGGTTTAAAATTGACCAATCCCAGTAGCTGTTTACATACGCGAAAATGACGTGAATTAGCTAAAACTTTTATACACCAATTTGACATTATTGAAAGATTCTATGTCCTTTTCACTTTCAAAGTTAACAAAATCTGCCAAAATAAGCTGCGACTATTGATCAAAGATTTGCTTCTAAACCGATCATTCAGGAGCTCCTGAATACCAAACCTACAGAATTTTTTATTGCTTCAAAAGTGGTTCGAATCGAATGATCAAACTTTTTGGTCGATTTGGTCAATTTTAAACCTCTTTATTAAGCAAACAAATAACTCTTTCATGTTTTCGGCTGCAGTTTTGCCATCTCCATTGTCGTTTCCATAAGGCAATTCCCCGTAGGGCGTGAGTTCTGGGCCACCCTGTATTTAGTAAAAAAATTTTATAAGATGGTTTTGTTTATAACATTAAATATATGTCATATTTGCATTAGAATAACTCTGCCAAATTTTCTCTTAATAGTTTTTGAAAATATTAATCAAAACTTTACAATAAAAACATTCTACTTTCTTACTGAAATTGTCTTGCACCATCAAAATGAATCGATATTTCGAAGACTTGTGACTAATCTATTTATTGTCTTAGATGTAATACTAATGGAATGGAAGTCGACGAAACGAAAGTACGGGTGCCTTTGCTATTTTGGATACCAATACTATTCTGCGGCGTGTTGCTGTTTTTCGCCGATGTTCTCGAACACCAATTTACCATACGATTCACCAAATCGCTGTTCACCACGAGCGGCTCGTTTGAGGATCGCTCGTTAGCCGGCTTCACGATCAGCAATCCCGGCTGTAAAATACCGTACATGGACCCGTTTGACGAGAACATCGCCCAATTCATCAAGCCGCCGTCGAAGCCGATGTGCAACAACGGAAAACCTCCTCTTTTTGCTTCCAATTTGACTTCGATTTTTTTATTAGAAACGTCTTTGCCAAAATACAATGTCTCCGACGAGAACGAGCTGAAATGTTGCTATAAGCCCTTTTGGCGAAGGGAGCCGGAGAATGGCGAAAGTGATAATAAAGTTGTTGTAGACTCTGAATGTCATGCCTTCCAAAAAAATACGGATATAACAGAGGAATTTATAATAGTAAATTGTACATACGACAATACTACAATATACATAGACACATTCTCTTTTGTACCGTTGAAAAATACCACAGGAATCGGTACTGGTGATAAAAAATTGAACGTTCTTCTCATAGGTTTAGATGCTGTATCGAGGTTAAACTTACATCGGCAGATGCTTAAGACTGTAAATTATTTACAAGAACAAGAGGCTGTAGAATTACTAGGATACAATAAAGTAGGTGACAATACTTTTCCCAATTTAATGCCAGTTCTGACGGGTTTATTTGAAGAAGAACTTAAAAGCAGTTGTTGGCCCAGTCTAACGGATCACTTCGATAATTGTTCTTTCGTTTGGAAACTCTTCAAGGAACGAGGATACCTCACTGTCTACGGAGAGGACGCTTCCTGGATGGGACTCTTCAACTACCAAAGGAAGGGTTTCCGAAAACAAACCACCGACTACGCTTACAATTATTTCAACAGATTCAGCGAGGAACTTATAGGAAACTCTCACGTGATGAACGTGTTCCAGTGCGAAGGCGGCAGATTAATTTACAAAGATTTGTTAGATTACATTTCCAAGTTCGTAGCAACCATGAATGAAAAGAGCTTGCCCTATTTCGGGTTCTTCTGGGGAGCAAGTTTATCCCACGATAACCTAAACATGCCTAATATTGGAGACCAAGATTACTATATATTTTTTAAGAAACTTTTAGACGAAAAACTCCTAGATAATACAGCGTTGATTTTCATGAGCGACCACGGGATCAGATGGGGCGACATCCGCCAGACGTTTCAAGGCAGAATGGAGGAAAGACTGCCTTTCGTTTATTTACTACTGCCCAAATCGTTTCGACAGAAACACTTCGTAGCTTACGAAAACTTGAAGGTGAACACCAGGCGACTAACCACTCCGTTCGACCTGCACGAGACTCTACTAGATCTGGCTAACACGGACCTACTGGACGAGGAAAATTTAACGTACACGAACCAGTCCAGAAGAGGGATCAGTTTCTTCAGGAGAATCGACAAGAACAGAACGTGCGAGGACGCTGCCATAACCAGCCACTGGTGCACGTGCCAGCAAAGCGAGCAAATCAACATCACTTACACGGTAACTGAAGCTGCCCGTTCGGTGGTGAGCAACATAAACTACATGCTCAGGGGGTACGCTCAGTGCGCTGAGCTTGCATTGGACGAGGTCATAAATGCGAGGATCATGCGGCCGCAGATGACTGGAGACTACAAGATTTTCGATTACATGTTAACGTTGAGGACGTCGCCGAACCAAGCTGTGTTCGAGGCCACTGTGAGGACCACTGAGAAAAATAACAGCTTCGAAATCATAGGGAGCATCAGTAGATTGAATCTGTACGGAAAGCAGAGCCTTTGTATTACGGATTTTCATTTGAAATTGTACTGTTACTGCAAAAAACTGCTGCCCTAGGTAAAGAGTAGAAATGAAGTTATTGTTAAATGTGTACAATTTTGATTTCACAGGTTTGAAAACGATGAATGAAGACTTTAAATCGTCTGGAGAAGAGCGAGCTAGAGGATTGGAAACGGCCGATAGAGCGTGAAGTGCAGAGAAACTCGATGGCGAAATGAAATAGACCTATTACTTATAAATTGTATTTAAAAAAAGCGAGAAAAAGATTTAATATATTTAAATTTTACCTTTTTTTCTGTTACATATCGTTGTTCTTCAATTTCGATGAAAACGTGACATGTGGCAACATTGGATACACTTTCTGAAGTTAGATGACAATCGACGTTGACGTTGACGTTTATTTATTTAATTAAGTTTTGGCACCTGCCAACGATCAGTCAAAATCGTATTTTGTACTTTTTAACTTTTTAGCAATTGATCACACGGCAAAGTAGTGATACGATGTTGAGGTCTGCGATTTTAGGCGAAATTGTCCTGAAAAATGGTCCGAAGGTAAGTATCAGTCATCTGAAGTTCAAAATGTATCTAATTTTCATAGTACCTTAACCTTGGAATTAGATTCATTACCTAATAAATGATATAAATATAACTTACATAAAACGATTTTCTTGGCAAATGTAGATTCTTGGTTCGGGACCGCACACTCGCTGGCAACCTCAGCAGCAACAAACCCGAAATCTGAACGTACACGAGCACATAAGTTACACATTATTGAAGGAAGCAGGCATCCCAGTTCCTAACTTTGGCGTAGCCAAGTCTAAGGAGGAAGCGAAGAAAATCGCCCAGGATTTAAAGATCAAAGAACTCGTATTGAAAGCCCAAGTATTAGCCGGAGGTCGAGGCAAAGGAACCTTCAAAAATGGACACAAAGGAGGTGTTTGTTTCGCTTATTCGTAAGTATTTATCTGTTAAAAATAACCCATATACAGGCTTATATGATCTAGAAAGTTTCCTCTAAAGTGCAAGCTTTTTCTCATGTAGTTGAACGAACCTTCCACTTATGTTAGTAGTAGTAGTTTATGGACTTTATACCTATCAATTAATACTAGGAATATATCTATTTATCATGCATAGATAACACTTCTATTTAACTATCAAAATTTATTTGATTAGACCGGAAGAAGTGGAGCAAGTTGCTGGAAAAATGTTGGGGCAATACCTAGTAACGAAACAAACGGGAGAAAAAGGCAGGATATGCAATGCTGTCATGGTAGCAGAAAGGAAATTCCCCAGGAAGGAATTTTATTTCGCAGTAATGATGGAACGTGCGTTTAACGTAAGACACTAAAATATCGATTAAACAGTTGTAATAAATGTCCCTACATTTTCAGGGTCCCGTAATAATAGCCTCGTCTCAAGGAGGTGTCAACATCGAAGAGGTTGCCGCTGAAAATCCCAGCGCCATAATGTACGAGCCCATTGACGTTATGAAAGGTTTGACCAAAGAACAAGCGGAAAGAGTCGCCGTGAAAGTCGGCCTGAAGAACCAAAAAGACAGAACCGCCGAAATGCTGTTGAAAATGTACGATTTGTTCATCAAAAAGGACGCCCTACTGATCGAGATTAATCCCTACGCTGAAGATGCCGGAGAAACATGTAATGTCTTTACTTATATCGGTTGCTTCAATTCAGACCGCAACATGGTCGTTTCTATCAGTGGAACAAAGAAAAATTATTAAAATGACAGTTGTCAGAGTGAAAAGTTGCAATAACACAAATGTCACTCTTTCCTTTTCCTATGGAAGTTGTCTTTATCGCACCCATGGCCTATATACCCTATGTTGCGATCAAAAATGGAACAACCTGTATAAAGTTCGTACGTTTTAAAATGACAATAGACAGTTCTAAATGATACTAGATAGTTCTAAACGATTCTGGGGCATTATAAATGATGGTGCATATTCCATGGTTACAAAAACAGTGCTATGAAAACACATCCTATATTAATCGAACATCTGAATTAGACTGAACAATGTTGCACTGGATAGTTGAAATCATGTCAGAACTTTTACCAATAACATTGAGTATAAGTTTTGCGTAATTTATATAGAGCTCAATTCCCAGAACTTCCAGAGCAGTGATATGATAATGAGTGTTGCTCATGTTCTTTATTACCTTAAATTTTAGTAACTATCGGGCATTTAAGATACTGTTTATCGTTTTTTTAGACTTCTCATTGGACGCTAAATTCCGATTCGACGACAACGCTCAATTCCGCCAGAAAGAGTTGTTCGCAAAGAGAGATTGGACTCAAGAGGACGAGAAAGAGGTGGCGGCTGCGAAATTCGACTTGAACTACATCGCCCTCGACGGCAACATTGGATGCATGGTGAATGGCGCCGGTCTCGCCATGGCCACCATGGACATTATCACCCTTCACGGAGGTAGCCCGGCCAATTTCTTGGACGTGGGCGGCGGCGCCACTGCACAAGCTGTCAAAGAAGCTTTCAAAATCATTACAGCTGATCCAAAAGTTAGTATAATACTTCATAAATCACTAATGTTAATTTTATGGCATTGCTCATTGTAATATAGTATACAGTCGGTGCAAAACGAATATCAATGCACGTCACAAGTAGGCAGTGTTGCCAAACTTTTATAGAGTTTACAAAATCTAAGAATTTCTAAAATTGTCAAATAGCAAAATGACAAAAACAAATTGAAAATTAGGGGTACCTGTTTCACATTTCTAAACGGTGGACGTATTCAGGGGTTCAATATAATTATTCATCAAACACCTTTATCATCTGAAATATATTTAACAATGCGAGTAAAAAATTTAGTGATGATTTAATCCTGTTATTTAACATTTTCTATTTAACATTCCTTGTTAATATTAAATGAAATTCTGCAGGTATTAACCTTAATCTATTTTGTGTATTTATTTTTATAAGTTGGGCACAATTCTTGGCAAGTATGACGACAGTAGTGACTTGCATTGATATTTGTTTTGCACAAACTGTACTAATCCTTTGTTTTACTAGGTACATGCAATTTTGGTGAACATATTCGGAGGTATTATGAGATGCGACGTGATAGCGGAAGGAATCGTAGCTGCTGCCAAAGAACTGAGTTTAAAGATGCCCATTATTTGCAGACTGCAGGGTACTAACGTAGACGATGCTAAGGTATTGATCGCTTCGTCTGGATTGAAAATTTTACCTGTGGATAACTTAGACGAAGCCGCTAGATTGGCCGTGAAATTGTCTAATATCGTGAGTTTGGCGAGAGATGCTAAATTAGATATTAACTTTGAAATGCCACTGTAAATTGTCGGTTATGTATTAGGTCAAATTTATCTGTACACTATTCTATTCGCACTAGCTTTCGATGTTTAAATATTTATAAATATCTATCAGTATGTGTATGTTATTATAAAAAATTTCCAATGTGTTGAAGAAAACAATGAAAATATAACATTTTGATATATCATTTGAATCGTTTGAATATTAATTTCAGTAATTTGTGATACCAGTACAAAGATTACTTGAGATACGAGATTGTTTTAATTGTAAAATCTTGTATATAGTTACGTTTTTTTTTATTGAAAACTACGTCAGCTCGTTATTAAAATAATTTTTAAACAATTGTAATAAGTATTAGTGTTATTGAACTGTATTTTATAGAATATTTTACCCCCAGTTACAATTGAAGCTGTTCAAAAAAACGCGATGCAAAGTTACGATTCCTTTTTATTTATTAACTTATTAAATATTTAATAAATATATTGCATTTTAACTAAAAAAAGTGTTTAATAATTGATATACTATACCCATTTGAAGGTTTAAGTAAAAATATAACGATGTTCAAAATGCTTACATAATATTTTATGTATTATCTATGTAGAATGAAACTACTTATGCTGAATATTTTAGTTATATTACATATGGCACGATAAATAACTATACTATTAACACACACTAATTTGTCATTTCGGTATAGGTACAAAACCTACTTTAAGTGATTAAAAATAATGTTAATAAATAAGTACGAAATTTTAATATCTCGAAAACAATATTACCTTATTTGAGGTATACTTAAACGTACAAAAAATGAATATTTGTAACAAGTAATCACAAAATGTTTCGAACTCTTGATAGAAAAGATAAGTCTGTAGTAAACGCACAAATTTACTACAGTTACTAATTATTAATTTCTATTATTATTATTACATGATTATTGAAATAGTCTTTCCTACAAATTTAAGTACCTCATGCAATTCCTATACAGATAATTGCATAGTTGTATGCAATATGGGTGCGATAAAGTCAACTTGCGTTAGTATCATACAAAGAAAAAAGAAAGAGTGATATTGTGTAATTACAACTTTCTCACTCTAACAACTGTTATTTTAATAATCTTTGTTCAACTCATATAATTGACCGTATTGCAAATACATGCACTTACCCATATTCCTATCGATTTTATAGCATTACAAAAAATACTTATCAGGAAGAACAATTTCAATTTCACTCTTAACAAGTGATTAACAAGAAAATAAATATAAATGAATACTTATCCTTAAATAGTCATTTTTGTGCATTACGATTCTGTTACTTAAACTAACTTGATATTGGTAAGATAGGTAAAACGAAAATGTTTAGATATGGTAATATAAATAAATAACAATAGAATTTTCATCATAATTCATCATCGAAATGGTGTATATTGTGCAAGTGATCACCATAATCGGTCACTTCGCTGCCTACAAATGTATCATGATGTTCAAGTATTTCCTCAAAAGTCAATATATCATCATGATTATCATCACTGTGAGCGAATAGATGATCAACTTCCTCTTGTGCTATTTCACTAAAATTACAAAACCATTTTATATTCCCGATTTTTTTACCATTTTTTCTACTTACTCATTACTTGGTACAACCCAAGATAGGATTTCGTTTCCTTCTAATTTTCCATCATGATTCTTGTCTAATTGTTGATCAAATTTCGTTTTTTCGCTGATTAATTCTTCTTTGGCAATGTCGTTTCCTCTACCTGCCATATATTCTTCGAAACTTATAGCATTATCTCCATCTTTATCCTTGTCTTTAAGAGTTTGTTCCAAAATTACCGGAAGCATAATTGGATGTTCCTCTGGATGAGAAAACGCAATCCATTCGTCATTATCCAGAATTCCATCATTATTCCCGTCTGCAACTTTCCACATTGTTTTATCATCTTCAATTAACTGCAAACATATTAATAGTAATATTTTATCATGCACTGGAATATATTTACTTTACATGCTCGTTTTCTCCATCAAAATCTATACTGTTTTCACCATTGTCTAATCCATACGTGTCAGCTAAATATTCTTCCCAAGTAACTTTACCATCGTGGTTTTCATCGGCATCTTCTAATCTATCTTGAGCCTCTTCTTCAGACAACATTCTATAATAAAATGGTTATATAATTATATCAGTGCTTGATAAATGAAAAATTACTTAAAGGATCTAATTATCCAAGCCTTCAGCTCATTTCTATCAATTTGACTATCATTGTTAAGGTCCATTTTAGTGAGCAGAATAGCCAGTCTTCTCTTCGACTCTTCCGGAGGTAAATGATCGTATTCATCGGCCTCTTTGTGACTACCGAGTATTGCCTCGTGATCGAATTCGCTGTGGTGCTCTTCTCCGTCCTCAGAGAAATGTTTGTGGTCCCTGGGACTGTAAGCCCCGTCAGTTTCCCGTTCTTTGTGAATATCATTCGAATGGCTGTGCATTACTCCGGCCCCTATTCGATCGACGAAGATCAAAAATACGTAAAGAAAGGTGTAATACATCGTGGTTTATTTCCTGATTGTATCTAAAAAATCAATTAGCTGTATACGAAATCATTTAACTCGTATCATAATTTGCTTTGAGTTGGATTTTTGGAATTGGAAACTTAACTGTCACTGTCAAGTGTCATAAGTCATAACAAAAGACATCTAATTAGAGGATAAATTTCGCTGTGTTGACAGATTCTATTTTTAATTCTCTATTGTTTTATTGATTATTCGTGGAATAAATAGAGAAATTTTAATTTTAATGTGATTTTACTCTTCTTGGATAAAGAGGTTTATAAATACACCGTAATAAATACATAATATTAAGCCATAACATCTGATATCATATTTCTAAGTTGGTCACACTGATTCATTCATATTAAATTAATGTCAACCTGTTTATTTACAATTTTTGTACATTTGTCAGGTATTTGTCAAGAATAAAAGTTTGATATATGGAATATGGGCTAATTAATAATTATTAATCGTACAATTCGAATTCAACGGCAGTGGTAGCGGAATCGTGGTATCCACCTATTTTGCGTTTGGAAATCCGAAGTGTTTATAAAATGATTCACAGTTAAAGGTGATTTAAATCGCATTTTCGATGTTTTGAACTCCTCAAAACAATGACGTCCAGAGAAAAAGAATTTGGATTCGGTATTTTTACCTGCAATGACTTGCTCAGGGAATTGTCGAATGGCAAGCAGCAACGAACAGTCCTTCTAGGGCAAGTAGTTATAATTGATAATAGAATCGGAGAGAAAGTCTTAGCCATAAGGTTTCTGAAAGGAGTAGATACATGGGATACAATTGCATACTATTGTACAGAAGACAACGTAGTCGGTATTAGCGAGAAATTGTGCCCTTTTATTGCATCGATAACATCTCCACAGGAACGAGTAAAGCTTGCTAAGAACAGGGAACTCTGCGAGAAATTGAAGCATTTGGGAAAAGACATGACTGTGGGTTTTACAGATACTAATGATGTTTATCTTGGCAAGATTAAGTACATTGGCATGGTAAAAGGAATTGGATATTGTTATGGAATTGAATTACATGTAAGTAATATTTTTTTTTATGTTTATATGGCAATATTTCATGGTTTTTGCATTGTTTGTTGTATTTGTAAATATTACAATATAATTTGAGTTGATCATATGTATTGTTTTCAAAACTGTTTCATGCTTGTTTACTTCCTCATTTCATTGTTGATAGAAATACAATATTTTTGAAAAAATGGAAAATAATGGATTAATTGGATAATAAATTAATTAGAACCACGACAGTTATAGTGTAATTGTTTCCATTTGACCTTGCTTTTTATCTCTAGTCTTTAATGATCCTATAATTAAGGTACCTTTTGAATACCACAATTTTTCAATTCCCTTTGTACCAATTGTAATTGGATATCCAAAAATATTTTATGATCTATTAAATGTTAAGTTCCTGTTTGTATCATGATATTTAACGACCTCGCACTTCCTAATGTTTACCTGCTTTATTGTAATCAAAAATATTCATATGAACTACTGTTAAAGGCTCAATTATGTAATAAGAAATCTAATGTAATGTCTGTACCAAACACAATCTACATATAAATTAGTAGTAAAAAATCTCTACTCTGTAATCTAAAATTCTAATCTCTAAAATTCCTTTATAATTTTTTAAATATTTAAAATACATTTCATTTCAACTGGAACAAGTTTGAAATACTCAGTTTATTTAATTTGTTGTACTGAAGCACTTTTTTTGAAACGCCTGTTGGATTAATGTTTATTTTTTGCGAAACGCTCGTATCTCAGAAACAATGGGTTTGTTTTCTTATACCGAATTGGAATTAAGTAGGTGAAACCTTGATTTCTTTAAACGATTAGTCACAGTGTAGCGATTCGTTAGTCGTTCGTGCATAAAATAAAATGGGTATTCTTTACCAGTATCGCCTAAAAAAATGATCAGCATTGCCATTATAAATTCGTTCGAATATGTTCGCCTAATTTGACCGCTCCATTTGTGGAAAGGATAAATTGTTTTTACATCCTCGCACGTGCGATGATTAATAGGTAAAATAAAAACTCTGATGAGCTTATAGCCTTCGTTTAATTAACTAGGTATTTCTGAACCTATGTAGCTCAAAAAAATATAAAAAATACTTGCAAATACAGTTGTAGTAGTTAGCTATGTTAAATTTGGCGCAGAAATATGTTTTATAGGGTTATAATTATACAAACTGAATAGGGTTAACCCTTTATAGGGTTATAATTGAACAAATTACATTGATGGTAGAATAGAGTAAAGTAGAGTTGGGTAGTCTAGATAACTCGAGAATTGAAGCATAAAAAAAATTCATAGCATAATGAACAAAAGTTTGATTATTTCAAAAACTACTGGATTTAAGTAGGTAGAAGGGAATACCCATATGGATCGAAAGGGCTTGAAAATACCCGCTGATCAATGCCCAAAAATATGTGGTGATCTATTTGAAATAACAAAATTATAGACACTTTAAGTTAGTCAAGTTTGCCAGAAAATTTTAAACACCCTGTATATGGACCATGAAAACTCAGTTTAGTTTCATTTAAGTACTATGGCTGGACATTATCGATATCAAATTTCAGGCATATAGGTGCATTGCTAACAGAGACATCATAGAAAATACATTCGACCGTTTATCCAAAAACTATTTGACATATGTTGTTAAAGTTCAGTTAAAAATGGCCAAAGAATCCAAAAATGAAGCCAAAAATAGTACTTTCCATTTGGAATAAGGGAGTTGATATCTACTTCCTGCAAAACGGGAAGTCATATACAGTTGAAAATATTTTCGAAAAACCCTCAACATTGATTATACCTTATTCCTAAATTTTCACATTCATTCTCTTCAGGAACTCCTATAAGTTCTAATGAACGTTTTCCTTGAAAAGCACTCTGTATGTCTGGTTGCTAATCAAAAATATTTAAATATTTATGTGGGTATTTTTAACGTTATGATGTATTAAAAATTAATTTGAATCCTCTGTAATTTTTCGACTTTATAAAACGTTTTATTACCATCGGAAAATTAGAAATAAAACGTTCTAAATTTTTGATGTCGTTCCCCAAAACAACTGTTAGCTAAAAAATCAATCTATTGATCTACTCTGTTGTCTATAATCGGATTACAATAATGAATAAATAAATTGCATTCTAAGGCTTCTATACGTATGCAGATTTACTTCACATCAGTAGGTGTTATGTGTTCTCAAATAGTAGCGCAGTTAGACCACATAACAACATCAAAATATAAATAAATTACCCACTATTCTATTTAGTGCATTGTTCAACTACTGGCATGACGTATGAATCAAACAAATACTGTTAAAAAATCGAAGCTGATACATTGATAGAGAAACTCGTCCCATTCGTAAGCAAAATTGTTTCATTTCGTGTCATTGTAATTTTCTTCGATAACACTCCATTCGAATGTAACGCCACTGAATCATTCCCTGTTAGTAAGCTCCGCTAATTGCATTATTTATGCGTTGCAGGAAAAGCGGAAAGAAAACGCCTGTAATGGCTACTGCGCCGGAATACAGTACTTCAAATGCGAGCCCGGCTACGGGGTGTTCACGACCATCGAAAGGGTCGTACCGATGAATTACTCGGCATACGCGCGGAACGGTTCGTCCCCGAAGCAACCCGCCCCCACCGATTTGGATATTTTCTTCGAAAGAAACCTGCACAGCATCATGAATAACATGCGCGACGAGAAGCCGAAAAACGAGGAAATCGTTACGAAATACGGCGAGTATTCGACCAAGAAGTTTACCACGAATTCGAACAAAAATTCCAGTTCGACGTTCCTGAGGAACTCTCTGTCTTTGCAAAATATGTTGGACATCAACAATGGCACTGTCAATACAAACAACGACTTCGATCAAAATACGGTTATCCAACCGGAAAAGACGGTTCTAATGAAGAAAACTAGGAACAACGCGGAAACGGATCTCATCGACGTTATAGGAGGGAAATGGTCGGGAACGACGGAAAAGAAACACTTGGACGAATTTTCCAAATCGATGAAGAAGCTCGATAAAAACGATAATATTAAAGAAACTAAAGAGAAACCGGCAATTATCGAAAACAACACTTTAACCAGAAGAAACAAGAGCGTCAATCCCATTCTACACTTACTCGAAGGTAGCGGTACTCTAAAGAAAAACTCCAAATTTTACACCAACAATATTTCCGAAGGAAAAGAAGCTCATAAAACAGGCACTCTAAAAACCAAAAGTAAGTATTTTATTCGGATGGTTCCAATTCCAACACCCAGACCCTGTGATTTATTGAACAAATAGATATACAGGTTGTATCTAAATAATACTGAAAAAATTTAAGAGGTGATTCTGTGATGAAAATTAAGGTGGGTACTTTTTATAGGGTATAATTTTTTTTGGTTGGCTTGTGTTCATATTAAATGCTATTTAACATACGAGTTTACAATACATTTTTTTTCGTAAATGCTTAAGGTTTTGAAAAAACTTGTAGATATAGAAAAGTTTTTTAGCTATATTTTTTTAAAGAAAAAATTTCATTTAAAAGAATGTTGTAAGAAAAAATTTCTTAGGGGTTGACTATTTTAACCACTTTAAAGCATATTTCAGGGTTGAAAAAAATTCAAAATGTGTAGTTTCATTGACAAGTAATATTCCCCAAGTTTCGTGTTTTTAATGTACAGGGAAAATAAAGAAGCAAAACGATTTTTTCAATCTTCGGAAAGTAATTCTCCGGGTGGGGGGAGGTTTCAAAAAATTATATACAAAGTACCCTCCTTAATTTTCATCACAGACTCACTCCATAAATTTTTTCGATGTTATTTAGATACGCCCTGTAAATATTTATTTTCGTTCAAATCTACAAGATTTGAGAACTGCATTTTCCATCAAAATGTCATTCAAAATATTTACGCTCCAATTTATATCCTACTACTCTACCTTCAGAATATTGTAAATACATTTATTTGCACAATAATTACCAAACTTTTATAGACTGGTCGTAAATCACACCTCCAGAAATTTTCCGACTTTAGCGCATATCGTTCTAAAAATACCTGCGATGTTTATAGTCAGATCGCCATATCCCAGTTTCGCATCTTTTCTATATTTACCCAACCAGTAGTGTTCTCGACGCGACAGAAAGAATCGATGCCCGAATCGAATTGGCGATCTACTTTTCTTTCCTCACCGAAAATATGTGTTGCACGCTCGAAATTCTAAAAAGTCTGTAATCGCGAGCTGATATCTTAACGTTTAGTGGGTGATTCATTAGAGCGAATTATTCAAATATTCTAGAGTGATTTTGGTAAAATTGTTCATCAATGTTACGGTTAAGATGTCCGTAAGTAACAAAAGGAACTCCGGTCATCCGATGAAAATTACCAAGAAAACTCCGAGCATAATGAAGCTGAAAAAATTAAATTGCGCTATTTATAGTAACAGTCGCAACGACGAGGACGATAATAATAACATACCGCTGTCTGTCTTAGAAATCAATGAAAAAAGCGATCACGCCAAACCATCGGCCACGTTCTACGTGAACGAAGCGCCCTCGTACCACGAGGTCCAGCCCGGTACCACCAACGATTTGGTGATCGGTTCTTTGGTCGAAGTGTTGAACGATGTCAGCGAGGAGCCCATGTACGGTGTCGTCAGATGGATGGGAGTGGAGAACGGCACGAATTTCGTCCTGGTCGGCGTCGAATTGGAGGAAGAACAATCTCATTTGCCTTTGAATTTGACGGACGGCACGCACAAGGGCGAAAGGCTGTTCAAGTGCGCCGAAAATAGGGCGGTCTTCGTGCCCATCGACCAGTGCCATAAGGATTCCAGGTTTCAAGACGCTTTGCCCGCCAAAGTGCAAGAAGAGGCTTCCGCCGTCGAACGTAATATAGTAAGTGCTCGTTTAATTTTGAGAATATAACAAACGTTCCAAGTGAAAATTTGGAAAAAATTCGTTCCATCACACTATTCATTACGCGACATTCTATTCATCTAACACTATTCATCACACCTTCTTTAAAAAAAACATGTAATATAAAACAGTACTTTTGTGAACAAAATTATGGTTGTGTTCCGATGAGGATAGAAATTAGCTTTTGTTCGTTTTTTGGAATCTTTCTTAAAAATTTTAATTTTAATAATCATTTCATCACACATTTCTTTCATGTTTTTAGTATACCTGTAGCTTTGTCAGGGTGTTCAACTCGGCTATAATATTATTTTTTTGCCACTTATGCCTAAGTTAATATTTACTTCTGGAATATATGTAGGTAGAAGTGACAAAAAGTTTAAAATATTTTAGCCGCATTGGGCAACCTGACAAAGGTACAGCTTTACTAAAATCAAAAAAGAAAGTATTTCGAGCGAGTATTCACTTGCTTCTGCACTCTATCTCAACCACCTAGAAAGATATGTCTGATGAAATGATTATTAAAATTAAAATATTTAAAAAAGAATCAAAAAAACCAAAAAAAAAAACCAATTTATAAAGTCTTGTTCTATTTTACAATATTTTTAAGTAGGTGTGATTTAATAGTCTTAGTGATGAAGACAATAGTCTTAGTGATGGATCGTCGCCGTGATGAATACTCGCGTGATGGAACGTCTGAAATGAATCATTTGTAAGATCATTTGTAACTCTGGAGACTTTCATATTGGACGAAATTTTTAGGACTGTCCTGTGATACCGGGTGCTGTAGCTCCGTTATGTATGCCCACGGAAGAGGATGTAGAAGCGGTTTGTGGCAAATACCGAGGAATACAAGGTCACCATAACTCCTGCTATTTGGACGTGACGTTATTTTCCATGTTCACTTATACTTCCGTATTCGATAGCATTCTATTTAGGCCTAAGGACTTTAACGACATCGACGATTACCAAGAGGTATGTCAAACGTTCAACTCGAATCCCAACGATTACTTCAATCGAAATAAATATTTTAGGTACAAAGGGTATTGAGAGAGGAGATTGTAAACCCGCTCAGGAAAAATCTCTTCGTCAGCGCCGACCACGTGATGAAATTGCGTCGGCTCATGGATAAATTAAGCAACGTTTCGGGGCTGACGAGCGAAGAGAAAGATCCCGAGGAATTTTTGAACTCGCTGTTGGCGCAAATCCTGCGAGCCGATCCCATGCTGAAGTTGAACTCCGGCCAGGAGACGTTTCACTACCAGCTGTTCGTGGAGAAGAACGCCGATCTCACGTTGCCCACCGTGCAGTATTTGTTCGAACAGAGCTTCCTAACTAGCAACATCAAGCTGAAGGAGGTGCCCTCGTGTCTCATCATACAGATGCCCAGGTTCGGCAAGAATTACAAAATGTACCCGAGGATATTGCCGTCTCAGTTGCTGGACGTTACGGACGTAATAGAGGGATGTAAGTAGTATTAACATTATTCGAGTGCATTCGAGTGACCTAGTTATTTTACAGCTCCCAGACAATGCATAGTTTGCGGTAAACTGGCGAAGTACGAATGTAGAGAATGCTTCGACGACGGTACTAACGCAGGATTAGAGAACACGGCTTTCTGTTGTGAATGCCTCAAAACGGCTCACCGGCACGAGAAGAGGAAACACCACCAAAACTACGGCAAATTGAACACGGTAAACGAATATTCGACGATGCAGGATGTGTACAGACCGCCCCGATTGTTCATGGAATTATTCGCCGTGATTTGTATAGAAACGTCGCATTACGTGGCGTTCGTGAAGTGCGGCGTGGGACACGAAGCGCCCTGGTGCTTTTTCGATTCAATGGCTGATAGATTAGGTAAGAGAGATTATTATTCGAACGATAATTTGCGCTGAGTTCGATCGATTTCATCGGTTTGCTTTAAGGTGAACGGAACGGCTTCAACATACCGGAAATGGTCGCCTGTCCGGACGTATCCAGCTGGTTGTCGGACGAGACGATATGCAGGCAGCTACACGAGGAATTCCCCTGCGATAAAAATTTGCCGGAGCACGCCCGGCGGTTGCTGTGCGACGCTTACATTTGCATGTACCAAAGTTCCGATGTGATGATGTACAGATAAAAAGTCTAGATAGTCGAATTTTTGACTTCCAAATGTTGCCGTTTTCGTTTAAGTTTGTAATTATTGTTGCTGACCGCAAATGATCAATTTGTTGGATGAATTATTAGTTTCAAACTGTGTGAGTTCAAAATGTATATGGTGTTGTTTAAAGATTAAATCACATGACTATTCATCACTACCACTGTTCATCACACCTACTTAAAAAAATATGTTAAACGAAACAAGACTTTAAATTAAGTTATATATTTAAAAAAGAAATAATGTTTAAGAAATGTTTAAGAAAGAATAAAATAAAAACGAATAAAAACTAATTTCTACCATGGGAACACGACCATGAGATAATTTTGTCCCCAAGTCTTGTTTTACTTTGCATATTTTTTTAAAATAGGTGTAATGAATAGTGGTAGTGATGAATCGTCGCCGTGATGAATAGTCATGTGATGGAAAGTCGGGATACGTTGTTTAAAACTCATTTCAAAAGCCTGATTATACCGTAATGATTGATGTTTACTTAAATACTTATCTACTTTTTAGTCAATTCACTGTAACAACATTACAGAAAGCGGTTTTTTATCAATATAACAAGGTAATTAAATTTGCTTCATACAAGACCTACAATAATCAAATAACAAATATAACAATTACAAACCAAACTTTAATAATTAGTTTTTTTTGTTCGAATTATTCCTGGTTTTTTTTCTTTTATATGCTATAAAAAATGTTGGTTGAAAGTGAAATAAAGAATTCACTAATTTATTCATTCTAATTCTAAACTAATTAACAAATACATTATTATTACTGCGCATGTTTTATGATTTTGAATTGTAATGTATGCATGTTATTAGTATTTTCTTAAAGCAAACAACTGTGATTTGTTAATATTTATTTAATTTAATTTGTTTTCAAGTTCTTTATCGCGTGGCCCAAATTTTAGTTTCCTAATGAAAATAGTGAATTATTGGAAAAAGCATTGAACATTAATTTACTATTTTAATTAAGTATGTTTGAAGTAAAAACTTATAAGGAAATTAAAACTAACGTCACTTTAAAAGTTTTGAATGCATCTTTGTTAATGATTTTGAAACACTCCTAGAGCTTAGAATCGTAGAAATGTTAAGGATAAAATAATGTTTATTCGTATTTTGATTTTTTTTCCTCTCAAAATATAAAACTATTTGAAAGCGTTTTATTACTGTTGATATTAAATCAGTATTTTAATTGTTACTAATTGTAATAGGATTATTTCTTCCTATTATGTTTAAAAAGTTTTTATCATGTTGTATATAGTTAGTTACTACAGTATAAAATAAAGTTTATAGCTCAAGATTATCATCTTTTTATCCATTTTTTTTTGTTGTAGGTATTACAAAAGGGATCCAATAAATTTAAAATTAGAGAACAATAAAATTTTATTTTCAGATCTTAACTACATATATTGCAACCACAGTACAATTTTTAAATCTATCGATTTGAAAAGAAAAGTTAATTTGCGATACTCCGAGATCAAAATATCAAGCATCTGTTTAAATATTAAGAAGTCTTCAAAAAACCTAAAATTTATTAATACTAATACGAATACATACGACGCGATTAGCTTTCAACATTTACAAAGCGTTTATAAATTGCACCCCATATGCGTGTGGCATTTATAAATACTTATGTCTGCAACATTCGCTTGTCATTCTAATTACACATACCAACAGGCGTGCATAAAACTTACTCTAGAACTCTAAAGAGTTTTCACACGGTGCAATAAATTGCTGCCATATTGTATTGCACTTAAAATACAAACGTTCTTGTATAAAAAGTGCAATGCAATAAATTGCTGCAATATACTGCACCGTGTAAAAACGCTCTTTACGCCCGGTCGTATATAAATGATGTTAAGATGAAATGTGAACAACACAAATTAGATCTTGATTAATGCTCCATTCACAACGATGAAATTATTTTCGACGTTGTGAATGAGGCATATGAAGATCTGGAATTTTACAAAATATACACAAAATAGAACAGAATACACAAAAATAAGATCCTCTTAAAATATACGTTTGTTTAATTTTTTCATCACTCACCTACCATTTTCCAATTAAAATAATTTTAATACTCGATACGATTAAGTAATTACCATTACAATGTGTTAGAGTGTTAACCTTTATGTATTAGTGCATAACAAAATCTAATATTGTGCTTATTTATTAATTCAACATTTTTATAATTTAACTAACATAAGAGAAAATTCTCAAGGGGAAAATATTTCATTTGCTTAATTTTCGAACAGACAATTGGGCAGTTTAAAGAGAGCCTTAAAGGGAAACTTTAAATTGCAACTATAAATACTAATCGAATTTTTGTTCAAAATTAAATATGTTAAAATTCTCTTAAAATTGTTTCTACATTTGCCAATTATTAGACGATACCATACATAAGAATACATTGAAGAAAAATATTAGCAGTATTCTGTTTTTCTAGTACTATTTAAAACTGGCCTATACTATCTACATACCACAACTAGAACGAAAGAACATTCCGTTTCGTCCAATCCGTTAATATAATCAATAAGAAAAATTGGACACTCCATTAAAAATCTTCTATAATTATTTTTTGATATTTTCTTAAATCTAATGGACTTATGACTAATATTAAATATAATTTGTACTTTTGCTCTCACCAAAAGATTTTTCAAACTGCGTTCACACCTTTATAGGGATTTATGAAAACACTGGAGGATTTAGAATCTTATGTTTCCTAAAATAAATAAGAAAATTATATACAGGGTGTATATAAATAACACCGAAAAAATTTTAGGGGTGATTCTGTGATGAAAATTAAGGTGGGTACCTACTTGGTATAACATTTTTTTGATGAAAAAACTTCCCCTCCTAAGATTGGAAAAAATGTTTTTTTTTTCTTTATTTTCTCTGTATATTAAGCTAAATTTGGGGAATATTATCTGTCAATGAAACTACACATTTTGAATTTTTTTCAACCCTGAAGTGTGCTTAGAAGGGGTTGAAATAGTCAACCCCTAAGACATTTTTTCTTACAACTTGTTCAATATCATAAAATTTGATATGAACAAAAGCCAACCAAAAAACAAATTTTATACCAACTACCCACCTTAATTTTCATCTCAGAATCACACCTTAAATTTTTTCGGTATTATTTAGACACTCTGTATACCTAACTTAATGATGTGAAATAATTACTTACAATATATTAATAAGATTCATCCTCGTCCATGATAAAGTCACTGCCGCATCCTGAATCTAGGGTATATCTTGGACTAAAACAATAACATTTAAAAAAATGATTGTGCACAAACATTCAGGCTTACTTGATTGCCCGACAGGTGAAAAACACAATTCTCTTCAGTTTCTTATTGTAGAAGAAATAATTAAAGCTCCATAAACAGCCGTCTTCTCCGAACGGATCAGATATAAGGTCGGGATTGTATGAATAAATATCACAATTTTCCAAAGAAATTTCGTCGTCGATGGCAGCCCACATCGAAGGTCCTAACAAGCGGTAATGCTCACCGGCCGTAGCAGCCAAGTTAGTATCAATCGCATTTGTTACCCATTGCCTAGAGGGCTCCTTACTGAATTCGTGGCTCTTAAAAAAATTAACACAATTATTATTGTTCGTTTTTTACATTATTACTTCATATTATACCTTAACGTCCATGAAATCGTAATCAGGGAAAGCTGAATTCAGGGTGGCTATCAAATAAAACAAGGTTTTTCTACTGATAGTATCACATAATGGACCTTCCTCGTCGCCTGATATGCTTCTGCTGTATTGGGAATGGCCGGGTGATACTCCTTGAGGGGGTGAGAGAGCCTGGAGGTCACTGGGATTCACGCCCTCAGCATTGAATCTTTTGTACAGTGCTTTATCGGTTCCAGCCATTTTGCACGAGTAGCTTTCAATGCGACCTACAAAATACAACATTCATAAAATTTCACCTTAAAAGAAAGAATTACAGTCCATTAAATACGAGCAATAAGCGAAAGTAAGGAGAATTTACCAATAATTTTGCTATCACCGGTTTGTATAGCCAGGGCATTGTTGATAGCCTCGAATCTAGTACTTTCTAAAAGCTTCATTCTCACAATGTTCCCTGATGACTCTGACGCGCGTGTAGTTAGAAAACTCCTTAGGGTTGTAAAAATATTTATTGTCTCGACGGTATACACAAACTATTATTACAAATGTTTTTGAACATAGCTGTGGGGTGTATGAATATTCCTTTTCTTTTTGAATGAAGGAGGCTAACCGACGGCACGAAAGTACGCCTTACAGATCTTTTGCTCAATAAATAATCTGGGCACATTACAAGCAGTTTGGTGCAAATTGCGAGCTTATTTTTGGTTGTAGTTTCAGTTCGATTTTGTTGTTATACAACTGAAAAACAAAGCTACACTGGACGAGTCTACTATTTTCACCTCTTTACAATTAACACAATTTATTCACTTTTTGGCTATTGTTCGGAATAATCACAATCACTAAGCATTTTCGTTAATGTGCAACACTAAAATAAACGTTAAAATATTAAAATTCTCGACGGATATGTAGAGAAAAGGCGAAAATTATTTGGCTTTGATACAAAGGATTACAAACAACTTCAAACAAAACTGAACTTTGACGTTTCTTTCTGTCAATGTCATTCCCAGATATAGCTCCGCAATACGTCACTCCCCTTCCATGACTCACTTAAAAGCTGGTTCACACGATTTTAAAGCCGAACAAACAATCTCTATCTCTGTTGTTCCAATTCAGTACTTATTTGAAGAAATGTTACCGCTCTCTTATTACAAGAGGGGCTTTATAAACTATTAATATACAAACAAACGTAGAGATGTCCTTGTCTTTGCCCTTAATTTAGAAAATAAAAATTGAAAAATCGAAAACAAGAATTACTGATTAACAAAAAAGAGCACGTACATATAAAGTGATTTACGTCTAAGTAGAGTATTCAACTTCGTGCTTTAACGAAATTGTGATATTTACGGATACGTATTTTAATCATAGAGAAAGAAAGTAGTAATTTATCTATCTTTTATTTTGGCTATAATTTTATTAAAAAATTATTTAAATTTTTATTTATATTCTCATAGATTATCCTCTTGTTTCTTTTTTACAAAAATCATTGAATTTGATCAGAATTTTGTTGTTGAATTTTGTTGATACGTTCGTTTGTCTAATCGGATCTACCATGAACGTTCAGATAGAACAGAACACATATGACTCCATAGAGAAAGAAATTTTTATTTTGTCTATGTATGACTCATACTCATCTGTCAATGTCAATAAAATGAATGATGTCATTTTCAGTTTTAAAGAATTTGTGTACATAAAATTTAATTCTCAAATTATTTAGGTTCAAAAACTATTATTAATTTTAGCATATTTCGATTATTATAAGGATAACCGCGTAACTGTGAATATAAAGCGGGAAGGCCGAATCGTAAGTAAACGCGACCATTTTCTCTACTTGGGTTTATATTGCAATTATTTCAACTAAAAAATGGGAAACGAAATGTCTTCAAGTGCTATGGAAAGTATCCTTTTTTACGTGCTTACACACAATTCTTAAAGCTGTTCAAATTTCGAGAATGCTTCTCGTCCTTGACTCATTTTGTAATCTCATGACATCAAATCTAATATAATCCTTAACAGTCGATAGAGCACCTTTTCAATCTAAAATTCGCCGTGAAGGAACTCGAGCGAAACTCAAAAAGATGCGACAAAGAGGAAAAACAAGAAAAGGCCAAAACCAAACAGGCAATACAAAAAGGAAACATGGAAGTAGCCAGAATACATGCCGAGAACGCCATTCGGCAAAAGAACCAGTCACTTAACTATTTACGAATGTCTGCCCGAGTAGATGCAGTAGCTAGTAAAATTCAATCGGCTGTTACCACAAGAAAAGTCACAAATTCCATGGCTGGCGTCGTCAAAGCCATGGACGCTGCAATGAAGAGCATGAATTTGGAGAAAATCTCTCAGGTTATGGATAAATTCGAGCAACAATTCGAAGATTTAGGCGTTCAAACGGATGTACTCGAAAATACTATGGGCCAAACTACTACTACACTTGTTCCCACTAACGATGTAGATTCGCTAATGCAGCAAGTCGCTGATGAAGCTGGGTAAGTGATGTTTAAAACCGGGGTTGTTTGTTCAACTTCTTACTTACAATTATCTCTTCTCTAATCTTCTACTTCAAAGTAAATGGTACATTTTTATAAATATGGACTAATTGTATTTATTTGTTTTAGTTTGGAATTAAACATGGAGCTACCCCAACAACCCACTGGAACACAAATTGGAACGGCTACTGCCTCTCAAGAACAGGATGAGCTCACGCAGCGGCTTGCTCGTTTGAGACAAGCCGAATAAAAACGTTATAGTGATGGACAATATTCAATAAATTACTCATTTCAATTTATTAAGCAGTTCTATTCAAGTGGCTTATTCCTGTCGATTTATGTTTATGTATAATAGATAGTTTACTATTGCTTTAATTAAGAGAAAGTACTAAAGTATTGTCTTTTAAAGGGAAATTATTTTTTATTACGAGTAGTATGCAGTTACTTTTGTTAATATAAAATTAATATTTTATCAATTATTTAATGATTATTTTTGTAAAATAAAAATGTTTACAATTATTAATGAGTGTGTTTGGTGTGTTTTTTAACAATATAAAAATTATTAAACCTAATTAATTTGGGCACGCAAATTAAGGTGAATTCTACTATTCATTATTCATCGTCAAAAAATATTAAATAAATCATTCTCCGGTTTTAAAAAACATTTAATCAATATTCTTCAATACGCTCTTTCATTAAATCGAAATAACGCAATTAACAATTTTTCATCATCAAACGTAATTCATTACTAATTAAAATTTAAAAAAGCTTAGTTCAATTTGGCGATTAACCACATTTTAACGTGTCTGACGTCATTTCTCCTGCGTCCTTTTTTACCACGTTGCCAGCACTTAAAACGAGCGAGATAAAGGTATAACTTGGTAAGCCTTCGGTTAGTTATAATCGAAAGCTGCTTGAACCAATGAAACCATATGCCCACCGGTTTCTATGGTTACATAATAACAAAACTGTCCAATACAATGAATGAAGTTTATCACGTGACCGAGTTGTAAAGTTTCATAGGTCAATGAACGTATTTTTAAATTTTCCGCCATTTCGCTTTTACATGTGAGACAAATACTGGAGAAGTCCGGCAACATCGCATTCAACCTATAACACAGGAGATGTTGCTGTGAATATTGTTAAAATTTTGTTCATTCAACCAGTTCTAATTAACAAACAGTGTTTAATTGTGAAAAATCATCAAATTGTCGATATTTCTACGTAATTGAAACTTTCACAGAACAGATAGAACAGTTCCGAATTGTAATTTGTAAGTAAGCCGGACAAGTCTGTCACAGTCACTCACTTCTACGCCATTTTGCCTTTTGATTTGTCGATGTGTGTTCGAAGAGGTTTATAACTGCTATTTAACTCTCTATTTTAGGCAATTGACGGATTTTAGTGCGTTTTAAAGCTTTTTCAATTGCTACATATGGGTCGCGAGATCTGACGTGCTGATTTGATCTCGAATTGTAATCCGACAACTAGGTAAGTTTTTATCAATCGCACATTTTCCATGCGTACAATTAATCCTTACATCGAATAACATTCACTAAGAGCACGTTTTGCAGGTAATAGACTCGTCAAATAGGCAAAGTCGATACACTATTTCCAGAAAAATGCCGGAGCAATGAGCCAAAGTGGTTAGTAACGTTGTCTGGCTACTATGGCTCAGCCTCAATATTACGAAATATTAAGCGAAAATAACAAGAACGAAGAGTCCCAGTACTTTACGAATATTCAAGACCAAACGGTTCAGTATGTAATAACCCCCGATAACTCACAAGTTCAGTATCCAGCCCAAACGGTAAGTGACTTAATTACGTTTAATTCCAATTGCATTAAAATTTCCTCATGTTTTCTATAAATACTTATTTGAACCTCACTGCAAATTTACTACTAGTTGTGCCCAATGTTCATAAATTTTATGTTTGCACTTACTCATTTACTGCTTTTTAGTTAACTCGGAAGATTTCTCTGATTATACAGGGTGTTTTCTTAATAACAAGCTAATATTTAGGGGGGTGATTTTTTGACCCATTTTAAGAAAGAAATGAACCTATGTTCTAAACGTCTTAATTTCTGAGAAGCGGGCGTGTTTAAGTTTTAAGAAAAAAAATCGATTGTCATTTCCACACCATTTTAAATATTTTTGTGAAATTCATTTGTTCGCTGCCACTACATTAGCCTAAATTTTAGCATGATATTAAGAAGCACCCTGTATAACTGAAGTGCTTGTTTGCACGATATTTAAGTAGCTTTACGATCTCAACGATTAATAATAATATTTTTAATAAACAAGAACACTCCCTTTACACTTTGTAATTTGTAATATACAGATTAACCAAGATCAAATTCTGCAAGCTCAAATCATACAACAGTCGATTGAATTGCAGCCGTCACAATTTGCGCTTATTAAAGACGGTACTTTGAGAAAAGAGGGTCAGCAAATATTTTTCGTTGAAAACCGAGTAGCCGACAGTATTGTAATCGAAAACAAAGTTCAGAACGACGTTCCTCAACAACCTATCATTTTAAATCATCAAATCGGAAATACGTTCGTGAGGACTCCCATCGGGAAGACTGGCGTTCAACATGTTTCCTTAGAAATGATACAGGTGATTCTTTTTTATGTGTATTTATCTTCAATATTGATTTTAACGTACCCTACAGCACTTTAATGTACAATTTTTTTTTGATTGGCAGAAGAATTCTCAGCAAGCGAAAACACTTAATCGAGCGGTGAACCCAGGCCAACAGCAACTTCGTCACCTATCGCCGGCCTTGACGCAGATGAGACAGCAGCTAAGCGCTGCCGTATTAACTTCGAACCAAATCCAAACTCAAAATCCCAATCAACTCCAAGTAAGATTGCAACACCCGGTTAGACTCCAACAGCCTCAACAAATTAGACAAGCTTTAATAAGAACAACGTCCCAACAGCAATATCGAGCGTTGCAACAGGCGAATGTCGGCGTAAGACAGAACGATCCCAATCTGATTAGACAGAATATAAGGTCGCCGAATCAGTCTCAACTGCAGAGGCCTAATCAAATATTAAAGACTCCTGGTTTAGTTACACCGAGGGGACAATCGTTGCTAGCTCAACATCAATCTGTTCAAGGGCAACAACAACAACAACAACAACAACAACAGCAGCAGCAGCAACAGCAACAACAGTTACAGAAATTTAACAATCAAGGAAATTGTGTCAATGCTGAACTGGTAATTTGATCTTTTTTTAACAAATAATTGGTTAACAAAGTATTGGTGGTTTTTTGTTAGGATGTATATTAGAACTACTCGACAATTAATTGCATATTTAAGCCTTTTTCTAAATAATAGTTGAAATAATTTATTATTTATATATTGTTTTTCTGCAAACTCACTTTGCTACTTTTTTACTAAAGACCTTTATTTATAAGACGCAAATTATATTATTAAAATTTCTTAAAACCTATTTTAGAAACCTACTGATGATCAAGAAACGGTAACTTTATCTGATGGAGCAGTAGTCACATTAGCTACTTATAATAATATGTTGAGAGATCAGAAATCTAGGAACATTCCAAAAAAGTAAGATTAAACCTTTACATCTTTTTAGATTTAAATTGTTTAAATATTATTATTTAGATTTCTTTGAAATAATATTAGCTTTTATGATAATCCCTATAAGTAATTCACCTGATTTTTTTAAGATTAAATACCCTTCAGCAACCAAATCAAATCCAACAATCGATGCAAGAATCGAATTCCTTGCTCTGTCAAAACAGTCCTATGCAGCAACAACACAACCAATTACAGGGGCAAAACAATCAAATGTCTCAGCAGCACCAACAATCAGGTAACCAATTACCGCAGCGCATTCCTTTAAATTTACCAAACGTTCGACCTACTCAAGGCGTGCCTAAAAAGAAGCCTGCTTCTCCTCGGGTTCCTAAATCCCCCAAAAATCCTCCTAAACCTCGTCCTCGTGCTTCACAGCAAGGTGCTAATCAACAATTGCCGAACAACCAAGGACAGTACACTTTGTTGAACCAGCAACAAGGGAATTCGAAAATTCAGCAGCCGCAGCAATTCCAAAATCAGGTAGATTTTTACATCAAAATTATATCGAGTGAATGCTGGAATGTTTTTTATTTTTAATATCAGATGCAGATGGCAGCAATGCAGCAAAATCAATTACAACAGCAGCAAAATCAGACGCCACAAGGTAGAAAAAGGCCATCGCAAGCTAATTACATAATTCAACCGCCGAAACTAAACAGAAAATTATCCCAACAGCGACCGTTGCCTGTTTACGTTCCTTCTAGTCAGATTCAAAAGATAATAGGTAAATTGCACGAGACAAAATTATTCGAAGAGACTCTAACATAATGTTAGATTGTTTAAAATTTAACGATATTTCAGAAAAAACTCCTATGAGCGAAGAATTTACCGATTCCATAAGGATGTTAGTACTGCTTGAAAATGGCGAACAAAGACTTATAACGTTCACTTTGCCCAAGGAAGCTTGTACGATACAGGAGATTTTGGAACAAGTTAGCGTTCCATTTCAAGCTGATACAAACATTCAAGTGACAGAAACCAATTCACAGGGAATCAACTATGTGGTAACCGTCGGGAATGTTGATTGGGTAAGATTTTACTTTAATTATGTTTTTGATACAGGATGTCCCTGCATAGTAGACAACATTACGAGTAATATAAAATGTTTTTATTTTGTAGGACCAAGCTTCGAATGAATTGAGTCCGGGTTCATCTCAGGATCAGTCATCTCCACCTGCACTAACTACATTATCCCAAGAACCAGCTTTGGAACCAAAGATATCGGAACCACCTAAAAGCCCGTCGCCCGAGCCTCCTAAGGAAACTCCTAAATTTGTACCAGGTAACATATGATGCTTTTCATTGAAGAATTTATTTTGAACAATTATTTCATTTTAATTCCCAGGAATGCTTGCGCTTTGCGGAGCTTGCGGTTATTTATCCGAAGATTTTAACAAATGCATCCGGTGTACGAGAAAGTTACCAGAAAACGTGAAAGCGATCTCTTCGAATTTGAAGAATACGCCCGGGAATCCCAAAAGAGATATTGCAGCTGTGGCTCAAGCTCAACAAGCCAAACACGCTGCTATGATACAACAACAGAAATTAAGCGCAGGTAATTTGGATTAAGCTAGCGTTTTAATTAAGCATTTTAATTTTCTAATTTGACTATTTCTACTTTGATATTTGTAATTTTTTTATATCCATTTTCAAGGTAAAGCTAATAATTCTCCTTCGATGAAAAAGAAGATTACAAGAATGCCGAGACAATCGGAACAAGATAGTGTGCACGTTATTAGTTCTGACGAGGAAGAAGAGGAGAAACCTAACATTGTAAGTTGATTCAAATCTTTCATTCGTTTTTTGTTCAAAAGTTTTTTTTTCTTATTATAGAAAGATAATAGTCAAAAATTGGGAGTATCTGCCACCAATCAAGTTTCCAAAGAACCTTCAATCATTGACATACAGATTCATGGTTCATCCAAAAGTAACAGTAAGTTAGTTATAAATATTTTCTTAAATTATTGATTAATCTAAATTGTTTTAGTTCCACCTAAAGTATTTGCTAAAGATGATATTTGCAGCACTAAATTGAAATGCAGGACTGTTCGAATCGGTTCTTACAGATGTGTCCCAACGGAAGAGGTAAATACATTTCTATTGTAGACTCATCACCGCATTCAGAAGTTGTTCTTTTTTTTTCGATCAAATGGTTCATTCTTCTGCCATTTAGAACGGTATAAATCATCTAGAACTGCCCAGAACAATTAAAAAAGTTCCGTAATCATTTAGAACTCCCCAGACTCATTTCCAACTCTCTAGACTCGTTTAGAACTCTCCATACCGCTTTAGAACGATACAGAATCGTTTAAAACTGTCTAAAACAATTTAGAACGCTCCGGAACCATTTAGAACCCTCCAAACTCATTTAGAAAGCTCCAGAATCATTTTGAGCTGTATAGAATAATTTAGAACTGTCTAGAGTAATTGAGAACAATTTAGAACGCTCCGGAACCATTTAGGACTCTCCAGACTCATTTAGAACGCTCTAGAATCAGTTTAAACTGTCTAGAATAATTTAGAACTATCTAGAATCATTTAGAACGCTCCAGATTTATTTAGAGCTGTCTAGAACAATATAGAACGCTCCGGAACCATTTTAAACACTTCAGACTCGTTTAGAACGCTTTTTAGAACGTTTAGAACGTTTAGAGACGTATATGTTATTATAAAACAATTCGCTTTCAGGTTCTCATAGAAACGACGAAAGTGGTTATTCACTTGCCGCATCCCAACAAAGAAAAAGGTACGAAAACCTTAACCATCGAACGAGGCGATGTGGTCAAAGTTTTGGCCAGTTTCAACAGCTCTTTATCCGTCGTATTCTATTATCTCAGTTCGGATTTAGCGAAGAAGATCAGAGACGAGCTAGACATGTCTTCGGAGAGCGACTACTATTTTGATCCTCTTTCGATCGAAGACGAAGCCCAACGGCGTATAACTTTGCTGCCTGATGACATTACTGACGATAATAAAAACGTCATTCAACATATATACGGCGCGCCTACCAATATACTTGAAGAGTTGAATATCAAAGAAGCTAATGATATATTGATTAAGACGTGTCCTAAAGAATTGGCGAAGAATACGCCTGGATTTGGGTAAGTAGATTTTTTATATTTTTACTATGTCGTCGTCAATTAGCTTTTGATAGAACGTGTCAATTGATTTGTTGGATTTTGGTTTTAGGGCTTTCGCCGAAATCAGGCAACTGTTGACTTATCCACCAGAAGGCCGGTACAGGATTTCAATTAATACCGAGGACTACATGTGCTTGGGGCAGGATATGTTCCTAAACGACGTGATAATAGATTTCTACCTTTCCTATCTAACTGAAAATCTGCCGGTGGATGAACGGAATAAAATCCACGTCTTTTCGACGTTCTTCTACAGAAGACTCACGACCAAACCCCTTAAAGCTTCTAGGTATGTCCTAGATTTATTTAAAAATAAACAAGTCACGTGTAATTATTTTTTTAATTCAATTGGCGCATTTTTTAAAAATTTCATACGAAGATTTTTACTATACCAGCAATACACGCTTGTTACTTGATCGATTGATGCCTACTGTTTGCTTTGTATCAAAGACCTAATTCTTGGAAAGAGGTGGACGAAATTTACCATAACACTTTCTAATTTAACACTTATTTCTTTCTTATTGCACTTTTGTAATTCGATGTGCTTTCGTGACATATTTCTCATGCTATGTACATATTCAATTTTCATTAAAATTGGTAGTTTTTTCAAATTAATAACGGAAATAATAACGGTTATTTTGTATCAAAATTAAATACTGTCGGGCGTTCCCACCTTTACAATGGAACTAAGGAGCGTTGCCAGTTCGGTCGCTCGAATTTCTTGAATTTTAGAAATGGAACAATACAGTGACGTGCAAAACTATTTTAAAAATTAATTCGTTGGTTCATTATTATAAAAAAACATTTTCTGATAGAAATTATTAATTTCATGCTGAAAATTTCGAGTTTATTTTAGAAAATACGCGTTTCTATTATACAGGGTGTAACAGAGTAAGTACTGAAATAGAATTCTACGCGTACAGGTTGATCCAAATTGTTTGTAATATAGGCTATGAGTGCAACAAAAACAACTTTCATTAGTCTCATAAGGTAAAAAGAGAGAGAGATTTTGTAAGATTGGAACTTTCTCACTCTAACCACTGTTATTTTATTAATCTTTCTTTATTTAACTCATAAAATTGACCATATTGCAAATCATTTTGCACTTATGTGTATAAAAAATACTTGATAATCGCAGAAGCAGGGGTGTACCTGACTTTTTAATATTTGTTACATTATGAATTATGCACGTACGCCACTGTATAAATTCTATTTTTTTTGTGTTAACCCTACAAAAAATGATCGTTTCTCCAATACTTAAAATTAAAGACTGTTTTAGAATGCCTCGTATTTTCTAAAATATATCTTGGAGATTTTTATTTGAACAGAATTTGTTACACTTTGTACAATATGCGGGATGTCCTAACATATTAGGTTTAACTTATTTCGAAAACACAAAATTATTTCGTCATGTTTTTAGTTACTTTCGACATTATCCGTGATTTCGAAATAATAAACCTAGTTGTTTCGGGACATCCTGTGTATATTTTTTTTTGCTTCGAATCTTTTTACATTTCAGTAAATCTGCGATTTCGGTAAATTCGGCAACATTGCCGATGTTAGTTCGTAAAAATCGCCAGCTCTCCGTATATTCGAGCGGCGCGGCAACGCCGCCGAAACAATTTATCCAATGGGATTTGCGCGTTTGAAATCGTGGAATGTAGTCGAAATGGTCGCGTGTACTTTCGAAATCGATGTTTTTCTTCTAACCTGCGAGGTTTCGAATGCTTGGCAACTCCGCTAACCGTCGGAGAGCACGCGCTCTGTATATTTAATTGGAATTGCGGCAGAATATACGGGAATTTTTCGATGTGGCAACGGTGTCTATTTATTTATTAAATGGGAAATCAAGATTTTTCTCCGATGGGATGTAGGTGAAGTGTACCGTAGGCATTAAAAATATGTGCTGCGTTGCCATGCTGTTAGTTTTTATTAGTTCTTCAAAAATTATTTTAATTTTGTATTATTTGCTCAAGGGGGATTTTTTTAAATGATGTTTTTGTTAAAATCTTAGAGGTAAGGTTGGGAAGATAACTTTATTGACCTTAAATTTTTATTTTTTTCGTAAATTAAAAGAATTTTTACATAAAAATTTCATAGGGAGTTTCATCAGAGTTTCATAATTTTTTGCCCATTCTACAAAAGCTTATATAAATTTTGAATTTTTTTCTAGAAAATCCCATCCCAGTGAATTAGATCCAACTTTAACTCCCGCACAAAAACGTCACGCTAGAGTGATGAAATGGACGAAAAACGTAAACATTTTTGAAAAGGACTTCATAATTGTGCCGATAAACGAAAACGCTCATTGGTTCCTTGCCATTATCTGCTTCCCGGGTATGAATGGAACTCACACTTGGGACGGAAAACCCATCAAAATCGAAGTTAAATCAAAGAAAAAAAGTAAGTGAAATTTTTTTATATACAGGGTTATAACTAATTGAGTGTCGATACTTCAGGATGTGACTTTTCGAGCTACAGGTTGTTACTATTTTAGAAAAAAATGTTTTTCATTATTAAGAAGCAGCGTTTTTGGAGGCAAAAGATTTTTTTTTAAATTTTTACCAGTGACGTCCGTACGGGGTTTGAACTGAATATGTTCGAAGAAAAACTATTATACGCCACTGTTTTTTCTAAAAACTAAAATTATTTTTAAAATACTCTTTTATTTTGGAGCAAATTCGGCCAGTTGACTTACCTTTGTCCGACGCACCATTTTCGCGTAGAAAAAACCCAAAACAATTTTTTCCCAAGTTCATTGAGATTGCTTTTGATGTTTTGTTGAAATTTGGTAGGCGCTTACCATACATGGAAACACTTTTTTTGGGAATAAAAAATTAATTTTCTACTATTACCAGTGACGTCCACGTCCGAAATTTCATCAAAATATAGATATTACTCTAGAGAGTAATAAGAAAATTATTATAGAAAAGTTATTTTTTTCTAAAATTGTAAAACCCAGTAGCTCGAAAAGAGGTTTAGGACATATATTGATATAAACTTTTCTTCTTAAAATCACCCAAATATTAACTTCCTGAAGTATCGGCATTCAATTAATTAACACCCTGTACAGTGTGTCCCGCATAAAAACCGACACATATCAGGGGCATGTGGGAAGGTCTAAAATATATTGTTTAAACCAATTTAAATCAAAGCAAAATCACATTCCTAAGAATGACAAATACAAAGTTACAAATTAAAAAAATAATATCTCAGTAATACTTAAACTTAAATCAATCAAATTTGGTATACGTTATAAGAGTTATGATATCAATAATTTTAAAGGTTCATGGATGATGCTCACTGATGAAGAATGTTACAGAATTTCTTTACTTGATGGATGATTTAAAAAATTATTAGTTAATTCCATAACTATTATTGCATATTATTATTAACGAATTTTTCCACATTCAGAAAAACCTGTCGCCGGAAAGCACACCTTGAGCGTGAAGTTGGAAAAAGTAGCGAAGCCGATTGCTTGCGATGATCCGGATTTGAGCGATAAAGACGAAGCCGAAGGCGACGATAGCGAAATGGAGTCCGATGATTCGGAAGAGGTTCCTCTGACTCCCACCGATTCTCAATCATCCGCGGGTACGGCAGACAGCAGCAGCAGCACTACAGTTGTACCGGCTGTTCACCAAACTCCTTCGAAGTCGAAGGAACCCAGACCTCCGATCAAACAGTACATACTGGTAGGTTTCGAGAAGGTTCTTAAATAAAATGTTTCATTTCCAGGCCGTGTATACTAATATTCGATTCTTTATCGGGAGCAAACAGGTGTCGCGTAGTCGCGACTTTAAGGGATTACCTCACTTGCGAATACAAAGCTAAAATGGGGAAAGAAAGAGTTTATAATAAGGAAGTTATTAAAGGAGCTAATCCGAAAGTACCGCAACAAAATAACTTTACCGATTGCGGATTGTACTTACTTCAATATGTTGAACAATTTTTCAAAGTAAGATATAGGAAATTGTCCAACTTTGCTTTACTATTATATTACACTTTTTTTAGGATCCCATAAAAGATTTTCATATTCCTGTAAAAGAAATACAACATTGGTTCGAAGAAATTGTTGTTACCAAAAAGAGGGAAGATATAGCGAATTTAATTAAAAGTTTAATGAAGGAGTATGGAAAAGATACCAGAGGTTTACCAGAAATCAATTTTCCTACTCAGAATGGTACGCAACGAATATTACACGAATTTCCTTATTTTTCAAAACCGAATTTTTTGCAGGTAAAATTATAGAGAAGGAGACCGAGGAAGAGGAAGAAGCTGAAGAAGAAAATGATGAAGTTGAAGAAGAATCCTTTGAAACGGCCAATATGAACGATTCATATACGACTAATAAAGACTCGTTATCCGACATTGCTTCGAGTAGTGACGATGTAAAAGCGGATGAAAATGATTCGCATATAAAAGTGTCTGGCGACGGATCCTTTAGTGATTTTGTGACGCAAATTGTAATTAATCCTAGACCGGATTTGAGTGAATTTCCGCGACAAACTAATAAAGATACTCTATCGATTTTAAAGGCTAAAAGGATTGTTAAACATAAGCCTGCAGAGAAATCTGTCGTGAAAAAATTTAAAAGTGATGATGATTAATAATAGTGATCCAAACTTTACTGATGAAACTTTATTATTTCGATTATTTAATTATTGATTGTACATTAAACATTTTTAGGATAATGCAGTGCAAGTGTACAAGGCATCGTTGCCTGATTTAAAAAATTGTTAGGTTCTGTTTAATTTATAGTAAGTTTTTTCATGTTACAACATCGTTATATGTTAAATTTTTAACCGGATTGAAATTATTTCTAATTTCAAGATAACTTATTTGTTTTTGTATTAATAAAAAGTGTACACATCTGAGATTGTTTAAACTAATTGTAGAAAATTGGAATATTGTTTAGAGCAGTTTTTTTCTAATTTTTTAACAGTGCAGAGGCTTCTTAAGAATAAATTGTTCTTTTTATAAATTTGTACACACCAAAAACACCTACGCCCCGTATTTTTCTGTATTTTGTAATACTTTTTACGTGTTAAATTGTGCTTTAAATCTATAAAAATAAAAATCCCATACTAAAAAAGCCCCTTTAGCTCTCAAGATGAATTTCACCGATTTTATGGAACGCAATCAACCTGGCGAAATAATAAAAAAATCCGACGGGATAATGGCTTATAAAATATCCTTAATCGATTGATTTCAGGCGAACAGGAAAAAGGATATCGCCAATAAAGTACTCGCAGGAGCTGGAAAAATAAGAGCGAAAGTGTGATCTATCTACCATCGAAGTTAATGACATAATCAAAAAATTGAAAAGCGTTAGCCACTTGTCAACTGCGAAAGGCAGATTCGACATGACGCCTTTAAAAATTGTTATGGCCTGATTATAAAAGAACAAAGTTCGCTACTCTCTTACTAAAACTTGAATTAAAATTGTTTTTTTACAGCTACTAATGATAATTTTATTACGTGTCAATATTTTGATTTGATTTTTTTAAGGTTATCCCAAGAGGCGTATCCCGACTACCGTATCACTCGACTATTCATCACGCGCCATTCCAACACGGACATTTCATCACGGAGACGATTCATCACACCTACTTTAAAAAATATGTAAAATAAAACAAGACTTTTGGGGATAAAATTATCTTATGGTCGTGTTCCGATGAGGGTAGAAATTGGTTTTTATTCGATTTTTGGATTCATTCTTAAACATTTTAATTTTAATAACTATTTTATTACACATTTTTTACACATGGTTGAGAGAGAGTGTAGAAGCTAATAGTCGATTGAAATATGTACTTTCAGGTTTTTAGTATACTTGTAGCACTTAGGCCTAAGTTAATATACAGAGTGGTCAGGGTGTTTCTTAATAACATGCTAATACTTCAGGGAGTGATTCGAGACCCATTTTAAGAAAAAAACTTCACATCAACTATGTCCTAAACGTCTTAACTTTTGAGATACATAGTGTTAAAGTTAAAAAAAATCCATTTTCTATTATTTCCATACCATTTTAAATATTTTTATGAGTTTTGGTGTATGGCGTTTAAGCATTGAAGAGCATTTTTTGACCTAAAACGCATTTTTTATTTCCTACAGTGTCGTCCGTACTGGTCTCAGGATAAACTGTGCTAAAATTAGGTAGTAATAAATTTTAGGTTTAGGACATTAGGATTTTTAAGAAACACCTTGTTTACTTCCGGAATATAGCTGGAAGTGACAAAAAGTTGAAAATATTTTAATTGCGTTGGAAATCTTAACAAAGCTACAGGTACACCTACTAAAAATATGAAAGTATTTCAATTGAGCTTTAACTTGTTTCTACACTATATCAACCTTGTAGAAAGAAATGTGCGATGAAATGATTATAAAAATCTTTAAGAAAGAATCCAAAAAAACTAATTTCTAATGTCTTGTTTTATTTTACAATAATATTTAAGTAGATGTGATGAATAGTGGTAGTTATGAATTGTCACCGTGATGAAATGTCCGTGACGGAGTATCGCATGATGAATAGTCGTGTGATGGAACGTTGTGGAATCCCCTAGAGAATATAAATGTTTACGATGGTGTGTTAAAGCGTCACTCGAAATATAAATCTTGTAAAATACATCAGCAAAAGGTTTCAATGGTATAAGAGAAACATATTGCTTTCCGCCGCAGCCGTAGCACCGCCGCATAACAATTAGTTGTTAAGGATAAAATAGGATATCGCCAAGAATAACATATTGGTGTCGCCGCTGAGAGGCTTACGCGAGATTCGAAACGTAAGAGTCACCACCGGCTCTAATTGTCCCGGCTCTGATTTACCATACAATGGCTCGCCATTCCTATATATCGACATTGATTTTTTAATGTTGGATGCAGCGCAAAGATTACCTATCGCCCATGCGATCGCTGACCATTTACAAATAACCATTGTAGTGTGCCATTACACCATGTGTGTTGTGTTGTGTGTGTGTGTGTGTGTGCGCGCGGATTGTTTGTTCTTCGATCTCTGCACGCTACTTTTTCGGATTACTTACGATCTCGTATTTGCATCTTTATCTAGATAAAAGGATTTTCAACGTAGCGAAAATGCGACACAAATGCTTATTTGGCGTTCGTACTTCTTTTATTTCTCAGGAATTGTTCGAGTAGGTCCTTTGGAGGATGAGTAATTGGGGTTATTACACATACAAGGTGTCCGGTAATTAAGAACTAAAAATTGATGGGTTACATTGCTTCTAAAGCACTGCTTAGAGAGGTATAGATCCTCAAGTGTGTAGTCCAGAAATTGATTATAATTGTTACGAGGGTGAATCAAATATGAACCGGAATTTTCTTCTTAAATGCTCCCTAGGTGAAGTGAGTAAGATGACGTCTTGATGTATGTTGCATGGAGATTTAAAGTAAAGGTGTGTAAGTCAAAAAGTTGGACAAAATGCATTTGAAAATACTCTAAAACAACCACCCTACTGTCCCGATTTATCGCCATGTAACCATCAGATGTTTAGACCACTCAAAGAAGAACTAGGAGGTCTTCATTTCAACGACTACGAAGGTGTGGAAACATTCGGTGGAAACCAAAAAACTTCCGATTCGGTGGAAAATGTGTAGTACTAAGAGATTACACAGAAAAATAAGTTTTAATCAAAATTATATTTAATTTACTAATAAATTTTTAAAGCAAAATTCCTGTTCGTATTGGACCTCAAGCATTTTGTTTCCATCCACAGCTTTCTGGATTGCACAATTTACCTTCGTCATTATCATTTTTCCAGGCAAGTGCATACAACCGTGATGAAATTTTGGAAGTTCGATGTGGCCGCACATTGAAACCCAGCGATCACTTGAAAAATGAATTTCTTAGCGGCTATCTGATCGATTGAAATGCGGATAAGGCCGGTCAGCACCGCGACAAGCGAGGGGTACCTCTAATTAAAAGAGAAAAGTGTGGGATGAGTGTGTATCTGGGCCAGATAAGGTCGAAAAGAACGGCAATACATCCGACCGGACGACGACAGCTCCCAGACGGACCTCATTACTGTAACAGAAGTGGATCAAGATAAAATCATCCGAACTCAACCACTATGCCTATCAATTGCTGTAAGTATACAGGGTTGGTAAATTCGCATTAGGTAATTATTTCTACAATTACTTACCGTATATGCTGCCTAAGAATTGGTGATCTAGCTGGTAAAGAAAAGCAAATGGAAAATATACCTAGATAATTTTAGAGTAAAGAAGATCAAACCATAAGTAGGTTTAGTTAAAAGTAACCAGTAATCTGCATTTATTGATATTTACAAATGTTATTTTGCAGTGTAGAAATAAGAAAGCTTATTCCTGTTTTATGGAATAAATACTCAGGTATTTTTTTCTATTTTAATAATAACCAATTTTAACAGTTAAAATGTACAGGGTGTTTAGTCACTCAATGGACATATCTTAGGAGGGTATTGCTTGGTTACTTTTAGGTCGAAAATGCCTTATACACTTTTGTCCAAAAGTCAATACTTTTAAGAAATTATAAAGAATATTCATTTATTGGCCCACTAGAAATCTGTCTAGTAGTGGAAGAGTTCCAGTTCCATGGCCTCCGAAATCGCCAGACCTAACACCTGTGGACTATTATCTTTGGGGTGCGTATGAAAAGTTAGTGCCTGTCTACTATACCGCATCTGGTTTAGTATGTGGTCTATCCAAATTTATTTTATACAAAGTATAACATCAAGTTTTTGAAAATTGACCCATCATTATGCAAAAGAAAAAAATTACTGGTACTGTATTATTTGTAGAACAGATTGTGGGTAATTCAATTTACCGAGAACCATTTATTTTAAACGATTTTACTAGTATTTTTATTATGTATGGAATAGCAGGTAAGTAATTATTCAATTTATCGATAATTATGGATGTATCACAATTATACAGAGTGAGTTTTTTCGATGTTTAGTAAAGGCTTCTCATAAACTGTAGGAGATAGAAATAAGTTTGACAAACATTTGCAGTTTTGTGAGACGTGTTCAAAACCAGTTTCATTTTTGCAAAATATGACACCTGTTAAAATATTTAAATATTCTTGGCCGAAGAAATATATTGGTAGACCGCAAATATTATGGTAGACCACATACTAGACCGGTACCGAAAAGTTCAGCTTGAGGTTATAGTATTCTAATTCAGCACAAAACAGAACATCCTGTATGAAAATTATCGTTTGCAGTTAATCCAATCGGAGCCTGCCGATCCATCGAGGACCTACAGCTCATTCGTCGCCGGAGATGAATAAAATCGAATCGCTGGAATTTTCATAAATCGGTAAGTAGACGAATTAAAAAAGGGGATTCGTCGATCAAAAAATCGCGAAGGGTGGAGGGCAGGAGGGCGACGGCGGCGGTCGCGAGGAAAACGTCTCCGAAAGTCTCGGCGAGATAAGGTGAGAAATGTGTTAAGGGATGATTAAAAGGCTGGTGCGACGCTGCAGGCGGAGATAACGGCGTTCGGTTTATTCTGTCGCACATATCTCGACGCGCCTCAATCATTCGTTCGCGCCCGAGCGGCTTGCGGGATCGGGATTACTAATCACCTGGTGCGGTCCGGGTCCTTTCTCTTATATTAACGTGCCCCACTTCAATAACGATAACGGGTTTTTTTTTTCTGCGGGGATTAATCTTCGCAGAAAGTGCATTCATAATTCACATCTCCGCTAATGGACGTCGTTTTTCATTTGGGAGCCTTCCACTGATAATACGAATATAACCTTTTCTAATCTCGATTGCTGCTGATGCTCTTAGGTATTTAATGATAATGAAGCCAGCTCTCTGATGCTGTTTTTGTTTTAACGATTTCATCCAATCCGGTCGACAGTTAAACCGTTTTCATTTCTATCGTTTTGTTTACAACAACTAATACAGGGTTTAATAAAAACCCAGATACTCGCTGAATACATTTTAATTTTAAATGCTAAATTTTAGATTTCTGATACACTCTATACAAGAGTCACATTGTAAAGAAAACTAAGGTGTTTTCGGGGAGAAAAAATTGATTTTTGGAAAATCCCTCAGGCATCGAGGGTCTCCCCTTAAAGGTAAATATTTCAAGAACGAATTGATATACTTGGCTATTGCTATATTTAGAAAAAATGACCTTTCTAATATTGCACGACCTTATATTAAATTTTTAGGTCTTGAGGTGGTTGAGCAAAAGGGTGAAATAATATGAATACGGTTTATACAAAATTGACGTCTCTCCGATTTCCCAAAAATCAATTTTTTCTACCCGAAACCACCCCCGTTTCCTTTTCAATGTGACCCATTGTATACATTACTTTCCCTGAACATAATCTCAAAAATAAGTGTTTAAAATCCCTTGGAATCGCCGTGTTTTGTATTACAGTTATCTAGCAGTTTCGGATTTCCCTTAAATTACGCGGAAAGGAAAAAAAGCGCAACGAACCGTTTGGGAAATCCTCTAGACTGCGACCAATGAGTTGCACTTATCGAATCTAAGTAATCTAAGCTTGGCATGCATTAAATTCACGTGCACCTAGATAACTTTGCTTATTTATTATTACCTTATGCAAATTATGGCCGTATCTAAAAGGAAAAATGCATGAGTGGCCGGACGATAGCGGCAGATACCGCCCAATATTTTGCGCTTGCACGATAAACCAAATACAGAACCCGAAATTAAGCAAAAAGACGCGACGCGTTCGGTGCTCGTTAGTCCGGTGAAAATGGGGCTAGCCTTTTCGAAATAATGGCGGATGATTAATTTCCCTCCGCCAGAATTTAATTTTGTACTTATTTTTTATAGCAAATATTTAGAAGTTGTAATAAATGATAGAAGAAATGTACAAAAAAATGAAACTATTGTATGAACTTTTTTGCGGTTTAAATTGCAGTTTTAATTGATTGGATGTTTTACATCGAAATTTCATCGCCTGTAGCGAAACACATATGTGTTTTATGATATCTTAATCTGCGTGTCAATCATTGTGCATGTTCAAAAAGTGCATTTATCAGGCCGAAACCCGCCGTTGCCGTTATCGAATTTCGCATCTCATTAATCCCTCAATTTTGCATTACAGACATCCCCTTTTATCACTTATTTACGACAAATTTGTTCTCTTTGACGCTAGTACGGAGCTTTAAATTACCTAGATTAAATTTTATTGATTTTAATTACGAACATGTCCGTGTATATTTTTAGAAACGGAATGATTTCTTTTTCATCCGTAGAAAGACACAATTTCGTATCGCATATAATGCATTTCTATAATTTTTTTAACAGATGAGACTTACCTGATTCCGGTCAACTTCAGTAGGTATATCTTCAAAGCCAGTAATGTGTATTCTTCTCGACCAAAATATGTAAGTATTAAAATCCATATTTTTACAGCTTTTTCTAATTTTTGCAAACTTTTTCGTTCAATTGTTTTATCAATTTTGTAATTAAAAATTGCAATTATTATTTAAATAAATAGAGTAAATTTTTTTGGTATACAAAGGTTAGAGGAAAATCTAAATGAAAAAGCATATGTATGACTCCTTTGGTATAGCATATTTTAATATATACTGGAAAATTATAAACGAACAAATTATAAATCTTTTAAACTATATACAAAAACAAATATGTAGTTATTGCATATTTTATATACAAGAAAAACATTTAACATAGATTACAAACTATCCACATATTTTCTTCCGTAATCGTACAAGAATGATTTTGATATAACAACAATCCCTTCAATGCCCGAACACTTAACAATAGTCGTACAAAAAAAAGAAATAAATAATTGAGATTGCGAACAGTCTACGATTTTTTTTAACCAGGTAACGAGTACAAGTCCTTTTACAAATTTAATTTTGTTCATCGTTCCTTCGGTTTCTTTTATTTTGTCATGTAAATTTTGGAAAGCACAATTCATCGCCCTAACAACATTTAAGTGTTTAGGCATCAAAAAGCTCGGTTGCGCGTATACAGAGAGAGGACTGGCCTGAATATACATTTATAATATCTCGAAACTTAATGAAATTTGACGGATTCGAAACTGACGTTTAACGAACATTACGCAAGGAAATTAGTCTACTAACAAACCGATTGTTACAAGCTAAGTATTGTCCAAAATAATCAATCAGCTTAACGAATGATTTGCTATACAATAGACTTCCTTTATCATGCTAGCAAGAAGAGAAATTACCTAATAAAAGGGTAGCGTTAATTTTCACTGCTATTGCCGCTAGTAAATTATTTCGAATCAGTCATCAACACGTTTTTTCCTAACAATGTAAAACCTATGCGCTACGTCTAAAGCACCGAGGCCTCGGCGGTACGAGTGGCTGAATTGTTATTAATGTTATTATTCGAGGCCGCGTTGGCTATCTCACCGGCGTGACTGGAGCAGTAGAACTTTTTATGCGCCACGAAAGTGGAATAGTAATTAAAGTATATATCGCAAGATTTACAATACTTCGATCCCGGCTTGGCGGCTTCCTGCAGCACCTCGTCGTCCGGCGACTTGCACTTGGGCGCCTTCGGCGCCGCGTCCGTCTCCTCCTTGAGAATGGGCTCCTCGCCCTGGGCGATTATCACCTCCGGCTCTATCGCTTCCCGCTTCACCAGGATCTCCTCGTCCTCCTCCAGGGCGGGCATGGACTTGGTCTTCTCCGACATGCCGTTGGCCGCGACCTCCTCGCTCATCGAGACGTCGTGCACCAGCTTCATGTGCCGCAGGACGTTCGCCTTGTAATTCGAGCTGTAGGAGCAGTGCAGGCAGTAGTGCAGCGCGTCCGAGGACGAATCCGTGACGGGGGAACTCGTTTTTTCTTCGGACGAATCCGCCGAGGTCACGTTCACTTCGATGGTGTTGGTGCTCTCGTCTTCCAGGATGTAAGATATGTATTTTTCTTCCTGGAAGGAATAGTGAAGGAATTAGCATTAATTCGCAGTAAAGTGTTGGGAAAATACGATAAATTTGGTTGAGGAGAATTTATGGGGAAATTGGAATTCGGAGAAAGGAATAAAGAGAAAGTAATTCTTGCAGAATTGTTATGTCTTTATTTGAAAGTAATTGTTTTAGAAAAGGACGTAAGTAAATTGGGAGCTATTAGGGTTGTTTTAATTTAACGTGCGAATTTGGTGCAAATTATCTTTAATAATTCTTTTTGTTAGCATTATTATTTATAGGTTGATATTTAATTTATCTATTTCACCAACGAAAAATAAGACCGTATTCAATGAATAAATTTAACTGTCCAATAAAAATACACAATTTTGTTCAACAACAAATAACGTTTTCGACGATTAAATTGATGTTTAAATTAGCCAACGAAATTTGGACAGTTAAAGTTTTATTTGATGTTTTATAACCTCAAATAATATCTATTAATTTGTTATATCTTTGAAAGCGTTTTTCTGATTGTGAATTTTAATTTTAATTTATTGGTTATATCATCATCTTCTCGATCATCTTCCACATCATCTGATAAAGATTTTCATTATAGAGAACCTCCAATTGTTTTAGAAAGAAGTATCGTTATTAAATTTTCCTTCTCCTCTTTCAAATAATTTTTGCTTCTTTCCCTTTGTGATCCATTTCAAAATCACTGTCAAACTCCAAATATAATAAAATAACAATACTCACACGTCACAGTGACAAAAACCAAAAAATAATTTGAACAATTCAGTTCGAAATCTTCTTTTTTGGAAAGATTTGAATTCCAAAGGTTGGTTTATCAGAAATATTTGCTTGAACTGTTAAATAGCTAAATGAAGATTGAAAGTGCTGGTGAAACGTCAAAATATTTAACTGGTGTTTAAAAGTTATTCATTGAATAACTTTTAATTTATTTACAGATTTATTAGTCGTTGGTGAAACCGGGCACTAAAGTGCTAAAATAATCTTTAATAAACTAAAGAATAGTGTTCCGTCCAATTTACTACCACTGGTCTTAGGTATTATTACATCGAAATTAGACATGTGAATGAATTTGTAGATAATATCCAAATAATATTAAATACCTACTGTTTAAAAAATCAAATTTACCTGTAAATCGGAGGATCTTTTGTCGAAGTGCATCCGAATGTGCGTCCGCATCCCTCTCAAAGTGTTCCCCTTGTAACCGCAAATGGTGCATCTGTAGGCCTTGACCCCTGTGTGAGATTCCATGTGCCTTTGAGCGGCGCTCGCCGTCGGGCTAATAACATCGCAACAAGGGCATTTCCAGCCGGAGAGGGAGGCGTGCGGCACGCACTGATGGCCCGGTTCCGCGACACCTTTGCATTTGGCGCACTTCCGCACGTCGGCCGTCTCGCCCCTCTTGAGGCAATAGTAGGCCTGATGGGCGTTCAGATTATCCAGCGACGTGAATTTGATGCCGCACGCCAGACAGATGAGCTGTTGATATTGTCCCGCCGCCGGGCTGGCGGTTTCCGCGCTGCTCGGGCTCGCCGGCGGACTGCCGGAGAATTTCGACTGGTTCTCGTCCTGCGTCCTCGCCGAACAATAGTGCTTTTTGTGGATGACGTAGTTTTCTAGCTTACAGAACACTATGTTGCAGTCTTTGCATTTCGACACTCCTTGCTTGACCAGCACCTGCGGCATGACGGCCGGCAGCGGCGGTTCCAGTCTCAGCTGTACCTCGGGCGCCAGCAGCGGCAGGCTCTGCCTCAGGAACAGGGGATGATCGAATTGTTGTATGTTAACCTCGGGACTGATTCGTTTGTTGTCGGTGTTTTGGGTGCATTTCAGAACAGATCTCAACTTCTTGGGGCTGCTACTCCTGGACGTCTCCTCTTTGATTTTGGGCGACGGGGACGATTCGCAATTGGAAACGGGCGTCGTTGGAGGCGAATTCTGCGACGAATGCACCGATTTGCATTTTTCGGGGCTAACCGAATGATTCGGGGTGTTGGTATCGTGATCATCGCCGGATTCTACGACAGCATTTCCTTCGGAATATTTTTTGACGCTCAAATCTAGAGGCGCCGAGCTCGAAGGGGGCTCTTTAGTCTTTTCGTTCTTGTGCGATTCGCTCTGCTGGCTTAATTGGTTAGCTAAAGCACTCGACATTGGTTGCAGCGTACCGTTTGGCAGAAGAAAACAAGGAGCATCGGGTGCGGGAAGACCGGAGGCGGCGTTCAAGGCCGGCAGTACGCTCGCGTTGCGAAACAAAGAATATGGCACGATTATTATTGGATTGGTTGGTAATGCCAAGAAAGGTTGTTGTGCAGCCGTTTGCGTCGTAGGCGAGGGGGGAGTTCTGCACGGTCTATTATCCACCGGAGAAGTCGGCGATGAACCCGAAGTACTAGAAGACGCCTTCGGCGTAGGCGCCGACGGCAGTTTGACTAAATGTCTGGAATTGCAATAGTGCAATTTGTGAGCACGGTAAGTTTTTTGCGAGCTGAATCGAATATCGCATTCGGCGCAATATCTATCCGAATTACTACCGGTCGAGCTTTCTCCGTTCGGAGTGGTGACGATATTCAAGGGACTAGGACTAGGAGACACTGTGTGCATTCGCATGTGACGATTTAAACTGACTTTCTTATCCGCGCTGTACGAGCAATGCGTGCAAGTGTACTGCTTGCCGCTGCGGAAGTTCTTCAAAGACGGCTCCGACAGATCGGCGTCCGATTGGCTCCCATTCGGATCGGTAACTGACTTGGAATCATCGTCGTTGGAAGTTTTGTTAGCGCGATGCGAGCAATAGTACGTTTGGTGAGCCTCTAACGTACTCAAAGAAGAGAATCGAATCCCGCAGGGGGGACATTGGAAAATCGGCACGCTCGGCTGCCTGCTCTCCACCGGCTCCGTTTGATGCGGATCTCCGGCGGGAAGAATATTCGGCAGGAAGAATCCTCGGGACACCAAAGTACTCTGCAGAGCGGGCGGAAGCGTCGACAGGTAATTCGGGGGAAAGGGAGTCGCGTCCGGCTCGATTTTCGGAATCGTCTGCGACTGCAGCGCCGGATCGGTGGCGAGATTCGCCTTCAGCCGAATCCTTGGCGTCTTCTCCTCGGGCTCATTCTTCTGCGAGCTCTGCGTAGTTTCTTCGACGGCTTCGGGAGTGGCGTTCTTCGGCGGAGGCGATCTGGAAGGGGAATTCGCTGAAGCGACCGTCTCGGCCGGATCGCTGTTCCAATCCTCTACCTCCCCTGCAACAAAAAAAATCGCAATTATCAAAAGTACGTACTCGCAAAACACGGCTTCGATAAGGTCCGTGGCGAGTCCGCGATGCTCGAAGGGTGATAAGCAATAAAATACGCGCTAGAATCGACGAGTTACGACTAGGGAGAGAAGAGGGATTAACAGCAAACAGGTTGTTATAAATGCATCGGTGATAAGAATGAGATGTACACGGATCGGGCATGTCGAAACTCTACTTTAATGAAGCAGTCTATCACAAACGGCCCACGCGAATGCTTTATGCCAACGACGACCTCCGCACAAAACGTGTATTCTTAGATTTAGATACAATTGATTTGTTAGTGTAGATGTCGATGGAGCTAAAATATTGAAATTTCTCTTATAATGATTAAAAAACGAGATACTTCTGAACATCACGATTCAATTACATAAGTATCAATTAATATGTTTTATATCGATTTAAGTAGTTAGAGATATTTAATAGATTGATAATGAGTTTAAATATATAGGAGTAGGTACTTAGTTATTAATATTCATTTATGATCGGATTAAACTATTCAGGGTATATTCGGTTGAGTTGATAATTAATTATTGAAGCACTTTTATTGATTTGATCAAATTGCCATTTCTGTACAAACTGTCCATCGAATTAGTAATTTGTTTAGGTATATCTACTTTGTGTAAGTAAAAGAAGTGAACAATCGTTTAATGTGTAATTTCACTCTTACTCACTGATACAATCAGTTCTTTGCAATAACAAACGATTATTACACCGATATTATAAAATGAGTAAACAGTAACTTCCGGGTAATTATTATTATTCACCTATCAATGTGGAAAATTATCAGTGCCATAGGTGACTCCAAATTGTTGGATTTTCCATTATTATCAGCAAATGATTCTTACACTTAATCAGCTTCGGTTAGGTACAATCTAATAATAATACTCGATAATCTGTACGATAAAACCAGACTATTATAAATTACCAGATGTCGGAAAAGATTGTAAGCAACAAGAAAATCCCTATGCTCTTCAAAAACGCGTCCGCCTCCATCGAAATCGGGTTACATTCGATAGTAACAAGTCGAGATTCGGTCGTGTTCGCCTCGCGATATTTCTGTTCATAACTGATAAGAGCAGCTTTGATGAATATAAATAAAGCGTCGGGCGGCAATGCTATCGCTGCGATGCAAGGGGCCGCTCGGGCCGCCGACCGCCCCCGTTACCCGTACGGCGGCGGCGAAGAGAACCGACCCCGAGCCGCGAGGATATTTAGATATTCTAATAGTGGTGGAGCTGCCAGATAACATGTATACTAGTGCTGGTCTCGAGCGATAAGCGTCGCGACGGAGAAGTCTGCCACTGATAAAGACGCTTTGCGTCGCTGTTCTGTTTCTTCGAGGCGATAACGCCGGTGGATATCGGTCGCTCCGCAAAAGAGCGCCCCAAAGCGGGGGGCGGCGGCGGCGGCGGCGGAGATCGACGAGATGCTGGCTGTCGTGAATTCAGACTATCCCAATCGGAAAAAGCGCGAGCGGTGTGTGCGCGCGTTCATGCCATCGCCTAATTTGCATTAATTGACAATTTTAATTTCCAAACGTATCAATCCCGAGTAGCATGCATTAGTTTATTATATCGAGGTTTTCGATCTTTGTACCGGGAATTGAGTGTGCAGCGATAGCGATTTTCCGATGCAGTCTGCGCTGCATACAGATTCACTTGGGCTGGCAAAAGGTACAGTCGGCGCATCGTCTGAGCAAGGGAAGTACGAGTACATGTCGGGTATACGGTAACAAGTAACGAGAATGCCGATTACCCATCTCCTATAGACTTAGAAGTACGACGGGAATTTCTAATGACTTACGACGAGCGCGTTTCGTATTACCGTTTCCTCGAGTGTCACAATTTAACTAAAATCTATTCAACCCACGTTTACGTCGCCATGATTTGCTATACCTATAACCAACCGCATTTCTATACACAGGGTGTAAGATTTGATAAGATCCTTTCTTTTTTCGTTATCCTCTCACTAGCACCCGGTTTGTAGGCAATAAACCGATGCAAAATTGGTTAATCAACCGTGTTTGTATAAGAAAAATAATCTCGCAAGACTCAGACATCGAAAGATGCGAAATCTAGGTAAGAAGATCTCTTCACCGTTTTATTTAGAATAGTTGCCTTAACAATTAGATATTTTTTTTATTTCTCGAATGCAAATGAATTTAACCGCACAATAAACCTACGTAAATGAAGATATAACGTGCGTTGCCTTGAACTTGTTAATTGTAACAGATCATAATCCGAAGAATAATCTCATAATTAAAAATCGTACGTAACGGTTCGCATCATAAATCCTAATTAATTGCTATGAACAAGATAGAGATCTAATGTTTTGAATATTAGATAAGATTTAACTTCATCCTTTATGCATGCTTAGTTACCATATACATATAAGATTTAACTATATTAATTATTCTCAAATATACATACAGCCAAATACAAAAAAGAAATATCGTTGTTTCAGTTAATTAAATCGTTAATAAATATATATAGATATTTATAAAGTTTAATGAAACACAAATGGTCGAAAAAGCAGTAATGTGTAGAGGTTCCTACCTAATTCTTGTTCAATTTGCATAATTTTTCAAGTGAAACGCATTCAAAGATACTTACCGATGCAATTTACTCCTCTAGTCATTTGTAAGTCGATAGGGATTTTTCCGTATTAAAATTCGCTTCTAACCCTTTGATTCATCGAGAACCACCGTATTCGAGCGCGGCGCCGATAATACAAATTCGGAATGGCTTTTTACATAAATAACTCGCTCGTTAATTTCGCATTCGCGGAATATGTGAAATAACGGAAATATTACCGGAGTTTTCGGAGGCATGTATTCGTCGGCGGGGGACTTTTTGGGAAGTACTAATGGCGGATCATTAGGGCGCGCAGGTAATCTGTTCCGACGTTTTTTCTGTACGAAAAGATAAAAATAATAAATCACGCCCGGTTTCCATGAACGCTTTCTCTTCATGCAATTCTGATAATGGTTTATAACCGATAGGGCCTGCTGAAATCTCATAATCTCGTGATATATGATGCCAGACATAATATCGATAATAACGCTGAATTTATTATTGTCTTTATGCCTTTTACTATTAGTCCGTGAGCTGTATCCCGTACTTGAATAATCCTAGCTTTCTTTATTAAAATATTAATTTCCGCAAAAGAACAAATTTTTAAAACCTCTCGATTCAACACAGTTTATATTTATAGCCGTTTTGTTTTTTATTTTTATTTCAACTTTATTATATTATAAAAAATATTATACTATATCTAAATAAATAATTTCATCCCAAGAACTAATACTAGTATCGAACAATCTTATTATTTTGAAGCATCTTATTTATACTGTGTTCAGTTTCTGGTTTACATGATTTGTTGGCTTGTAATAATTGTGATTGCGGTGATATCGTAATAATATTAAATGTGATGTTATCGCTGGCGGATAAATAATTTAGTAATTGCAAATATTACAGTTTGTTTTAGTGAGCCGTAATAATACAGGAAACGGATGGCCTGCGGAACTATCGCTTTAGTTATGGGAAATTATAATGAAGAATAGCCGAGTTATGCTAGACCTCCCGATGGAGGTCCATGATCATGAAAGCTTTAGTTTCGCTACGATGACACAAAGTTATTCAGGTTGAATCTAGTTTGAAATTCCGACAAAGTCGAGCGACAATCGGTTCGTACATTGTTTAGAAAAAAAACCGTCAGGATATATTGACCGATGATCGGTAGCCGAGAAGATTAGAAGAAATAGACGTTTCCTTAAATCAACAACGTGGAACTTTTTAGATTCGATAAGCCGATGATGGACTACTTTAATTTCCATACACACATATGCCGTAATCTGTGAAACTACCCGTCGTACATCTCACAATCTTCGAATAAATAGCTTACCGAATTGACCGAATAACCGTCGTATAATTCGATAAAACTAAAAGCCCCCAGATAGCGGCCATTCTCAAAGTACCAACGATATCAACTTTACATATTTTGTTAATATATTCACCGAGATGGTATCGCTGGAAACTACTTTCAGGAGTATACACGTTTACTTTACCGAGTTGCGACGGGAATGTTACGTTATAATATTGTGCGATATCAGTTCCCTTACCGATAGTGACAACTTCGCGGTGTCTTCGCGGGACGCGATGGGAAAACTTTCTGATATTCGATATTTATGATTTAAGTTGTAAAATGACGTTATCTCATCTATACTTTCGTTGAAAACTTCTTCGAGATAGTCCAAAAGAAAAACCTATCGGGTTTGAGTAATGATAGCTTATTTGGACAACACGCACTAACTTGAATCGAAAGATTTTTGCTAAATTGTTGATTTACAAATAATTTATCCAATAAATGTTAGAACAAATGGAGAAACATAGAAGATGAAGAAGCTTCAATCTCTTGGAATCTAAAGGTTATAACAATAAAGAGAAAAGAAAATATATTATAAAGGATATTAAACTTGTATAGAAACATATAAGAAATAACAAAAGTGGTTAGATATACCATTAGTAAATAGTACCTATTTATTGGGTAAGTGTTGTTGGCAAAACGTAAAACCGTCGTCTTTATTAGCAGTAGCTTTTAGTAAGAGTGTTCAGAAATCGACGTAAGTGGAATTAAGATAGCGGGATATCACGCACTCGAAGATTTATAGGGTTATGAGGTATTTGCTGTGGAATATATAAATCAGTGGGTAAAGAAGAGAGTGTAAGAACCGGCAGAGCGTGATTCACATTACCGACCCTGCGGAGCGTTATATAGGAAGGAACGTCTCCCGTAATCATTTTTGCTGTGCCATTGTGATATGATATATAAGCATTTTATCTGATCGGGCTTATCACTCGCTCGTCGCGAGGTGTTATAACGAATATTTTCTGGCTCTTGCGCGCTTTAATTCCGATCAAGACGCACCGGAGCGACAGAGACGGCCGA